TGGTCTTGGTCCGAGGAAGCTGAGACGCTCCCTTCCTACTTGAATCCCAATCGAACTCGCGCACTTCCACCGAAACTGGGTGACTGCGCCCTACTAGATGGGGATTTGTATGCAAAATGTCACTAAAAGCGCCATTTCGTTCTTATAAAAGCACGGATGACCGCGATTGGCCCATATGTTGTAGTCTTTTGGACGCTGAGTCGACTGGTTTTGGTCCGAAAAGGCTGCGATGCAGCGTTCCTCCTTTATTCCCAATCGAACATGGTTGAAGAAGCGGTCACGTGCTCCTGCGTACACCAGTCACCTGGTCACCGTGCCTGCAGGGTACAACTTACTAGCGTGTTTGACCTTTTTTGGGTGCAGTCCTGTCACTCGAGTTGAACTCGAGTTGAACCTTGGTGTGAAAGTTGTCGCCTGCTGGCGCGGTGACCAGGTGATTTGGGCACCCAGGAGCACGTGACCACTTGTTCAACCATGTTCGATTGGGAATAAAGGAGGAACGCCGCATCGCAGCCTTTTCGGACCAAAACCAGTCGACTCAGCATCCAAAAGACTACAACATATGGGCCAATCGCGGTCATCCGTGCTTTTATAAGAACGAAATGGCGCTTTTAGTGACATTTTGCATACAAATCCCCATCTAGTAGGGCGCAGTCACCCAGTTTCGGTGGAAGTGCGCGAGTTCGATTGGGATTCAAGTAGGAAGGGAGCGTCGCAGCTTCCTCGGACCAAGACCATTCGACTCAGCACCCAGAAGACTACAACTGGTGAAAATTTGATTTTAGGGTATACTTCCCCTTTAACATGTTTTTCGATTTTGACAGCATGTTACAAGGCGAGGACTCTGCCAACCGGTTTATGGTTGTAGTCAGGAGCACTACGCGTCCTCGCCTTGTAACATGCTGTCAAAATCGAAAAACATACTAGTAGGTTAGTAGGTTTACCACTCTACCAATACCATTGCATGTGTAGATCTACGGAGGATGATGTCTTCCGGTAGATCTACCTGGTCCACGAGGGGCTATGGACTCGGAGAGCAGGAGAAGAGAGGATTGAATATTGACCAGTCAGTATGCGACTACGTGTTTGTAGAGTCTAGAACTACAGCCACGAGTGTCCAGTCCCACTCCCAGTCATGGGCCCCAGCTAGATCCTGCACTGACTCAGTCTGTCAAAAATGTGCGGTCCGGACCAGAGCGGACAGATTCGAACGACAGTTTTGCGGCGATGCATCCATGGCAAGGTCCTACCAGGTAGGTGCTACATAGCATTTAATTAGCAGCTATGACAGGGCAGGTTCTTAGTTTCCATGTCGTGACGCTTGATGCAGTGGACAGGACACGACCTGGCTATCCACACACGTACACAAGATTACTACACAACGGGCTGGGCATTACAGGCAGGAGTGGTATCAAGAGTATACTAGTAGTCATGGTTATGATTGTACTCTTGCCTGTCTTGGTGCTATCCATGCATGATAACCCCCATGCCACGGGATACCCTTGTAATTGGTCACATACAGAGAACTGCCAAGAAACTGCTGAACTGTGACTTCTGAGTCCTGATTCACACAGTATTGGCGAGTTGTCACACAGGACACACATGTACCGTCTACATTGTAAATCTACTGGTTACGCATCTGCAAGTAGCAAGAGTAAATACCCCCCAATAGTTACAGAGTGCATTGTACCGGTAGTTACATGTACATCGTTCATTCAGGGAATAGCGAAATCACATGTGTGTTTCACTACTCCCGTGATACCTACTGCCGTACATTTTGCAATACATGTACCGGCAGTGGTAACCGATTAGTACAGTCATGGACGTGAAGCAATTCCACCTCCACCACCCTTTGAGTCATGGACATCATTGTACACACCGGTATGAAGATGATGTCATAATAAGGCGGAGGACTCTGCATTGAAAACAGTATTCCTGACTGCCACCGGAGCAAGGATCTGGTCTCGCGACAATTATGCCCTGGTTCAGACCCTCTGTGTTCTAAGGGGGGGGGGGGGGAGGAGGAGGAGGGGGCAGTAATCATTGCGATGACATTCACTGTTCTCAGCCGAGAGCACTCAGTTGTGAAAGCCACGACCAGAGTATTACAATGATGTGACGACTTCCCGGCTGAGAGTGACGAGCCGAGAGAATTAAAAGGATGCCGTTTGCAGAAGTTGGCAAAAGAACCAAACAAAACCACCAAAACGATTTACGCAAAAAAAATGCACATAGGGCAAGATAAACAATATGACCAGGCAGAAGTGCAGTACAGTCAGACCTCGCTTATCCGGTTCTCGTTTATCCGGATCCCTCGCCATCCGGAAGAAAATTGTTGGTCACCGATTTACAGGTATGCTATGCACACACACAGTATGTGTGTTCGATTATCCGGTTCCCTCGCCTATCCGGATATTTTTGTGGAAAACGGATGTGTGCGGTTAAGCGAGGTCTGACTGTATTTTGAAGCCGTGCATTATAATTACTCCCTTTCATGGTTGTAGACTGTGGAGACTTCCGACACAATTATCTACAGTGCATGCTCATACAGCTGCGGAACAACACCACACCGCCCAGTCCCTTAATAACAACCTTACTGTAAGTCACACATACCCGTGCTCAACCAAACATTGACACAATCATGCACTTCCAACGGGCTGCAAAAGAATAACGTTACTCGGAACCCTTGTAAGCCATGTGCATGGTCACCTTCCAACACACCGAAAGCTTGAACATGCACAAGACAAATGCCCATACGGGTACTAACATTGCCATACTTCCGTTTGTAAAATTTACATAATGTTGTACACTCACTGGCAAAGACCAGCTTACTGCCATGCATAGCAAGAAGAGCAACAAGAAGAAAATATGGAAAAGGCGACAGTTGCAAAATACGAGACGAGTCTATTCACATAAAACCTCCATGGGAGCTTCATGAAGATCAAAAGGAGCAAGTTTTGGCAGTACCAATGCCAATACTATAAATATACAAGGCAATAGTAAAACACTAGAAGCTGCAAATAAAAAATTTCAATTCAAACCTTTACGGGAATGTTGCAATGCAGGGCGTAAGTTTCGTGGTGGGAGTGGGGAAACACATTTCGGAACTATCTATATTGCAAACAGCAGGTCAGCAGCAGCACCACACGGGCAGGCAAGGGCACCTCTACACAGTTGAATCAAATATACAAACTCTCCTACACTCACAGGCAGTGAGCACGTAATTGAGACAGTCACCTAATCACAGGTATCAGGCATGCCGGACGCACATAGGAATGGTGCTAGAACGAGTGGCACATTTGATATCATCATCTACGATAGTTTCCTGGCAGAAGGAGGTAGCATAGCTAGGATGTCATCATCACTGCAGAGGAAGGAGCAAAAGATGAACTACCATCAGCAACACTCAAAGATGACCAGCACTATTCATGCTATCACCACAGAATTTGTAATACAGTCAAACCCCGTAAGGACGAACACTGATAAGGCGAACTTTCCATTAGCACGAACTAGGCATCAAATCAAGTCAAAATTATTCGTTTACGACGAACTCCTAACTTTCGCGATTCGCGGCGAAGACGAACTATTTTCAAGTGCGATTTAAATAAAATCAGCGCATAGTACGAACTTTCGGTCCACGTGCGAGTGCTGTCTTTTTTTTCTTTTTTTTTTCCCGATAGTCGGGAGGTCATACATTGTACAATACAGTAGATGTACGTAGTGAATCAAAGTAGGCGTAGATCTACCAGGGAGTCGTCAAATACCGGCTATTTGACGACTCCCTGAGATCTACTACATGTATGATGTAGTACATTCGTCCTTTCCCGGTTCAGCGTAGACTGGTCGCGTCGTTGATCGCGCGAGGCGAAGGTGACTTCTATTCCGTTGATTTTGCAATGTTGCGATGTTGTCCCAGTGCCCGAGGTGAGTTGTGAAGTGAGCTGTGAGGAGATTCTTGAAGTGTTTTGTGAAGTAAAGAGCCTTGATCCATAGAGGGTGGGGGCGTTCCTAGTAACTTCCTACGGATGCGGAAAACTTAGCGTCCACAGGCTCCAGACGAGTCTCATGTGAACCGTGAATTTATTTGTGAAGTACGAAACTCGGATGTTGTGCTTCACAGTCGTAGTCATTCACATCCAATCTATAATTTTAATGTAATGCACGTGTTTGTTTATGGAGGCACAGTCACGAATCGTTGCACATTGTACTTACTTCGAAGTACTAGTACCTGATTCTGGCTTTTATGCTAAGAATAAATGCTTCCCAAGCTCCCATGTACCACAGCATGCACCTTCACGTAAATACAATCATATGATATGCGTATTGATTTTTTTGTCAGATTTGGATAAGAAGAACTCCGGATAAGACAAACAAACTTGTTCAGTCTCTTGAAGTTCGTCCTATGGCCTAACGAGGTTTGACTGTATGGGAGCCATTCAAATTCGACAAAAGTGTGAAAAAATAAATGAGCCACAAGCTTCCTTCTATTACGTGTTCATATTGAACAGATTTTTAAACTAGTACTAGTAGTACTGGGTTAACCGATACTTTTTGCAATTCACTGATGAAGCAAACAGCACTTGAGCCCCTCCCCAGGTTTTCAAAATATATCGGTATTCATGGGAGATTCGTAACTCCTCACTAGTGCTTTCGCCAACATCTACTACAAAGCTAACGCTACCACAAACGCAAAAGTGTGTGGATACAAAAGCACACTTGTGCTATCTGCGTCACAACGTCACATCACGTGCACAGATTCGCCGTGCGTGGCTCAAAGCCTCATGGCCACCATAGCTACACTGGGCGAGACAGAATCCGCCTTACCTCCTCCTCCATCGGGCAGCGAATATCTGAGTCGCCATCCCACTGTTGCCTGATGAAACAAGCTATATTCTTCTCGAGCTGTGGAGCGGTTAGGGGATTGTACTGGCTCAAGAACGTACACAGCCAGCTAAAGACAGGAAAAAGCAGACAACTTTCTCAATGAAAAGTATGCAAAGATAAGAGCAATTAAGGGTCCATAACCACTAGAACGTGCAAGGGTCCAGTCGAGCTTGCGAGTAATAACAATCCTCGATCGGCCATGAGGAAAGCGTTGCTATTCGCTTTCCTCATGAAAAAAAAGTATGTGATCAGGCGGTTACTGGATCTAGTAATACAGATAGTGTCGTCGTTCATGAGTTGTTGCTAAGACTGAGGTTGTTATTCACGAGGTTGACTGTGACATCACTTTCTGCATGCGGTTCTGCCGTAACGGAATCTTCTTCTTTACGTCGGTAGCACATGGCAATACACTCAGGAGGTTGCGACACGCAATCACAGATCAACCTGTCTCTGCCTGCGACACGCAATCACGGATCAACCTGTCTCTGCCTGCGACACGCAATCACGGATCAACCTGTCTCTGCCTGCGACACGCAATCACGGATCAACCTGTCTCTGCCTGCAACGTCGCAAAACCTACAACTTGCTTTAATACTTTTCAAAACCATATGGATAATGCCATGTTTGGATTTCGTTGCAACAGAAACCAATGCGGACCTGCACACTCGGGGGAACATGTACTCTTGGTATGAAGCAGTGTGTCATTGTAAGGTGCTCGAAAAGCTCAGCTTAGGAGTGAACGTTGTCATGCTGTCGCAAGATTGGCTGTTGCAAAACAACGCACCGTGTTGTTCAAACAGTACAAACACTACTACTCCGCTTGAGTTGCTCAAGTATTTATCTCAGGACCCGTGTGAACTAGTTACTTGAGCGATCAGTGGAAGTGGTGTGGGTATGCAATGTGCAATTATGCCACTATGTCCGACGTGCGACGTAGTGATCTGGACTGCGGATGCACAACACCCGTAGGTTATAGTCTTATAGAGCAGACTTGCTAGTATACATGACCGCAAGTATATAACAGCAAGCACTGTAATAGGAGACCACCGGTGATCTCATGTACTGGACTACAGCTTTCAACCGGTGTAGACAACCAAGTGCAACGACTAGTTTCCTCTGCCCTGTAGTGGGGTGGGTGGCAAACACTGTCATCACCGTAGGCTGTAGCAGCATCACACACTGCCAACATCACTAGTCTGAGACTCTCGGGCTTACCACCCTCTCACACAGCACCACACGCTGCCAACAACTCAAAGGCTAACCACACTCCCACACAGCATCACACACTGCTAGCGCCACTAGTTCGGGGCTCTCAGGCTGACCACAAGCCCACACAGTATCTGGGACTCTTAGGCTGGCCGTGCTCCTGCACAGTATTACCCTGCACAGTATTTCCCCGCACAGTATTATTACCCCGCACAGCATTACACGCTACAAGGAATAGCACAACACTACATGTTGCCAGTCCTGAAATCTACTTACAACAGGTAGCAGCACACTGCAGTCGTTACCAGCATGGTCTGTACAATTCTGCATCACACAACACAGCACGCAAAACACAGCACACACCCGTTCTTCATCAGTCATCAGACAAGGCAAAATCATGATCAGTACATAGCTTAGACCACAAAATGAAAACAAAAACAAAAAGCAAACACACGCAGTCTTCATCACATTCGTCATAGCTTTGTGTAGAACTACTGCACAGTGCAGTAATTCTGGCGAGCTTTGCTTTGCATCAAAGTTATCCGCCTTTACCACAGCAAAGCTCGCCAGGCTTTGCTTTCCAAGTGAAAATCTGTGTCAGCATATGAATACTGTAAGAGTGGAATCTCTAACGGGGCACAAAGGCCAACGTTCTAACAAGAAAGAATCCATCGTTAACTCGAAAAACGCAACTCAAGAAACGTTACACGTATGCTATTCCTTCTCTCCTCTGTAATAGAAGACAGCTGTGTGATAGCAGGACTAGTAACATTTTCAACTCTTACAGCAGCGTTGAGAGGTACTTGGGCGTTTCGGCAATTTTTTTCCAGCAAGCTTTGGTGACATGTATCTGAGGTACTGAAACTACTTCGAATCGAACTACAATGCACAATCATGAGGTTTCGCAAGATGTGGAAAAAGCCAACCACGAGCTACTGATCTGTTATCATAGGGGCAGAGACGGACACGGTTTCACCACTAAACAAGAGCTTCCCTTGGAAATATCTTTAATTATAAAGAAGAGGCACCTGTGACGTGTGTGTGTGTGTGTGTGTGTGTGTGTGTGTCACGCTCAGGCCATGCTGCGGAGCAGCGCTGCCCTGAGCACGCGAAGCGTGCGAACAGTGTAGCTAGCGGCCGCAGAAGCACTGAGCACGCGAAGCGTGCGAATCGTGTAGCTAGCGGAAGCAGCCACAGAAGCACTGAGCATGCGAAGCGTGCGAATCGTGTAGCCACCACCACGTGCTGAGCACGCGAAGCGTGCGAACAGTGTAGGTAGCAGACACGATCAGTACGAGTAGCAGTAGCAGCCGCGCGCAGAAGCACTGAGCACGTGAAGCGTGCGAATCATGTAGCCACCTAGCCTAGGCCATAGCCTGCACTAGCAGCCGCACAAGCGCTGCGGACCACGTGAACCGTTCTCTGCAAATAGAAACATCTGCAACAAAAGGATACAAAAGATCTGCACTGACTGCACTCTGCATCTGATCTGCAGTGAAGAGCGTATCGCACTTTTGTTCGTAAGTTTATGAATTTTTTTAGCCGCTTCATCCGCCACCAGGTGATGGACAACCCTGACCAGCCTCCCGAAGGCGTAACAGACGTCCCTCCTTCTCCTTCCAACGATGAAGAACCTCCCTCACCAGGACTTCAGCGGTCTGGCCACCACCACGTGCTGAGCACGTGTGCTGTTCATGTACTTGCTTCACCCGCATGCCACATTCGGCCAGGCAACACTGGCCGGGGGTGCTGCTAGTCTAATGATAAAACCAATCCCACTGAGAATTGAGAATGTGGCATACAGTAGAGTCGCGCGCACAATAACGTAGTCTCCAGGAGATCAGTCTGGGATGTTCTTATCTTTGAGCAACTTGGCTGCGTTCTTATCACGTTCTTACAGTCCATTTCAAAACTATAGACGCGTAGGGTTTTTGAAATATTTCAAATCTGCCTGGAACTTTTTGAGAATAGTTTTCGGAATATTGCTCAGGACCGCTCCACAATTACTCTCATATAGTTTCTAAACGATTGGATAACAGACGCCCAATTTGGAAAAAAATATGCACAAAGTGATCACAGATTTTATGTGGTATAGATGCTGGCATAACCGTTTTTGCCTAGGTACGCGTCTATAGTTTTGAAATGGACTGTAGAAACAATTTGTATTGGATCGTATGCACACACTACTACATACATATGCAGCACAGGAACTGTAAGAGCACCATCGCCGATGTTCTTAACTTTAGGCTGTGGCGCTCTTAGTATTTCAGGCTGGGCGTTATTGGGCTCCGTATTCTTAGGCGCGCGACTCTACTGTATGTTCTGGTGTGTCATCCATTACACATGGCCAATTAATACCCCTCAGTACCGAAGCTTTGAAGGGGAGAAGAAGCGTGCGTATGGGGAGAGAATTCTCCACGTCGAGCATGGTTCCTTCACCCCTCTGGTCTTCTCTTCCTGTGGGGGGATGGGCCACGAAGCTGCCATCATGGTAAAGAGGCTGGCAAGTGCTTTAACCGTGAAGAGACATGCGCCGTACAGCCAGATGGTGTGCTGGCTCAGATGTATGCTAAGCTTTTCGCTAGCCAGATCTGCTATTCGCTGTGTCCGTGGATCACACTCAATTCGCCGCCATCACTTTGACCATGCCCCTGTCGACCTGGTCCGAGCATAGGCACAGCTGGTGGTCAGCTAGACAGTTGTCATCATGTCTAGTTTCTGAGAAGTTCTCAATCTCTCATTTTAATGCCAGACGTGAGCCAGCCCCTGGCTTAACAAAATGGGTGTTCCTTTTTAGTTTTGTTTTTCTTTTCTTCTTCTTCTTTATTTTACTTTGCCCATACAAGAGGCGTTGTACATTAAGACCCCTCATGCGTTCAGTACAACATTTTCTTACTTTCTCACTCTGCAAGTGGAATAGTGCAAAGAAAGTTGTATTTCTGACAGACACGCGACTGAGATCGTGAATGGCTGCAGATTATGATGCCAATTTGAATTGAATTACGTATGACCATCAGTGTGACGTTCTGAACGCACCGTGAACAAATTCGCCAGTTCAACGTAAACATAACTACTCTCCATCACATTGCAGTAAACGTCTGGGCGGTGTGGTGCACACGCGACAGCAGCACACTAGCATACCTTCCCATAAACCCTTCAAAGTTGATTTCCCTCCCTTACCCTTTGTTGGGGCTTCTCTTCATGACGAAATTGACGAGTACGGGGCCAGCGATACCCACTATTAGCCAGAAAATGGTCACCACGCTAAATGCAGCTGCAGCACTCATCTTGGCAGTCTACTGTGAACTGAGTTAGTATCAAAATTGACCGTTCAAGACACTTCTCCTTCTTCTTCGCAATCAAAAAGATGTGCTCAACAACGACGAAAGTCTTGACGCGTCATGCATGACGACACTGCACGCGAAAATGGCGAAGGCCGAATTTGGACCGGAAAATCGTATCTGCATCCTAAAACCATCCCAGAACATGGTATTTGGAAAACACTGCTGGTATCATTAAAAACCTCTTTCAATATTGGAATTCTGCGATTTTCCGGATGATGTCGTTCAATCACGGCATTACGTCAGTACCCAAGGTTTCAGCTGATTTTGGATGTCCCGATCTTGCTCGACTTGAAGATAAAGATACATTTTTCTCTCCATGGGAAGAAGCAGAGGAGATCTACCTTCCACAAGACCAGTTTGGCTTCATTTGTTGTTTGCGTGAGCAAGGTGAAAGCTTGTTGAGTGTTCAGAGCACAGATCAACTTAGTGTTTTCGTAGAGTAACGATCTGTGGCTGATCCAGGTGTGGACGTTTTGAGTATTGTTTCCTACCTTGCATATTTCTATTTGGTGCGGTGACCAGTGGACGTTGTTCAGCAACCATGCCTAATCAAATGGAGAGTAAGTTGTGGCTTTGTTGCTGACTTTGTTCTCCCTGTACGCAGCTCTTGGGGAGTTGATTCCTCAACCTAATCAGTTGCAAAGGGAAATGTTTAGAAACAGTGATGATCGTGTTCAAATCTCGACTTCTGTTCGAATTTTGAGGCACATTGACAGTGCAGTGATTCTTCTATAGTAGAGGATCCCGAAAGGAAATGTCTATATTCACATTACAGTGTAGTAATAGTACAGCTGTAGTATCTTTACTAGTGCACCAACGGATTGTTTTTACAGCATGTGAAGGGCCATTCGATGTAAAGAGCCAGTAGAAGTACGACAAAAGTTTATTACATGTAGTGCATGCAGTATCACTACAAGACCGGCACTGGGAAATAATCATATGTAGCACCCTTGGGTGGGTGCTGGCAATGTGCGCATGGACCCTTCAGCAGTCGGATCAATCCTGAAACTGCCGCTGCTTGTTTTCGAGTTCACGTACAAGGGAGCTGGGGTGGGAAGAGAGCACCAGTACTTCATACTGCACTGTTCACAGATATCGTGTGCGCGCATGTATATACCCGCATGGGTTTTGATATAGAAGTCTGCAGTCGGTATTGTTTCATCCCTTTGTTGCCTCATTTACGCGGCAGAGAAAAATGAAGTTGAACCTGGTGGCAATGAAGAATGCAATTTCTCATTGGCAGAATTTAAACCAGGCTTGATTGTACCTTGCCGGAGTGCTCAAACTGAATCAGACAAGTTAGGGAGCAGCCAGCACAAGCTGTGAAGGTACTGCTCCACGCGAGAGTGATTTATCCCTATGAGAGCGAGAGCACTGTACAATGCTGATATGGAAGTGCTGTCAATACTGCCAAATGAGGTTCACCCAAAATTGGACATGTTTTGCAGACGACCAACTATAGCCTTCTTTCTCATGTGATAAAGCTGCATGAACGTACATAGCTGCGGTCAATCTAATTTAATGGCTGCTCCATGGCGAAGAAATCCTTGGCAGAAAGCTTTTGATGCGTGTGTGAAATGACAGAACTATGCGTCTCTCAGACCTGGTTAACAAGTACTTTTGTCTATCCCTTAATAATAAGTGACGATCATATTGTTCTCTCTCTTTCTCTCTCTCTCTCTCTCTCTCTCTCTCTCTCTCTCTCTCTCTCTCTCTCTCTCTCTCTCTCTCTCTCTCTCTCTCTCTCTCTCTCTCTCTCTCTCTCTGATCATATTCGCCACTATTGACTGCTCATTTCAGACCAGCTATTCAATCTGAAGGTTAGTCCTCATGGGAGCACTGGACTGCTCATGTGTTGTAGCCACTACATGACTAGCCACTTTATTCATGCAACGTTTAAACTATCAATCACTCTCTCTCTCTCTCTCTCTCTCTCTCTCTCTCTCTCTCTCTCTCTCTCTCTCTCTCTTGTGTCCCTGTTGAGTTTATTCAAGGAAACTGTGTGGGTATTTTGAAATGGCTGATAGATACCACTAGGTGTTCAGTGGTTGTATTGGTGGTGTAGTGCTCTGCCAGTTGTTCTGTCGGATGTTTTGAACTTTGAGTTACCCAGTAGTTTTCTGTCGTTGTGTTCCGTTGCTGCAGTTTGCTGCCAAGCAGCTGACGCGCAATTCCAAGAAATGTGAAAAAGAGGAGAAGGCGGAAAAAGTCAAGCTAAAGAAGGTAGGAGAGAACGAGTTCTGGGACGTCACCCTGCTCTGATTTTTAGCCCTGCTTGTTGCTGGTTGCTATCGTAGTAGTGGTCTGAGATGTTTGCAGTGTTACAACAGCATTGAGACTTACTCGTATTGGGTCATTGAAGGTGTCCACAACTGAAAACTCAAAGAGGTGTGTGCAGTAGTGAATAATGTTCGTTCTTTGCTCGCGGTGTAGGTTCCGAATGTAGGCGAGGAAGTCGTTGTACTCGTTTATGCAATGTGATTTGATGGGTGGTTGCTTCCCTTGTCCTGCTACCACAGGCGATCCAGAAAGGCAACATCGATGGAGCTCGGATTCACGCGGAGAACTCAATTCGACAGAAGAACCAGGTGAGTGGATGTTTCTTACGACCATCATAGTGCCAGTGAACAGCTAGTCATCCCAGACCTGCTCTTGGTGTTAAATTAATGAATATTGCTCCTATGCCAGTCCACAGATCTTGTTTGAAGCTCTTTTTCCTTCTTTTTTGCTCGTCTTCTTGTCCTCGTCTTTGCTGTGGCTGCTGTGTTGTTTAGTCTCTGAACTTCTTGCGGATGTCGGCTCGAGTGGATGCCATTGCGTCACGTGTGCAGTCAGCAGTCATGATGCAGCAGGTATGATACCAGTCCGTGCCTTTAATACTATCCAGTGCTGACTGCGGTGTTCTACAATAGTACTAAGTTTGTGTACACTCTTCACTTCTTCGTCCTACACACACACACACACACACGCACACCTTGACCTTGACCTTGATCTTGCCCATTGCGTACGCAATGATAGCGAATGTCTGAAAGTTCAAGTGAGGACACGAGCGCAGAACTTGGCATGTCGTCACACGCACACACACACACACATACACACACACACAATCACACACATGCACACACACACACACACACACACACACACACACACACACACACACACACACACATTGTAACATGCTTATCCTCTTTTCAGAAGTTGGTCCGTGACAATTTAGCAGTAAACATAACTGCGTGTACAGCAAACAAAAACACTCCACCAGTACCGAGAGAGCGCCCCACCATATCGTCCTTTCATGGTTGTGCTATGGAGGTGGATTCCTGTCCGTAGGTCATGTGACAAGTTCCTGGTACACACATTGCATGCTGTGTAGTCAATCCGTACTCAATTTACCTTCGAGCGGATGCGAGCTCCGCACAAAACATACTAAATGTGACCTTAGCACACAACGGTTCTCGCACCGTACGAACTTAGTTGCACTCTGCCATACGACTTTCCTTTCCCTGGCTGTAAAATCAGTATGGAGTGCTCTCGCGGTACTTTACGGTAATTATACACAGGACTTAAAAGTGGTTGGAGCACCGGAGCTGTTATGATCATCAAGTTTTGTTTGAGGCCAAGAGATGCTCTTGTACTTGCAGAAACGAACCGGTGCCCTCACCACCCGGGGAGTACATTGCTATCACTTGTACCCACATTGATGCTATTCTTCCTGTCCTCCTCCGTGGCCTCTTTGTGACCAGGTAACCGGCTCGATGGCTGGTGTTGTCAAGTCAATGGACTCTGCGCTGAAGTCAATGAACTTGGAAAAGGTAAGTACGTCTTTTTTCTGTTTCGGATACAAACACCAATGAGCCAATACTTGTAAACATGTGAACTTTGATCTCTGTATTGTGCAGATTATTAGCATTGCCTTGCTGTTGGTGAAAGCATTCACTCGCTGATGGCACATTGAGTATAAAGGTGCCAGTGTGCCAACAGAGGTCACTTTTTGTCACGCGTTTCTCTCCTCCCAGGTGGTCGGTCTCATGGATAAGTTTGAACAGCAGTTTGAGAACATGGACGTTCAGGCATCAGCAATGGAGGAGGCTATGAGCTCCACAACCACACTAACGATCCCAGAGGTAAGCTATGGATAGGCACTGTGTCTTGTACCATAGCATCAAGTGCAATCTTGGCAAAAAAAGTAAAAAACTGTACGATGATTGCTGCATCATTCCACTTGAGATTCATGAACAACTTACTTCAATACGATTATGTACTTCCTTGTTTGAATGCGTAACATTGGTACTGTGATAAGCAGCAACACCTCCCGGTAGTGTCTACAAAGATTATCACTGACATTTTGTCTCTCGCTTGTCTTTATCGTGTGACATCTGTGTATGCAGGGCCAAGTGGAGGGACTCATGCAGGAAGTAGCCGATGAGCACTCTCTTGATCTGAAAGTTGAACTTCCGTCGCAAGGCACTGGGCAGCTGGGTCAAGCATCGGCATCTGCAGAGCAGGTAGGGTTTCATTTCTTTTAGCTTCTGTCACTGTGAGCACACGTCTTATCTAGATGCATAGCTACAGGGTCCGTCTTGAGATGTGTGAGTTGCAGGTCAGAGTCTCTTCACATCAGCTCTCCTTCTAGCCCAATTTCTTAGCTATTCTGATCTCAGCTCCAGCTGATGCTCAGGCCATGTGTGTTCTTGCAAGGTATCAGTCGACTACAGTACATGCTGTGCTGCTGGTAGGAACCGCTCATCATTGCTGCTGTACGCACATTGCTGCAATGTGCAGTGTCTTGACTTTTTTAGTGGGCACGATGCATTCACATGGAAAGACCTTCTTTGAGTTGTCTTGGGCCCAGACCATCCTGTATGCTCCTTGTGTCCATTTTGCTGTGTGTCCAGGATGAACTGTCGCAACGACTTGCTCGCCTCAGGCAAGCTGATTGAAGAAACATTCTGGCACCTATTCTTTCCTTTCGTTCACAGTTATGTAGTGTAGTGTTTTGAATTGCGGTGCAACTCAGAGTCTCTTTGCTGTATTATACATCCGTTGTTTGAAGTCATAATAGCACGCTCCCATAGCATTATTTTTACTACGTAGTAAGTAGCAACACCTTTCATACAATGACCCCTCCATGTTGTACATATTTTCTTCATGACAATAAAATTTAATATTGTGTTTTATGGCTTTGAGGTATAGCATAGCATGATCTCCCATGCTATCTGGGCATGCTGCGCCTTTAGTTGTTTTCTGCTGCTGTGCAACGGAACGCGTCTCCTAACTATTTTCGTCCACGCTGCATTTTGTTAGGGCTGTATGATGACTCTTTATCCTTCTCTTCCTGCATACCATGTGTTTTATTATGTGCTTTACATGCTCTTGCCCAGCAAGTGAAACTTTCTCGAAGACCTGCACCGGCACAATTCTACCCTGACCTGACCCTGCTGTTCCTGGAACTTCCAGAGGCTAAAATGATTCCATCGGTATAATTACAAGTTACTATAATGGCATACATGTCAGATCATGAGACAAACCCAAGTCAGGTGCGGGAGAAATAATAATTATTATGTTCTTAGTTGTTGCTAGGACACCTGCTGTGATAGTATCAGGCACCTGCAGATGCCACTTTTTGTAGCTGGACGGGGTTTTTCTTCATTTTGAAAGTATTGATCAGAAGACGGGCCTGTGTGCTGAGGGATCCTCTTCAGTAGAGAGTGCATGGTCAACTAAGTTAGTACACGTATACCGACTATAATCTATGCTTATTCATTTTTATATCATCTAATATTCTAGGGAATTGGTGGATTTCTTTGAAAACAACATTGCTCAGTTGATTATCACCGAACATGGCACACACAAGAAGCCTGTCCAGATTGGGGTGGTCAGGCCGGGCATCCTGCAAGGGAAATTGTATAAATTTTGCCACTTTTTAAATAGTATTCAGATATTTTGAAACTCGGATGGTGAGCCAATTATTGTGAAAAGAAGAAGGACAAAATGTTACGAGTTAAGACTAGATATTTTGAGTGCAAATTTCTTCGAAAATGTACCGATAGTTTCTATTTCTGTGCCTATAAGTACATATATCTGGTTCGGCTGTATGAACCCCATTGTACAGGCCATCTGACGGTGCGCTATACGTACGTACCGGTGTAAAACAATTTTAAAGAATGGACTGTCCACAGTGTGCACAATGGGAATGGGACCCAAACAATTGCTATCTACTCGGCCACTACAGCTGACATGCATCTGTGCTAAAAGAAACACAGAGCGGATCCGAAGCAATCCCTACTCAAACCATCAAAGGCCAAAGCCGCCTTCACACCAGCATTGATTTTCACGACGGTTGCGATTCTTCCAAAGCATCAAAACACACTGTGGTTAGACATAGCTTGGCATGCAGGGATCCAGGGATGCTAACCAAGCCTGTCCCTGGGGGAAATCGCGGAAAAAAACGCGGCATAATATGGCACAATTTGCGGTGAATTTGTGGTAAATGTGCGGTAAATATGCGGTGAATATTATTGATATGCGGCAAGTTTGCAGTTGATATGAGGCAATTTTCAGTGAGTATGTAGTGAAATCAATCAGTTACAAGTCTCTGGTGTAAGCACTCGTCATATTTGAGTACAAAGCCGCCACAATGAGACGTTGCTGACCGCCAGTGCACTGTGTGTACGCGTAGTGCAACAAAAAAGTTCAAAAAACGCGGGAAAATCGCGGAAAACGCGGTCTTTTAAAAATCGCAAAAACGCGGAAAAAAACGTGGCTGTGGAATCGCGATTTTTCCCCGGGGACAGCCAAGCAGAACAATATTCATTTTTCTGACATGCAGTTTTCAATCCCAGGACTGCAAGGCTAGCAATGGACAGTACTTGAGAGTTTGTAGTTGGTAACCATGACAACGTGGTATCCAGGGAGACGCCAAGGGAAACACAACGTGCCTTTCGACTTCGGATCTAGAAGTTCTACGGGATACGTGGTTGGTGTAATTAGCGATTGTGACGTTGACCTGCTGACCAGAAACATCACCCAGGCCAGCAACACCGGCATAATACACAAGCGTGCCTCAACCAGCGTCGCGTTCAACGGTGACTGGAACAGGCAGCCTGGGAGCGAAAACCCACATGGTTCAATGCTCCAGTTGCCGCCCCGTGCCACTATGACTTCCTGCAACAATGTACTTTGTAGTGAGACGTGAAACAAGTGGGTTAGTTAGGCGACTGAAGCTCAACATAGAATCCAGATCAGATGAGCAAAGCAATTTACAAGACGGCAAAAAAAGATCAGCGTTAGTAGCAAGCACATTTAGTGTGATTTGGAGTATAGAGCGGATATGGTCAAGACATTCTGAAAACGAAGAGCTAATGCCAGCATCAGCATAATAGTTCGGTGTTGCACTCTACTACGTAGCACGTACTTTAGCATACGGACTAGGAAGGCTGACAGCATGTCCATGAGCAGCCGGATGAAGACTTGTCCAAGGAAAAGTGACAGACGAACTTTAAAACGGACATAGGTCGAGGTGTTTCTTCTTCAGGACCTACAGCAAAACAAAGAAGACAACATACAAATGTAGGCAGCTACAAGCATGAGTAAACAGCTTGCTGACTGAGCCAAGACACCAAATGGGAGGTATGCATCAAAGAGGACTACCGTCAATTAAGGGGGGGGGGGGGGCTTCACCTTACCAAGCCTGAAGTGATTCATATCAAAGTGTACCGGGTCTGGCTGAGTGGGCAGCAGCCATGTTAAGACGGCAAATGACTCGGCATACTGGTCACGAAGGAAACCTCGGATCTGCGCGTAGTAAATACCTCCTTCCACATCCAGTATGGACACCACGTCACCTATACGGTATGTCATTCCCTACAGCAAAACACACAACATACACCAGCAGCGCATACACAGCATTAGGGTGCAGCTAGCAAGTCAGACAGGATTAAACACCGATCCCCATCATGAAGGAGAAGCTGGGATTCCACCAGCTAATTAGGATGGAAACTTCGCTCTTGCGGAAAGCACACAAACAAAACTCGGTAGACATGATAGCTGGCACGTATTACTAGCACTAGTGTTCCTCTTCACCCCACCTTAAATTCAATGGATTTACGCGAGTGTACGCAAACGGTTACATACGTTCAATAGCAGAGAGAGAGAGAGAGAGAGAGAGAGAGAGAGAGAGAGAGAGAGAGAGAGAGAGAGAGAGAGAGAGAGAGAGAGAGAGAGAGAGAGAGAGAGAGAGAGAGAGAGAGAGAGAGAGAGAGAGAGGAGAGATACAGCTGGTTCGTACTCACATCATACTGGACAGATTCACTGGCATAAAGGGCTGCAGACGACTTTAGTCCTTTCACAGGCTATGCACATGAACAAGAAAACAAAAAACAAAGAGACGCCAGAAACATGCATGAGTAATGAATGAAAGTGCAGGAATGGCATGCAGAGCAATTGGACTCCGCGCCCTTCTGCTACCCTGGTGTCTAACTCGGATTTACTGTAATTTCAGGTGTATAAGAATGTCGGTGTCAGGGACCTGTCAGGTTTTAGGTGTAATGTGGAATTAGGTGACCAGAATTCCCCACACATACAATGCATACTCTATGTGAGCCTTAGGTGTAATCTAAATTTAGGTGCCCGGTTTCTCTACTGAAATCACTGACAATTAGTTACACCGAAAATAACGTGTTTTACAGTAATACCAGTCAGAGTAGTTACATCTCTTCACCGGCTCTCTCATTGCTTTTGTTTCGACTCTGGACATAGCACATCTTACGACACTGTCAGCTACTTCATTCTCTTTTGCTCTCTCACCAGCAGCATAAAAAGAGTAGTCCCTGGGGAGTTCCGGAGAAAACGTGTTTAGTCATAAATTCTCATAATAGATCGGTGTCTGTTGGCTATCAATGGGTTGTATTTTTTCCGAAGTTTCGATACCGGCCTTTTGCCTCCGACTGGAATTGTAAGTAGTAGTGATGGTAGGTAGATCTACAAAGTCTCCGTAACTGTGCGGTCGCAAATTTTACGAATGGTACCGATGCACTGTGTTGCAATCAATTATTTGGACATTATGGAATTTGGTGGATATCAGGGAGTCGCAGCACTTAAGGAGACGAAACGGGCGACTGCAACGCCACAATAACAGTTTCGGTCCCGGGCTCAGCTGCCCGTTCCAGGCACTGTTGGGCAAGGCTGATTTATACACGCTGGCACACGGCAACACGGCTGGAGGACAACTTGACGAATGTTGCTGCTGCTGCAAGTTTCATTCAAAAGCAATCATCAGCTGATTGCTTTTTGCAAGAAAGCTGAAGTAGCAGCAACATTCGTCAAGTTGTCCTTATTCTTATAGGGGATTCACACACACGGGTAAAACCATGGTACTGGGGGAAAGGAAGAACCTCTCGGGAAAAAATTGGCAAAGCCGTGGCCGTGGACCTCAGGGCGTTTGTCAAGGGAAACATCCCATGGCTATGAGACGCGCATGCGTAGAACCTGTCTTTGGCGAGAACTCTGAACCCTAGTTGTACCCCGTACAGGTCAGGAACTGTGCCTGTGTGATGACACGACCACCCGTTTTGGGTTTTTCACCGTATACGTACTTCGAAGTATTATTATTATTATTTATATTTATGTGGAAGAGAAAAGGACATATGGATACGAGTTAAGAGTAACTCTCCATCACTGTAACATGATACTATATACAGTCAGAAAGTGCAATAACTAGGCACAAAACTGACAGAGTACTGAAACATTCTGACTGTATATAGTATCATGTTACAGTGATGGAGAGTTACTCTTAACTCGTATCCATATGTCCTTTTCTCTTCCACATTTATGTATGGCTCAACATCCGAGTTTCAAATTTATATTTATTAAAATTTTAATAGGGCATTCCCACAGGCCTAAGGCCAAGTAGACGTAAACGGGAGTCAGAGAACGTAGTGTGATGAGGGCCTAACAAGAAAGGTTAAGATGCACGTTATTTCTGACGTGACGCGAAAGTTCAGCTCGCGTTATTCGGCTCGTGCGTCGAAAAACAACGCGAGTGACCTGCAGCTCCATCAAAATTTGGAGCTTTACGCTAAATTTGACGTGAAACTGCGGGTCACGTCCGAAATAACGTGCATCTTAACCTCTCTAATGTCTTATCTTGACATGTACTGCTGTAGATGCTAGCCTAACCAGTTACCTGAGATTTCATCATAGTCCGTCTGTTCTGCTGATTGCGCACACGGGAGGATTTGTACTCGCCTTTGGCAGCGCCCATTTTGCCCTTGGGACCAGTCAGGCGCTCCCTGCACCTCAAGCTCATACCTAGCTTCTCCTCCCTGACTCTAGCATGCACCTGCGGTCCCTGGTTAGAGCAGGCATGGCACAGCACATCTCCATTGCCTGCCTTGTGCCACATAGGCGACTCAAACACCTTGCAGTCAGCACAACATGGCTTGAAACCAAGGGGCATTGTGACCCCCACGAGCAGAAATTTTCACCCCCGCTCTGCTTGGGCTAGCTAGCCCCGGTCCTTCGACAAGCTGGTCAAAGACTAAAGCACCCTCCAAATGAAGAGCTTCGCAAACCCATCATCTGATCATCGACATAATCATTGCCATCGGACTGCACTTACGCCGGCGACGACAAGACGTGCATGTACTGGCCGGCCAACACTCAACAGACTCGTTCCACAAAAATTAAAAATAATCATCAATCCTGAGTAGACGCTACGCGTATACGATCTTGTTGCCATATCTGTCAAGACGACCACGTATCCATAGTGAAACGTATCGTGGGTGATTACGTCACCCGCGAAATTCAAATAATCCGAAATGCAGACGAGTCGCGAAGGCGAATATGAGCTGAGATACGTGAACAACGCCACTTGCATTTCTACCAGAGATAAAAACAAGAGCACGATCGGATTGTTTTCTGGAAGCTTAGAGGTTTTGTCGCCATATCCATCAGTGAAATGGAGCGTTTAGAAAAAATCTTGAATGATCGGTTGCAGCTTGGTGAAGCATTCGTGGATCGTGTACACCAGTCCAGAGCTGAGCTGGAACGTCAACTCCTGGAGAGGGACACGGACTACCAAAGTTAGTTCATGCATTTCAGCAGATAGTGAATGAGTAATGTGCCATATACATACGCCTGGCAAACTCAACTGGTAGTAATCCACCACGAATTTCGACAAGATGGAATGTTGATAGCATTGTCAAAATTTGCTTATATCCGTACCCTGACAATGGATGAAAGGGAACGTACCAAATAGTGTACATGACTGTACAATCAAAGTCTCTAGTTCACCTCAAGTCATACTTGGCACATTACTCGTACCAGTAGAGAATGTAGTAGTAGTCTTTTGTTCGTGCTCGCATCATGCACTGCACTGATTATGAAGTACACAGCAGCAGTACTGTAGTAGTGCTTTCATAGCTTGGTGCACCAAACAAAACTACTATCTTCACAGATACCTATCCAATCCAATTTCTGGTCCGGTTAACATGAAGGAAAAAAAGCTCTTTGTTGTCTGGTCATACGCTATTCCATATCCCTGGTTTGTGGGGATAGATATTGCTAATCCTTTCTTCACTCTCTCTCCCTCTCTCTCTCTCTCTCTCTCTCTCTCTCTCTCTCTCTCTCTCTCTCTCTCTCTCTCTCTCTCTCTCTCTCTCTCTCTCTCTCTCTCTCTCTCTCTCTCTCTCTCTCTCTCTCTCTCTCTCTCTCTCTCTCTCTCTCTCTCTCTCTCTCTCTCTCTCTCTCTCTCTCTCTCTCTCTCTCTCTCTCTCTCTCTCTCTGGCATATCACAGGGCAAATCAACGAATCCAATTGCAGGCTGAAGGCAGCATTGGCGCAGTTGCAACACAGTGCCGATGGTTAGTATATCAACACATACACGTAACATAGCCCTGGCTATAGCTATAATTATACTGTGTTGCACTGTACCGTATCATGAGTAGGACACCAAGCAACGTATACATTTACCGAAAGCCAGCTATTGCACTAAATTGTCTGGTTCTTTTCCACCTACTATAGAGTTACTTGTGACAGCTGCTCCAGGTGGCGGTTGAATACAGCCGACGGAGGCGTGTTTCAAATCTTTATTCTCACGATGGCCTGTGGTCAATAAGAGTGTTTCAAATCTTTATTCTCACGATAGCCAGTGACCAATAAGAATTGTTGTTGTTGTTGTTGTTGTTGTTGTTGTTGTTGTTGTTGTTGTTGTTGTTGTTGTTGTTGTTGTTGTTGTTGTTGTTGTTTGGACCGGTGACAAGAGGGCAGTGGCGGATATTTGGAGTTTAGTGGCGGAAATATCGTGCATGATGGAGTGCAGAGATGAAAGAATGAAACACACTGAAGCTGAAGAATATTTCCTTAGATTGGTTGTTATTGTCTGACAAAGCATCATACTGGCATGGCTTGCCGGGCAGTGGTGTAGTGATACATGCTGTCGTTTCCAATTGTTTACTTGCCGAAGTTTTGATGAACGTATAGTTTTGGTCAGCCAAAGGACATTGCGTTGTGGTGCTGACTTTGGAATTAGGCATTAATGTATTCTTTTCGGAGCGAATTATTTTGCCTGATGATGGCGTAAGCATGAAACTTGGGTTGCAGTGAAACCTCGTTTGCCTTTTTTTGTATTCTGTTCGGTGTTCAGACCTGCAGGTGGCATTGCTTGAGCAAGAGGTCCAACAACTGGAGTCTGAAGGTTGGTTTGACCTTTCTCCCTGGATGGACATGAGCATGACTGTACATGTATCGAGATAATTATGTTATTTATGGGGCAAACTGTTGGCACATGTACATCTAATTGTTTGGAAAATTAGGCAACCTTAAATACTGTGCCAGCTGGACGCCTACTTCAAGTACTGATATAATTGGCCTCAATTGAAAACATTTTCAGTTGAGAATTGGTCTGTGTGCGTAAATCGCGAACTAAAACTGGTCCAAGTGTTTCCCGCTTTACAGTACTTCCGGAGTGCATGCATGCACACTCACTTTGACTCCACTGGCACTATGGCCACTGGCCATGCATATGCATGGTGGGACATGTACTTCACAAGATAACTCGGTGTGTGTGTCTTGTGCACAGCTTCAGCCATCAATTGCAAGTATGAAACAGTTGACAGCCAGTGCCAGCTCTTTGAAGATCTGCTGAAAATAAAGTTGCTCCGCATCGAAGGTGAGCAGTTCTGCTGCAGCTGTCTGTCCTGTCACTGTGTTGCCTGGGTTACTGTGTCTGCTGTTGCTTCATTTGTACTTTGGAGATTTGCCTGTGTATGTGTTGGCACCTCCACTGTAGCGTTTTGTCTGTGCCATAAGCCTATATTCACTTTCCCTGTTTCTCCGCGGAATTGCTGCTGCTGACAACATGGACGTGGGAACATAATTATCAGCTTTTACTTGTGCAACTTTTCTCCCTTGGCCCAACTTTGGCTGATCTTGAGTAGATTCGGCGAATGATGCGTCAAGTCTATTTCACACTTCCCTCCCTCTCTCTCTCTCTCTCTCTCTCTCTCTCTCTCTCTCTCTCTCTCTCTCTCTCTCTATCTCTCTCTCTCTCTCTCTCTCTCTCTCTCTCTCTCTCTCTCTCTCTCTCTATCTCTCTCTCTCTCTCTCTCTCTCTCTCTCTCTCTCTCTCTCTCGTGCATATTATTATCTACAGAAAACACTGTGCAGTTTGTGATGTCACACATTGATCCAGCTGATCCAGAACAGGTATTTCTGTTCACGTTACGACCTGAAGACAATGGTTCATTCACAGGTGAGGGAAAGACTGAGATGATGACCGGACAACCATTGGTCATGTACATGTAATTTCACGGAAGTTCAATACTAGTAAATGCTTCAGATGTCATTAGAGCACACATGGCTTACACTGAGTTACCATATTTTCCGGAGGATAAGCCCCGCATGGTACTATTACCGTAAAGTACTGCAAGAGCGTCCCACCATCTCGTCCTTTCGTGGTCGTCTTGTGGAGGTGGTTTCCTGTCTGTACGACACGGACCTTGTACACACATTGCACGTTGTGCAGTCAATCCGTACCCAGTTTACCTTCGAGCGGATGCGAGCTCCACATAAAAACATGCCAAATGTGACCTTTGTACACGAAGGTCCTCAACCGTACAAACTTAGTACTAATAGTAGCACTCTGCCATACGACTTTCTTCCCTTGGCTGTAAAATGAGGGGGGAGGGGGCTTTGGCGGTACTTTACGGTAATAGTTTGAGACATATCGGAATGAAGAATTGTTTCTGTCGAGCACGTTCACGCTGTGCTTCATTCATCAACCGGTGACGTGAGCATCTTGTCGAACTTCGTTCTCACACTTATTTGGCGGTCTAGTTCAAGCAGCTGGCGAGCAACGTGACATTTTTCTAGGCTACATTTTTTTCACCCAGACATATTTTAGCTCCCTGTGGCCCAAATTATTATTAGCTTGTGCGTTGGAGTGCGCACCCAAGACGTGCTAGAGCTGATAGCCAGTTAGTTGTAGAACGTCAGTACTGTCGGTCAGTTTTGTGCGATGTTATCGCATGAGCTGATTGTCAAGTAACTGGTGGTGTTAGTGGACATTATAGCGTAACTTGTAGTTCCTTGGTCCTTTCTTTACTAGAGAGATTTGTCCGGCCTACACAATATTCTCGGAAGCAGCTGGATTCTCCACACAGAACTCAGTTTCTCTACCAACGTTTACAACTGTACCCTGAAATTGTTGTCTACTTTCTGGTTTCTTGCAGTTTTTGATCAAGATCCAGATCTACCCAACTTTCATCAGTTGGTAACCGAGCTAAATCAGACGAAAGACACTGGCAAGTTTGTTCGTGCAATCCGGAAAGGCTGGGAGGAGCAGATGCAAGCATGAGAGAAATGCCTCATCAGCAACGCAATGCTCTGAAATAAACTAACCCTATAAACTACTGCCTACTTTTCTTTTACCATGAAACCATTTGTGCATCCACAGCCCAAAAGAGAAGTGCTAGTCACTCCACTGAGGATCATACATGCCATGATTTAGCAAGGACATGAACTGAATAGACTTGTGTGTATGTTCGCAATTTAGCCTGCTGTGCATTCTTTGATGAGCTGTGTGTACTGTCTTGAACTCCTGGATGCTCCACATTAAATTGTATTTCCTGTTCTTCAATATTTCCTTGGAGATACTTCTGCTAATGTATTGCCACTTCCTCAACTCACATGTTGCTAGTGCATGTACATACTTGATAACGTTGTATACAATACAATTCAGTACAGTACAGCTATGTACCGGTATGTTGAAGTAGCAATCACAATGCCATAACTGCATAAGTGCCACCATTCTACTCGGCACTTCAGACGGAATCAGTTGCCAACACATGCGCGCTCTCACTCACTCTCTCTCTCTCTGACCCACACAGTAAAGTTTCCCGTGCCCCTCCCCGTCTGTTACAGACGAATCTCACGTATTCCCGCTGGGACCCCAGTACACAAAATACGTTGCAGTGGACAGATCTAACATAATTATTATTGACAGAGGGAATAAAGGGGCAGAGTGTAGTGCTCTATTGCCAGGGCATAATGGATTTCCGATGAGTACAGTCTTCACTAAGATGTCCTTGCAATCCACAAAGCTTGCATCCTGCGCAAAAGACACACACACACACACACACACACACACACACACACACACACACACACACACACACACACACAAGAGAGTACACAGTTTCGAGTCTGAACTGAAGTAAGTTTATACTGTACATGTATAGCAATTACGATCAGAAACACTACAGTGGAGAACAGCGATAGCACCTCTCAGGGCATCAGCAGAATGTAACAAGAAAGCAAACAAACAGTGTGTCTCCATTACAATGTCCATGTCGAACTCTAAGAAGTTGCCACATCCACCAATATTGAAAGCCGAGTCAAATAAATAGCCGTCTGCCTTACAATTGGACACTCGCCAACATTTGATGACTATGGATCATAATTTTATCATCAATGCAATGTCGTTTACTTTACATGTCATGTATTCAAAATACGGGGCCCCCGACCACCTCTCCCATAAATCACCAAGAGTGCTGCTGTCTTCTGTTCTTGGTATTGTGGCACTCAGGAAAGTAGGCGCCACTCTATCCCAACATGCACAGCAGGAACACGTTTGACTCTCAAAGCCAATGACCACAGGCAATCGCACCCTTCTCGCAAACCTTGAACTCCGGCCACTGCAATAAGCATGCTTTGGCATGCTGATGTAAAGTCTGCAACGCAAATCTTGCACTCCGGGTACTGCAATAAACAATTTAACATGCTTTGGCGTGGTGATGTAAAGTCTGCAAGAAAGGTGTGATTGACTGTGGTCATCGGCTTTGAGAAGCTGCCGGAATGAGAAATCCTATTCCTACAATACCCAGAGTGACAGCAATTGGAGGGAGGTGAGAGCTGCGCTGTACGTACGGTGCGAGTTCAATCCAGAATGGCCGGGTCCATTGATCTTGAACACGTCAGGGCACTGATGCTTCATGTGGCCATTCACACCACACAGAGGACAGCAGAGAGCTGCGAGAACACGTTGAAACAGACAAAAAGCAGATGAGGTCAAGAGCAACAGTGTTCTCAAAAAGTGTAACTAACAGTACTAACGAGTGCAAGAGATACTGTTCAGGGTTGGTTCATATATCGGCGGTGCGCATCGGAACCGGGGCTTATACCTTAGTGCCTCTTGAAATCTCTACTGGCGGAATGTGGCTATGCTGATTAGTGCAATGCGTACCAAAACCATGCGTGGTATATCACTGGCAGTCAGAGCCGGGGAAAGTTGGACAATGCTCAACTCTTGTGACCTGCACTGGCTCCAATCCCGTACACATGTGAGGAAAAGTGGCATGTGAACCGTGTACACCGGTGCTTGAACCCAGACGTTGTCAGATTTGTCCTACGCTGGAACCAAAGATCAGATCCGTTGATTATTCTGGCATGCGCTTGAAGCAAGAAATACTTCCGTCAACAAGTATAGTCTCCGGACTGCAGCTGCATGAAACGAGAGAGCTTGGAAACTCAGGGCCCTACGCTATGCTTTTTTGCCTAGCTCATCATGCATGTTATTAGAACTGATAAAAATGTTGTTTTTTTTCCATTGATTGGCTACAACAAACTTTCTCTTTCCATTCGAGGGTAATACGACACCGTCTACCACCTTGATGACCTAGGCAAAAAAAGCAGAGGGATCTTATAAATTTTTCATTGCTCCTATTTTTTTTCAAGACATAACCTGGGATTCTAACCCGCACTATCGCCCTGCATGCATTCCCCCGATACACTTCGCACACATACTCATTCTTCCAAGTTGCTTCACGTTATGATCTTGCATTCGAAAGCCCTATTTGAATATTGTGGCCAACTGTATTTGATGGTACGATACGGGACAGGTACGGGATAGCGCCAGGCCACAAACACACACGGAATTAAAGCTGTGTGGACCCTGTGTGGACCCTGGCCGTGTGGACCCTGGCTAGCGCCAGACGTTACTGAAGTAGCGTCTTTTGCATAGCTACGGGAATAAAAATGAATAGGTTGCAGTCGAGTTTGTGGATCACATACAGAGAGCACAGAACTAGCCCAGTCTAGATCAAGGTACACACGTGTGCATGACTTACTTGATTTCGGGTGCGGATCGTTCACACATTCAATCGCCATGTGGTCTTTTTCCAGACATCGCTCGCACACGTCCTGTGAACGCTCCTTCGGCCGCTCGTGCTTTGCTAAAACGGTCAACACCACATACATATACAGAATACACATAGAGATTATCACTTGCCGTGGAATGCTAGACCTGAGTTTTGACTACATCCTCGGATCGACTGACAAAGGCGTATTAGGACACATTCGATTTCCCGTGACGTGGCCATGAATCAATAATCTACGCGTATCAAACGACGCAAATCGCTACCACCCAGACTGGTCTCATCAACCAAAAATCTCACATATTATATACATACCCACATGATCCGGTATTTTTTTGGTGCCGAACAGTATGTGTACAGGAAAACATCCGTTTTCCATTTCGGGTCCCTGGAATCCACTAATCCCTGGAATCCACTAATCCCTGGAATCCACTAATCCCTGGAATCCACTAATCCCTGGAATCCACTAATCGCCACATTCCAGGAAGGATTAGGCCAACACTGAAGTCGAACTGAACATGGCAGTGACTGGAATGAATTTCAAGCACTTCAAAATTAATAATTCTAGATACAGTACTGTGAACTGGCCAGAGAAATCCGACCTCATGAATAAAGTAGCACGGCACTCAAGTGAGCCAAGTGGTGTGTGTGTGTGTGTGTGTGTGTGTGTGTGTGTGTGTGTGTGTGTGTGTGTGTGTGTGTGTGTGTGTGTGCAGTGAGTGATAGGGCCGCGTAGCCCTCAACGTTATAATTATTCAGGAGTTTGGATTTCTCTGGCCAGTACTGTGTATGTAGTACAAGCACCATGAAATTTCATCACTAAGAACATGCAGGCTCTAAAATAATCTTTATATCCAGTGCAAGGTGAAAGGTGTGTTTACATCGTAAATACCTTGAAGTTTCAAATTTTCAATACAGTACATATTAAATACACTATTCAAACATGTGGTGTGTTACCGACTGAATTGGATTTGGAGTTCGTCTTTCTAAACATCCCCACATATCAATCTCTAAGTTCCCCTGACTTACACAATAGGGGTGGCTTATCAGGACATGCTCTGGCCATATGACCAAAGCTGCCACACAGGAAACACTGTGGGTTGGGCTCGACCTTCACATCACGATCACCGGGTGAAGATATCGAAGTGGGAGTGCTTTGGCTTTCTACAGCTTGCGTACTCTGCCCACGAGCAGCAACACACGGCGCAGCCTGTCTCAGGAGAATAGTAGACACCTGTGTGCCTCTCAATAAGGACGTCCTAAGACAATAGCCCAGGCTGGCCATTGTTGGGGCTCCAAGACAACTAACTACTCATTCAGAAGTTGGATGTTTCAAAGGTTGAATGTTTGATTTCTTGAACCAAAAAAATAAAAAAGTGGAAGAATGAATTTCGTTTCATTTGTGAAAAGAGAGCACCGTACCATGGCGATGTCGTCATGACAAACATGGACCAGTGCGTAGCGTTTTCTGAGCGTGGGTAAACAAATATTTTTCAAATGAATGAAGACCAAACCAGCCAAGTCAAAGAGCGAGCGATCCGGATCATGCAACCAGTTTGCAATGATTATGTCAGAGCAATTATGTGAATCTAATATGGATGGACATTTCATAGGAGGCAAGGAGCCTAGTTAATATCTCGAGCTGAAGAGTGGTTTCGACATTCGTCCATTATCTCTAGCCGCCCTTTCATCTCCATCACGATTTGGAATGAGCAGATTCTCATACCTGGAGCTGGATGAATCGATTCTTACTAAACTCGACAATTGCTCTATCCCAGACTTCAGTCCGGAGTCACTGGTGACGCATACCTACAACTCTCTTGTACATAGAAGTGATCTTTCCCCTGAAGAAGCAAGGCTTGTTCTGCGTACAGCTGCAGAGAAATGTTGCCAGTTGGCCCCCGTGTCTGCTTTGTCCATATTGCAAGGAGATAGTCCGCAATGGCTTGGCAGCTTACAGTATGTAAGCACTGGGTGCCGCTCACTGGATACCTTTCTGCGTGGGGGAATTCCCTTCCGTGGCCTGTTTGAGATTTGTGGGGAAAGCAGGAGCGGTAAAACTCAGTTTTGCCTGCAGCTCTGCTTGAATGTGCAGCTGTGGTTGGAAGGCTCCGATGATCATCGCCGCGCTGCACTCTACATTAGCACAGAGGATGTTTTCCCTCACAAGCGCTTAGCCCAGCTTGCGCGGTATTTCTCTCGGGAGCATGGCCGACGTCAGTGGATGGATGGTATATATGTTGAGCATGCGCTGAGTCATGACGATCTGGACAAAGTGGTGTCGCACCGGCTACCCGCCCTCATCGCTGGCAGGAGAGTGCGGCTGGTGATCCTTGATTCTATTGCAGCTGTGGCTCGTGCAGAGTTTGGATTAGGTGACGAATCAGACCGAGCTGAGTATCTGACCAACATAGGGTTGCAGCTGCGCCAGTTCAGTGTTGAGCACGCAGTCGCAGTTGTGATAGTGAATCAGGTGAGTGCTGTGATTGATGGCAGCATTGGTGATGATGAGGATGATGTGCAGCCTGCGCTGGGACTTACGTGGTCCGACATGGTCGCAACACGCGTCCTACTCTCCCGCGATGAGCCTGTAACAGAGGAAGCCGATGAACATGCGGCCGCTGCAAGTGCACCCGAAGTGCCGCGTCAGCTACAGGTAATCTTCAGTCCGTATCTACCGCAAAACTCTATTCACTTCGTCGTGCAAGAGACCGGCATTCAAGACTTCAACAAGGGATAACACTGGTACAGCTGCATGGTTCATATGAATCATAATAATTGTTACTCCGCACTTCAGTGAAAAGTTGTCTTCATCACCATTGCTTACCCCAGGCTGTGCATTTCACATGGCATCATTACTTTACATTATTATTATTATCAAAATTTTGACATTAACATTAGGCAGCAGGTGCATTGAAGTGCTTGTACCTGTATATTTTTTAAACGGTTTATTGTCTTCAGTGGACTAGCATATTGGTGTCGTCTCATTCTGACTGGTCTGGACAACAATACGTGGAGCCATGTGGAGACCGGGTGAAGTTGTACGATTACATATAGTCATGTACTGGTCATGCATGTTGATTGTATTTACTGGTATAGTACATTGTACATGTACTGTAAATCGAGAATATTTCATTTGCTTTTTATTTCGTATATTGTGTACGCCAGGCGGCATATGAAACTAAAACGCACTCAAACGTCAAAACCCATCTTCATGGCAGTGAAGAATGTATGGTGTTAATTCGTAGTAATTTGGGCATCAGCACGGTACTGCATCAATCACGGACACGTGGGTGTGCACAAGAGTTTAGCACGGACTCCGAACATGTGCTCTCAAACTGGGATTATCCTATTTGAATTGCGAACGAACTCTCGTGATGTAGCACTGTGTACATATTCTCTACAGCATGTACGGGCAGAAAAGTGAAGCAAACGTAGATAAGCCTGGTTGGTGTGAGGAAGATTCCCGCTAACACAGCATATTGAAGAATGATGGCTGGAGGCAAAGTTACTACAGTTGCATACCGTTCGGCAAAAATGAAGAGTCACAAAAGAACAGAACACCTAAAAATAAAAAAGGCTTCGTTGGGATCGATGGTTGTGATGACTGCTCATAATGCCAAGGGAGTACATGAATATGACGTGAACAGTGACATAATGCCAAGAATCACACAACTTCTGCTGAGCATCCTGCAGCAGCAATTGCACAGCGTACATGCTCCCACTAAACACAATCTGATACACAGGTCAGGAGACCTGGGACAATGTCAAGGACTTGCCAGTGGTGACAGGGACAGACAGCATGACACACGTGTGTACAGTTGTCAAGCCTTGCTGTGGAAGATGCATAGCAAGTGTAGCAACAGCGCACGGTGCACGCTATAATTATGCTGCATCACTCTCAACGCTGTGCTCGTAGTCCAGGAGCTGACTGCCAGTTTAGGTGCAGGCATGGCACAGAGCCAGAGCACACGCTGGATGTGGCAGGTATCTATACCTACAAACCATATTGAGTCAGCAAGCCTATCCAGCATTTTATTTCCACAACCCAGCAGCAGGTGGCATTGTAGTGGCTGCTGTAGAAACTGACATAAGACCTCTCTTCGCCTCCCAGCAGATGCGCAGTGACAGTGATTCTGACTAGTCTGGTTACCAGTACCCGGAAAGGGCCCTGCCATGAGATTGTCGAAGCTGGTGTGAATGCACCTCGTACAGCTCAAGGCTTGGGAGGCTGACCCTGGATCTTCTGCTGGAGTTTGCGGACCAGCTTTGTGGCATCAGCATGCCTCAGTTCAACTTCTTGAAGGCGGCCTAGAGAAACACATAACACATAGGTGTAGCATGAGTAGAGCTGGGCACTTGCTACAACGGTATTGTTGTGAATGCTGCAGTAATATCTTTATCTAGGGAACAGGGAGAATGTACAGTCAACTTCGCTAATAACGATTGCGGATATAACGGCAATTCGCGAATAACGACAGAATTTCCATGCCCAGAGCAAAGTCCCATCTAACCTGTATACCGGTACATACAATGAGACTTCGGTTATAAGGACACTTTGCGAATAAGGACACTTTTCTCATGTCCCGCCGAGTGTCGTTATACGCAAAGTTGACTGTACATGTACACTCAGGTCTGGCAAGGTTTTCTGCTCCTCACCTTTTTGCTCCGCCAACGCCTGGCTTGGTTCTTGATAGAAGAATACAGAGCCGCTTGTGCGTTGCACAAACACACTCTACATCAACGCACCAACACACGCAAAGAAAAGGGTTATCAGCACGCGAAGTAAGGTAATATCGGCTTTCATCACAGAAAGCGCCCAGCCTGAAACATCAGTTACTTTATCACACACCAATTTCACAGACCTAACAAAAATACAATAATAGCAAACTTGAATTACTGTAAAAGCCATATATAACGAAGTGCTAACTCTAACGAGTTAACGAGGAGAAATCTGTCGTTAAAATAGAAATCGTTATACGGAAATCGATACAATACTGTTGCTATTGAGCATTGAGAATGGGTCCGAATCGTTACCTTTTGTTCACGTAAACCAGTCAATTTTAGGAAATCGTTATATGCGCCTCGTTAGAATAATGGCTTTTACAGTATAGGGGACAGCCCTGCAGTACTGTAAAAATCCCTGTGCAGATAGTTCGACGCATAAACATGTAGCAGTTGTGTCTTTCCAGATGTAGCACTGGGTGCTTGTGCCAGTATTTTACGTCTGTAACACATGGCAAAAACAATGACCAAAGCTTTTCTCTCTCTCTCTCTCTCTCTCTCTCTCTCTCTCTCTCTCTCTCTCTCTCTCTCTCTCTCTCTCTCTCTCTCTCTCTCTCTCTCTCTCTCTCTCTCTCTCTCTCTCTTTAAATGTCTGTCTGTTCTGTCTCTCCTTGCCTCTTTTCGTCTCTCTGAACTGTCAGAACTCTCTAGCTCTGCGTTTTGTGCAGAGAATCACTCAGCAGACTGACAATGTCAGATCTCGCTATTTTTAATTTTTTTAATATGAGGTAGCTACATTGTGGGTGAATAACAGCAAAGCGATCTTTATTCCTGACATCGTGTCTATATCACAATCAAGATTCAACACAGGCTGGTATGAGTACCAGTAGTGGCAACTGGACATTAGAGCCAAGTGAAAGGCATACCCGGGTATAGTACAACACACTAAGTACAGGACATGACTGTGTAGTCGGTGCTTACATCTCCAGGTCTCACAGAAGACAGCTCACTAATCAGCACTTCCTTCTCACGTTTCTGACAAAGCACAGGAAGGAGCAAGAGAACATGGATAAACTACAGGGTGAGAATCACACCAATGAACAAACAAAGCATGTTCCATGTTACAACTCAATTGTCGAATGCCAGCTACATCCGTATTGGCAACCAGACTTACAGGAAGATTTCAGCATTATAGGAAAGTGGAAGGTGGCAGGTCTGAGGCATATATGTTGGACTCTGACAGCAGTCACGTACCACATAGCAGTCACGATCCCCAAAGTCAGTCATAGAGTCAAAATCACTCACACACCAGTCACAGTTTGAGTCTTTTGAGAAACCAGTTGTGGTGCCCACAAATCAGTCAGAGAATGCCGCGACTTGCCCTCTTTGCGATCACTCGTGCACAGATTCAGCATACAGGCATGTATGACGTGCAAGTAGTACTGCTTTATGTACTAGTCGCGTGACAAAGGGCGGGAAGCAACACCAGTACATGTATGTATGATTTACAGCACGAGTACAAGGGCAATACCGGCTGATACATGACCGAACGGCGTCAGCCGTGAGGTCCGTTATGTAGAAACGTTCCTGTTCGACTCAGACCACAATGCTCTCTTCTACAAGTCGACGCAGCTGAACGAAGCCCACCGTAGATGCGTGACTCGTGAGGAGCTGATCGATCTGTTGAGGGCAGAGCACGAAAGGGACCATCGTGCAGCCGACAGCTGCTATGGTAGCCTACGAGGGTGTTATTACCCCATAAGCCGTGACAACATCCAAGCGCTGTTCAAGTCCTTCGTGAAGTGCGAAGCGTGCCAGCGCCAGGCACCAATTCCAATGACGTCCCTTACAAGAAAGTCTATTTTGGCCACGTACCCCAATTCAAGGTGGCAAATGGACTTGAAAAAGCTGCCATCACACCGTGGGTATGAGTATGCGTGCAATATAGTGGATTGTTTCTCCAGATTTGCAATGGGTGGGCCCATCAAGTCCAAGTCAGCGTAAGATGTGTGCGATGTGCTGCTGCTGCGTTGTATCTACACGTACGGAGCGCCAAGAATACTGCAAACAGATAACGGGAAAGAGTTTAACAATTCTAGCCTGGCTGCAGTAATGGAGGAAATGAAGTCGCTGAAGATCAATGGAAGGCCATACCATCCGCAGAGCCAAGGGAGAGTGGAGCGGCTCAACCAGACGTTAGCTGTTGCTTTTCCGGTTCAAGAAAATCAAGAACCAGCGGGGGAACAGGCTGCTGCTGCTGCCCCTATGCAACAGGTTGGTGGCGCTGCTGAGGGACAGGCTGCTGCTGCTGCTGCTCAGGTGCATGTTGCTGATGCTGGTGAGGGACAGGCTGCTGATGCAGCAGCAGCAGCAGCTGACACTCCAACGAGGTCCTGCGGCTGCACCAAAAACTGCCTCAGCAAGTTCCCATCCAGTGAAGTGGACGATTTCCAACTTACGATGAGAGGACTAGAAAAAGCAGAAAAGGATATGCTGTTGATGGGAGTACTGTTGTCGGTGGAGTACCCACGCTCTGACGCTCAGCGAGGAAAGAGAAGACGTGCAGCATTTGATTATTCGTTCCGCGGAGAGGTTGTATGCGCCGGAGCATTCAGGCAAATCTATGACGTGTCGCAGAGAGTATTGAAAAATATACTCAACCACCTGAAAAACTGCGGACCTGTGCCACGCATCAACCGTAACACGGGACGGCGGCCGCATAATGCCCTGACGTTCAATGTTGTGAAAGTGTGTGCCGACTTTCTAAAGCAGTATGCAGAGGAATTCGGCTTACCTTTCCCAGCTCCTGTTCATGGGAGGGCTGATCGACCACCCATCTTCCTCCCCTCAAGCCAGTCAAAAAAAGTATGTGCACAAGTTGTATGTGGCGGCATGCTCAGAGCAGAATGTGCAAGCTGTCAAGAAGACAGCATTCAACGACATTTGGAAGGCGCTGTACCCACACATAAAGTTTATGACTGCACGGACAGATGTATGCAGCAGCTGTGAGTTGCTCCGCCGTGCTGTTTCGGCGGCTGTGACGGAACAGGAGAAAACAACCGAATTGCAGGAATTTACAGCACACATGCACAAAGCGCAACGAGAGAGATACCAATATCAGCAAGCGTCAAGGGATGCCAGCGCTGAGCTCAAGGATGTCCAACCTAGCTACCAACCACCATACGCACCATGCTCACAACAACTGACGAAGTCTCACTATACGTTCGACTTCGCTCAGCAAGTTACGTTGCCTCATATGGCGCGGCAACCCGGTCCTCTCTACTTCAAGACGCCACGTAAGGTCCAGCTATTTGGTGTGTGCAGTGAAGGTATGCCACTCCAGATGAACTACCTGCTTGATGAAACAGAAACAATCGGTCCGAATGGTACACGCAGTCATGGTGCCAACTCAGTTGTGAGCCTGTTACATCACTTCTTTCACATGTACGGCCATGGTGAGCAACAATGTGTCCTCCATGCAGACAACTGTGCAGGGCAAAACAAGAACCGCACAGTGCTGTCCTATCTCGCATGGAGGACCATTGTGGGTCTGCACAAGAAGATCCTGCTTTCATTCCTGATTGCTGGCCATACACGTTGCTTGGTGGACGGTTGCTTCGGGCTCCTCAAACAGCGATATAGGAAGAGTGACACCTACACCCTACCCCAGCTATCAGAAGTAGTCAACAGCTCGGCTGTCTGCAATGCTGCCCACAGTGGAAGTGTACCGTGGTATAAATGGGACGAATTTTTCGACCAGCACTTCAGCAAAGTCCCCGGTATTTCGAAGTACCACCACTTCCTGTTTGATGCCGACAAGCCGGGAGTTGTCACTGCATCCGTTCTCGTGGACTCCGAGCAAACTGCTGTCAACATCCTCAAGTGCGATCCCGGCACTCTGTCGCAGACAAGACTGCCGTCTGCCATTCCTCTTGGTGGCATAAGTGATGACCGGGCGCAGTACTTGTACAAGGAGATCCGTCCGTTTGTTGCTGACCCGTACAAGGACGACCTCTGCCCACAGCCCGTACCTGCAGAAGCCGAGATGTCGGATTGACTTACACAGGAATCTGCATGACTCTTGAGGAACAAACAGGGACATAACAAGCTTATGATTCACTGAATGTCATGGTTTTTTTTAAAATTTAGCTGAGTTATTCTTGCCATTACGAACCACTGTCAAATAATCTAGTTTCCATTAATTTATCAGCCTCAGAAAATACCTTGAAACGCAGGTTACAAAAATCACTATAACTCTGGTTTGGATTGACATTTTTTGGAACGGTTTTTGCACAGAAATCCTGACAGCTTCAGCTATAATATTGGACACTAAACTCATTTTGACAAAAATCATCATTAGGGCCCTTTTCGCGTGGCCAGGCTCTAATGTGGAAAAGCCTAAATGCATGTACATGTACATGTATGATATTGCAGCTCTAATGGTTCTTTTCAGTTTGATATGAAGGTGGGTAAGATGAAGGGAAGTATAAAGAGATTCGTAAAATAATTTCTTTGGATAGCAACGTGAAAATTGACAATGAATTCTGGCAACCCAGCAAACGATTATACAGACTAAAGATATATCAATTGTTAGGTTTAAGTGTTCGCTAATACAGTGGTCTTACAGTAAGAATAATTTTAATAAAAGCATCGGCAGGAAAAAGACAAGCAGCAGTTTTCGGCATTTTGATACAAGTACTTGTAGACTTTACACCTTACACTTCCACCACCACTGCCTGTGCTCTCTAGCTGACTATGTGGCGCAAGACCATGTGCAGAGTGGTAGTGAAGTAGGTGTACGGTGTGAATGCCGAAAGTGTCCAACACGTGACTAGTTGCAGCACCGTGCTGATGTCCTAAGTTGCTACAATGTGAGTGTCAGCTACTCATTACGTTCCACAGGATATTGTCATCTTGCACCTTGCAACACCGTGTCCACAGCATCTTCGGTTCTGGTGTGATCTTGCACTCAGTACTCCTAGTTTAGCACTCGCAGTCATCCCGCAGTGTGTAATTGCGCTGCTTTGCTCCTCAGTTATTCTCAGTATTCCAAGAGTACTTCGGAGTTATCCTGGCCATTCAGTATTCTTACACGAGACCTGTTAGGTCGAAATAGCTGCCTGAAGGCCCAGTATCTGGACTGGACTTGTTTTTGTTGCTGGTTTGGTGAACGTGATTAGCCGGAGAGCACATGCAGTGCCGGTGGTAGGAGTGTAAAGTGTACTTCGACGTATTTTTTCAAGGTAACATTATACTAACATAATTGTCGAAAATGAAATCAACTGTTTTTGCGATGAATAGTAACGGCACTCACATCACAAACACAGCAACTTTTAAAGTATTTTTGTGTCCAGTACCCTTTCCCTTTGGTCCCGACTGTGACTAGAAAACGTTCTGGACTCAAAAGTAACTACTTTGGTTTGCTATGTTTGTGAGTGCGACCTTTATTATTACTCCTGTCTCCACATCGCCTATTCAACTATTTTCATTGCACTTCAGCTGATATTACTTGTACGACTTCCCGTCCCGTATTGTTAACATGTTGTTGGCTTACTCAATTGCAAGTACTTAAATGTACGAGTAGAAGGTACAGTGTAGTTTGTAGCAAGGGATAAAATACGATGAGACTCACCTGCTTGGAGAGTGCGTCCAAATCCGTGACCGCCATTTGCCACTCCAGCATTTGCGCAGCAGTGTTGGACATGGTGGCTTAGAACAAATATTAGTAATACAAGAGCAATACAATGAATCTCGACTCTAGCTGATGGGAAGCTGCAGTAATAACATGAATAAAACTCAAAGTAAAAATAAAAATTGGCAAAGCTGTCCGAGATTGATTTGAAATAAAAAGCAAAAGAGGGACACATGCAGCCAGCACTGTCATCACTATCACAGTATCACTATCAGTAGTACATGTACTCGAACTCGTACTCGGAGTCGTAGTCTACGCAGACTACTGCGTAGATCTACGTACAGGCTAGGCCGGCTAGGTATAGGCTACGCACTTGCGTGCACGCAGTGCACTGAGTGCATTGCTGGCTTGGGTACGCGCATACGCAACGCGACTACTGAGTACCACACATCTCGCATCAAAGTCCCGCTCCTGGCGCTAGCGCTTGCTTTTTTGGGCGAAACCCAATTTCAAATATGAAACACCGGATTTTTGATCTGCTTCTCCGTACATGTTGCCACCATACCTGTCCTTTTTTCGTAAACCCTGTCTGTTTTTCTAATTCCCTATCCTTGGTCTTTTCCGGCCTCAAATGAATGTGTGGCAAGGAAGAATATCACGGGTCACACAATGCAGGATAATAATGATGTGCTGTTGTTTTCATGAGAACTACAACAGTTACGTGGGAGACACTAGAAAGTTAGTTAGGGTGCCAGTTTTGGATGGATGGACTAGCAATTCGTAACATCAAATCTTGGTACCTCTTTACTCGGAGCGAAACTAAGTTACTTAGCTTTTCCATAGTGGATCCTGGTCTAGACCGCAGACGTCGGAATACCAGACGAGAGCACCAAACGTGCGTAGTCATAAGCGAGTCGAATTTCGTAACACTTGGATGATGAGCTTCGTTTCTTCCCCGCAAGTCACGTAGAAGATGGAGAGCAGCCAGGTTACAATCAGCGAGGATGGATCCGGAGACGTTACCATTAGTATTGCTGTGCCGAATGCGCCAAAAGCCGAAGTGCAAGAGCAGGCACCATCGGAAAGTCCCACTCCCAGTGGCCCAGTAGTTGATGTGTCCGAGAAGGATAGGAGGCTTCGACACTTTGTTGTCAAAGAAATTGTAGAGACAGAGCGCTCCTATTTGAGCACTTTGGATGTCGTGTGTAAGGTATGTTTGACCCCTTGCCATGTGTACCTTGACAATAGCAGTCACTTACAACATGCGTGACATAATTGATTTTATGCGGTACTCGAGGTGACAAATAGTGTTATACAAATGCATTTACATGTACGAAACAATCTCATCACCGTGTGCACCTTTTCATCTTTCATTTTTCTCCTCATCGATGTAGACAATGAAGCAGGGGATGTTGGATGGCATGGACGATGAACCAGAATTTACAGAGGAAGTTGTGAACTCATTATTCAGCAATGTGGATGACCTACGCACTGTACATATGCGCATTGTGGATGACCTGACGGAGAACGTCAGCAAAGACTATGATGCCGACAGTGCCATAGGTGCAGTTTATATGAAGCATGTGAGTTTATTGTCGATGCAAAGCTGGTATTTTCCCAAGTGTGTACATGCGTGTGTGCATGTGTCTGTGTCTGTGGTGTGTGTGCTGTGTGTGTGTGTGTGTGTGTGTGTGTGTGTGTGTGTGTGTGTGTGTGTGCCGTGTGTGTGTCTATGTGTGTGTGTGTCTGTGTGTGTGCCGTGTGTGTGTATGTCGATGGGAAGAGAATGCAGCGGAGTTAGTTTGACAAAAGCAGAAGGTACAGTCTTCTGTTTGGAAGCGAGGAAGTGTTTTCTGTATCCTGTAGGTTGTAATCAGCTGACAGGCGAATAAAGCATACAACAACAACAGACGAAAGGTGGCACCATATGTGTTACAGTGTACAGGGTAGTAACTGTACACAGCATAGAGCAGCATTGACTAACAGACCACTTTGCGTGGAGCAACCGATCTGGGAGTGTTGTTCGGATTATCCTTTGTCAGGACATGGCCGAATACCAAACATAAGTTACACGGCCTTGCTGCCATGCACGTCAATCTTATGCATTACATGGCTATGCATTATGCATGAGGCTATGGAGTCCATTCTGGGTGCATGATTGATACGGTTACCCGTTATGCATGAGGCTATGGAGTCCATTCTGGGTGCATGATTGATACGGTTACCTGTGTTGCAAAGCACTTGAAGTACAGCTACTACTCTACTTGAAAACAATCACGTGCATGTACACTGCATATGCTGCTGTGGGGATTGCAATGTGGAAGCCCTGTTCTATCCATGACCTGACACATTCTATTGCTATGTGTTTCTATAGAGGCTATGTGATTTTTCACAAGTTTAAGGGTGTTGAAAACGGGGAAGAGTTTGAACAAAAGTTGACTGCCACCTCAGTACTTGAACCAGGAACCATCGCTTATGGCCAGTGATGCTCCATTGCCGTAAAGTACGGTTGATCCCCCCCCCCCCCCCCACACACACACGCTGTGTCGCTTCTACGGGTGAACCGACTAAGTCAATACGTCGACTGGCCAGTCGAGAAGGTTGAGTCGATAGAAGGAAAACCCTGATCAACACGCTCACATGTTACAAAATACATGTATAACTGCCCAGGCATACATGTAGTTCATGCACTTGTCCTGCGAGTTCAGGCCATGCACTTTGAAGTACCCTTGGCACATGAATTCATGTCGCTTTTACACACAGCCAAGTATAAGAACAGTACAAAACGCATTCAGCGTGGGTGCGTTTTGAACGTTGAAAGCTACAACGTGCTCGTATTGTGCTTCATCGAAACCTACAATGTGCTTCTGTTTGCTTGTGCATGGGTGTGTGACCATGCATGTGTATGTATGTATGTATGTATGTATGCGTAAATATGCTGTGCTTGTGTTCATGTGTGAGGGCAATGTCAGTCGATATCCAGTCGATAGTCCGTCCATAGGATTATATATCTAGTTGAACAGGAATTTGGGTCAATCGTTTCACTAAGCCTCGATTGAGTGTCTAGTAGGTAATTCATTGCATGCATTAATAGATGGTGTTTTCTGCCCTGTCCCTCTATTGGTGCTCTGACAGACAACGGCACTCAAGGAGAACTACACGATTTATGGAAGTACTCACGAGAAAGCTCAAGCCATGATTGTTGAACTCATTCGTCGGGAACCGTTCAAGAGCTATTTTACGGTACGGCACTTGGCGTTTTTTCCTTCACTTTCACTTTTTTTTAAACTTGCATGTGTTGCCTTTGACAGAGGTCTCGTATGCATCCAATGGTCAGCATACTTGCCCTACTCGATTAGCACAAATACGATGTCATGTACAGTGAAACCTGTCGAAGTCGACTGCTCAATGGACCTTCGAAAATGCAGTGCATGGGTGTGTGCTGTACAGGTGGTGTCCTTACGCAGGGTCATTTGACTGGAAATAACATGACTTGGTCCTAGTTGTAGTGGTCCTCTGGGACAGGTTGTCGCCCTTTATCAGAGTGGTTACCTTGGTAGGTTTTCCGGAACTTCTCGATTCACTTGTCACTTGTAGTACCGTTTCCAGGACTTTTCATTAGCTCTCCTACTTTCCACACGAGCACCTTTGTGCTGACACATTTCTCATATTCTTTCACGGCTCTCCAATGCGTCACGCTGTATCTTGTGCATACCTTGCTTGTTTGCCTTTACTTGTTCACCCTGAGGAGGTACCATGCCCGAACGTTTGGCAACGGAGAAAAGAATTGTTCACTGCCAAGGGATCATTTGGTATGAGTGGTGAGACTGAGTGATGTGTTCTTTCCATTTCAGAATATTCTATCAGATCGTGGACAGATGGCCAGTGATGCAAACATACAGAGCTACCTGCTATGTCCTGTGCAACGAATCTGCAAATACCCTCTTCTTTTCAGAGTAAGTGATGTGGATGTTTAGATACTATAATGTGTGCCTACACTCTTGCAGACTTTTACTGCAGACCAGTGTTTGTGAAGTACAGAGAGTTTATTTAACGCTTAGCATGACGATTAAAAAGCTACTTTTTTGGACGGTTTCATAGCGCATGATCTGTTCGTTTGTCTGCGTGTATGCGTGTGAAAGCATGCGTGCAGTGCCACATCTCCATACAAAGGCACCCTATACTCTGCTTGGAGTAATCGCATGTTTGCAGTATCAACTTGATGCTGACTCTCACTTCTACACAAAACGTGTTGTAAATCTCATTGGAGCCCAAGTACCCGTGCCAGTACTGATACCCACTGCTACTCATTCTGCACTCTTTCTCTGCTAGGAACTGTGCAAGTACACCTGGAATCATCATCCAGATCAGGAATCAGCCAAGTCTGCATACCAGGCCATGCAGGTCGTCTGCTCTGTCATTAACGAGGCCAAGCGTCGTGCTGAGAAGCTGGAAGCCGTTCATGACTGGCAGCAGGGTATTGACAACTTTGAGGTAATACACACTGCAGCACATAGGCAAGGTCTAGGCCAAGGCGTGCCTTGTTTTGTTGATCGCTATTCCACTCTTTCTTCTCAATTTTAATCCTTGGCTCTCCATCCGAGTTTATCCCACTCTTCTTTTTCTTCATGTATGCTTATCATTGTACATGCAGTCTTCCCCTTTTAATGCAGCACTTATAAGCCAGCATCCTCGATACACCAGCACGATTTTCACATCACCCTTGCTATTCCAGTAGTAGTTCCATCACACAAATGGTGCCGGGTTTAAGAGGCACCGCCGTATGTATTGCCCGTGGATTTGCCGGCTTTACCTTTTGTCTGTGTTTGGTTTCTGAACAGCTTTGCTGTGTGTGTGTGTGTGTGTGTTGTTTGTTTGTTGTTTGTAAACTTTATTTAGAGTGGGAAGTCCAAAACAGGCCCTAGCCTAATAACAATGGTCCCACTAGTGAGGGAATGCTGTATATCTGTGCATAAGTATCAGTGAGTGTGTGTGTGTGTGTGTGTGTGTATATGTGTGTGTGTGTGTGCTTGTGTGTGTGTGTGTGTGTGTGTGCTTGTGTGTGCTTGTGTGTGTGTGTGATTGTGTGTGCTTGCGTGTGCTTGTGTCTGTGTCTGTATCTGTGTGTCTGTCTGTGTCTGTGTGTATCATGGTTCTGTCCTCAGGGAGCTAATCTAGTTGATACCTGTAACGAGATGGTATTGAAGGGTTCCTTGCTCAAGATCTCCTCTGGCAACTGTCAAGAACGATGGTTCTTTCTCTTTGACGGTGTGCTGGTCTATTGCAAGAAGACTGGAGAGAAAGCAAGGTATGCCCTCATTTGCCCTGGCACTAGTATAAAGCCGGTTTTGGATCAGGTACATGTCCTGCCCCGAAAATAGGGGTATTGTTGATAATGCCCCATTGTCTATTTTGGGGGTTCTCTGTGATCCATGGGGTATGATTGTATCTGCCCTAAACCATGTGGAATCCACGTTTTAGTTTTTATTCTATTTTCTTCATTGAGATGTCTATGCAAGAATCCATAAACAAGAGTATGCAACTGTGGTTATGGGTCCGTGCGCGGCATGCTGTCTTCATTACGTAACTTACCTCCTTCACGCTGTGAACGCCTGCACTCAAACCCACGATTTCACTTAGGCTGTGTTTACATGAGAAATTTCAACCCGGGTCGAGTTCAGCCCGGGTTGAAAGTCTGTACGATAGACAAAAGAGGTGAGCGTTTACATGAAGACAGTTGACCCGGGTCAAATACTGATATGCCGCCAAAAGTTCACTTCTAGAATCCTGTATGGTCACGTGAATCCGTTCGCGCGAAATTTGCATCTGCAGTGCTGTTCAAACCTGGCGCGAGATACGCACAGAAGTACGTTTGTACGATTTTCTTGACCCGGGTTGATTTCAACCCTCCCCTTGGGGGGAGGGTTGAAATCAACCCGGGGCGAAATTTCAACCCGGGTCAGGCGCAATGCGTCATGTAAACGCGCCATTCATTTTGTGCACATGGCGGGTTGAAATCTGACCCGGGTCGAACTCAACCCGGGTTGAAACGCCTCATGTAAACACGGCCTTACCAGCACATCCGTTTTTGCTCGATTCGTTCGAGTACCCACACGACCTCTAAATTTGGCGTGTGAACTCCAGTTCAGAGGGAGGGGGGCATATATTTTGTAAGATTTCCTTCTTGGAAGTCCACTGTTCAACCTTCTGTTACTCATCTGTTTCGCTGCATTTTGTGCAGGGCGCCGCGGAGAAAACAAGGTGGACCTGGTGAGTATGAGCAGAAGTCTCTTTAGGTCTGTGATAGCAATGGGTATCAGGATTTCCCTTTTGAAGATTTCAGAGAATACTTCAAGTTATTTGGAATGTACATGTGCTGTCTTTAGGGACCTGGGGATCCATTCATCTTGGGGATACTTTGTTCACCGCCGCCACCAACACCACCACCGAACGGTCGTAGACATTGGGAGATAGCATTAGTTTGTGAAGATGTGCCACAAATGCCTGCTAATGTAGAACTATCCTCCGAATGTCATGTCGTCTCTTCTGCATGTCTAAAAAATTTCATCTGAGCATAACTATGCTCTCGGATCTGCGTATTATTCCGTGCAAGACATTCTGGCATGCATTGCGGTTTTTCATGCTTGGTGTGTATTTGCGTCTTACCAGGGCAAACTGCGCAATCCCTTGGCTTTGCGTTCAAGGGTCGCATTCCGCTTGAGACTATGGAAGTGCAGAACCTGGAAGATGGCACATGTAAGTTGTTCATTCATATGCTCATTATGTGTATGAAGGAGTTCTTTGAGAATCAGGGAGATTGACACAACATGTACTGTGCATTGATGTATACTTAGATCAGGGTGTAATCAATGTGGTAAGGTTGTCATATGCACGTGGTTCCGATGGCATTGCAGCAGGAGAGCTTCACGAGCATGTGGCTAATTTTCCTGGGCCACAGCATAAACAGTGTTGGACTAGCGTGAGCATGTGTTTGCTTCGTTCTTCTTGATGCAGCTGATCAGCTAACATGTGGCAGTAAGGTGACGAATGCATGGCGTCTGCAGAACGTAGCCAAGAAGAAGTGGTTTGTCTGCATGGCCAGTAGCGAGAAAGAGAAGCAAACATGGATGGAGACCCTGCTGGCGGAGCGCGAGAAACGGAGGAGTAAGTCGTTACCAGTGTAGGATTTGTTATAATACTATTTCAGTCCCCCATTTTTATGAGCCCGAGAACATTGTACGTGCATGTACATGTATGCATGGAACTGTGTTTCTGTGACAGAAGAATCGGCCTTTGAGCCATACAGACTGCAAGTTTCAACACCCTTCTCTAACCCTCCTTTCCTACATGTATGCGTTCGTAATGTATACAGTGGTGGCGCTAAACCAGATGCAAGAAACCTATCTGCTGCTCTCGGCTAAGGCACGTAACTACTACAAGATCATGCAGGAGAATAGAGTGTTGAAAGACCGCAAGGTGAAGAAAGCCGTGCATCACCAGTCGTTCCTGGGCAGGTTAGTATCCCGTTGCTACTGTTCAACGGTGTTGCTGGTTGTTTACTGCAGAGTGCAGTAGCCACGTATGATATACAGTCAAACCTGGCTGTTGACTGCAGTAGCCGTGTGTGAGATACAGTCAAACCTCTTTAGGACGAAAACCAAAAGAGTTCTTCTTATTCATATGTTACACGTGGTGAATACCCATTGATGTATCCAATAGAGTTATGAATACTAGTTCTTCTAAAGCGAAAGTTTGTCTTATCAGTGTTTCTCTTAACGAGGTTTCACTGTACATGTAAACGCAGAGGTCAAACCTAGCTAGAGACCACCTCGTTTCAGCAACCGCCTGGAAAACCTGCGCTGAAAAGACCGCACTCTGTGTTCCCATGGGTCTTTGCAGAAACCAGGTTTCATACATAGAAGGTAGTAGCCAGCGTACGAGTACTTGCAGGTATTTACAAGTAACGGATCTGAGGCAATGTTACTAACGTTAGTCACATCTTCTTTTCTCCCTGTTGTACAGTGAATTGATTCACATGATCATGGATAGCGGTGAGTCGTCCGCCATCAACCAAGCCAGCGACCTCGCATTGGAGTTCCTGGCACATACCATCATTGAGAAAGGTGAGTGTGGCACTTGCCTACTGCAATGTATCCACAGGTGGAACATTGGGTATGCTGCTGCACTTTATTTCTGCAAGAATACCGCCGCCTTCTTCCAGATTGAGAAACAGAGGGTACCAGGTTCAAGTCCGCTTGGAAGCAGAAGGATTTTTCTAGCCATGCTGCGGCCTACAGTTAATTGGGAACTCGTGGCCTGGCATGATGGAAGCATGGATGCAGCGAATGGGATTTTCAGTCTTTGACCACTTTGTGGTGGGTCTGATCTACTCACCTCCCACCGCTTTAGGAGCTGCATCTGTGCCTTGATCCATAGAGGGTGGTGGTGTTCCTACGGATGCGGAAAACTGGGCCTCCAGCAGAGCCTCAAGCGAACTGTGAATAGATAGATAGATAGATAGATAGATAGATAGATAGATAGATAGATAGATAGATAGATAGATAGATAGATAGATAGATAGATAGATAGATAGATAGATAGATAGATAGATAGATAGATAGTAATTGCGGAGGAGTGTCTAGGTGATATCGTGATACAGATCCAGGCATGTCTTCAAACTCTGTACCGGTCTGTCTCTGCAGTGGAGAAGAAGCCTAATGATCCAGACAAGCCAGAAACGTTTGAGAACAAGGAACTCTACATCTTCAAGGACAAGAAATCGTCACAGCAGGAACACGGTGAATTCAAGGTGAGTTCCATGCCGTGAGAACGGCTTTGAGAACAGCGTTAATGTGCTGCACGAACTAACATTGCTCGCTCCACTTATCGGTGCACTACACTACCGATCTAGTATTTCTGTAGTCCGTTGCAATTCTTTCTTTGTGCAGTGTAGCCATAATGTGCGAGTCTCGTTTCATTGTACTGTTTTGGGGGACCTTGTTTTCTTGTCCTTGTTATCAGGCTGTTCATCTCTACTCGCGTATTCACCTCCTCTACAATCCCATCGTACGGTAAGTACTGCAAGCATGCCATGTTGACAGGTGTGTTCCGTGCGAGGGTTGTCTAGCCATATACCGTACTCTCCGGAGTATAAGCTGCACCCGGATTTGTCTGTCTCAAAATACAGATATCGCGTTTACCACCGCTCATTTGACCATCGTAGTGTAAGCCGCGCCGACTTTTTATAGGGTGAATTACTGGCGTTTGAAGTGCGGCTCATACTCCGGAAAAGACGGTGCCTGTGAACGTCAGTGGCGTATATGAGCACAGTCTACAATGATTGTCACAAATATAGTGCTGGAGCGTAGTGCACTGCACTTTGGATGCGCTGTTCAGGTTCACAATCATGTCAGCTGAGCACTGTGTTCTAGATGTCAATTATAGCCTGGAGTGGTCCATATTTCGGTCGAGAGAGTGTGGCGGGTGGGGGGGGGGGGGGGTGTTATACTCCAGGAAGTGCAGTGTATATGTATTACATACCCCCCCCCCCCCCACAGTAGGCTGAACCCAGTGTGCGTACGGTGCTCATAGATGCATGCCTGTGCTGTGCACTGCAACTACAGTCCATTTCAAAACTATAGACGCGTAAGGTTTTTGAAATATTTCGAATTTGGCTGGAACTTTTTGAGAATAGTTTTCGGAATATTGCTCAGGTCCGCTCCACAATTACTCTCATATAGTTTCTAAACGAGTGGATAACAGACGCCCAATTTGGAAAAAATTATGCACAAAATGATCCCAGATTGTATGTGGTATAGATGCTGGCATAACGGTTTTTGCCTAGGTACGCGTCTATAGTTTTGAAATGGACTGTAACGTTACTTACTGTAGTCATGTGTTAAAGCCATCCATAGGCTCACGGAAGCCATCCATAGGCTCACGGAAGCCATCCATAGGCTCACGGAAGCCATCCATAGGCTCACGAAAGCCATCCATAGGCTCACGAAAGCCATCCATAGGCTCACGAAAGCCATCCATAGGCTCACGAAAGCCATCCATAGGCTCACGAAAGCCATCCATAGGCTCACGAAAGCCGTTGTTTCGCCTTGCCTTGTATTCAAACCAGGCTTATATTCTAGCCACAGTTGTCAGTACACCTGCAGCACAATCTCAAAGGCATGCTTACTGGTCTGTGTCATTGTAAAATCCTGCTTCTCCTTGTATACCCGGCTGTACTGTGCAGTAGTTTTAAAATGTACCATCACATGATTGGTGTTTCCTGCGACATGGACATATGGAAGACAATTCTTTGCCGTGTGTATTGTTGCAACAGAGACAACAAAGCGCTGCTGTCATCAATCAAGTCCTGTTTCAGCGGCAAGGATCTAATCGACTTTCTCATTGCTCATGGTGATTTCTCGGCCAGAGGCGAGGCTCAGCAGTTTGGACAACATCTTTTCTCTATGGGCTTCCTTCAGCATGGTTAGTGTCGTTAGCGTCATGGGACTACCCTGATACGTGGTTGAACATATGTTGGGTTTTGTGTGTGTGTGTTTTTTAAGAAGTGAAGTTCGCGCGTCCGTGTTACCACTGGCTATACCGGCTGTGTTGAGAAACACAAACTTAGAAGTTTCAGGTAGCTAGTGCTTTTAAAATAAGCTGTATATGTTTGCTTTCTAAACGATTGCTCTGTAAAATTAATGAGACAAATGTTTAATTCACCTGATTAAATTGCACCAAGGTCAACGGCAGCAAAGTATACAGATTCTCCTGTTTGTGCTTTTGTTTCGCATCTTCAGTTGATGACAAGCACCATTTCAAAGACGCTGAGCTGATGTATCGCTTTCTCTTCGACAATGAGAAGGACACCAACAAGAAGAAGCAGGAGTTTTTCTGCTCCGATTCCAACTGCAGTCGCACTGTCTACATGAGTGGCGGCAAAGACATTGGCATTACGCTGGAGGCCGACGATATCACCACTATCTCTGCGGTTACTCCCGGCAGTGAGGCTGCTGTAAGTAGTATCCAGTGCAATGTGTTGTGTACTGTAGTACAGCTATGGTCGGTGGCCATTGCCTTTTTACTTGTTGCCAACAGTAATCCAGCCAGTGATGCTGCGAGCACATTGACACAGGGTACATGTGCTGTAAGGGTATATTCGCATGTGGGGCAGCGTGCAGTACTAACACCATCCTGTACTATGTCACTGTGCATGTGCTATTGTTAGGCTATGCAAGTGTGGTGTCTTGCAGCCTGGGCAGCACACAATTGCCAAATGGCACGTGGACTACGGGTGTCTATGCCCAGCACATTCGAAAACATGACGTTCTGTCTTGCACTATCAAACTTCTGGATACCTCATGCACATGCTGCACGCTGTGGACAGTGCATGTACAACTGCAGGGTCTCTATTCATGTGCCATCTTCGTATCCTCTACATAATGCTTGTATTTCGCCGTGTGGGTTTGTGCTTTGTACAGGAGCAAGGCGTGGACGCTGGCATGGTCATCCAGAGAATCAACTACTTGCAGGCCAGTAAAATGTCTCATGACGGCCTCATGGAGATTCTACACACTCCTGGCATCATCTCTTTATGTGTCTCCTGCAAGGAATCTGTGTAAGCACATATATATCCTGGAGGAACGATTGTGATGGCAATGATCGTGTGCGCTAGCTGTTCAATTGTTCATGTACTGCGGAAGCAAGCTGTGATTTGACATTGGGTTTCCTTCCCTAGCTTTGTTATTGTAGGCCATTACAAACATCTGGTGCCAACACCGAAATGCCGCGACGTATATTCATGTAGCATCCTGGACAGTTACAGGAACTGTATTGCTTGTAATAGTTACTTTGAGGCCCCCGTAGCTACTGTCAAGAGAGTAATGTATACGAGAGACGCCGAACTGCAAACTTTGAACATCGCAAACTCGCTCCATGTGATGCAAGTACAGTCTGTATCGGCTATAGCGTTCCCCTTTTTTGATTTCCGTGATTTTATCACTTAACAGGGTGCGTAGCACCCTTGAAAACCCTGAAAGTTTTTCTTCCCCCGGGAATTCCCTGAAATCCCCTCAAATGTTGTATTTTATAGAAAATGTTCCTTGAATCCCCTGAAATTTGTTTTCCAGATCACGCGATCTGGTAGACCTCCGTACTCAGCGACTGACTGTACATGATATGCATAGATCTACGAGTGCCAGTCCGTTCACCTGTACTGGTCATTTGAGTCGACGGCCTCAGCGGCCAGTGCAGCTCGCGTAGATCTTTACGGTATTTTTACATTTAAGCCTTGATCGCCATGTACGCTCGACTATCGACTGTGGTACAACGGTTCCTGACTGTAGCAAAACTGGAATCCGCCACTGCAACTGCTTTTCCGTTTTATTTGTGTGGGCAGGCGTGTGTTTACCGCCATATTGCCAGGTGTGTCTTTACCACCATATTTATCAACCATAAGTACAGCTGCAGTGGTGTCTTCAACTTCATTGTTTTGGCCTTCAACAAGACAAAGTGTCTTCAGTTTTTTTCGGAATGCCAAAGAAGCTTTACAGAGTTGTACTTGTTCTCCATGCTGAAAGGCAAGTGTGTTTTCAACGATCGCTGGTTGTCTTTGGACCCATACAAAGACTGGCTAGTTCACTAAGAACTTAGTGATGGAGAAGCATGATGGTGACGGTGGCTCTACTACTTGTAGTATTGATGATCAAATCTTCAATTGTTGACATTCTGAATCAGTGAACCTCTGCGTGGCTACGGATTAGGTGTCTAGCGACTGTATGACATCTGTGAATACCCTTGAAATGCCCCTGGAAATCCCCTGACATTTTGTGTATATATTGTGCTACGAACCCTGTCACTATAACCGATGCATCACTATATGCGATACGATCGATTTTTTTTCTTTTTTCGATCGACACATGAAAGGCAAGGAAATACTAGTCTTCCAGCACGGCGTTTTGACAAATGAGCTTGCTGCATAGTTGACAGTGCCCGCACTTCCATAAAAAAATTCTGTTCATATGGGAGAGGGGGCAGGTATGCATGTTTTGATTCTTGTTATGCATGTTTTGATTCTTTGTTGCCATCATAATATCCGATATATCATTACATCCGATAATATTGGTTATAGTGATATCTTTACTGGATAAAATACGTTTTGCTTTTGATATTTCGTACCAATATCACTGTAGCCGATATAATATTCTAATATCCGGTCACTCTATAGCCGATACAGACTGTACACGCATTGAATCGTGAAGTATTCAATCGTAACATGTGACCCCTTTTAAAGTACATGTAAACTGAAATGCATACCTGCCCCCTCTCGGCCTCTCCCATATGTACATCATTTCCAACGTCTGTGCTTGTGTGGCCTCCACTGTGCACTGTATTTACTCATGGTACCTATCATAGCTGCTAACTGTTTTGGCTACGTGCCTGTTACTTGGCTGCAGGGTACTGAGGCTGGTACCGGATGAAAAGAATGGTTTTGGCTTCAAGATTGTTGGCTCGTCGCCGGCTACTGTCAGCGAGGTATCACCAGGTAGGAACACTTGTGCCGTTCACTTCACATAACCTACTGCAGTGCCTATGATTCATACCATGTGCAAGTGCCACTTCCCGTCTAGTTGATAAGCTATTCGACTGTATAGGTACGGTCCACGTATGTATTCCATGTGATACTCTCTGACTGATACTGAGCAAGGTATGTGCCTGCTTCTGTGCAATCTGTGCCAGTGCTATGGCTAGGCTGCTAGGGTGGTAATTGGTACAGTCAGACCTCTCATAACCGCACACATCCATTTTCCTATAAAAATCCGGATATGAGAGGGAACCGGATAATCCAACACATATACTGTATGTATGCATGACATATGCTGCAAATCGGTAACCAACGATTTTCTACCGGATGGCAAGGGATCCGGATAAATGAGGACCGGATAAGCGAGGTCTGACTGTATGTATTTCCTTGTTTCCTGTTTGCACTGACTTTGTAGATTCGTCTGCATCGAGGAATGGCCTGTTCCAAAGAATGGCGGTTGCATCGGTGAGTCAGAGATATGGATGTATATTTGCATGTCTACCGTTACTAGTAACAGTTTTAGTTTTTAGTTTTAACTTAACCTATAATATCTTCTTCACATGAATGCTAAGATCGCTTACTCGTTGTTTCTTTCCCACGTGTCCCCCATTGTGCACACATGCTGTTTTGGTGTATATAGGTGGGTGGCCAAGACGTGACACAGGCAACGCATACCTCCGTCCATGATTTGGTTCGGGCAGCAAGTAAGCAGGTTCCAGCCGGCACTCGTCGTCCCAGTGCGCCCGCTGCTAATGATGATGAGTTGATGGACACCGAAGATCTAAACTTCTCCGAGAAGACCGGTGGATTGCAGAAGAGCACGTCTGTCCAGTCGTTTGTCAACATGTCGGCCGTCATGGACTCCGTTACCGTGCTGGAAACGCCAAGCGATCTATGCTCGGATGCTATGTAAGCCTACATGTGCATGTGTGAGCACGCATGTGTGTGTGGTGTGTGTGTGTGTGCATGCGTGTGCGCGTGTGAACAAGTGGTGGCCATCAAGTCTGGGTTCTGTGTTTGAACCGTATGGTTTGAGCAACATTCCATCAATTCGAACGTAGAACAATGTCTCCAGGCTGGAGGTATGTAGCCCACATTCTTCGCCACAACTCAGTGACTGCAAATATCCGTCGCTTTGTTATGGTAGTAATACTCTTGCTTTAAACTGCCTTAATTAAACCATGATCATTTTGCTACTCCTTCTATGAGGTATGTGTGTTGAGTGTGTGGCCTTGTGTTTCCTTGTACACGCTTGCCACTTGCAGGGGTCCTGAAGAGGTGCAGGTGGAGATGCAGGTACCGGACGTTGGCTACGATACCTACTACCAGTACGACACGCTGGGAGATGCTGAGGTCACCGTGCGCGAGACCGTGTCCAGCGGCAACTTTGCCTACAGTGTGCCAGCCAGGGTCAGTGACTGTGTGCATGCCTGCTGTTAGGCTACTGCAATAGTTACCAGTACAATGTAGTAATGTTAGTGCCTTGTTCATGGTATCAGCCGTGCACTGGCTTGTCTTCAGAGGAATGATTCAACAGACACAGCATCATGGTGTTCCAGCAGGTGTTATTACTGCAGCATGGCTCACCATGCACATGCACAGTTATGTGAGACTGGGTATTTCTGGTTCCATGAGAATATTCCTGTTTTTTTTCTTTTTCTTAACGTCAGCTTTTCGAATGCTTGTTGACGGAGGACAAGGATATCCTCTCCCACGTGGAAACCGTCAACCGTAGCCTGGAAGATGGCCAGCTCACAATACCCACGTCGCCGCAATTCGAAGGCAGTCTTTCATCGTTCTTGGAGAAGATGACGGCCCAGGTTGATATCTATCAGGCCGTGAGTTGCATGGCGTTGCTAGTCAGTGCACTGCACTGTGTACATCCTTAGGGGCCATCCGGCAATATCGATAATTTCGGACCGCCCCTTAGCTTACACTGACATTGATGACCTTATTGGTTTACTTGAAATGTTTTAGAAGTAGTGCTGGTGCATGCAAGCCTTGCTTAATAGTTATACAGTCGACCCTCTCTAATCCGGCACTTGTCTACCCAGCACCCTTTCTGGAAAAACGGATTTTTTCAGTTCATTTTGTTCGCTTTAATCCGGCACTTGAATTCCGCCTCCAGCAGCGATTTTCTGCAACAATCACTGAAACTGTACATAATTCGATTTTCTAATCCAGCAGTTGTACATCGCATGCGGTCAGGGAGCATTGTAACATACACAACACATGTAACATACACTTGGGAATATCCTATGCCAGTGCATAGGATATTCCCAAGTGAATATTGAAGACATGCACTCCACAAAGTACTTGGATTGACACAGAAAATCCCTACGTTTTGACGTACGACACAATCATGTATGTTAACGGGTGGGCCGGGTTGGAGGGCAGGATTTGATAAACCAGCACCCTTGTTTATCCAGCAGAAAATGCCGTTGCAAAAGGTGCCGGATTAGAGAGGGACGACTGTACCTGTATTACAATAGCAGCATGTCACTGTTTTCAATACAGTGTGTCCTCCGCCTTGTGCCATGCTGTCATTGTCATACATGTAGTGCTGGTGTACTGCTGTTGGCTAGATGTGATGGGTGTGGCGAAAGTGATTGTTTGACACCCACCGTAGCATAGGACTGCTTACTGATCTAAGTGTGTAGGGGTTTATGCACATGACATCATCGTATATGTTTTTCAGGGCATGATGTCATCACATACACAGTAAAGCCTGCCCAAACCGGACGCCCGTGGTGCAGCGGAAACTGTCCTGATATGACAGGGCTCCGCTTGATGCAGAGATGCAAGTTCGATCCACGGCACGTTGGTGCTTGAACATGTGTCCGGTCAATACAGGATTCCGCTTGGTACAGGGTCTGACAATTTGACAAACGCAGGTTTTACCGTACTCAGTATGGAGTGCATGATATCATCATATAATGCTTTAGGCCACACGTTTTTATTTCTATGTTTCTCGTCACCTGGAAATCTAAAAACGTATGCGAGAGGTGGACAAAAATAAAAAATGACCGAAAATAAAAAAAAGTTTATTAGACCTTTGTTCACACTAAAATCCACCAATACACCATGCAAAATAGCATCCATAGTTAGCAACTATTATGTAGTATGTGGTAGGAGCTAGCTTCTGTCACAATCTGTGCATGTGCAGCTGGATTGCGCACAAAAAATGGCGACCTCGCATCATGTGTCGCGCAGGCCAGGCCACATTATGTACATGTTCATGAGTGTGCTGGTCCCCACATGCACAGTCAATGCAGCAGAGTTTTTTCTTCTTTTTTTCTTCCAGACTCCTGAATTGTATGCGCGTGACGAGAAACATAGAAATAAAAACGTGTGGCCTTATATGGCATGCGTGATGTCATCGTATAATGCTTTGTATGGTGTGCACGATTAAGCGGGATTCACAGAAGCTTTTTTGCGATGCGACGCAATCTGCGATGGACGCGTGCGATGCGAACTCGCGAAATACCATTCACAGAAGAAGTCAGCAATGCGACAAAGTCTTGCTGATTTGGGTACGTCACCATGATATTCGCGCGGTTTGATACAACTTGTACAAATTTATAGGCAACTCTTGAACCTTTGTACAACTTTGCTGTAGAAAAGATCAAAATCGTACGCCAAATCGCTTGTCGCATCGCAAAAGTTGAGCCAAGCTCAATCAAAGATGGCCCAGTTGCGGCAGTTGCGTGGGGTGCGACGTGGCTGCGATTTGGGGTTTTCCCGGTTTCGCGTCTGTCGCATCGCGTGTCGCATCGCAAAAAAGCTTCTGTGAATCCCGCTAAGCACGATGTCATCATAATTATATCCTTTGTATGGAGTTACATATTGGAGTAGGAACTGGCTAACCAGTGCTTGCAATGCCACTCCGTACAAACCTTGTGTTAACGACGTAATCGCATAGCCCCTACTATTATATCATTCCTACCTCTCACTTGTTCTTGTCCTGTTTCTGGTGTCGCCCATCAGATGACCAAAGTCCTGTCAGCGCCCAGGTGTAGGCAGCATAAAGGTATCTTCGACAATCACCGGTGGGAGCTGCTCGCCGCTCCGCTCAACTGCAACATTCTGGAAATGGAAGTGTGCACGTCGGTTCCCGTGCAGACCAACGGCACTGCAACACCGAGCACCGTAACCAGGGACGACGAAGGTCAGTACAGATGCATAGCTGTATGCTGCTGAGATGTTCACTACTCATACAATGCCCCTGTTTTCCCCAGGCTGTGCAATATACTCCTTATCACTGTTTGTCGGCGTGGAAGCACATGTGTGACTTGTGTGTATTGCTGGCAGGTTCCGCACATGAAGTTTAACCATGTTGATGAACAGAGCGAGAGACTGGACCTGTCGACATTCAGCTGGAGGAGAATTCCCATGCATTGCCACTGTACCTTACTTGCTGTGTCGTTTCGTCGTCCCATGCGTTTATCATGTGCTTCTGCATTGCGTTTCTGTGTAGATGGTGGTCGTGATGACCTGCAGGAAGTTGGCCGTGTCTTCTACCATATCGTGACCGCCGGTGCGCCATCAGCAGTGGAAGTGTGTCGTATGGAAGATCCGGAGAAGGGTGCCGCTGGTCTGAAGGTCAGCAACACCGTACTTAGTGTGCATTCTTGCCGTCGCAGCCATGCCCGTGTTTGGTTGTTTGTGTTTTCGCTGGCTAAACATCTGTTTGAAGAGGATTGTTGTCACTCCTGATGATGGCCATGTGATTCGTTGTCTGTGCTGTACTTAGAGTGTTGGTGGTCGTAGATTAGTGATACTTATTGACTGTAGATGTGTGTGCAATATGGCATTTTATCATCATGCCATTGCCTCCACTCACTGTCATAGTAACGGGACTAAGCCACTTGTATCTGTCTTCCTGTTCCTGCTGTGATTGCAGTCGCTGATGGAGGCACTGGGACCAGCTAGCGACTACCGCAAGTGGTTCCATCAAGGACTGAAGATGATGGATGAGCTATTCGAATGCCAGCTGCAAGTGCGAAAGTAAGGGCACTCCACTGGCCATGAACACTGGTGTATGACGGCAGCCCCCAACCATTTTGCTTTCTATTCACAGAAATGTCCTGATCGATGAAGAAACTGGATGAATGAGCGCATGAGCATTGTGTAGGGTCGGCGGTCACGCGGAGCGAGCTGTGTTCGGCTTGTGCTTCGATTGCCTTGGTGTGGCCATTTCCTAAATGTGCTGCTACCACTCGGGCACATAATCATTGTTTGTGTGCTGAACATCTGTGTGTGTGTGTGCGTTTCTGTTCTGTTTCTGTACAGGGCGTTTGAAGGTCCCCCGGGCCTTGTTGCTCCTTCAATGTCGTTTTGCGATGATTTGAGTGACGAAGTGAGTCGTCGATTTAGAATTTCGATCGCTTTATAGTTTATATTCTGATTCTGTTAGGCCATGAACGTTTGTTGTTGTGTGTGTGTGTGTGTGTGTGTGTGTGTGTGTGTGTGTGTGTGTGTGTGTGTGTGTGTGTGTGTGTGTGTGTGTGTGTGTGTGTGTGGTCCACTGCTCAACTGACCTCTTGGTTCCCACAGTGTTGTCTGGCTGTGAACTTCAACAAGCCATGTTATGCTGTGTGTTATGCTGTGGGTCACTCTGCAGGAGGGCTTGATAAAGAAATGCGACTCGATGTCCAGCCTATGTTCGTCGGCCACCACTGATGAACAATCTGATGTCAACCAGGCGGCTATTGTTGCTATCGGCAGTTTCCTAAGCAAGGTATGGCAATGGCCCGCGGTGTGCGACTGCATGCGCAATGGCCTATTTGACTGGTAGAGCATGCCTACTTATAGCTGACAACCCGCTGTGTTTACCTAGTACAGCTTCTTGCTCACCAAATGCCTGTTTTCTGGTCTGTAGTGAGCTATCATAGCCTATGCGGTAGTGGCTAGAATTGAGCCCTGCTCACAGACGAGTCCGCTGAGTTGCAATTTTTCCAACAGCTTCCATGTCTATGGTCTATGTTCTGTAGTGCGGTAGTTGCCAATATACTCTGTGTGTTTACTTAGCGTGTGTTCAGAGGGAGAAACTCATGTGATTGACAACTGGGTTCTTTTTCTGCTGTCATAGGCGGATAAGTTCTGCGAAACTCTCCGGGAGAAATCAGTGAACGCTGCAGTGGCCGTCATTTACTCTCCCTCACAGCGTGAATCCACAAGTACTTTACTGAGTGGCAAGGGTAGGTTGCATCACTTCTTCTGCCACTGGTCCGTGACCAGTATCAATAATATTCAATATTGTATGTCCTCATGGTGCCATATGAAGTGTCATGTACTTGATGACTGCAACATACGGTTTGTGGGGAAGGCACCGATGTCTAGGTCACCATCAGTTGAGCAGGCCTGCACGTGCCTATGGGTTGCTGTGTGAGTGGGTGTGTGGAGAACGATTATGAAAAAAGCTTCCCCTGGGTTCCCCTTGTCTTATTGTATTTACTGTTTGGCCTGCTGACAGTCTGATGGTCCCCTTTTAAAAAGCATGACGCTGTGAGTAATAACTAACTAGCCGCCGTAGCGCCTTCCCAAGCTGTGCTCTAACATTATGATGTTTACAAGTATAGCAAAACCTGCGACTATCGACCACCTCTTGGGGCCAGAGAAAGCGGTCTTTAATGGCAGGTGGTCTTTAGTTAGAGGCTTGCACCGCGCAACCATAATGTGAGACCGTCCGTGCCTGGCGAAGTGGTCTGTAGTACCAGGCTGGTCGCTAGTCACGGTGGTCTTTAGTTACAGGTTTTACTGTACATAACGTCGAGAGTACATAAACCAGAGTGTGCAACTGTGCATATCAGATCTGAAACAGCGCAGTTCGTACACTATGGCACCCTGATGAGGTCAGCCAAGCTGCGACTTGCGTACAGCTCAAATTTTCATGTTTCACAGTCCGCTGAGTCGACTGGTTTTGGTCCGAAAAGGCTGCGATGCAGCGTTCGGCCCTTATTCCCAATCGAACATGCTTGAACAAGCGGTCACGTGCTCCTGCGTACACCAGTCACCTGGTCACCGTGCCTGCAGGGTACAACTTACAGCCTGTTTTGACCTTTTTGGGGTGCAGTCCTGTCACTCGAGTTGAACTCGAGTTGAACCTTGGTGTGAAAGCTGTCGCCTGCTGGCGCAGTGACCAGGTGACTTGGGCACGCAGGGGCACGTGACCGCTTGTTCAACCATGTTAGATTGGGAATAAAGGAAGAACGCTGCATCGCAGCTTTCTCAGGCCAAAACCAGTCGACTCGGCGTCCAAAAGACTACAACATATGGGCCAATCGCGGTCATCCGTGCTTTTATAAGAACGAAATGGCGCTTTTAGTGACATTTTGCATACAAATCCCCATCTAGTAGGGCGCAGTCACCCAGTTTTGGTGGAAGTGCGCGAGTTCGATTGGGATTAAAGTAGGAAGGGAGCGTCTCAGCTTCCTCGGACCACGACCATTCGACTCAGCACCCCGACGACTACAACTGGTGAAATTTTGATTTTAGCCTTAAGATTTTGGTGTTTTTGTGTGTGACATGTGACTGCGTACACTGTGTACATGCGCTGGCAAGTAAATTCACCGTGCTGTCCGTCTCAAAAAACGAAATCAGGACAAACTCAGTGACCTGCACCACTGTGACTGGTTGCCCAACTTTTCACCGTACCTGTGACTTACCATGCCGTCAGAAATGACGTACTGCACGAATTACGCTCCCACAGGAACCATCCCGAGTTGTACACTCTGGTTTATGTACTCTTGATAACGTGTTGCTTGGCTTGTTTTGTTGTTGTGTGTGTCTACAGTTGCCAGCTCGCGGCCTTCGCAGCTGAAAGACTCCACACCAAAGCGAGCCCTGTCGATCAGTAGTCAGACGCGGTCGCGCACCATCTCCGGACCCACGTCCATCATTACAAGCACGAAAATCTCGTCGCCAAGCGAGTCTCCACGGGAAAGGCGGAACACCATCCGGTCGCAGCGTGGAGGCTACTTGGAACTGGCCGAAGCGCAAAGTATGTGCATGCATGAAGAGCGACATTGAGATCCTTCTTATTGCCTCCATCATGCGATGTTGCCTGTATTAAAAGGGCTAATGTGGACATTACATAGTGCACTTTGTTTTCCCTTCTCTATACCTGTATACGGCTCTGCACCTAGTGTTGGTGTGCAGTGTGCGATGGATAAGATGTAGCCCATTGCGTTTCCCTGGACTAGCTGGAGACTATTGTATGGCCAGCGTTGATGGGGCTAGACGACCAAACAATCTTTACTCTCTTAGAGATACTGCGATCATAGTGATTGGTAGGGCACTCTCTCTAAGACTCTTGTAATTGCCAATACTTCAAAATACTAATGGCTTGTGTTCGCACTGTTTCCATTGATGTTGACAGCGTTGACAACCATCAACAAGCTTCAAGCAGGAAAGCAGAATGCTGGTCGAAAGCTCATCCAGCAGGTCACAGAGTTGAAGTCGATCAACTCCAAGTGTCCAACTGAAGAAGGCACTATGCCACTCATTGATGACATTCTCAGCGGCATCAAGAACATCAACGATGGTAAATTTGGAGCAATGGTAGCTTGGCTGTGTGGCGTACATACTTGTATCTTACCGCTGGGTATATTCCCTACCATGTGCCTGTTTTCGTCTTCACTTTCGAGCGAGAACAGGCAATACAACACTTTTAAAAATTAATGCAGTCGCGTAGGTGATCTGTTGGATAATGTGCATACTTTGAAGCGGTTTGGTCCACTTTACGTCTCAAGATGATTGATCTGTTTTGCCTGTGGCCTCTCTTGTCATCTTTTGCTTGGATGCGTTGCTTTTGTTTCTCACAGAGGTGTGCCGTTGTCTTCTCCACGCTATGATTATGGAAGAAGGTATGTTCTTGCACATGCTGAGCTGATTGACCATGGCACTGGTACTACTCCACCTCTCTGTAGGCATCATTTACTTTGTTATAGCCCCACACAGCAATTACATGCCCAGGAATAGTTCTCACTTCGCTTGTTCATTCGAGCCTTTTTCTCTCCGGTGCGTTTGGCCTGATTTCTGGGAAGAAAATACCGTGTACTGTCACTGTGCGCATCTACTCCACGATAGACTAGAAGGATACTGGTACTCAATCTCCAGATAGCTAGCTGTTTCCACCTTGTTAAGTCTCATCAGCTGAGCTCAGAGTCACTGGCCAAACTGATGGCAACCAGGTGTAGTGAGCATAGAGGAGAAGGATATGAAACTGATGATTTTTGATGCTGTCTGCCTTTTCGTGGTGTTCAGATCTTGGTGTTGTCCAGCGGCGAGACATAGTCTTCGCCCAGGCACTCAGCATCATGATGAGCGGCTTCAGTGCACGGTTACACGCAGCGCTGAACAGTGTGGTGAACCATGCCAATGAGTGGGCATCGCCCACACATCAGAACAGTGTGCAGTGGCTGCAGCAACTGCCCGTCTGCGGTCTACTGGTTCAGTTCGATGTTTGGGCTGAGGCTCACCTGGTAAGCTCTCTACTTGGTTGCTTACGCGTGCTTTCCTTTCTCCAACAGCAATCGTGTTTCTTTGCGTAACAGTCCGATCTCAATTTTGGAGTCCCGGTTCTTGTGTAATATTTTCTGGATCACAATGAAATTGTGTGTGTGTGTGTGTGTGTGTGTGTGTGTGTGTGTGTGTGTTGCGTGTTGCGTGTGTGTGTGTGTGTGTGTGTGTATGTGTGCTTGTATTTGTCCACTGCTGTAGGCGGACGAGATGGCTATGTTAGAAGATGCTGATGTTGCCATTGAAGATCTACGTCAGATTGACTTACGTATAAAATGCTGCCCACCAGAAAGAGAAGTAGAAGGTCAGTGTGTACACTGACATACCATTAAAGGGGAAGTCCGGTGAATATCAAGAGCCCATTGCCCAGAGCTTGCAACTGTGATTGTAGGCCAGTGTGGGGCATGCCGCCTTTGTTACGAAACTTGCCTGCATCATGCCACGCTCTGGATGCATGCACACATATCCACAATCGCTCATACAGGACCAGAAAACCTGTTTTTTGCTTGATTCATTCGACCACCGGCTTGATTCATTTCATATCTGAATATTTTAGGCGAACTTCAGTTCCGTCCGAAAACATCGTTGAACCAAAGAGAAAGTGTGGAGTTTGACTTTCTGCAGGGCATGGATGAAAAGCTGCTTGATATTATCAAGAGTCCATAACCCCCCAGAGTGTGCAACTCCAGGTTGGGGTCTGGCGCAACGAAATCCAAACATTGCGTCATCCGGTCCCCGGGCAAGCATGGGCGGATGGGGCCATGTGCATATCTGGTACATCCGGCGGGGGTTCCAAGTTGAAGCAAGCCACGGAAGTGTCACGTAAAACGTTTGCTCCACGGGCTATGCAGTGTCAGCAGAACGGCTTTGATTTCACAGTCACAGACTTTTTTATTTGAAGAGAGTTTCTCTGCTCGTTGTCTGAAAAGCTTGTATTGGGAGAGTTCGTGACTCCGGGATAGCAAGAATAGGCATGGATATAGATTTACAAGATTTGATGGAAATAGCTCTTGGCACACGGCATGAAGACCCGATCGATTTCGAAGTAGATGTGCTTCAACCTGCTCCTCAGTCCCATTTTGGTACAATTTCCAACACTCGACAACCGAGAGAAGAAAATGAGGAGCCCAGATCGAGCAAAAACTGACGAATATCGTCCACAGAGACACTGCACTCCGGCGACAATGGGGAGCGCTTTGCTTTAGGTTCAACAGTGGCCATTGTTCTTCTCTTATCGGAGAGACACTCAAAAGAGAAAACTGTTCGACAACTCTAAAATAATTCTTTGTGTACTTGAGCCTTTCAGTTTCAGGCGTGTTACGTGGCCGTGGATTCGTAAAGAAAGACCCCAAATTGGGCAAACGGGCGAAGTAGGTCCGGGCCAAACTTCCCATTTCGTCATAGCTACTCACTACATGACGTATGAAGTTTGGATTTCGTTGCGGCACTGATTTGTGCTGAGAAGGATCACGAGTTGCACACTCTGGGGGTTATGGACTCTTGATGTTATGAAGGCAGTGCATTGCACAGCTAACCCACAGCAAAGAGATCACAGTAGCATACTCTTTGGCAGTGACACATCGCGTTATATTATTTGCCCTGGCTGGGTATGTGGACATTTTGTGGGCAAACTCCCGTACAACGTGCTTTTTCTCCTGTCATGTTTACATATTTTACGTCACGCAACCCAATTCTTTCCTCACTTCCCGTGCACCCTAACCCAACATCTGTTGCCATTAGAACCATCCATAAATATTAAATAATAAATAATTAAATATAAGTAGAAAGGAAAAGGACATATGGAAACGAGTTAAGAGTAACTATCCACCACTGTAACTAGATACTATATACAGTCAGAAAGTGCAACAACTAGGCACGATACTGACAGAGTAGTGAGACATTCGACGTCCTGACACCTAGCTTCAACACATCTCCGTAGCGCTAACCGACAGCCTTCCAACTTGGAAGGTTCAAGGTTATGGAAAGACCAAAGAGGTCTGTAGCTTGTGCTCGTTTTCGTTGCACTTGCCTTCCCCTCTTTGGTCTTTCCATAACCTTGAACCTTCCAAGTTGGAAGGCTGTCGGTTAGCGCTACGGAGATGTGTTGAAGCTAGGTGTCAGGACGTCGAATGTCTCAGTACTCTGTCAGTTTTGTGCCTAGTTGTTGCACTTTCTGACTGTATATAGTATCTAGTTACAGTGGTGGATAGTTACTCTTAACTCGTTTCCATATGTCCTTTTCTTTTCTACTTTTATTATTGGCTCAATACCCGAGTTTCAAATAATTAAATATCGAATATTTTCATGCACAGATGTGTCTTTTATGTTTGTCATTGGTGCCGGTACCGACACAGTTTTGAATCAAGTACATACATCGTACATACATCTTATACGTGATGCATGCAACCAACAGTTTTCTTTCGTATGAAGTAGGGGTCAGCGCAGCTAAAAGCAACTTGCGGACCCTTGGCCAATGGCTTGACTTCTCGGGGTCCTACCAGTTTTGGGCTCCATGCATATAGTTCAACTCCGACTGTTGTCATTATTATTATCATGTTCGCTTTGAACAGAACCGAACGTTTGTCTTTTTCTGACTTTTCTTCTCCAGTGCGTCGTCATGGTGGTATAGCAATTAGTGGACGACGTGGTCACATCACTGTCGAGTACTTTTTGGATTCAGAGATGTACAACAAGCTGCCGTCCGCTTTCTATGCGTGTCCGCCTATTCATGTCAGGGCATGCTTGTTCACTTCGGGTAAGAACGTGTTGACTTGGCACCACGCGCTTTTGCACATGAACTCGGCGGGATCTGTTTCTCGGGACTCAGTACATTCTGGTGTGGTCTGGCGTTGACGTTTTGCACCGATTGTAGTTGGCTTGTCACCATCGCTGTTATTTATTTGCTGGTATGTACATACTCTGCGCCGCCTTTAATATGCTGTGTGTGTACTCTACACTGCTACAGCGATGAGTGACTTGGCCACGCTGACTGCCACTAACAAGCTAGCCGGTGACGGCCAGGCATTGCAGTGCTCGATCAACACTCGCTCAGTGCAGTACCTGAAAGACTACTGCACCAGCTACCGGTGAGTGACGGCAGCAGCAGCAGCAGCAGCAGTACCTGTGCCTTTTCTTAAGCCCACTACCGTATTTGCCTACAATACAAGTCACACCTTTCTACACTAAAAGTCAAGGGTAAAAAGCGGTGTGACTTACAATCGAGCCTGACTTACGACTGAAGTGAGTATATCAAATCAATATGGGTCAAACCTGAAAATGGGAGTGCGACTTATAATCGGGGAAGTACGGTATTCCTGTTTGTATTGCGTTTGTGAGACAGGGAGATGACGTGCGTGTGAGCACTCGGACAGACACCTCGGGCCAATGTTGAAATGCTTGTGCAGCTCTATAAGATGGTGATGCTCTCTTTCCTTCAGGACATTCCTCTTGGACACATCGCGGACGGAGATGAGTCGGGTTGAGAAGATGGTGGAAATTGACAAAGTAAGAACTCGGAGATGATTGATGTGCTGTGCATGTTTTCATGACGCGATTGTTTTTTACGGCACTAGTCTTGTGAGAGGTCAACTACTGACGTACTGATTTTTCGTGACTTGACGCGTGTGTGTGGTGTGTGTGTGTGTGTGTATGTGTGTGTGTGTGTGTGTGTATGTGTGTGTGTGTGTGTGTGTATCTACAGTCGCTCAGCAAGCTACAAGCCATTGACCAGGCTCTGGCTTGCCTAACGCGCACCGTGGCGCTCAACCAAGACAGAGACGAACGCTACGGGTCTTGTTCCATCATCCTCCAGGCCAACAACATCGTCAACCGTTGCGGTGGTCTAAGAGTGGCGTGCTCTGAGAAGGGCTGCAATCGGTGAGTACACGTACATGCTGCGTGATGCATCACTTTCAGCTTATGGGCCATCCGTAAATATAATATCTATTTAGAATCGAAAACTAGTCGTTATGGGGGGAGGTTTTGAGGGCCTGTTTGTTTCTCGAAAAATATCGATGCACATTTTGTATGTGTAACCAGTTAGTGCACTATTTGACCGTATAGCATCTGGTTTCATTGGTGGAGCGCTAATCCTAACTGCTGACATGTTGTCCTCCCTCTTACTCTTAGCCACGACTACTCACTGTAAATTGGAAGTGTGCCCAGTCTAAAGTTTAGCGGTTTGCAACAAATTTCCCACTTAGCAGGCACAAAGTTCAACGACCCTGCCATCACACACCTCTTACAGTATTTTGTTTGTTATTGTTGCTCATGTCCTGTTTACCTGTGCAGGGTTTCGCTGGCAACATCAGTTGAAATGGCGTCGGTGCTAATGCGAGCTCACCAGCTTCCACCTCGCTCCTTCATTCCTGCTATCAATGTTGTGCGAAGTCAGGTAAGGCTTAGAACTGTTAGAATTGTGCATCTCATACTGAGTGGACAACATTGTATACTCTAATGTTGACTTGACACCACCAGGTATGTGTGTGTGTGGGGGGGGGGTGCGTGCGTGTGTGCGTGTGTGTGTGTGTGTGTGAGAGAGAGAGAGAGAGAGAGAGAGAGAGAGAGAGAGAGAGAGAGAGAGAGAGAGAGAGAGAGTCTGGGTACCATTTTGTTAGCACTGCTACTGCTGTCGCATTGTCTTATCCACCCCTCTTCGTATCTACTTCTCTTACGTACTCCTCTGCAGGGCTCTGGCATTAGTAACTTGCACAAGAACAAGCAAGGTGACAAGTACGTCTTGCTCAATGTACCACCAAGGTAAGCCCCCGCCGCTGCTCTTACAGCATGTATAGTGTATACACATGTCACGTGATGCCTCTCTTACAGTATGCATAGTGCATACACATGTCACCTAACTCTGTATCCGTGCGTGATGCTTGTAAGTTGTTGCTGCTTCTCCTGTTGTGATTGGGCACATCGCAAGTGTTGTCTGTGTTGGACTAAACACTCTTGAACTTCTAAAGTAAAAGCAATCCTGAGAGTGTCGGTAGCTGTTGTATGTACTGTACAGTAGTGTCTATGCAGCCAGACATGTGCTCCATGGTCTCCGTGTGAAGTGTTCTATCTCACCCTTTCGCAATACATAGTATTACATACACAGATACTAGTAAGTGAATTTAAACTGTAAGACATGTAAATATAACGAGGAAGTAAATCTAACGTTTTAACGGTCGACATTTCTTTGTTATAGTAAGTTCTGTTGAGGCTGTAAGGCCTTGAATGTGTTATGTGCGGATATGCCTGAGGACTGAAAGATCGTTAGCGTATCTTCTCGTTAAACCCATGAATTTTGGACAAAACGTTAAATTTGCAATTCGTTGTAACAACATGTCTTACAGTAGCTCTGGTTGTGCTTGTACTTAGGTCACACTGGCACAGTGGGCTCTGCTCTGTGTAGTGCACTTGCAGTATTGTTGTGTGACTCTGCTCTACTCTGTGTGGTGCACTTGCAGTGCTGTTCTGTGACTCTACTCTCAGTCTCTGTATAGTGCAGTAGTGTAGTAGTACAGTGTAGTGTATTTTGCAGTATTGTGATGCAACTCTGTTCTACACTGTGTATGATATTCCCCACAGTCTGTATCGACCGCACAAGTCCTACTATCGCCTGAGTGGTTCTGTCGGCAATCCAATGGACGCGCCGAAGTTGAACAAAAAACCTCAGAAGTCCAGGAGCTTCTTTGCCAAGGCATCAATGCGTTTGGTTGGCAGGGACAGCTCCAAACGGAAAGGAGGCATCAATTCACTCGTCCTTCCAACGAAAAGTTAACACAACTGGCCCTCAAAGGTGTGATCTTTCCTTTAATAGCCGCTCATCCACCCAACCGGGAAGATGATGAGTTTTAGCCTCACCGCTTGCAATCCTGCTCTGGTGTCTGTTCCCCTTTGCTTTTGCTCTTTGGCACACTTGGTTCCTCTTTGCTTTTGCTTCTTGACACACTTTGTCAATGGGCTGTCAGCAGCACAGCACAGTTGCGCCCGCTGCTGCCGCTGCTACTACTACCGCTGAACCCAAATGCTGTTCCAACGTGGCAGCGTTACTCCACATGCTGCATATGCGCTATTTGTCTCTCCCATCTCCCTTATCAGATATTGTCCTGAGGAGGAGTTCTGGAATCAGTTTCCGCCATATTCTCGTGATCGATCATCTTGCTACTCTTATAATACTCATGACTAACTCTCTGTCTCTATCCTATCGTTATTTGTAAGCAGGACTATAGCCGGTGTGCACCAGGGCACACTTTGGGTGATTGTGAATGCAATGACTACATGCTTGGGTCTGTTCATACAGTGAGCGATTTCCGGCACTGTGCACCGATTGCTGCTGTCGTCTTTCCACACAAACTGATCAGCAACAGGCAGATCAGATCAACAGTCACACAGCCACAGATCTCTAGCACTGCCGTACTTTGCAAAATTCATAACTATTAATTTTATTTATCTCGATTTGTCCTTTTTCCAATTTATCGTTCAAAGCATCAGTGTTATGAGAACCTTATCATTGCTGTTCAAATATTGCATGAAGCCACGTTGTCTCTATTGCCCTGTCTTCTCGTCTGTTTGAGCCGTACTTTTTAGTGACAACAAAACACGAACATATCGACATTGCACGCCGATTGGAATGCTTTTGCTTGCACGCGCGTGTGTATGTACATGTGTGGGCATGTGCATGTGTGCATGCGTGCATGAGAGACAGAGAGAGACGGGGTGAGAGAGAGAGAGAGAGAGAGAGAGAGAGAGAGAGAGACGGGGTGAGAGAGAGAGAGAGAGAGAGAGAGAGAGAGAGAGAGAGAGAGAGAGAGAGAGAGAGAGAGAGAGAGAGAGAGAGCAGGGACACTGTGCCTGTGATCACTGTCGTCCAACTCCGACAAGTGGACCCATAAACAATCAGGGTCGCATTCATTTTAGGCTACTTTAATAGGCTGCATTCGATTGTAGAATCTGGATCCCGATCCCCGCCGACCAGATCACTTTGATCGGACGGATACAATCGAATGTGCACAACCGATAATCCTTGAAATGAATCCGTCGAATCCGTCTCTGGGAGGTGGGTTGACTGGATCCGAATCCGTGCTCTCGGGATCCGGATTCGTACAATCGAACATGTACGAATTTGGCGAATCCGGGTTTGGGGCTGATGGATTCGTACAATTGAACATGCCCTTAGTAGAGCCAGATCATGCAGAACAGATTATGAAAAAAGAAGACGATAATATCTAGCTTTAAATAAAGCGTGGGCAAAAAATTATTGGCGCGGATTACCTAAATCATAAGATAGAATATTGTTCGGTGCTGGAACTATGTGATTGCTATCACACTAATAATGTACAAGTATCTGCTACTACCAGCTAAGTAGGTTTGCGCACAGACAACAAACAGCAAGAGACAGTCAGCGTGAAATAGCGTTACGGCAGTGAAGCGACCTGTCCAGCAGCCCGATGTACAGAAGAGCACCACACCTGCAGAATGAACAGTTGCAGAACGAGAGCACTGAGGTTGGTTGCAGTGCAGCCAGTGTGACCCGTCTACAGGCCCACACACTCCACACTCTCTCCGTCTACTGTTGTCCAGGTTGATAGAGTGACAGCAACGGCAGCACATCGGCTGAGTACAGTGTACACTGCTACACTGCACTACTCCACACAGTGGCAAGTGACAATAGTACTACTTGGTGGAATTCTGCGCAACTGCAAATGTCATTGAGGCGGGTGAATGAGGACGTGCAGGTGTAACTCACGATGGCGGAGCTCCCATCCCCACGGCAAGCATCTCTCCAAAGAACGGAGCAGTGGAGATTAATCCGGTAAGGAATAGACGCCAGCTGAATAGTGCACTTCCTGCTGCCGCAGCTTGAAGTCCATCACTTTCTTGAGTTCACTGTCTGACACCTCATCTTCAGCATACAGAGATATCATGCCACGGATGCGCTCCAGGGGTAGCTCACCAAAGTTGGTCAGCATACCTTCCACGTACTGCCAGAACGTCTGAACAAAGGAAAGTGGCACATTCAGTAAAGATGACGTCATACTCGTACACTCAAATACTGAGAGATAGGTGCACACACTGCACACTCTGCACACTCTCCACACACTGCACACACTGCACACACTGCACACTCTCCACACACACTGCACACACTCCACACACTCTCCTAAGTCACTAGCACACAAAGTGACTGTCACCGTGCAAACCTGTGCAAACGTGTAAATTTGTCGTTAGTGCAGCACTATCACGGTGGCCTGCTGAATGCGGTGCACACCTGAGGGCATATTGTGTGGACGTCAACGTGGCTAACATCTCAGCATGGCCTACACTTCAATGCAGCTACTAGTACCCAGGTAGTGAAGTGTCTGCTGCCACAATCAGCTGCACGGCCACCGAGATAGTGCAGTACAAAAGGCAAACTCAACAGTACTCCAGCACTACAGCACACAACGACGGTTGCGTAACACCCTGATTCCGCTCACCTCTATACGTTCCTCATCACCGGTGTCACCTTCTACTTGCCCATCATCAGATCCAGCTAGGACAATCTTGTCTGCAACGCATAGGCAAGAACACAAACAAGCACACACACATGCACACCCACACACACACATATGCACGCATACACGCGGACGCACGCACACCCACACGCACACGCACACCCACACGCACACACCCACGCACATACACACGCATGCAACAAGCAGGAGACGACAACACAACGCTATGTAGTCTTGGCATGGGTCGTGAGGTGTAAATCAGCGGTCTTCAGCGCATACTTGACTATGCCAATCTGTTGACTACTGTAAGTCGATAAATTTTCGGCCCATTCAAATTTCGGCCTCCCAGGGCTAAAACACATTTCGGCCTGTTCTGCTGCCTGTACAGTATACACTGTCACACTGAACCTTGCAAAGCAAAATTTCGGCTACAACAAATTTTCGGCCAAATGTGATCAGGCCGAAAATAGCCGAAAATAAATATGCGCCGAAAATTTGTTGAGTTACAGTACATAATAAAAACTGGGATGTTGAGTGAAAACAGTCAATTGCAGTATGGTGTTGAGTCAATAGTAGTATGGTGTTGAGTCAATAGTAGTATGGTGTTGAGTCAATAGCAGTATGGTGTTGAGTCAATAGTAGTATGGTGTTGAGTCAATTGCAGTATGGTGTTGAGTCAATAGTAGTATGGTGTTGAGTCAATAGCAGTATGGTGTTGAGTCAATAGTAGTATGGTGTTGAGTCAATAGTAGTATGGTGTTGAGTCAATAGTAGTATGGTGTTGAGTCAATAGTAGTATGGTGTTGAGTCAATAGTAGTATGGTGTTGAGTCAATAGTAGTATGGTGTTGAGTCAATTGCAGTATGGTGTTGAGTCAATAGTAGTATTGTTACATGCAACCCAGGCACTACACAAGACCAAGACACACTTGTTAGATAGGGAAAACTCAAGACTTGTATATCACTCGTTCAGAGCAAGACAAGACAACAAAACAAAACAACAGGCATGCGCATATGCATGCAGGCAACGTAAGTAATAAGATAACAACTTATGACGCGTTTGTACAACGCTTGCTCAGATATCACATCCCTCCACCATCAGATGGAAACGACCAGAATAACAGAAATACATAGACTGTGTCGTGGCAGCAAATAATCTGATAAGACGAACTACAGATCAAGGCGGACAGGAGCCTTTACAGAACGAGAAGAGCTGCGCATAGACACGACAGGACTAGAACCACTAGACTGGTTAGAAGTAGATTCAGGAACAGATAAATCAGCATTCTCACGGATCTCATCATGTACAATTGAGCCAGGCAGTGACATAGACTCATTCGGCGGAACACTAGGTAGAGCAGTTGAAGACGGTAGAGCTGTGGTAGAAGGTAAAGCTCTGGAATATGGAAGCTGTGGTGCTGACGTAGCAGTTGAAGCATCTTGCACCGACTCAGCAGGAAGGCGTTTCTTCAGGTGGTCAGAGTGACGCTTCCAGACTCTGTTATTAACAAGACGAACCGTGAATGTTAGAGGACCAAGCTGTTCTTCCACGGTGCCAGCTATCCACTTCGGTGAGGAGTTGAAATTCACTGCCCAGACGGCATCACCACAATAGAACTGGTATGCATTTGCACCACCACGATCATGGGCAGTGCACTGTTTGTCCAAGACTTTCTTGCCGCTGTCCGGGAACACGAGATCCAGACGTGAGCGGGGACGATGTTCCTTCCAAAGTAGCTCAAACGGAGAACGACCCGTTGTTGACTGCGGCGTTATTCTGTATTGGAACAGGAACCTAGCAAGGCGGGTTTCCAAATCAGGGCCAGACATCTTGGCCAAGCCAGACTTCACCGTCTGTACTGCGCGCTCGGCTAAGCCATTACTAGACGGATGATATGGTGAAACGAGAGTATGACGTATGCCATTAGATGAGCAAAACTCACGAAATTCACTACTTGCAAAAGCAGGGCCATTGTCAGAAACAATATTATAAGGTAAGCCAAGCAGAGCAAAGGTCTGCTCCAGCTTGCGAATTGCGACAGCAGCAGATGAGCCAGAGCAAACATGTGCTTCAATAAATTTACTATGACTATCGACAATAATGAAGAGCATCTTACCAGCGATGGGTCCAGCAAAGTCGACATGGACACGTAACCAAGGCTTACCAGGCCATTCCCATGGGTGGACTTGCTGGCGATGCGGCGACTTGGTGACGGTCTGGCACTGCGTGCAACCACGGACGGTCTGTTCGATTTCTGCATCGAGAGACGGCCACCAGACATAGCTGCGTGCCAGGGCTTTCATTCTAGCGATACCGGGATGACCGGCGTGCAACTCGTCCAGCAATGGTGCACAACCCGGTGAAGGAATAACTACCCTGGAACCAATTAGGATGCAGTTATTCAAGACAGACAGCTCACTACGACGACGGGAATATGGCTCTAATCCCTCTGGAATGTCTTGGGGCCAGCCCTCAGACACAAACTTGTATACTAATGCCAGGGACGGATCTTTGCTCATCCAGCGAGCAATCGATGCAGACATAACCGGTGTAGTGTTCAAGACGGATAGCGATAGTACAGCCTCGGCTGGCTGCGGCGGTTCCGGTACCAGCGCCGGATTGGGGAGGCGACTCAACCCATCAGCGCAACCGTTCTGTTTCCCAGGCTTGTACTCCAGAACAAATTCATAATTGGCTAGTTTGAGTGCCCATCGCTGAATACGACCACTAGACTGAACAGGAATGGGTCTATCAGGATCAAACAATCCCAGCAGTGGCTTATGATCTGTTTGTAGTGTAAAGTTGCGACCGAAGATGTACTTGTGGAACTTGGAGACGCCAAATACCATTGCCAAGGCCTCACGGTCAAGCTGCGAGTAATTCTTCTCACAAGACGACAGCGTTCTAGATGCAAAGGCTACTGGCCGATCAGACCCATCTGGCAGAACATGCGACAGAACTGCGCCAACACCATACGGGGAAGCGTCACAGGACACGACAATAGGTAAACTAGGATCATAATGAATACGTATCGGCTCAGAAAGCAGCAGAGACTTGCCTGTATCAAACGCTTTCTGGTGACTATCAGACCAACACCACGACTTTGATGATAACAATTCATACAATGGAGCTAACACTGAGCTTAGATTTTCGATGAACTTGTGGTAATAGTTTATGAGTCCCAGAAAGCTTCTCAGTTCAGGGACATTCTTGGGCTGTGGGGCCTTCACAAGGTCATCCACTTTCTCAGCCGACTGAATCAATAACATGGCCCAGGAACTCAATAGACTGCTGAGCCACGAGACACTTCTCACGATTCAACCTGAGACCCGCGGACGCTAGACGATCCAGGACCAGCCTCAGATTCCCATCATGCTCCGCACGAGTCTTTCCAGAAACAACAATATCGTCGAGATACACTACGACAAAGGACAGACCTGCTAACAATTGTTCCATCGTGCGCTGAAATATTGCCGGGGCCGCCGACACGCCAAAGGGTAGGCGGTTGTAGACGAACAATCCTTTGGAGGTGTTGATTGTCGTCAGCAGCTTAGACTCGTCGTCGAGCAACAGTTGTTGATAAGCATGTTTCAGGTCAAGCTTGGAGAAGAATGCGCCTTGCGATAACTTCTGATACAAGTCGTCGATGTTGGGCAAGGGGTACTTGTCTACTCTTGCCGACTGGTTGATAGTACATTTATAATCGCCACAGATTCGTATGCTACCGTTCCGCTTGAGAACGGGTACGATTGGAGCTGCCCACTCCGAATACTGGACAGGACTAATGATGTCAGCTTCCTCCAGTCGACTCAGCTCTTTTTCCACTGCTGCTTGTAACGCATAAGGAACAGAGCGTGCCTTCAGGAACCGGGGTCTGGCGCTGTCTGCCACGGACAATTTGACTTTTCCCTGTTGCCAGGTGCCCATGCTACGTTGGAAGAGCTGCGGGAACTCTGACAATATCGAGTGCTCGCGTGACACGTTGAACACGAAGTTCCAATTCAACCTCAGCAGTTGCAACGCGTCTCGACCCAGGAGATTTGGTCCGTTTCCGTGGACAACGACGATCGACAATTCTGCTGATTTACGAGAAGCATGGGTCGCAGAAGCACTAAAGCGACCGACGACATTCAGAATTCCGCCGGAGTAAGTACGCAGCTTCGGCAGATCACTTGTGTCGAGCGACAAATTGACCTTGGATGCCAGCCGATGAAATTCGTTTTCAGACATCACCGTCACGGCTGCACCCGTGTCGATTTCAAACACGACTGGCTGTTTACATAACTGGAGGGTACAACAGTACGGGTCCACGCGGTCCTTGTCACTCTGCGTGCGGTACAACGAATAGTACTCGTCCAGGCCGCTGCTGTACGGACTTGCAGTTGTAGGACCGGATGCAACACTCGCACCAGTACCAGCACTTGCACTATGACTTGGAGCAGGAGCAGGGTCGACTGGCGACGTTCCATGTACTTCTTGAGACTGGCCAACCATGTGTACACTGCCACCAGTGCTGGACTGCTGTGAACGGCAAACTTTGGCGAAGTGGTTTGGCTTCCTACACTTCCGGCACGACTTGCCCCAAGCTGGGCATGACTCGCGCTTCTTGTGCCACTGGTCTCCACATCCACCGCATTTACGTGACTGGCCACGCGATGACTGCACAAATCCACCCCGTCCAGCTTGCCTGTGACTCTGGTCTCGGTGGTGCACGGCATTGACAAGCATACTACTACTCCCGGTATAACCGGTACCAGACGAAGTAGAAGTGGCTGAGGACATTCCTTCCGACTGGGACTGGGCGTCCTCCCAAATTCTGCACATTTCCAACGCTCGTGGCAGAGTCAGGGCTGGTTCTGACAGGAGCTTCTTCTTCAGCTCACTGCTGTCGACTGTGGCTACGATCTGGTCACGTATAGCTTCCGCAGTTTGTCCTTCATTCTCGAAGGAACAAAGCCGAGCTTGCTGCCGAAGCTTGGTGCAGTACTGCACTGTGGACTCTCCCTGCCGGCGAGTGAGTTGACGGAAGACGTGCCTCTCATACGTAGGGTTTGCAGGAGCACCGAAATGAGCTTGCAAGGTACGCTTGCACTTGAGGAACTCATTGTCATTCTGTGTTCTCTGATCTGGTGGAAGGCTGTCATCTGGGTCGGATAGGTCCTCGAATAAATCCTGAACTTCTTCGCGACTTCTTCGCGAAGTGCAAGAGCAGTGCTTTTGAACGCTTCTTGTTCGTAATGTCCTTTCCCGTCAGATAATAGTCAAAGGCTCGAACCCATTTTGTCCACCTCAGAGCCACTTGAGATGGGGGTCCGGACGTGTCGAATGGTGGAAGACGGTCACGATCTTCCTCCACCGCGCAGGACGTTGTCTTCGTCGCCAAATTGTTACATGCAACCCAGGCACTACACAAGACCAAGACACACTTGTCAGATAGGGAAAACTCAAGACTTGTATATCACTCGTTCAGAGCAAGACAAGACAACAAAACAAAACAACAGGCATGCGCATATGCATGCAGGCAACGTAAGTAATAAGATAACAACTTATGACGCGTTTGTACAACGCTTGCTCAGATATCACAAGTATGGTGTTGAGTCAATAGTAATATGGTGTTGAGTCAATAGTAGTATGGTGTTGAGTCAATAGTAGTATGGTGTTGAGTCAATAGCAGTATGGTGTTGAGTCAATAGTAGTATGGAAAGAGAAAAGGACCTATAAGTTACTAGTTATGACTAAGGGAGCATCTCATAAGTTCGCATTTTTTTCTAAACGTAACGCATTTCGAAACGGGGGTAGGGGGGTAGCGCCCTTTTCGAATAGAAAAATGACAGTTGGCACATTTTCTGGATGTATACAATCTACTACTGTGCCGTGCATGTGCTAGATCACTTCAGCGTGTTTAGGTGTAGATCTACCCATGTTTGCAGATCAGCTAACCCTTGCACTGCATGCATGCATGCAGGCTACTCAGAGGTGTCAAATGTCACACCAGCCTGATCAAACCGTGTACCTGGTCACCTTTTACACCAGTACATTCTACAGTTGTTGTGGAGGAACTCTGTTTATGCGCGTGTACAGTACATGTCATCCATTGTACTTGTACTCGTAGACCTACTCAGTAGATGCGGTACTACTGTATGCCATTCACTCAGCTCTAGCAAAACATTCATTATCCATGTAAATAAGAACCCATGTACATGTACATGTACATGTACATGTACATAAGCATACCATAGCATGGGGCATGGATGTGTACAGTAGATAAACACAGAAAATGTGCGATAAGACTTTCGAATAGAGGGGGGAGGTAGGGGGGGGGGGGGGGTAAAGTCTATTCGAAATGCGTTACGTTTGCAAAATAAATGCGAACTTATGAGATGCTCTCTAATAGGCTATTCATACTACGTTACAATACGCGTCACGTTTTGGAATACGACGTACTGGCAGACGTCGTTTTCATGCGGGTGCATTCACACAGGCACGTACACGCTGCTCGTACAGCTGTGTGTACAGCTTCTTTTGGACACAAACTGCCAGGAACGACAGAACGAAACTCGGTACAGGGGTCCGGATACGTCGTCTGCGTTTTCGTATCAGGGGTACGGTTTTCCCGCCGCGTTCCATGTTGTCATGGCTATCCGGACAAAAACGTCACGTACGCGACGTTTTGGGTGTAGTGTGAATGGCCCATAACACTATACAGTCCACCAAGGTAACGAGATAATATACATGTACAGTCAGATAGTGCGACAACAAGGCACAACACTGACAAGGATATTGAGACATTCGACGACCTGACTCCTAGCTCCAACACATCTACAAAGCGCAAACCAACAACCTTCCAACTTGGAAGGCTCAGGTGCGGAAAGTTACAGTGAGGGGAAGGGATGCGGGAAGATGTGCACGAGCTATGTCCATCGGCAACAAAGAAGTGTTGGAGCTAGGTGTCAGGTCGTCGAATGTCTCAATATACTTGTCAGTTGTGTGCCTCGTTTTCGCATTATCTGACCGTATATTATCTCGCTACCTTGGTTACCTTGGTGGACTGTTAGTCATAACTAGTAACTAATACAATGTAGGTACTTTTCTCTTTACTTACAGTACACTGCAGGCTGTAGAGCAATGAGAGCAGAAGAACTTGAGTCACCTACTTCCAACTACAAGTACATCAGGGATGAATTTACTGTTATTTTTTGCATAGCAGTTTTTGTTACTTGACGGCGCAAGCTAGGCATGGATAGCCTGTATGTATTGCAGTTTTCTGCTAGTCGCGGTGATTTTTGAGTAGCAGTAGATCGATTTTGCATAGCAAACTGCGATGCGATACCGGATAAATTCATCCCTGTACATGTACATGTAGTTTCTAGGACACTGCCTGAGAGCAAAGCAGTGTGTTTTAAATGCCAGCTGTGAGCCAGGAGAAGTATTATAATCGAATGAGAGCAAGTGGAAGCGACTTCGGAGGAAGTTTTAATTAATTTTACAGAACGAGGGCTATGCTAACAACATACCTGCAACGTCACCACCTTCAAGATCTGTCGTGTCGGAAATGATACGATACAGGGACGGTGTACTGCCGTCGTCCTCGCTGCTCTTGTCTTCGCTGAGCACGCGTTCGCTAACCCAGTACATGAGGGCAGAGCGTAGCGTCTTCTCACTGACCTCTAGCTCAGTACTCAGGTCAGATGCACTCCAACATACTGCAGGCATTGAACAACGCACACACCATTAGCACAAAGCACAGGGTGAACTTGAGTGTAATTTAGAGCTACTTATAACCACATGACACACATGTGTGTGTGTGTGAGCGCGTGCGTGCATGTGTGTGTGTGTGTGTGTGTGTGTGTGTGGTGTGTACGTGCGCGCGCGCGCGTGTGTGTGGGGGGGGGGGCTATTAGTACTCCCAGGTTAGATTATAAATCTTGTGTGATCAATGGTGCTAGAAAAGCCTATATCAGATCCACTCTAATTTAGCCACCCACACTAGTGTCAAGCATTACCTTCACCGGGGGCAGGGGTAAATGCAGTTGGATCCCGGGATGGATACCCTGATGCCGTGAATCCTTTTTCTGCACACTGTCCTTACCCACTTATTTCGGCGTGGTGAGCCAATAGAACGATCATTACTAGTAAGGCCACCCAGGGGTCTCGGGATTTCAGGGGGTCGGCAGGTGGGCGGTTCAGTAGCAAATTGAGTCATCTTTCCAACATTCTTTTCCTCTCCCGGGTAGACCCACGTGACCAGTTTTGGCAGTGAGCAAGTACAGTACAGTACAGCACAGTACAGTACAGTACAATGTGTGTGTATGTGTGTATGTATGTGTATGTGTATGTATGTATGTATGTATGTATGTATGTATGTATGTATGTATGTATGTGTGTGTGTGACTGTGTGTGTGTGTGTGGTGTGTGTGTGTGTGTATTTCTTAGTAGCAAGGTATGAACTGCTTACCACGATCTCCCTGGAAGAGATAGATGAGCGAAGCTTGCATCGGGTCACACGTGAAGCTGAGAGTTGAGCTGGGGAACTTCAGATCGAGCTCCACTTGTCCCAGATTATGGCACCACTCCAAGCGACGGTCGTTCTTCAAACGCGAGAACTGCTTACCATACTCCTCCATAACACTGATGAACACACGGACAGACAGACAGGCGGGGTAAGCTCATGCCAATAGAGAGTACACATGCTTCTCTCTCTCTCTCCCTCTCTCTCCCTCCCTCTCTCTCTCTCTCTCTCTCTCTCTCTCTCTCTCTCTCTCTCTCTCTCTCTCTCTCTCTCTCTCTCTCTCTCTCTCTCTCTCTCTCTCTCTCTCTCTGCCGATACCAGTATGACTTACCCTTGGACTGGCTGCGGAGGTTTAAGCTTAGCCAGGTGAGTGTCCTGGGGCAAGCGACTCTCCCAGTACGCACGTGATAACATGAACGTGTGAAACCCACTGCATGGCATAACCTACATACAGTGAACAACAACAACAACGACAACGACAATGCTATTAACAGCAGCAACGACAACAAAACAGCACCACATTGTGGTGTACTCGAAGTACAAATACAAACAGTGCATTATCCAAAGGAAACTCCGCACGACAACAACAACAACAGCCTCAGGTAATGCAGCAATACCAGTTACATATGGTGAACCTGTCTAAGACGACCGTTCAAAGGACCTTCAAAACGTTGTCTCTGTTACCAGGTGGTCTCCTTATCCAGGGTCATTTGACCGGAAAGAGCATTCCTTGGTCCTGGTTTGAGTGGTCTTCTAGGACAGGTACAGTCAGACCTCGCTTAACCGCACACATTCGTTTCCACAAAAAATATCCGGATAAGGCAAGGGAACCGGATAAAAGAACACACATACTGTATGTATGCATGACATATGCTGTAAATCGGTAACCAACGATTTTCTTCCGGATGGCGAGGGATCCGGATAAAAGAGGACCGGATAAGCGAGGTCTGACTGTAGTCGCCTTGACAGGTTTTACTGTAATGCATGATTATGAACCAGCACAGCCACTCACTGATCTCCTGTCACTCTCTGCGTCGTCGTCGTTGTCCGGCTCGTCCAGGATCTCGTGTATAGCCTTGTCAACACGACGTGAGCTAGTGATGTCAGACAGCATGACATCACAGCGTGACAAGTCGGCGTCTTCAAAGCACAGCTTGACGCGCTCCAGATTACCCAGCTGTGCAGTCACAACGGCACACAAGACATGGTAGAGAAGAGAAGGCTAAACCTGGCGTGCTAGGTGGTAAGCACAGCAGTAAGTGGACTGAAGCATCACCATACATGTACATCCAACGACATTGGATTGTACAGAGGTGGCAAACAATACTGTATTTCCCCGTAACATCGCTGGCCGGACTGGACTGACCCAGCCTGGCCGTGCCCACAATGACCTATGGATATCTTATGTACATCTCTGGGAAAGCACACTAAGTTTTGACAGTTTTGTGAATGTAGTCTCTCGTCACAAGTCTGATGGTCGCGTCGAGTGGGATTTGCTCAGCGCGAACAGACATACAAACAATACGCTGTACTCAAGAGGGTAAGCGGGTATTCTATCCATGCGTACGGTACACCATGCAAGTACAGTGTACACCATGCAAGTACAGTGGATAGAGCAGCATCAGAGCTCAGCTGGGTATTCCATTAGTCATGTGCCAGTGCTTTTTCAACCAATAAGGTTTTGCCACCAGCCTGCCACACCACTAGACCTTACCAAAAACGGATGATGAAGCCAGCTTGTCACTGTCCTTGTCAGTGTCGGGCAATGTTATCGCATGAGCTGATTGTTTAGTAACTGGTGGTGTTAGCGGACATTATAGTGTAACTTGTAGTTCCTTGGTCCTTTTCTTTTCTATAAATAAGGGTGAAGTGTGTGCTGCATCATATGACTATTGGCTACCCTCTCTGCTGGTCTGTAGAGGATAAGCCGCCGGGTGACTCACCTCCTGCATGTTGTCATAAGTCAACGATCGCAGAATCCTGGCAGCTAGCAAGGCCTGGTACTGAGACAGGAACTGCTCGCGGCTGCCATAGATAGAGATGAGCAGTCTGCAGGGAAAGAACGCAAAGTAACCTGGTTTAATTAATTAGTTAAACGTACAGCAGGATGATGATGATGTCACAGTAGTACAGTTGTGCGCTCACTGAAATCCGACCCGAAGTGCAAAGCTAGCGCCCTGGTCACGTCCCGATTACATCATTGTATTTGTACACGTGTACGTCTAGCGGCAGGGCGTCAAGGGCCGCACAGGTCGAGGGCGCCAAATGTGCACCCTGGGTCGGATTTCACCGAGCTGCACAACTGTAGAACACAGCTACTGTAGAACACAGCAGTACCCGTCATTGAACCTAGACGAGAATGTCAGTATTGACTGAGTACAGGACACATGTCAGACACGGTGTCTTCAGGACAGCGTTGTTGGTTCAGAAAGGGCACTGATTGGCTGCAGCTACAGGAACAGCCAGGCGTCATGTACACCATTCAATATAGCCTGACAGTAAGTATTTGCAAAGTTTACCTGAAGCCTCGCATATATGAACTGGGCAAGCACTGGTGGCTAGATAGCTAAAATACAGCTGCCCAGCAGGAGTGGTGTACATACAGCTACCCAGCAGGAGCGGTGTACATACAGCTACCCAGCAGGAGCGGTGTACATACAGCTGCCCAGCAGGAGTGGTGTACGTGTGTCTTAGCCAAGTCAGTATAGTGCACTACCATAGTCACTCTGATTCTGAAAAGAACCCGCGGATATAATGCACTCACCCAATTACATCGGTCTTTGTCCGACTCGCTGACGTATTGTCTACAGAGGGACAGCAAGGAATATACATAACGGTATCAATACGTTGTGCACTGCTCGCGTTTACAAACACTGCGCGAAGCCCTCATACGTGCACCCCCCCCCCCCCCCACACACACACGCATCAGGGCGCGAAATAACGGTCGGACATCGGACAATTTCCGACCGTTTACGGTCAGTTTCCGGATGTTTTGTACACATCCGGACAAAGTGTCCGCGCACTTTTTTGCAAAGTACAAAAAGAAAAGGCACGTCAATCCTTTGTCTCATAGTCATTAGTGATGTCGCCTGGCAAGAGAAAGCCAAGCACCGCTGACTCCGGGTGCTCCTCTTGGAAAGAAGCCCAGAGGAGTCCAGACGACCACTTGTGACAAGTGGGTCGCCGAGTATGATAGGGAGCTTTCAATTTACTTCTGTTTGGCTGAGCTATGAGTATGAGCGCAGTCCCTCAGATCGTAGCGTTGTCGAAAATTTGAAGTGTAAGATGTGTTCCCGTTTTGCTGATAAAATTCGCAGCAGCAAGAATTTTTCTGACTCCTTCGTCGTTGGCTCAAGGAACCTGAAAACATCAGCCTTCAAAGATCATGCTGCTTCTGAAATGCATTGCCGTGCCACGGCATTGTTTGGCAAGGAGCCGTGAGTCAAGCGGAAACCCAATAGAGTATGCGCCAATCGCTCGAGCCTTGTGCAAACTTGACGACGCAGCAGCAGCCAAGGTCGGACTCTTTTCACGTCATGATAACATTTTGATGGTATTAATTCTACACTGAACACTGTGTGACTTGATGTGAAAATTTTCATGTCCAGACATGTCCGGCCATTTTTGTAACTGGCAGGACATTGTGTCTGAGCACATTTTAATCCTTAGCGCATGCCCTGCGCATACATACACACACACACACACACACACACACACACACACACACACACACACACACACCATGTGAATGTTCAATCATTACCATCTTCTTGTGCTCAAAACAAAACACCGCCAAATCCCGGATGAGATCTGCATCTGTCTATGACATACCAAGACAAGCATCCTTTGGCTCCGGCTTCCAGCTGTCCCAGTTCTCAAACACCGTTTCGTAATCATCGTCTTCAAAGCCCTTGATCTTCACGCCCCGTTCAAACTCCTGTCATACAATCGGATCATTGGTAGAAAACATATTCTAAAATGAACAACAATCGACGAGCTATCTCCAAAGCATGTAACACATAGTAGGTTCGGATAAGCTACTAGCAAGAGTATGCAACCAAGACTGTGCAGCTCCTATCTTCAGCTGCGATGGGGCTCACCCACGGCAGGATTTGTATTAGTGATGTAATGAATAATCGATTATTTGAACTTCCTCGATCTCTTGGACCTCAACGAATAATCGATCGGATAAAATCTAGGTCGAAGGCTCGAAAATTCGAATATTCGCGGGCGGGCGAAGTCGGTGCGCTGCATAGCGCGCGCAACTCTAGATCTCTCGACTTGAGTGCATAAACGCTGTACTGTGTTGCAGACAATGACTAGACTACGTGTGGTAGACCATGGTAGACTCTACTGTGACTCAAGTCTGAGCGCTTGTCTTGTGTGTTTGCTACATGCACACTTTTTGTGGAATAGTAGAAAAATCGTTTGTTCGCTTGAGTGGTATTCGTTAGATTATTCGTTCGTAATATTCATGGTTCATTACTGCGTCATTTTTTGGCAGAAGTATGACCAAGTGCGTATGCATTTCCGCGTTTGTCTTGTAGATACGGTGCGATTTCATCAGGTTCGTCCATAGTTTTACTTCGAATACCGTAGCTGCAATGTACAAGTTCTTCGCATTTCGTATAGTACTGTTATTCCCATTATTTACGTTTCAAATTTCATTCACGATAATGTAGGACAACACACACACACACGCACGCACACACACACACACATGTACACACACATGCACACACACACACACACACACACACACACACACACACACACACACACACACAAACACACATACACACGCATACACACACACATACAAACACATACACACGCGCGCGCACACGCACACATACACACGCGCGCGCGCGCACACACACACACACACAGCTTACATCAGCCAGCTCGCCGCTCTCTTCTGTCAGCAGGGTTTCCACAATGCACCTACCACAGTCCTCACGGCACCTGCAGCAGAACGCACACAAGTGGCACTACGTAAGCCAGGCAGACGATAAACTGGACAATACTATTACATAGCAACGGAAACATATTCAAATCCTTCTGACACAAGCTAAGTTGCTACTTACTTACAGAAGTTCTCAATACCATGAGGGCTGCGCCAAATGACACAAGTGCCATCCCAACGTGGAACAGCCTGCCAGGACACGTCTTGCGATCCGCACCGCACCCACGACAGCTGCAGTCCTTCAAGGAAAGGTGCCATAGGTACCTGCTGCACCTTGACTGGCAGAGAGCAACTGACGCTCTTTGATTTTCCTAGTGTCACAAATTTTCATGACCAACTCGTTCGCACAGCGGATCTTGTCTGTATGAAATTGTCATGTGAGAATACACGCTAGTGACTTTCTTAGCTTAAGTTCTGATTGACCCCCATTTCCCTATCCAACATATCTTTTAATCTTTACCCTTCTGCAGTGGATGTGTGGGCGCTAACAGTGGGCGCAGCACTTCCGTATACATGTCTTGCTCTCGTCTTGCTTTTCCCTCTCCCTTATGTCCTTTTCTATTTTTCCTTGGCGCGCTTCGTCTGTGCAGACGCCCCGAGACCACCAAGGTCAGCTGAGCAGCAGGGCCCCGCCACCACTTTCCATATTCATTCGGGAGCACAGTGGACTTGGTAAAAAAAAAATTGTTAAACCTGTGGACATAGTACATACACAGCAGCCTCACCTGAGGTAGATACGCACCGGCTGACAGACCTGCTCCATCACAACTCCAGTCGGGTCAAACTGGCGCAGCGCCTTGACCAGTGACGCGTATTGCGCTATGATGTCCCGCGTATCCGCACCGGGTTGCAGCAGTCTATCGATCAACCTGAACACCAGCAGGATGCACACACACGCACACACACGCACACACACACACACACACACACACACTACTCTAGTTCTGCATGTCAGGGGGAAAAAATTCTCAGCGTGTCATTGATCCAAAGCGCTGGCAAAAACAACAGAATAATAATGCATGTAATATCATCCATCCACCGCACCAGAGCCCTGTTACAGCATTACATTGAAGACAATGGTGGTACACAACCAGAGGGTTGTGGTGGATGCTTACGCTCGACGTAGACTGGTCACCAACAGGGACTTCTGATCGGCAGTCCGGCAACAGTGCTACACATAGGGCACAAGACAGATAGAAGTAAAAATGCGGCCGGCCTACGTTAAGTCGTTTATCCATCATGCCATACACCAGCATAGTATTAGCTGCATTGTACAGCGATGAGTGTATGGTATTAGCTGCATTGTACACGAGTGTGCAGCTGACCTTCATCTCATCAATGACCGGAATGCTCTCCGGGTAGTAAACAACAATGTTGAACATTTCCTTGATTCTGCAGAGCCAGAAACACAGACACACGTGCACATGCACATGCACACACACACACACACACACACACACACACACACACACACACAGACACGCACACACACGTGCCCATACGCACATCCAGACAAGTACGAGCATACTTTCGCGGACTACTATTATTACTACTCTAAGCATGTGCGTGTTTAAGTGGACAGCTGCCCAGGGCCTTGGTATGCAAAATAATGTGAAGCAGTGCGGAATAAGCTGGGCCACATTGATGCAGAAAGTGAGGGTTACGCAGAACACATGAACACTTCCTGAAAAGACAAGATACCAACATTGACATCAGCATATCTATGTTGCATTCTTGACTGGTGAAGGAAGCCCCGGGTTTAGATCTTCAAAACAATCAGAGAAGAGCAATCATGATTGCTCACAATTTACTGTGCTATGCACGTGGAGCTAGCCAAACAAATACACACACACACACACGTGCGCGTGCACACACACACACACACGCACACACACACACACACACACACACACACACACACACACAATCACCTGAGCTGCAGTAAACTATCGGAAACGATCTCTGTCAATCTCCGTCTCCATGTCTCGTGGACATCTTCTGCATGTCGCTGCCTTGAATCACTCTTCAGCGCCTCTGCAATCAACAAAAGAATAACAGCCGCAATACTCTCAGAGGAATTGTACCTTTAACACATAGGTGTGACAGTCCTGTAGCTACGAGTTTTGCAGATGTGCCTTTCCCTTATCCACAGGCTGTGCACTGTTGACACAAGCAAATTTAAACGCCCGTTGAATCCCACACACTGTGTCGCTATCCTGCTGGTCTTACAGCATGGGCCAGGGATAGACCAAGTCTGTCATGTGTAGTACGATCTACGAGTACAAGGCAATCGAGTGTGAAACGTCACACTTGCCCCCACTGGATTGCGCACAACCCCACCCATCAGAATGCCTAAACTGTCATGCATTGCACACAACAGCAAAGCAGGCATCAGTTCAAACAATTCTGTCACTTCACAAATAGAAAGTTGGCAGAGGGTGGGCGGACAGCGGTTTGTGATACTGCAAACCTGAGCAGCATTTCCATGCAAACACACAGTCACTTGAACAAAAAAAAGAAGGAAAAAGGTGGCGCTCGGAAGGCCGAATCGAACGGCTGTGGCGTTAACCACCTACAGGTTTGAAGCCTGCACCCCACACCAGTGAAGCTCATCCGAGCAATCCCATAGTGGCCCTGCTGGGTTTATATACCCCAGTCATTACAGCTCAGGGTCAACAGTGGCAAAAACAATACTGGCAACACAAAGTTGTTTGGCATCACCACTTCAAAATAATGTCAAGGTACAATGCTCAGGATGAAACTAAATAGCAAGTCAGATTGGACTTGAGCGGAAACTAAGCAACCATGGCAACAGCGCGGACCGCCATAGCAACCGTACACAACCTACGGTTGCCAGGGAGATTATCCATTACAGCATGCAACGAGATCATGGAAGGACCTTGGTCTGGATTAGCTCACACCGGACCTGCTCGGCCTCTAAGGCTCAAATTAACGATGATATGTATAGGATATTGACCAAGACGAGGTCTATATGGGAAATATAGGCCGAGTAAAAGACCGAGGTCCGCCGAGGTCTTTTACGAGGCCTATATTTCCCATATAGACCGAAGTCAAGGTCAATATCCTATTTATCACGATTCCTTTGCCATAACCCCAAAATTTGAACCTTTAGGAGCTATTTTAACCTTTTTAGTATAGCATTTGTACTATAGTGTACATAGGATGTTGCCTATTTTGGGTACAAGACTGTAAGAACAACAGAGTTCAGCATCTGCAGCACAGTGGCTGGGTGGTATTAGGGGTTGCTTGAGATTCATACTGTTGTGAGTTCAAATCCTGCTTGTTCTCTTCCTTTGTCTTCTTTCTTTCAATTTTTCTTTTTGAAGTGGAGAGAAAAATTCTAAGTCCCTCCAAAGTCAAAAGATTACAATGCCTAAGTGGTCGATACAAGCGGTCGATATAAGCGGTCGATATTGCGGCGATATGGGTAATATAGGACCAGTCAAGGATCACGAGAATTAGTGGAGGTCGATATAGAAGAGTGATAAAATATTTTATAATATTAACTGGTTTGAGGGAAAGAGACAAACGGGAAAAGTTAATATTATATCATCGTTAATTTGATCATCGGACTCGGAGTATAGGCCGCACCCCCCCCCCCTTTTTCGGGTGAATTTTGAGTGCTCAAAGTGTGGCTTATACTCCGGAAAATACGGTAGATGTACTATTGTAGTCTCTTTCCGCATGACAGGTTCCACAACGAGCTTACCGACTGGTGCGACAAGTTTCATCCATGGCAGGACAAGGAGCTCACAAAACTTGATGCTTGGCGCAAGGGCGGCATGGTAGTACTTCTCTTTGTAACGTTGCACGAAGCAATCAATCTACAATGGCAACAGGCAATACAGAAATGGGTCAGCGATGGCCTCTGATATTGTCAGTGATGATGGCCTCTGATACTGTCAGAGCTGTAGTGCACAGAAGCTGCAAATACTAGCACTACAAGTCATTCAGCATTCTGACATGCATGCATAGTCTACTGTGCAGGCTGGCTAACCTTGCTTGCTATGACCTCATCAATGCAGTCACCAATCACAATCGGTAGCCATGCCAGTTCAGACAGGTGCTTGGTGAGTTTGTCCAGAGTGCCCATGAACTGCTGTGCTTCGTCTTCAGCCATGACTTCTTCTGCAGCAAGGCAGGACACAACGTCACACACAGAAAGCACCGTCAACATCGTTACAACAAGAAGAAGGGAAGTTCCCACAAGCAAATGTTGAGCTACATGTACAGTATTGTGTAGTTTCAGGTGTACATCTACCGCGATAACATACAAGTGAGACCTAGCAGGGAATATGTAGAGAATGGAGACACTGTGCAGTGTAGAGCTCAACACATCACCATCCAACCATCCCGCCAAAAGCACACCTTCTCAGGTGAAGATATGGTAAACATAGCACTGCACACCAGAATCACGCACGTTTTAGTGCAGAGTGTGATCTTCATTCGGTGTACACTGAAAGTCCATACAGTCACAGAGAAGGTGCGGAGGACAAACAACAACAACAACAACAACAGCATGCTACCCACACCATACATGCACAGTGACACACTACAGGGTTCTAGCCAGGTCAAAATACTGTAAAAGCCATATATATAACGAAGTGCTAACTGTAACGAGTTAACGAGGAGAAATTGTTATACAGAAATCGATACATATTCTGTCCTATTGAGCGTTGAGAATGAGTGAGAATCGTTACCTTTGGTACACGTAAACTAGTCAATTTTGGGAAATCGTTATATACGCGCCTCGTTAAAATAATGGCTTTTACAGTAGTGGGGGGGGGGGGGGCAGGGGCAGGGAATAATGGCTTTTACAGTAGTGGGGGGGGGGGCAGGGGCAGGGGCAGGGGCAGGGAAAACAGTTACCCCGTAACCCATTTTTCCATTTTCAAAGTAACTGTCTTGCAATGCGAAATGCAACGTACGGGGCGAACACCTGACTTCATCCCAAACAAATGTGCCTTTATGAACCCTCTAGTACTGACTATCGACTGCATTTTCGTTGAATGGCATGAAAAAACACAAAATCAGAAAATGAGTAGGGGGGGCACTTTTTCACAGGGGGCGAGCAAACAGAGTAGGTGGGGGGGGGGCGGCGCAGCCCCCCCCCCCCTCCTGTCCGGATATTTTTTGTGGAAAACGGATGTGTGCGGTTTATGTACTCCAAACACACAAAGACGCTCCCCCCCCCCCCCCGCACACACACACACATGTAAAATAAATCTCATACCTTCATCTTCCTCGTCGTCCTCATCATCGTCCTCCTCATCATCATCACTAGTCACCATTAGCTCTTCCTTAGCGATAGGATGTAGTGCCCTATACGCACTCAGTGTCAAGCTGTAAAACTGCTTGGCCTTCTCGCCAAACGCCGGTGAGCCATGATCCACAAAGAGTGAGGCCACAAGCTCAAACGACTGCTTCCAGATAGCGCTGAATATCACAGACAACAACACACCCAGTGATACGTAGTGGCTTGGCCAGTGTCGCAAACATAATAAACGTAGAACATTTTTGTTTTGAACTCGGATAATGAGGTCGCTGAATGTCTCAGTAGCCTGTCAGTTTTGTGCCATGTTATCGCACGCACCGACCGCTTATTATCTTGTTACATTCGCGGATGGTTGCTTCATAACTCGTTTCCATGCGTTTTCTTCTTCTAGTTTACGTTTTTTTGAAGTGTTACTTATTTCTATCACCGCACAAATGCAATGCTCTTTATCACATCCATCCACAAGGTTATACTTGAAATTTTACAAAGACCTCTACTTCAGTACTTAGGTGCAGCCATAGCTGTACTTGCACCTGTCCATGCTGCATGCATACTTCTAAAACCCTGAAAATGTCGTTCTGGTAAACATAGCACTTTATTTCCTCCTGACCACCACCATCACCACCAACCCATTACGTCGGTTATCAACAACCCTGCATTGTCTGCATCCTCCACTGGCTCTACCTCTGACCTCTATGAACCCACGCAAGCCCTGTGACTATCACCAGTTTGCCCGTCAAGCCCTCATCCAGCCAGACCTTGCTGGAGCCTGAAACACCCGAGCAGGCCAAACAGAGTATTGCTATGCACGCAAACCGACGACTGTACTCTCCAAAGACAGGTTCAAGGTGAGAGAAGAAGCTTAGCAAGCCTGCCTTGTCAAGATGGCATCCAACTAGACCGCTTCAGGGGATCTTTTAAAGAATTGGAAGCCCTGCACAAGGTATTTGAGTGCATCATGTACTGTAGGTCTATTCATTAAACTGACCGATATCAATCTGCGGCAATCATACACATTGATGTTGATGCACGACAATGATCATGATGACAGCATACTGCTAGTAAGTGAGCTAGGAATGTGTACACAAACACATTGCTAGCCAAGCCACTCACCTGCCCCTGTCCGGGCACAGCACAGTCACTCCCTCCACTAGCGCATGCATAACGGAGAGGTGATGGCGAACGCCAGCCACCGCCTCCACGAACCAAGCCATGCCCTAGACATCGGACACGGCAAAGAGAATTGAAAACTCAATCAACGATATCCCGGTGTGAGCCTACTATATTCGGGATCCACCCGCAGTGACACAATGACTAGGTATGGCAGACATTGGCAGGGGATCAAGCTATTGGTGTTGGATAGATGATAACAAATTAGAAACACCAATGTCACCAACTACATTAGCATCTTGACTGGTCCAAACGTAGCAAGAAGGAGCGACGGGTGTGTGTGGTTTGGGCAAAAAGCTCGACATGGTGGCGGTTAAACTATTTACTGATTGGCTGGAAACTCTGGCGCAATATCTCAAATGTGCACATACATATGATAACAGAACAAAACTAAATATCTTGCTCTGTTCGTTGTGTACGTGTGTACATGCACATGGCTGTGTGTGTGTGTGTCTGTGTGTATGTGCTTGATCTGTCTCATGCAGATCTTGTCCGCTATCGTTGCTATAAGAGAAAATCTGTGGGTGCACATCCAGTGCATTTGCAGATTTGCGTGCTTCTCTTGCGACGGGTGTATACATGGTACATGGTATGTGTGTGTATGCGTGTGTGTATGTGCGTGCGTGCATGTGTGTGTGTGCGTGCATGCGTGTGTGTGCGTGTGTGTGTGTGTGTGTGCACTTACTGAGGTGTGGTGAGCCCATAAGTGGGATCATTTCAAGTCCACCCTACAGTCCATTTCAAAACTATAGACGCGTGAACTCATACGTACGAGCCGTACGTACTGTAGCGCACGACAGCCGTGAGTTTTGCATGAGTGTTTTCTGGTTTTCAGATGTGTTTTTCAGGTTTTTCTTCGTCGCCGCGGGAAATACAAAAGATGCAAAACATATTAACACGCAAAGTCGCAAATGAAAAGGTGTGAGGAAAGTCTCAAAAGAAATGAAAGTCTCAAATAAATCTTCTTCTTGTTTGCATTTTCTGAGTGCCTGACTGTAATGGCTTCCAAGGCCCGTAAGAATCTCAGTGATGCCAAGAAAGATATGATAAGTCGTGTTCATTGTTTCTTCGAACAAGAGCTGGATTTTGATTGACGCTTGAGTATCCGAAATCCTCGTCGTCGAACTCACCTTGCAACTGGCGTGAGTGAAACCACTGTCACTCGTTGTGTCAGGCGAAGGGAACAGGGAGGCTCAAATCAAATCAAAAAGAGAAAATATAATTATCAGAGAGGTTTTGCATTCCGAATTTCGGAATGATTTTCGACTATGCTTTTCCGAAAAAAGCGCGTGCCGAAAAACGGCATTTTCAGTGTTTTGCATTCCGAAAATCTGATTCGACTTCATTTCCAAGGGTTGCCATGCAAAACAAAATGGAGAGCGTCGAAGGGGTTGAGCAGGATCAAATCCATGTGCAGGTCAAACTGAATTTGGGTGCGGTTCGAAGACGAGGACGGACTGATGGTGGACCAAGTGATCCAACAGCTGAAGACGAGGTTGGCGATCTACTGTCTTGTACTGTCAGTAGGCTCCATGGCAAAGGAAGATAGAGTGTGATGGAGTGTGGGAAGATTAGTCAACATGGCGAGATCAGCGAGAGCAGCAAAAACCAGCAAAAATCAAAACTACATACGTGGAAAATTTTCAAATAATCGAGAGCAGCAGAAAGCAAAAATACAAACATGAAAAATTCATTTTTTTGTATTCAAATATGCACTCCCAAACATGAAGGAGCCGAAAATCCATTTTCGGAAAACCATGCACTTTCGCCACCACACTTCCGAAAGTTCGACTACTTTTTCGACTGCTGCCGCCACATTCCGAAAATAATTCCGAAATTCGGAATGCAAAACCTCTCTATCATCTCTACTGTATTTCACCCAACAAGATCCAAAACATGCAGAAAGAAGAGAAAAAAAGGCAGGAGACGTGATGGGATTCGAATGCCCCGCACTTGTACTGGAAATCACGGATCGAAACCACGAGGCTACCAGGACCCGTACAAAAATGCACCCGCGATATGGTCTGGGCGCAGCAGCACTGTCTCAGCAGGAGCAAAAATCCAAAACAAACTGGTCAAAACCTTCAAAACAGAAATTACATGTAAAACAGGAAAACCTGGCCTAAAAATAAACTTCAATTGTAGCGAAAACAAAGTATATAGCCAGAATTGTGAAGCGACGCAGAGACGGAATCTGGAGAAAAAACTAAAAATATTTAAATAAATCCCATCGAATTTTGCAAAACACTACGCGTCTATAGTTTTGAAATGGACTGTAGTTTGGGGATTTCAGGGGGTGTCGGCCGCTGGGTGGTTCAATGGCCAATTGAGTGATCTTTCCAAGATTCCTTTTGAGTCTCTCTCCCCTCTCCCGGGGAGACCCACGTGTAGAGTAGAGTACAAGTGTGTGCGTGTGTGTGTGTGTGTGTGTGTGTGTGTGTGTGTGTGTGTGTGTGTGCATGCGTGCGTGTGTGTGCGTGCATGCGTGTGTGTGCATGCATGCGTGTGTGTGCGCGCGTGTGTGTGTGTGTGTGTGTGTGTGTGTGTGTGTGTGTGTGTGTGTGTGTGTGTGTAGTGTAGTGTGTATGGTTGGTGCACTGTAACACTGGCTGTGCAGGTGCAGACAGACTGCACTCACCTGTGACTGGTCGTCCTGCACCATACACTGGTTAAAGTGCGGCAGTAGCTCTTCCATGATGTGATCAGACAGGATTGCTGCAGGAACGGCAGCACAAACACGGACAGACCCAAAAATCAAAATCACCAGGCGCATTGACAAGGGCACAGAACCACGTGCATGCAAAAATGAGCAGCTCGATATTCCTGCTCTTCACCGGATATTGCGGCGGATAAGTAAAGCAGGATCTATACTGTGCTCGCTATGTACAGTCTTGCTCAATGAAATCCAGTCGCGTCACTCAAGTGTGCGCTGTGCACCATTTCGCAAGCCCAGTGTTCGCAGGTCTAGGGCTGCGCAACGCCCGGCGCTTACTTGAGTGACTCGACTGGATTTCCGACAATGAGCAGCACTGTACATGGGAAATGTTTCGCAATGAGTATGGGGAAAGTCGTGCAACGGGGTAAATATGTTCAGCTCGAGTCAACTGTTTCGCTATGATAGGAGTTGTGACGCGTTTCCCATACGCAAAACGACATACCAAAACTGTCACAGGGCACATCAGATGAGCCCAGTCAGAATAAACTTTCCGCATACGTAGGAACGACATTGCGCTCACGGATCAAGGTGCAGATGCAGCTTCCAACGCCCTGGGAGATGAGTACCGTAGTTCCGCGCATATAAGCCCACGGGCCCATATCCGGATATAGCCCACCTCCTTTTATAGGCCCATGGGCTAATAAACAGACCCAAACACCGTTACGGACCCGTTTGTCAAGTGTATTTTTCACAATACCGGTACAGAGCTGTTCTTGTTGATGAGCCAGAAAACAAGAAAGTGGAGGGTTAAAAAAGGAAGGAAATTGAAAAAGACAAAACAAGTGCTGAATTTTCAGCAGTGCAGTATACGGTGGGCGGACAACCGCGCACGGACTTGTACTTTTTCGCGATCCATCTGCCTTCAGAATTCGAATATAGGCCCAGGGCTAAAAAACGAACCATTATTACTGATTTTTTCCCCCGGAAAATGCATTATTTCGTATATTAGCCCATGGGCTTATATGCGTGGAACTACGGTAGATCATTTTGTGGTGGGTCTGGATGATGTATAAATCTGACTTCTGGGGGCTGGATGCCTTTGTCGTGCATTTAAAATGTACAAAAGGCATGCTGCCTAGGTATATGTTGCTTACTCCTACACTGGTACATCATGCATGTTGCAAACCAGATGCATAGGCGCTAGGCATGGAATGGACAGCCAGTGAACACACCAATCGATGCGGCTCCCAGTGTAGGCCGCTCTCCTGTGTAGGGGAGTGTGTAAACACACGTCCCGGCATGAAGACATGTGTGTGTGTGTGTGTGTGTGTGTGTGTGTGTGTGTGTGTGTGTGTGTGTGTGTGTGTGTGTGTGTGTGTGTGTGTGTGTGTGTGTGTGTGTGTGTGTGTGTGTGTGTGTGGTGTGTGTGTGGTGTGTGTGTGGTGTGTGGTGTGTGTGTGTGTGTGTGTGTGTGTGTGTGTGTGTGTGTGTGTGTGTGCGCAGAAAGACATACCTGAGAGGCAAGCTGACAGCAAAGCATCAGCATTGTTCTCATGTACAACATTGACATGTCGCTGCAGCACACTGCCCGAGATCACATGACTGCTGAGCGCTGTAATGATACATGCACATACACGCCCACACACGTGCACACACACACACACACACACACACACACACTTGCACACAAACTCGTAGGCAAGCAATAACACACATACACAAGAAATCAAACATTCACGTTCGAATCACCCTATAAAATCAGCCGAATGTCGAATGTGTGTGTGTGCATGTATGTGCATGTATGTGCATGTGTGTGTGCGTGTGTGTGGCATGTGTGTGCAAGTACCCGAGTTATTGTACGTGCGTAAGCACTGCTAAGCACATGGCACAGGACCCGCAAGTCCACAAAGTATCAACTAGAGTTCCTTTTATTGTATTAACTTTTCTTATGTGTATCTAGACTCTCTTCCGTGCCGGCGTATTGCCGAACATTGGGAGTGAATGCCATGTTATGTATTGATAACCGTGCTAACATTTAGAGCCTCGAGCGTTACAATTTTGGCAAATTCATACTACTTTTCCAATTTCAACGAAGCGGCTCACCGTTCTCAGTGTCAGTTTTCAGAACTTTAGTACAGAGCTCAGACACGAAACTGAGTGCAGTAGCCAGCTGCTGGTGATTTGCCGTCATGGCGTACAGTTCGTACACGTTTCGCCGAAAATGTTCACTGGACAGATACTATGAGATCAAATCAAATTCTCAACTTTGATGTTGTCGTCCAAAGAAACTAGTCTTTCCAAGCCACCACCCTAACATCTCTACATTACATTCATTCGTCTCGCGTACTTGAAGGCACACTATTACTGGGGCAAACTGAAAGAAAAGGACGAAGACCAGAAACGCCGAAGCTGGTATGTATCAAACACATGCTCATAAAATCACGCTAGCTCTAGCTCTGTTCTCAGATCACGTTCTGCATTTTTTCGAATGTACATGTATGGCACGCAAAAAAATCAAAATTTGGCGCCATTCATGCGAAGGGAAATCCCCGCCTTGTAAATGTAAGCATCCAGGGTTGCTGAAATACACACTGCTGGCAGTGCTGCTGTACCAGATGAGCTGGAGGGAGTTCTACAGTACAGACTACAGTAGTACACTGTACTACAAAAGTGTAGTAGGACCAATACTGTATGGGTAGATGTAGCACCACCAAACTGTAAAAGCAGAAATTGTCGGTGGTGTTTTATTTTCGGTAACTTCGGTGCCGACAATTTTTACCGATAATAAAACGCACCGAAAATTTCGGTACAACCGATACTGTATGCATGTAGTACCAAGAGTACATACTCTTGGTAGTACTAGTACACCTACCTGGAGAACGGGTTTTACCGAAAATTTCCCTCTACCGAACTGCCGATTTTGGCGAATACCGAAAATATTACATCACCGAAAATTTCTGCTTTTACAGTACCAGTCCCGTAAACCTGCAAGTGCATGCAAGTGAGTCGTAAAATACCGGTATTTTACGACTCCCTGTTGGTGCCCCTCACATGGAATTCTGGAGAAAAACAAGAGATGGCCCTGCACAGACCTGCGGGCCAATACTGAAGCACTAGTGCCGTAAACGTGCATGCAGTGCTCGGTGCCCCTCGGAGAAAAAACGAGAGATGGCCCTGCACGGACTGCGGGCTACAGCAGAACTGGTGACATAGCTCAGTGCACAGAAGCTCCAATCAATTTCACAATAGTCCGTCTCCAGAAATATATTATGAAAATAACCTATCCAGAAACGTGTGTGGCGTGTACGTGAAATGAAATTGTCACAATTATTAACTTTGCAATTCCAAAAAACATGATACAGGAGCTCTGAAGAACTGCAAACAAACAAAACAGCAACAGCACACAAAAAGAAACAGAGAAGACATTCTACCATCTCATGGGTCATTGGTCTGCCTTTGTAGTGTGAATGTACAAGCAAATAGACAACGAAGACACCTTGCCAACATAAATATAATTCAATTAGGGACGCTGGTGATCGGGTAGCAGAAAGAGAAACAAATATCCAGGAGACAACTGTGTAAGATGCAGGCATTTCAGCACATGCAGAAAAACAAGGCATTCACAAGCAGAATAACATGAGAACAAAAGAGTACGAACTTAGCTATTGAATAGTCATGTACGGGGGAAAAAGAATAATAGAAGACCAACAAGCCCACATCGCCAGTGGAGAGAGGCAATAAAATCAAACGTCACCTCACCCCACGCTGCAATCACAAATGAACAAGACGCGGGGGAATATAAATACACGCAGGGTGCAGACGGAAACAAACTACATCAGTCAATGTGTTGAGTGCGCCGCAACAGCATGGACACACCACGCATTCTCGCTTGCTTCGGGCACACTAAAAATGCAGCATGTACTCGTGATCGTGCGGGTGAGGTGATCAAGAAAATATAAATATACAAGCTGCCTGCCGCCTTCATACATTGACGAAGCGCGAGCAAAATGGTAGCCAGTGCAGGCACACTCAACCAACAGCAACATGAAGCCAGCTACAGCACAGGAAACATGCGACTGCTTCAGAAGGCACATGCCAGAGTACTGGCCAAGCAACCTCATTAGAAACTGGCTCTAGGTGGCTAAAAACAGAAAAAACACTAATGCCACAATTGGTTGTTCATGGTCTGACCGGGCTGTGCAGCTGGTTGTTGTTGCATAGGCATTTGCTGACCAGCAGCTGGCCAGCCAGCCACCTGACCGTTCTGGCCACCACCCATGCGCAGACGGGTCATCTGCTCCTGCACCTGGTTCACCTGGATAGGAAAAGAACGTCACAGGTGGAAAGAACAGCCAATAAATGTTATAAGCACATTGCTGACACCATCTACAACACCTGTTTGGTTCACAATGAGTGTGTGTGTGTTCGTTGCCCCCCCCCCCCCCCCCCCCCCCGGGACCCACGTGGCAGTGGCTCGACGGGTGTGTGTGTGCGCGCATCACAAATACCTTGCATATCTCACACTCACTGACAAAGAAGACATGAAAAGGGAGACTTCAATGCCCCCCCCACCTCCGGGGTATTATTATGATTCCAACATTCCGGTACCTTTCCACTGCGATTCAACTCGGGGCTTCTCACACCAACACAGCTATCTAGCCTCTATTAAGGAGAAAGATAAACAGCCTCTGTTTGGAATGGCGGACATCAAATCAATGTGAGCCAGAGCACGCTAAAATATGACCACAGACCAAAAATTCGATTTTCGGTTTTTTGTTCAAAAATGATCAAACACACATAATGTTCGCTGTCTGAAAGTTTTGGATTGATCTGACATGTCTAAGGGTGCGTTCTTAAATTCTCTAGCTTCTAGGAGAAGAAGAAAAGAGAAGTCGAAGAAACTTGGATTCTTCAAGAACGGGTCTCGAAGAATTCAGAGATATTTTGCAGGTGTCAAGCAGAATGAAGCACCAAAGGGGCCGCGATCTTGAGTGCCACGAATATAGTATGCGCTGTGCGTATGCGAAAAGGGAAATGCGTACACTCATGATAAACACGTGGCTTTTAGCCTAGTTCGCATGCGCGGATCCCAAACCGCGGGAATCTCCAAGTTTCAACCACCTCTGAAGCTTGGAGAGCTTTGGAGAGCCTCCTAAAATTCGGAGAGGATATAAGAACAGCTCTCGAACTTTTCGGAGAGTCTCCAACTTTTCCGAGAGGATTTAAGAACGCGCCCTAAGTGTTGCTACAATGGTATTATAAGCAGCACTGTTGAAATGGTGAAATTCTATGTACAGCAATGGGATTGTCATTTTTGCACACAGTTGATATGTCCCTTGGTTCATCCTTTCCGGGCCAGTTCCTCTGTCCAGGGTCTTATACTAGCATGAGCTGACAGGTACTCGGCCACATCCAACATTTCTATAGGCAGCTGAGCTGGGTGTGCGAGATACCTCCTGTTTGGAGTACCACTGGAGAACCACCAGCGAAAACACGGTCAACATCTGTAGATGGCCGAAGAAGTTGGCACTCCACGTCCTCTCCATCACACTCCACCTGTACTTTCAGATATACAGTATACACTGCTGCACACAGTCTTCCTCAACATACTCCATGTCGCACTCATATTCCCCACACCAAAGCCCATCTGCACACAGTTTTCTCCGCTCGCCAGAGAGTACTGCGCTGCCCACTGCTCATGCTAGCGATATTCCGCATAAGGGTGCTCAAATTATCGACTTGAGCAAGTTGAGGGAGCAGCAGAGTCCATTGATTGTTTTTGCACTTGCAACCAATACTGGCATTGTCCCGGATATGTGCAGCGATGTCCATTCTGGCCAAATCATCGGCCGAATCACCTCCCAAGTCAGTGTCGATGCCAATCGCTTGCCAGGTTGTCATCAGAGTAGAATTCCTCGTCACTGCAGATCGTGGGACTACCACCATCAATTTTTTTTACGCTCGATGAAAGTGGCGCCCTCAAATGACTCGTCGCTGTAGCCATCATCGTCTTCCTTCTGTTTCCGACCCGAATCCTCAAAATATTTTATCATGCGCATGGAGTGCGAGGATGTCGTCTTCTTCCGCTCCGCAGTACATTACTACTACTAGGCTGTTCCGTCGATACATCGATGACGATCAGTTTTAGGCGACTCAGCGCAACATGGAATACACACTCAAACAAATAATCTTACTTGCAACAAAGAAATGCATCCGGAACAGTCCAGTCGACCGAGGAGAACAACAACAGCGACTCGCGTTGCACTGCACTTCGTATTTTTTGCCACGGAATTCAAATCGCGATTTTCTCGACTTTTTCAAAAAAAGCTGTGGTCATGTTTTAGAGCGCTCTGGCTCATGTATGGTAGGCACCACAGAGCCTAATCCCAATTCATGCAATAACGCCTGTAGAAACAGGGATGTCCCGGTTATCCCGAAGCGCCCATTACACGAGACACGGAGAGCATTGTTCCCTACCTGCAATGCCTGGTGTTGCATGGCAAGCTGCTGTTGTTGGTACGCCAGCTGCTGCTGCATCGCCGCCTGTTGCTGCATCTGCTGCTGCATCATCACCTGCTGCTGATACGCCATTTGACCAGCAGACATGCCAGGAGCATATCCGGCTTGCATCTGCTGCTGCTGCGCCTGTCCCTGGCCATAGAGAGACATGATAGAGTCTTTTCCAGCAGGTTGTGGCTGAGCCTGCTGAGGCTGTGCTGCGAACTGCAATGAACACACCAAGACAAGAAACATTAGGAATCGCGCACACCAATCCAAGCTACTCGTAGTAGCTTGCCACAGCACACACTGTTGTAGCCGTGAGCCATGTAGACAAAATACAAGACAAATGACCTAACCGGCAACATGCATACAATCCACTTGACTCGTGTGACATTAAAACATGGATGTATGTACATGAGAGAAAGAGAAAGAGAGAGAGAGAGAGATGTGTGTGTGCGTAACCAAGAGCAGTACTTCCCGCCACAGGACCTAGCAAAAGCAAATAAAAATGGCAGTGACATAAAGGTCCACGTGGACACTTTGACCTGACTGGGGCCATGGCTTAGAGATGGGGTGGATGGGCGAGTCTCGAGTGTAGGTCGTACAACACAAACACACACACACACATCGTACACACGCTTCGTGTCGAGTGGCCAATCCATACTCATTTCACCTCCAAGCAGCAGCAGCAGCAGCAGCGGGCTCCACCCAACAGCGGACGGACGCATGGTGTACGCACACAGCCCTACTTCAAAGAAGCAGTACACTGCAGTCCACTGCACCATTTAATACTGGACTACTGTAAGACCAGATATTTTAACGTCAATTAAAGTTAACGATCTCCTGATATTTGTGGGTTAGCGAGGTGAAATTCTAACGAATTTTGTCTCAAAAACGGCAAATGACTGTACATGTATGTATCATTTTGTACATAACGACATCAAACGTTAACGAATTGTTTAAATTCGTTATAATTATCGTCATAATTAAATGCTCATTAACATTACTGGTCTTACAGTATCTCAGTCACACTGGGCCAATTCCCTACCTGTAAATCAAGGTTGGGCTGCTCTCATAGTATTTCAATGGGAATGGGAAATGACATGGCCACAGACCAATATATCAACACAACCAGAACTCACAGCATTGGCAGGTGCTCCAGCGAACAGATCAGTTTGTTGTTGTACTGGCTGCTGGGGCTGAGCTGATCCAAATAGGTCAGGGTTGGCTGGTGTTGACGAGGCACCCATGAAGGCACCCATAGCATCACCGGATGATGTGGACTGGGCTGAGGACGTGGGCTTTGCAGCAACGGGTGCAGCGACAGGAATATCGGCGAGGAGATCAGGTGCTGCCGCCACAGGCTTGGCCGTTACGGGTGTGGCATGTGCGGAGGGAGAGCGAGATGCAGCATTGGACGACGGCCTCGGCACAGCAGCCACTGTGGTCTTCGTTGCCTTGGTTCCCTGGGTTGTCTAATCAAGCATACAAACACATACATGCACACACACAAACATCATTACACACACATCGAGCTTTGACATACAGACGTCGAAAAACTTACACAATGATAACAATTTTCACGGCAGCCACAAGTGGCACAAAGCTTCACCTGAGCAAAACCCTGAGAAATACTAAAGCTCCACACCACTACAGTGCTAGATACAAGCAGCTTTTCTGACGACGCTACTAAACTACAACCAGTAAAGTAGCACAGGCTACTTTGAAGTAGACGCTACAAAATGACAAACAGCCGGAAACACAAGTCTTGTTAGTTGTAGATGTCCACTGACAAGGAAATGCTGACAAAAACAAAATACACCAATCTCTCCTCTTCCTCCATGCGCTCTCACTGCCGACACATACTTCATTGAGTATTAAAGTAGCTAACAAAAATAATACAGTTGATGGCAATAAGTACCTTCTTCTTGGCTTCCCTGGTCTCCTTTCTTGGCTGCAGCCATGCACACAAATAAAACAAGCCATAGCAAAAACAACCCCGTTGGCGATGCAAATACAACAAGGTGTTACATTACAGTGGCCACCCGGTGCAAAGACGCACTACAGTTCTTGTGTAAAAAGTCAAAATAATGCAAACAGCCGACACGGTGTCCAAGTAACAAGAGAGAGAGAGAGAGAGAGAGAGAGAGAGAGAGAGAGAGAGAGAGAGAGAGAGAGAGAGAGAGAGAGAGAGAGAGAGAGAGAGAGAGAGAGAGGGAGAGAGAGAGAGACTACTGGAGAACATTGCATGAGTTCCTACTCCCGTCCACACAAAGACACCTGAGGCTGTTGAGCGAAGCTGACCCTGAGCAACTCACTTTCTCAGCCCGGGAGGAACTAGAAGAAGACGACGTGGCAGAGGCCTCGGGCTTCTTGTAGTATTGCTTGCGCTCATACTTGCTGCGGATGAATGCCTCAACACCGCTGCAAGCACAAAAACAATTGAAGAAGCATACCGGTATTGAAAGCAACCTACAAGCAGATTGCACTGACCAAGATGCAGAAAAATAATGAAACTGATCATGATTGCAAAAGCAAGACAAAAAAAGGAGGTGGCAAGGTAAATAATTAGATAAGGAAGAGAACAGGTTTACAAGTCATCCATTATTGCCCAACACTGACATAACCACAGTTGTCTTTGGGGCATACGCCCCAGCGGTGACGTTGGTCCGGTTATTATGTGAGGAAACGGGTGGCATTGACCCCAGATAATATGATGCTAGTATATTGCTTGCAGTGCATTGCATCACAATGTGCAGACGTGCGGCATGTCGTCCACACTTAATAGTACAGCTAAAGTAAGTGGATCTACCGTCTACCTCTATCAACCCAAAAGCCAACACATGCACTGCATCTTACCTGTCATCTGTGGGCCTGCGGAAGTTGTCTGGCAGGCTGTACTCGTACATAGCGTTCACACTGCCATTTCCCTTTTGACGGATGGTCTGGCAACACCGATTATCCCAGACACACACACACACACAGTGAGGGAGTTACTTGGTCCTAAAGGCCAAAACGAAAAATAAGCTTGTTTCGCCCCCCCCCCCCCCACACACACACACACACAATAAAAAGACTCAGTCGGGCGGAAAAAAAGCTTTTAGCCAAATTGTTGTTCTTACTATCATTGATCCTGACCTGAACCCCACAGTTATATGACGGACAAAAGCAATGCAGATATACATACTTGATGTATAATGTTCACATGGTATGGATCAATGTGACAATGGACCACTTGCCATTTGTACAGATCCACGAAATCCCGTAGAATCCCGTAGACCCGGAAGGGTGTTGAATGTGTGCTATGCATGTGCATTTGACCAATTTTCGCGTCATAATTCAATGACCAGCAATCGCTTTTCCAGCTTCTTCACTTTGGTTAGAACTAAAGAAGAGCTAGATCTTTGTCAGAAAAAGGTTTTCGTATGAAATGCCTTCAGGCCCCATTTCTGAGTGGAAATAGCAGAAAACACAATAGGGTCCTGCACATTCAACACCCTTCCGGGTTTACGGGATTCTACGGGATTTCGTGGATCTGTACAAATGGCAAGTGGTCCATTGACCGACTGTACCCGTACAAACTGTGTACTCCTGACAGCGCGGACGTCTACTAGATGTATGCACACTGTATGCATGCATGCATGGCACAAACAAGCAGTTTTACCAGCTATTTACAGGTAGATACCATGCATGCACCTATCGTGCACATATGCAGACTAACAGAAAAGTGAGAGAAATTGGGAAATATGCCCCGGTCGGCTGACCCGAAACAGTTATTTTTTGTTTGTGCCGAATGTGAGAGAACATGATGATCATGGTATAATAACTATGTGTAGTACGCTGCGGTATGCTTGGATCCCTGCGCACTGTGCGCAGACCAGCAGTTAAGGAGCCAGTACCGTCACAAACCGGTAAGCTGTCCGTTGGGCTGAGCTAGCCCCGATCATAATTATACTGTACATGCAGCCAAGATTCTACTCAGGTACTGGTAGTACACTGTATTCCACCCCTGGTTGATGATCGCCTGGATAAGAATCCTAATTTTCTTTCCCAGCCGAATACATGTACATGCTGAAGCGTACAGGTACGCGAGTGCAAGTTAGTACTTGGCATGCAACGCAAAATGCTGTTTGATGTCAGCTGCCAACCTCCCACCACCACACACACACACAGTGGCACCATACCATGTCCATACACTATCATCATAGCTCAATAACTATCACCATTGCATAATTATTATTATTTATTATTATTATTATTATTGGTGTGTAACAATCTGGTACCCATGGTCACTTTCAGGATACAAGTACCTGGATTATTACTGCATATTGATCGAACTACATGTAGGGTCAATCAAGTACTCGTACTCAACCTAGACACACAGGGCGGTACACCACAGGGCGATCAGCTAAACACTACAAATCGTGTCGTACACTAACCCTACTTTGAAATGAAGCCACAAGTCGAACGCTCGAGGGAAGCGTGCTCTCAACACTGCCCAGGACGCGTTTACGCTCAAAACAGAATACGTGGCGCAGGCGAAATGAAGACACTCGACACGTACTGAAACTACAACCACCGGGCATTATCCTCACCTCAATTTGGTCGGGGGTCCAGGTGTCCAAATTGACTGACTTCATTTTCGAGATATGGACTCCAAGATTTCGGTGAATTCCAGCACAACGAATGCAAACAAATACACCAAGATTCCATGATGCCCAGCGTGGACCTGAAAACCACACCAAAAACTTATATCAGGCCGGTCCATTGCGAATGCTCTGCCCACTCCATCACAACAAGCACCTTTAGATTTGCAATCTGCGCAATATCTGTTCGCATCGTCGTTGAGCATTTCAGCAAGAATGGCCTGATGACGCTCATTCTGCTTAGTTGATCTTTCCCGATCGGCTCTGGTCGCCATCTCCCTACACACAGCGACCTCAGCACTTCAATAGGTAGTAAATGCGAAAGAGCAGTCGAATATTACATGTAGTATCAAGGGAATAATTTCAGACAAAGCACTAAAAAATAGGCCACCAAGAACGGCTTCAAGTTCAAGCCCAAGACTCAAATACTGGCAACTCTTCTGTACGCCCGTCTGTACGGTCAACGATTTACGTATGTCTTGCGTTGATATGACAGTCGAATCGATCGTGCAGAAAAGCCAAGCGATCTTTCTGCCAAAAAAAAGTCAACCGACGATTTTTATATCGATCGATCGCTAGCGCTCCAACGCCGGAGCGTGAACGACTCAACGCGCGCATGCAACAGACTCACGTACACTGTCAGTACCGTGCACTGACTGTGCATGCAGTGCGCTGTCGCTACGGCACTAGCCACTACGGCACTAGTAGTAGTAGTAGTAGTAGTGGCTGCAGAGCTCGCGCTAGCGCTGTACTATACTACGAGCACGTCGACTCGGGTCGAGTATAGTAGCGTCCACAAAAAACGAGCGCTGCATGCACTGCATGCATGGCGCGGCGGGGGCCGGGATAAGTAAAAAAAAGTAGGCATGGCGCATAGCACATGCCCACATCACATAGCACATGCCCACATACATGACTAAGTAGCGCATTTGTTGGTTGTCAGCATGTAGCGCATTTCTATCTACTCAACCTGCGCGACAGAACTGTTTCGTGGCGCATTTCTTACCGATAATACTGTAGATCGTCATTGTACATGTAGGCGTAGATCTGTATAAATGTAGTGATGATCGTCCAGTCTACCACTGCATGCACTGAACTGAGCTACACGTACACATGTACCAGTACCAATTATGGTACTGGTACATGTGTTTATTTATTTATTACAACATCTCAAGACTCAGTGGAAACACCGCGGTACCGCGAGAGAGTGGGTGAAACTGAAAGCCAACCATGTACTGATGTAGATCTACCATTTATACCATCACCATGATCACGGAGTGCAGTGCATCACCAGATCACACGACCTAACGACTTACGTCTCCCGCCGCGTAGATCTGCTCGATAGTAGATCTACTCGTACACGTGGTCATCTTGCTGTACACTTGATGGCATGGTATGTCATGTACTGCTGGAATTCTCTCCCGGCCCAGCTGACATTCGCTCTTGCTCCTCGTTTTCACTATTCCGCAAATCTGTACGTGATCACATTGGGTGCCCTGTAAACATGGTAAAACATGGTAAAAAGGCCTACTTTTTCCTAGTATATTATTACAAGTAGTAGGCCTGAGCTGTTGATCATGTTGATTGCCCAAGATAATAATAATAACCCGTAGATCTACCCGCTACGCGCACGTAGATCTACGCCTGGGCACCGCTAAGTGCACGCGTGTGTGTGTACGGTATGCCATAGCCTATACTAGGCTCTAGCCTAGCCCTAGGCCGCTAGCCTAGGGTACCTGCCTACTACATTGTGTGTACCTGGCGGAGTAACCTGGTAACACGCAGCTGCTGCTAGCAGAACCCGTTTACTGTAGATCTACCATGCCCATGGTTTACGAGTCGTAGACCTACACTACACTAGTCTACAGTACCCACCCTCCCGATCCCTCCCACACCAACCTACAATAAGGTCCTTATGTAGGAGGCACGGGCGCTACTGAGGGGTAGGCCTCGGCAGGTAATGCTAGTATTGTAACTAACTAAATAATTCATGGTGCTCCGGAGGAAGCCTCTTTCCCTCGCCCCAGATCTGGCCATTGCATGCGGTGATGTAGATATTCCCCCTTCCCCAACTGCTCGCTATCTCGGTCTGATTATTGATGAGCACCTTACGTTTGAAGACCAGCTACCAGGTTGACCATGTTTGCACGTCTGTTTATAAGAAAATAGGAGCGTTCCGGCGATGCCGCCGCTCAGTAGATCATGCCACAAGACGCATCTTTTACGTATCCCTAATACAATCCACCATTGAGTATGCCAGTAATTCGTACATGTACATGTATATGCACTGTTTAACTGCATATCTGTATTCTCGCCTTGTTACACTAAGTCACACTGGTATGAAGAAGGTCTTCGGCCTTTCTAGGCGCACCCCAACTGCTTTCCTTTTGCAGCATGCTAAATTATACTCGCTGGAGTCTCGCCTCGACTTGCGACTTTTTGTCTTTGTGTTCCGATGTATCAACAAGCTGACAAGTCCCCTGCTTTCCTCTATGTTCACTCTACAATCAGCTGCTACTTGTACAGATAGGCGCACTAGAGGACAGTCCTTCTCGTCTATTTCTTTGCCTGCTGCTAAAACTAGATATGGCATGTTCTTTGTTTCTTTCCTTGGCGCTGATCGGTGGAATTCTCTGCCTATGTTGTGTCGCCAAGCTGATCAACCATCCGCTTTCATTTCGCTCTGCAAAGAGCACTTAGGGTTCCCTGTAAAAAGACGGCAACGTCTGTAGAGATTTCCCTAACAAAAATAAATACTACCACTACTACTACTGAATAATGCAATGAATATAACTAAATGCGCACTCATATCACAACCATGGGGACGAATAATGTATTCCAGAACGTTTTCTTGTCACAATTATCAATGGAATTCGTGACTGTTTCACTCCAAGTGTATAAATCCTATTGTAGTTTCATCATTCTCTTTAGTCACGAATTCCATTGATAATTGTGACGTTCTGGAATACATTATTCGTCCCCATGGTTGTGATATGAGTGCGCATTTAGTTATATTCATTGCATTATTAAGATTATTGCCGGTCTCCACGTCGCCTTTTTACTACTACTACTAACTGGCATTACGAGCATCGTTTTGAGAACTAGCAATGCTCCAGCATTGTAGATCTACCCGGATTTGGAGCCAAAACAAGCATTAGCGCCCAAAAGTGTCATTTTCTCACTTCATGAGTGTGCATGTGCATTACTGAATAAAACAGGAGCTCTACAATGTAACGTACACACTGTTTAAACGTTAGCCTGCGACTTCGCAACATGCGTCTCTTGTTGCGAATCTTAGTGGCAGCTGCTAGGTACTAGGGGATAGACGTACCACGTTGATGCCATCATGGGAAACGGAAAGAAACCTTGTCTTTCCTATTCACAGAGTCATGCAGTGCTGGCTTGCTTGCACCATGAGTACATCAAATGGAAATGTGTTGGAAGTCTCTGATTCTTCGGAGGAAGAGAGTGAGGAAGATGAGTACGAGACAGAGGAGGATAATAAGGAAGACGAGAACGAGGCAGAGGTGGAGGATGAGCCCGGTGAGGCATGCGCACGACTGCCCAAAGCCAAAGGAGCAAGCATATCGAGGGCTAGATCCTTTACTCGCTCAGGTCAACCATTGGGTAAAAGAACGAGAATTCGCCAAGGAAAATCAACCCAGGCACCTCGAGTTCACCCTAATAAACGAATCCAAGAATTTCCGAATGCCTGAGTATCTGTGTATCTCTGCTGGAAAACTCTTCTGCGAAGTTTGTCACGCTATCGTCCAACCGAAAAAGAGCGTAGTTAAAACCCACATCCTGTCCATGAACCATCAGCTGTCAAAGGAACGGAGGGCAAAAGCGAAAGCACACCAAGCAACACTCACAAAATCCTGTAGAGTGTACGAGGAGAAGAATGCACAGCAGCTCGTGGGTACCGGTTTGACGAAGGCAGTGGGCGACAACGCAATACCGGTAGTCAGAGCTAATGTGGTGGAATCATTCCTTAAAGCTGGCATTCCCTTGACGAAGATTGATTACATCCGGCCAGTGCTGGAGCACAACAACGCCAAGCTGACGTACAGCTCGCACATGGCACAGCTCATCCCATTTCTGACTGATGTGGAGCTGGATAGACTGAAGGAGGAAATCAAGCGTGCAGAATACATTGCTGTGATATTTGATGGAACAACCCACCTTGGAGAGGCACTTGCTATCATCATCCGGTTCCTGGACAGTTCATGGTCCAACCAGCAACGCTTGGTACGGCTGCACGTCCTTGCTAAGAGCCTGAAGGGAACAGAGTTGGCAAGAGAGCTCATAACCTGCCTCAGCACCTTCTTCCAAGTTCCACATGACAAGCCAGTTGCCTTTGTACGTGATGGCGCGGCCGTGAACACCGTTGCAGTGCGGCAGGTGAGGGATCTTGTATACCCGCGCTCCATTGACATTGTGTGTGCATCACACGGCCTCATAATCTACTTTCAAAGTACTAGGTACTTCCAATAGCAGTATTCCGTGCAGTGTGACTTACATTATGACACAATGCCATAGGAGTGGTTCACATTGCCTTTTCAACTAGCATTCTGACGAGCATTATAATTATGACCGAATAACTAGCAATGCTAAAAGCATTTTGAGCTGAAATAACTAGCATTACCCGCCGAGGCCTACTGAGGGGTTAGTGTTCTGTTCCTATCCAACGTACATCTACACCGACATGTATCTATTAATATTATGTTATCGCATGATTGTTTAGTAACTGGTGGTGTTAGTGGACATTATAGTGTAACTAATTACTTGTAGTTCCTTGGTCCTTTTTACTTTTAAGTTTTTATAAATAATCATGCCTTGGCTCTCCATCTGGCCGAGTACATACATACATTGTACATACTTCAGTACATACATACATACATACATACATACATAATACATGTACATGAGACAGGCTTCTAATACAAGACCGGTATTTCTATGTATGTCAACACTAAAACCAGGCTTACATGTATGTGCCGACAATGTATCTTGAAAATGTACAGGTACATGTATGTGTACAATGTATCTTGAAAATCAGGCTTCTATTCAAGACGGACTTATCTCTTAATTTGCTAAATCCTATATATAGGATATTGGTCATATTTTTCAACTCAAAATGGGTGTGGCATGAGCATAGGGAAACGCATGTGACCAATTCTTCCGCGTTAGGTCTTAGTCGATATGGAGAGATGAATAAGATATTTTTTTCAAATTATAACATCTAAGGCTCATCTCCTTGCGCAATATTTCTAAGGCCTGTGCCCTATTTTTCGAATCCTATATATAGGATTTGAGATTTTACTGGACCTTGTTTTATCTTTAAAATTGGTAGTTTCACGACGGCATGTGCGATATGTCGTCATGAAACCACCCCGTGCCACACCTGTAATGTTCTTTTGCAATTCACTGCTTCAGTGCTTCCCATGACACCAGCTGAACAATGCTGCTCAAAATTCCAATCCTTGCTCAAAATGGGTATTCATGATGTCCTATGAATCTAAAAAGTAAACATTCATGCCTCAAACATATTTACAGCTTCTAATAAAACCATTATGCTCTTGTTATGGGTCATGAATGACCCACGATGACCAATAACAACGGCATAAAGGTCACGCATTTTCAAATCCTATATATAGGACTTTTGCCCAGCAAATTAAGAGATAGGCCACATACTACAGGTAGACTCCCTTTAATTCGAACCTCAAATTGCCAGGCCCTAACTTCGAATTATCCGGAACTTCTAATTATCCAAATGCAGCCCCGTACCGTGCACTGATATGTATGTCAAAATGCTTGAAATCACGTGCTGAATATTTTTTTTGCACATTTTATTTGCATCAACGAAACATACATTGTAGGTGTTCGTACCGGTCATGTACAAGGCGGATCATCTAAACACTGGATCGACACAAAATCATTCTGACATTATCTTCCTCTTCTAGTGAAGAAGTTGTCAGTCACTGCAGCTTTCCTGAAACGATTTCAACGGAAAAGAACTGCGCTGCCTAATCCGCGTCATGAAAGGCGGACAGCAGCACGTCGTTCTGAAGAACGGAAGTGGAGCATAGGCATAGACAATATTTACGACAATAGTGTTGTTGTGCGCCAACATCTCCACGCACGAGCTGGCGCGGCAAGAAAGGCCATCGAGATCCGCGAAGAGAGTCAGCCACCTGGAAGAATCAAACCTTTGCAATTTGCCTCGCACGGGCTTGAATCAAATTTCGACAGAAGGTGGGTTTCTTGAACGCTATAGTCAATCCTGCAGCGGACCATTGATCGATTTTTGAGCTACTCTTGGCTAGAGAAGGAGAAAAGAATGAACTTCGAATTACAAGGATAGCAACTCAATCTCACTTCGAAATATGCGTTCAAAGGACATAGCCAATGTACTGTAAACAGCTCTTCTGTACGACGAAGACTGGGTTCGAATTATCCAACCGGCGCACTTTTCGTACTTCGAATTATGCGTTCGATTTTGACTTGAAGTGACTTGCAGAAGATCGGTACGACGAAAAAGTTCAAATTACACGGAATGTTCGAATTATACCGTATTCGAATTAGAGGGAGTCTACCTGTATAACATAGTCATCAAGTGTACATAACCATGATACCCCCCCCCCACACACACACACTTGCAGACACCACAGCTAGACGGGGGGGGCAAGGAGAAAACATGCTTATGCAGACTTGTACAATCGTCATGTACTTTATGGACTCGTCAAAGTCGCTCAAAGTCATGCTAAAGAACCGAAACACAACAATGATGATCCGATTGCCGGGAAGCATTGAAACTAACAAGATAGCACCGAATGAAGGTAATACATGACTGTATTATGAATTGAATAGACTGATAACGGAATAGACGGGGGGGGGGGGTGCTGGTACGGGTCGCCCGCCGCAGGTTAAGCACCCCGTTCCCAGGGTCTTTTCTACACGCACCAAGAGAGGAGAGCGCGTGGAACCAAGAGTGTGCAGCTTCTGAATTTTCTGCATACTGTGAGTGTCACGCAGCAACATCCAAATCAAAGTTGGTACAGAGATAAACGGCGAGAAGTGCACATGGTGCATACTAGTGCCTGTACAACTGAGCTGCAGTTGTACAGCATGCAGGGGACCAGCCTGAATCGGAATACATCGCTAAGAACGACAGCAACCCATTCAAGCTGCACACTCTTGGTTTCATGTACAGTAAAACCTGTCAAGGCGACCACTCGGATAAGGCAAGCACCTGTCCTGGAAGACCACTGAGACCAGGACCAGGGGATGCTATTTCCAGTCATATGACCCTGGATAAGGAGACCACCTGGTAACAGAGACCACGTTTTCAAGGTCCCTTGAGTGGTCGTTTTAGACAGGTTTCACCGTATGAGTAGTCGAGTACACCATGTCCTCTTGCAAGTACATGGCCATAACCATGGTAACCGTTAATGCACCTATAGATCAAAACGTGGAGTTTGAAAATCAAGATGGGTTACGTCACTGACACATCATAAGGTGCACTGAACTACATGACGTACATGGTTGTAGAAGCTGTAGTCTTGCTGCTGCATATATACAAGCCGGGAGAAAACGACGAGGAAATAATTAATAGCAAAATCCGGGACACGAGAAATGAACAGGAAAGCTAGATGAAAGCATGCGGCTGGAAAGCGACGACAGTCAGCTAAAATTACACAACTTCACTTGGACGGACGGGCAATCGATTATCCACACTATGAAGGCCTGACAAGGAGGTATATACACACGGCCATGGACAACAACTGTACAGGGGTGGGGCAGGCAAGGTCAAGTAATGCGACACAAGCAGAAACAAAAACAGGAAATCAAACTGGCCAGCAGTTATGATACATGACTCACTACAGGACACGGTGATCCGCCAGCAGATTACCATGCCCCGAAGAATTCATTTATTTAAAACAAAAGAGAGAGAGGGGGAATTTTAAGTTAGTTCCTGGGTAGCTTGTGTATGTTTTTGAAGTGAACACTGTCTTGTGCCAGTGACAGGAAAGCACTAGCGAAGCACCTACTTCAAGAAGTATTACAGTATTAGTACATCCATATGAGAAGCAACTGTTAGCTTCACATTAAGCTCCACTGACCAGCAAGGTCAAGGAACGGAAGGGAGCAGGGTCTTTAAGAGCGTAAAGCTCATACGCAACGCTAATTTCCATCGGCTTCAGCTGCGAGCCTCTCGGCTTTGGCCTATGAGAGGAGACACACAGGCAGGCACACAAAGGTACACGGGATGCGAGACCAGTTGATCTACAGGGTATGCATGTACATGTACAGTGAAACATCAGTATAACATACCTCCAAGGGCCATACAAAAACACCGTCACGGGACTTTATAGCTGAAGTACTAGTATTGAGAATTTGGGTTGTCTTCCGACTCTTTTCGCTTTGGGTCTTATTTGTTTCATAGTTTCACGCAATAGGCTTTGTGAATATAGCCATTCTCAAGTAGCGACTGAATCTCCGGACAGCTACATGTAGCTAGCTGTGCTAGCTGAGGCACTTAAAATCACCAAACATTCGGCCCGTATTATGTTTGCGATATTGGCCGCCGGGGCCTACATTTACACAGCATGACAGGGTATCCGGGGCAGCAGCAGTGCAGGCTGAAATTTAAATGCGGCTGAAAAGTCCTTTATATCGAGGGCACTTAATTATACTGAGCGGTTCCACTCTATGTGTACCGGAATGGGACCCAATGGGGTAGAGGTTGGCCCTGGGGGTCCAGCGGGAATTCACAGTGTACAGCAGCGCTCTGATAAGCTCCCCCCTAGGGAAAGTGTAGCATCCGAAGTACTTCCTATTCGAACATCCTTCAGAAATGGGCAATTTGACGAATGCTGCTTCTAAATAAAGTAATGCACCACCATACTGAATACATCTCGCTGCAGTGCAGTTCACAGAATGCATTGGGCAGTTACTACAAACACCGATCATAAGTACCTTGAGCTGATCTTCCTCTGACATTGATGATTCAGATTTTGAGTGGAAACACGAGAACAAAAATGACACTAGGCCATGGAGAATTCCTATCAACAAGAGAGAGAGAGAGAGAGAGAGAGAGAGAGAGAGAGAGAGAGAGAGAGAGAGAGAGAGAGAGAGAGAGAGAGAGAGAGGGAAATATGCACAAAAGGTTATAATTGAACTACCCGAAGAACTGATCAAGAGGGGCAAGCAGCAGCATTCAGCCTTGTCCAGATTATTATCAACCACCACACCACACCGTTGCGCTCTCCGGCCGACCTCAACACGTTGCCTCAGCACACCATCAGCAAAACGACATTTCAGTTGGTGCTCTGCACCTTCAGACAGCAGTTGTTTCGATAACCAGGATCTCGTCAGTGAAGGTTGATATTGTAGAATGGCTAACAAATAGTGAAGTTCACCCTTTTGTAGCAAAAAGGGGAAACATTGAGGTCGGCCGGAGAGCGCAGCAGTGTGGTGCGGTGGTTGATAATAACCCGAAGAACTGTATCTAGTAAAAACCGAGAAAAGTTGAGGTCTGCAGACTGGGAGTGGGTGGGTTACGCTAGACTACACACGCAGTGGATAATTTATTTAGGCATAATGTCATGTTGAGGTAGGGGACTGACAGGAGATTTCAGAGCATTTACACGTTTACAATATCTGTGTACTGGGAGCAGCGAGCTGAAAGCCAGGATGATATCCATGATGCACGGCTGTTGGAGGGCTAAGCTGTCTAATCTTTGTTAGCAAAGAAATGACCAAAATCCACATTATCACACCAGTACGTTGCCAACATCAAAGCACATCTTCTCTTACCTGACGTGGCAAAAATGCCACCAATGATGCCACACAGCTTCACAAATAGGCCAACAATCGGGTGTTCAACTTCCCTTATGTGTACTTTAACTGGTGATAGGTCATACTTGAAAAATATACCTGAAATGAAAAAAACCACACACACAAGATATTCACGTTACAAGCAACATGGCAACAAACCCACCCCACTCCAAAGTCCAAGAGAAGGCATGCCAATACAGCAGTGTACATGGATACAGTCATGTTCTATTGTCAAGGCAACAGGATTGCAGCAACTAACACGACTAGGAATCCACTGCACATCAAGCAGCAGGCTGGCAGCAAAGTGACAGAGCGTGCACAGAATGTGTACAAACCGGCAGGACGAAATAGATGTTGCACTAATTTCAGATCTGTAAAGCACCCATCTTGTCAAATTAATATTTAGTACAATGACATCAACATTACATCTTGCGCACAGTCTTTTCTACTGACCTGGCACGCCATGACTACCAGTAACATGGTTCAGTTCACGTTTCTACAATAGCACACAGACACGCACAGACAAATGGCACAGTATACAAGTAAGCTCAGTGGCATGTCAATCAGGTCAACACCAAGCATGTTGCTCGGGGCATTTCATGCATATAAAAAACTTGATCGGAGAATGAGGGGGGGGGGGGCTTTCATGAAAGGTGTTACTTGCAAGATTGTGGGGTGCTACCAGAAAAGTAAGGCTGAGAACATCGGAAAAAATGCTTGCAGGTCCTAACACCAACCTGGTTTGTGAATGAGAACTGATTCGTGTTCAACTTCTGCTGACGCGTTGCAAATTCCGTTGGCACAATCTAACAAAGAGAAAAAACGGAAAGAGAAATGGCTACTCAGACAGAAGTAACAAGTCAACAAACAAGTAGCGGAGCACACAGCACACAACACCAATGGAGGAGGAGGACTAGTAGAGAGACATTGTGACATGAGAAGGATGTGAACCTTGAATGGGGCGAAATCTCCAGGCTATCAATAGCGCTGTTTTTACCTCTCGTCTTGATTCACCATTCCACAAACGTAACGTCGTTACTGTATTATTAGAAGACTGTATTATTACTCTTTCATTCTCATGCCAAACAGCTAACTCCTACTAAAACAAGAATGACCAAAAACTAGTGACCTGCACCACCGAAGCAGGAACCTAAAACTCTAACACACCAAGGAAAACAAGCCCCCTCTACGCCTACGGATCACGGACTACAATCCCGATCCTAGCGTAGCGGCAAATGATACATACTAGTACAAGTCGATGACAAAAGCGGTGCCGGTGTTAGGTGACAGCTGCATACGAATGCATGAAAGGGGTCAGACAGTTCATGTATCATGTATACCGGCAGTTGTAACTGGAGCCGACTGAAAGTCAATACATCAATAGCAGTGTTAGTCATACATGAAGCCCAGACTACAGAAAGTGTAGCAGTGGATGCAAAGTAAGTTGCATACGACGGGTGTTGCTTGTCGCCAACGTCGCCTACGGGGGCAACATCCTCTCCCCAGTGACGATTTATCCGTCACTAACACAACGGACATCTAGCACGCAGAGCTTGGCTACTGGCCGGCGGAACACACCAGTCTGGGTCTTGACATCTGCTACCCGCACCAGGCCGTCTCTGCCGGGATAGGTCGCCGTCACTATCCCCTTCGGCCATGTGTTCCTCACTGCGTTGTCGTCGGCGATGACCACCACATCACCTACTTCCACCTTCTTCTCTGTTCTTCCGTGCCATTTGGTTCGCCGGGCTAGCGTTGGCAAGTATTCCTTAATCCAGCGGCGCCAGAAATGGTCTGCTAGCACTTGCACGATGCGCCACTGCCGGCGCAGATGTAGGTCATCACCACTGAATACTCCGGGCACTGGTGCTGCTGATGGCGTCCCTAGGAGGAAGTGGTTCGGCGTCAGGCTGTTGTCGTCAGTTGGGTCAGAGGACACATGTGTGAGCGGGCGGCTGTTGAGTATCGCCTCAACCTCTGTAAGTAGCGTGATGAGTGTATCCTCACGCGGAGCACGTTCCTTGAGCACGGCTCTAAGGGCGGTTTTCACGGACCTCACTAGTCGCTCCCACGCTCCCCCCATGTGCGGGGCTGCCGGAGGATTGAACTCCCACTTGATTCCTCTCGGTGTGAGCTCAGCTGTGAGGCGTGTCTGGTCCAGCTGGTCCAACGATTCCTTGAGTTCTCTTGCTGCACCTCGTAGGTTGGTGCCGTTGTCCGAGTAGATAACTCCAGGGCAACCTCTGCGACTGATCAACCTACGAATTGCCATGATGGTACAGTCTGTTGTCAAGTCGTGTGACAGCTCCAGGTGTACAGCTCGGGTCGTAAGGCAGGTGAATATCACGCCGTACCGCTTCTCGTGACGTCGTCCGATAGTGACTGTCAGTGGCCCGAAATAGTCCATGCCGCAATGTGTGAACGGGCGGATGAACGTGGCAACGCGTGCGTCGGGAATCTGTCCCATCTGAGGTGGTGTTGGCTGCGCGCGTTCATTTTTACACTGCTGGCATACGGTCCAGGTACGGCGGACGGCTGTGCGTAGTTTCAAGACCCAATACGTCTGGCGGACGTCGTTTGCCACACTGTCTTGACCATGGTGTCCATGCCAGACATGGTACTGCTGAAGGAGCATCTGTGTGAATGGGTGCGACGGGTCCAGGATGACAGGCTCGGGCGTCAGTGGACTTCCGGGTGGTGCACTTCGAATTCGGCCATGCATTCTCACCACACCGTCGCTATCTAGCACAGGTGAGAGGTCTCGAAGTTTGCTGCTGCTGCTCACATTGCTGTGCTTCTGCAGGTCGCCAATTTCCTCCCGGAAGCTGTCTTGCTGTGCTTTCTTCCACCACAGCTTCTGGGCCTGCTGGTACTCCGATGGCAGCAACTCAGAGCAAGTGACTGTGGGCTTGCTTGACGCTTTCGCACGCAGGTTGTTGACGTATCTGACGATCCATGCTGTCGTTCTCATCAGCCGAATCCAGGATGAGAAGCGGCTGATATCTGGCAGGGCTAACTGCGCTTCTTTGGTGACTACCGCAGTAAACTCTGCCTTCATCTCGGCTTGGTCGTCGCTGGTGGTAGTGTCTCGCCCAGGATTCTCTACTGGCCACTCAGACTCTGGCTTGGTCAGAAACTCAGGACCATTCGTCCAGATGTGCTGCGCTGCTGATGTCTCAGGTGGGGCTCTGGTTGCTGCATCTGCTGGGTTGCTGTGTGTTGGGACCCACCGCCATTGCGATACATCAGTGAGCTCCTCAATCTCTCCGATACGATGTGCTACGAATGGCTTGAATCGCCGGGCGTCTGCTCGGATCCATCGTAGGACAGTCATAGAGTCACTCCAGAGCACGATGCGGTCGATAGGTAGATCATGCTCTTTCCGGACGGTGTCGGCCATTCTGCTGGCCATCAGTGCAGCTTGCAGCTCCAGCCGCGGTATGGATACGGGTTTCAGTGGTGCAACTCGGGATTTGCCAAACACGAATGCGACTCTGGTGCTGTCGTCAGGTAGCGATAGCCTGAAGTAGGCTGCTGCGGCGAATGCCGACTCACTAGCGTCTCCGAACACGTGAAGCTCCAGGTCCTTTCTGTCCGCAATAGCCGTGCAGTAGCAACGCGGAATTGACCTGCTCCCGAGGTTGTGCACTCCCGTCCACCAGTCCGTCCATCTTTGGACGAGAGATCCTGGCAGTGGCTCGTCCCATCCGACGCCTGTGCGCCAAATGTCTTGTAGCAGAATGCGAGCCGACGTGGTGTAGTAGGTGAAGAAACCAAGGGGGTCGAACACAGACATCAGCTTGCGTAGGACTTCACGTTTTGTCACTTCTGTTGTGTTGCTTTGCTCCAGTCTACGGCTCAGACTAAAGCCGAACGCGTCTTCCCGTGGCAACCACTTCAGACCGAGTGTCTTCTCCACTACAGTCTCGTTGTCGCTGCTAATAGTGACTACCGACGGTGAGCATATATCTGGGGGTACGACAGCAAGAGCATCAGGTGAGTTGCTGACCCAGCCTCTGATGGAGAAGCCTCCGGCTTCCTGGATTTGACTCACTTCCTTGATCCGTTGGGCTGCTTCTTCTGCCGTCGGCGTCGAGTCGAAGTAGTCGTCCATGTAGTGCTTGTCATGGATTGCAGTAACTGCATCTGGCGCGCTGTGCCGGAATTCGTCTGCATTTCTTCGCATTACATACTGGGCTGATGCTGGCGAACATACAGCGCCGAATGTCATGGCTCTCATCTGGTAGACATCAGGTTCACGGTCTCTGTCGCTGCCTCGCCAAAGGAACCGCTGTGCAGGCTGATCGTCAGGTCGGATGTGCACTTGGTGAAACATCTGTCGGATATCCCCTCCGAACCCCACGCGGTGTTGTCTGAACTTGAACAGCACACTGGTGAGAGGGTTGAGATAGTCGGGGCCTGGCAGCAGGGCATCGTTGAGGCTGACCCCGTGGCTTGGCGCAGCTGCATCAAATACTAGGCGTAGCTTGCCTGGCTTGTTGGGGTTTGTCACTCCAAAGTGTGGCAGGTACCACGCTCTCTGAGAAGGCATCTGGAGCTGGGAGGGTGTGAGCTTGGTGGCGTATCCGTCGTCAATATACTGTGCAATCTTGGCGCAGTACGCTTCAGAGAATGCAGGGTTCCTGTCCATCTTGCGTTCAATGGACAGGAGGCGGCGCGTTGCTGACGTTTTACTCTCCGGTAGGCTTACGTCAGCGTCTCGCCACAGCAAGCCGGTCTCCCATCGTTCCCCGATACGTCTCGTGGTGGATTCCAGGATCCTTTCCGCCTTCGCTTCCTGTCGCGAGCGTATTTTCTCGCTGCGGACTTGTACACCGAACGATTCTGTGGTGAAGTAGTGCTTCACCTGTTGGTGGAGACCGATATCCGTGTCCTCGGCACTGCCTTCTTCCGCTGTGTCAAGTCGGGCATGCAGTACCTGATCAGCGCCACCGAGTTGGCCGTGTATCGACCACCCCAGCTTGCACCGGCTCAGTGTGGGTGCGTTGGGTGGGCCCTCGATCGTCTCCCTGGGCAAGATAACATGGCAGTTGTCTTGGCCAATCAGCAAGCGCGGCTTCTTTGTCACGCTGAGCGGGATGTCTGCGCTGCTCACGTGTTGCCAACGCTGTCGCTGATGGTTGATGTCGACATGCTGGGCTGGTAGGTGCAGCTCACGCACAGTCCGGGCCGACAGCTGGAGGTCGCCGTCCTGACCGCTCACGGTGATCGTGACCTCCCTGGAGTCAGGATCTTGCTGGCACATGTCGTTCGTCCATGCTAGCGTCAATGGCCTACATGGCCCTTCTGCGCCCACCTGCTTTGCGATGTCTGAATCCAGCAGGGTGACCGTTGATGCTTCATCCAGTAGTGCTGCCGTGTTCACCACACCTTTCGGTCCGCGGATCGCTACCGGCACTGTCCTCAGGACGACTCTGCTTTGCTGCTGGGCGCTAGCTAGGTTCGTGCGTTCGACATCGTCCTTCCTCTTTGGTGGGTGCAGCATCGGATGGTGAAGCCGGTCACAGCCATCCTTCTTACAGGGCGTACTGTCAGGGCACTCTCTAGTGCGGTGGCCCTGGCCAAGGCAGGTGAAGCATCGTCGTTCTGTCTTGACCCATCTCCAGCGTTCGTTGCTCGTCTTGCGTGCGAATTCTCGGCACTCAGCCACCTTGTGGCCTGCCCGTCCGCAGAAGTCGCACTTTCTCTCGCTGGCCACGAAGGCAGTCTGCCGCTGGCCGCTCTGTCGAGCAGTCGGTGGCGGCTTCATATTGCTGCCTGTTGACACACACTTTGCCGCCGTCGTGTCGATTCTCCGAACACAACAGAGCGCATCTGCTCTCTTTGCGAGCCACTCTGCCAGTGTTTTCATTGTCACTGGATCTTTGCACTCTGCTACGTGCTCTCCCCATTGACGGGTCAAGCTGCTCGGTAGTTTCTGCACGATCTCCTGGCGGAGCTGCGGGTTAGCTAAGTGGCCTGTGCTCTTGAGGAGCTCCATGGTCGACACCAAGTTGCTAACCGAGTTCGCCAAGTCAATAAGCTGCTCGAAGTCGTCGTCTCGCAACTTAGGCATGGTCTTGACCTGGGCAATCATGGACTGGACCACATGGTCCGGCTGGCCGAACCGCATCTGGAGAGTGTGCATCACTCGATCAATGTTGTCCGGTACGACGAGCATTGACTTCACACTGTCCAAAGCCTTTCCCTTCAAGGCTCTCTGCAGACGGGTCATGTTCTCCTGGTTGGAGAAACCACACTCTGCAGTAGAGGCCGTAAACGTCCGGTTGAACATCGGCCATGCTGTCGGATCACCGTTGAAGGCCGGCAGGTCTTTTGTGGCTGATTGTCTAGCCATCATTCTCCGCAGGTCCTTGTCCGAGGTGTTCTGGTGGGCTGGAGTGGTCGCCCTCGGTGGCGTCAGCTTATCCGACAATACCTGGGCCAGCTGTGACACTGCTGATGCAACAGCTGTCTGTATGCTGTCACCTGATGTGGCCTGCGTCTGCAGGCTAGCAGGACCATCAGTACTTGCTGGTCGTTTCGGGGGTCCATCGTCACGGCACCCTGCTCCAGCGCTCTTGGACGAAGGTAGATCGCATGTGAAGGTGTCGGCACCGGCCGCACCACGTGGCTCACTTTGCGCTTTGGTCTGCAGCTCGCGCCTTTCCCTGTTGGAAGGTGCCATGTCCACCTGCATGACTGCTAGTTGAGCTCTGGTCTCCTCCAGCTCGTACTCTAGATTCTGCACTTGGTCCTCCAGGTCGCATGACGTGCTGGTGAGCTGGCTGATGCGATGGTCTCTAGCTACCAAGTCACTTTGGAGACGGTCGTTACTTGCTTCGGCCTTGGCAAGATCTCCCTCCAGGGACTTGATCACCTGCACCTGGTCAGCATGCCTCGCGTCTTCCTGGAAGATCCGCTGCTTCAGGGTTGCAATCGTCTGTTGCTGTAGCTGGAGTTCGTCTTTCAGTCGTCTTTTTTCTTCAAGCTCCACAGTGAGCTTGTCGTCATAGGCTCGCTCAATGGAGCCAGTGTTCTGTCGGCATAACTTCAGCTGCCCCTCCAACTCCTGGATCCTTATCTCCGCAGCACACAGAGGCTGCACAAGGCTGGTGGCTGGAATTACTGCTGGAGTAGCCGCGTCATGTGGGTCACTGTCCGTGTACCCCTGGGCTGGCATGACACTTTGAGTCACTTCGACCTCCTCGTGCTGTGGGTGCTGTTCTGCGTCTTGAACAGATACTGGTTCTTCACCGTCCCTCACGAAGTAGTTTGACTCCTGCATGTCCATTGCCCTCTCGCTGTGGCCGTAGTCGAGCACGGGTGCTGCTGTGCCTCCGTTGTCGACCTCCTCGTCGGCCTGAATCGCCGCCAGGTCCGCGGCGAGCTGGAGATTGGAGAGTCTCTTCTCGCTTTCCAGCCTATGGCTTCTCGCCTCCTCTTCAAGTGCAGCCACACGCTGCGCTGCCACCAGCTCCGCTTTCCGCTTCCTGGCTTCAGCAGCACTGCTCGAAGAGCGTCGAGAAACACTCGAGAATCGGCTCAGTGTCGAGGAGGAGATACTTTCGGTTTCCTCCGCGACGCTGCCTGCGACAACGTTACTGATATTGTCGCTCCTGCTGCAACAAGTCGGCTTCACTTTCCGGCCTTTGGTCTCACGTTGAGATCGCCTGACCTGTTCACTGTGCCGCTTGTCGACGTCCATTATCTTTCCGTCCGGCTGGTTCGAATCCGGCTCTCGAAGGACCAATGTTGTTACCTCTCGTCTTGATTCACCATTCCACAAACGTAACGTCGTTACTGTATTATTAGAAGACTGTATTATTACTCTTTCATTCTCATGCCAAACAGCTAACTCCTACTAAAACAAGAATGACCAAAAACTAGTGACCTGCACCACCGAAGCAGGAACCTAAAACTCTAACACACCAAGGAAAACAAGCCCCCTCTACGCCTACGGATCACGGACTACAATCCCGATCCTAGCGTAGCGGCAAATGATACATACTAGTACAAGTCGATGACAAAAGCGGTGCCGGTGTTAGGTGACAGCTGCATACGAATGCATGAAAGGGGTCAGACAGTTCATGTATCATGTATACCGGCAGTTGTAACTGGAGCCGACTGAAAGTCAATACATCAATAGCAGTGTTAGTCATACATGAAGCCCAGACTACAGAAAGTGTAGCAGTGGATGCAAAGTAAGTTGCATACGACGGGTGTTGCTTGTCGCCAACGTCGCCTACGGGGGCAACAAGCGCAATAAACCAGTTACAGTAGTGGTGTCTAAACACAGGTACAGAAGTATGAGCTATGACATGTTCCCAACTGTCAGAAACCTTCCAAAGCACCACAATGAACACTCACTTCTTACCTGAATAAAGTATTGATAGATAAAATAATCTAGCAGGTGACAGCAGAAATCAAGCATGCATGCGTGCAAACACACACATACACACACACACACACACACACACACACACACACACACACACACACACACACACACATGTATGCACACAGACACGCATAGACACATACACAGACATACACATGAGTCACTGTCCGTGCAACTTATAACAAGTAGCATCACTCAAGTATGGTAGCAGTGTCACTGTATGGACACGGGGTCCATTAGCCGTTTGGTGTGATATGCAGAGGCATGGTGACTGAGTCAAGTTGACCAGGTACACATAACAAAGAAAGTAGGGCTCAAACAGTCAATTTTTCAAGTATCAGGTCGTTGCAAAGTATGCACTTTCGCAGGCTGTCGCACGCGTACGCAATTTCTGGGCTTTCAACTCGGTCATACCTGGTCTCTTGGTGTGAGAGTATGTATGAATGAGCATGCAAGAGAATGTACATGTGTGCGTTGTACTGAATAGGGTACATTTTTTGAATGAGTATAGTCAAATATACGGTTAGAAAAGAGGCCACAGGATTGCCGTGGCTTATAGGTTATAACCGTTTAACCGACCGTTAGCTTAGCAGTTAACCGTTAGGGGTAAAACCGTGACCGTTTGAGCCCTAAAAGAAAGCATTTTCCGTGCCCACAGAAGTGGTGGCCTTTACCCCTCTTTCTAGGTAATATAGATAGACAGACAGACAGACAGACAGACAGACAGACAGACAGACAGACAGACAGACAGAGTCCCAATACTGAACATGCATCAAAGTAACATCATCTGCAACTCACTGGCCTCGGTGGTCTGATATTCCGCATCGAGAGGGTTTATCAACCCGGGAACTTCCGGGCCAAACGATAACTTGTCGATGCGATGCGAAAAGTTGTAGTCTGCAGTGAATTCAGAATGATAGACATTTCAGAAATCATAGATGGATACCGGTACATGGATATACATGTAGACTGCTAGCGCAGGACAGGGACATCGGAAGGTATTTTAGTATGGTATGGTCAGCCATCTGAAGTACAATTTACTCGTGAGGGAGGGGTGGCCGAGCCGAACATTTTGGAAATTTAGATCCCAGACAAGTGTACAGTATGTTATTGATTCACAGGGTACCTGGGGCAAAAAGTGGTACGGTCAATACCGTAGTGACCGTACGGTGTCCGACGCCCCTGCAGGTGATAAACCTGAGTCGGTGCATCTAACCTTTCAAGCTGTGTGCTCCAACAAACTAATCTATTGGCATAGGAAATCCACCTTGTCCATCACATCGTACACCTACCTTTTGAATCAATGAAGGCACTTAGATGGGTGTGCCCACGCATATGTGGGATGGACCTAGGCAGGTAGCAGAAAAGAACCAACACACGGCATTAAGATAAATAAAGTTCTGCTTACAAGTACTAGTACACAACTGCAGGTAAAATCTGGAACACGGCCTCCACTACAAATAGGGAAATGATGATCTACTGCACTACACCGTCGGACAGACTACTATCTATTATTTAGGAATGAACGAAACTCCATGTCCCTCTAACAACTCTACAGTCTACAGAGGATTCCTTCACAGTAGACCGGCAGGAAGTCAAATAACGTGAGAAAAGGGTGGTAAATGCACCCTCCCCCCCCCCCCCCCCCCCACCCACAGGCAGAGTTCTTACTTTCCAACAGTAACGTGGAAATTCCCTTCGACCTGAGAAAACAAAATTAGAAACACATACGCACGCATGCAAGTGGCCGCGCACCCCCCCCCCCCCCCCACACACACACACGCATGCACACACGCATGCACACACGCACACACACACACACACACGCACGCGGGCACATGAAACCAGTTGCTGCCGGTCACTACAGATAAACATCAGTCAGTGACTAGCATCCAAACACCACGGTAGCAATAGAATGTGATAGAACTCACCACTATGCAAACACACAACCCGTTCTAGTATTTAAAGCAGTATTACGCACAGAACTCAAACTGATCTGGGAATACTGAATACTTGTCATGAGGGTCGTCGTGTACACCATTGCCAGAACCCACTTTGAAAGTCACACTGATTCTTAATTTAGCTTGTTCACCTTGTGGAGAGGTTTCGTTGCAAGTGCAGTGACTCACAGGTTAACAAGTCTGAAACAAAGAGCAGTGTGGATCATACCTTATTGACATGGAAACTACCATGAATTCTACAGGCATCAGGTTGTCTATCATCTTCCACAGGACTGAGCATAAAAAGCACAGAAACAAGTACGCACACAATATAAGCCCATTGCGTAATGAAGCAGATTGGCACCTGACCAGGAACACCCTACACAGTCACCCGGGTATGGTTGTGTGGGTGTTGAATAGTGCATTGCTGATCCCAGCGTACTTGCAGGCATTACTCACACGTTGCAATACCTGGCAACGCACAATGGGCCCTGTGGAGATATCTACCAAGCATAGCTTTGTAGCTGCGGGAGATGCACGGAGCTAGACAAAATACACTTGACCCGATGTTAGACACACACAGGGTTCAGGACCGCCGGAAGCAGTTTTTGATTGGTCTGGTAGTATCATGGTCTTTCATACTTTGTGTATGATATGGCGGGTGCACATGCCCTCCACAGTAGGAAACATGTGTTGGTGGCTAAAAATTTGGTCCGGTGATAACCTGACCAACCGGACCGGTTCCGGCGGGCCTGGAGTTACTGGCAACCAGGAGATGACACAGCACACATTCTCAGTGAACACCACTGACCCGTGCAAGCCGTGCAAGGGATGCTGTCAAGAGTGCCCCCCCCCCCCCTATCTCATTTAAACACGACAAAAGGATGCCAAAAATGCTTGCATGCAGCATTGCAAGCAACACACACGTACAACAGTACAACAGGTCCTTACTTATCAGGCAAGTTGAGCCGTTTGGGGCTATCTGTGACCAGAGTGTTTAGTGATTGATAATTCATCTTCACGCCCTTCAGTTCCAGAATGTGCCTAAACAAAGTGAATACACAACAAAAGGCACAAGAATAATACTTCAAGTGGGTATACATAATTTCTGTTTGAAATCCCTGAATTAATAATAAATTTATTACAAGTGTAGGACTAGCTTCTAGCAGGTGAACACCGCAAACAGCAAGGTGATTTGTAACCATTGGCATCTAGGCCAGTTTTGCACGTACATGTACTGTGCAATAGGTTCAGTCAGCACGGCAACGATTGTACAACTATGCTGAAAATCCCTAAACTGAACAGTCATGCTGATGCACAATGAATTAAAATAAAAAATACACTGCTACGCACATCCTACAATACACCGAATAAACGGCAGCAGCAAGGTCGGCATTCGTAGCACTTACTTTCGCCACTTTTTCTGCGCTTTGCTCAATTCAAAGTATGACTAAACACCAAAAAGACGCATGAAAAGACACATACACTACATTCAAGCAACTATGACACAGTCATCCGTGAAATCGGTAAAAAAATATATCAAAACTCACACCAGTGGCTAACTGCTCACAAACAAGAGTTGTAAAATACTGACTTCATGTACACTGACTACAACAGCATGAGCGGGTGTGGAAAAACACTCCAAAACGCAAACAGCAGCGTCAGGTCTACATACCAACGACCTAAGGAGCCTCAAGGAATGAGCGGGCTTTGAAAACAATTACCAGTCGCTTGGGAGAGGGCTCTATGACATGAACAGTTTGGGCTTGTGCCTGATATGCTGAAATACAGCAAAGTCTTTTTATCCCAATTTTAATGTGAAATAGTTCAGTGAGAGACACGAACACCTTCCAATCAAAAATTTCCTGCGTTTTAACGCCTTGAAAGAAAGCGCTCCACTTTCAAATCACTAAGCTCGGCTTACCTGTTAGGTAGTGCCCTCAACTAGTACTGTAAATGTACTCATCCGCTTTACTTCCTCTTTTTGTCCCTGTCTCTGTCTCTCTGTCTCTCTGTCTCTGTCTCTCTCTGTCTCTGTCTCTCTCTCTCTCTCTCTCTCTGTCTCTCTCTCTCTCTCTCTCTCTCTCTCTCTCTCTCTCTCTCTCACTCCATCCCATTTTCAGGGGCAGGGCCATGTACTTGTTTCAAAAGCGGTTTATAGACATTTCTACTCCACTCCTCTGCAGAGGCATGCTGGACACTAGAATTTACACAATTAGAATGTGGAAAGGGGCATTGGTTACTAGTACATGTAGTTGACTTACCGGCGTTAGTAGCAGATCAGTGCCTAGCGGTATGGAACTACCAGCCACGTCTAACACATCCGCACCGATATCTGTAGAAAGGCAATTACAGGAAAGATGCACGAAAACAGGCCAATTAGAAATTCGAGAATCAGATGGAGAAAGGGATACAGAAAAAAGAAAAGTCTGCAATCAAATTCATGCGTGAGACAGAATTTGTTGACCGAGCCCAAGCCAAACCGCACCGCAGCAGGAAAGAGAGTTCTTACTTGGCCGAGTTCGACAGCACAGAGGTGAGGACACGACACACCACATATAGAGAGTTTGCGGATACCAACATCGACTTACAATCACATTGCATTGCCACTGTGATGTCTGCATTAATTTGCAATTTACTGCAGAAGAACACAATCAGAAACAGGCAACGCAATGATAATTCTTGAAGAACACATACAGCGAAACCTCTTTACACCTGCCGCACAAGGGACCTTACAAATGTGGTCCCCGTGTGCAGGTGGTCGCCTTATCCTTATCCAGGGTCATTTGACTGGAAATAACATGACTTGGTTCTAGTTGCAGGGGTCCTCTGGGACAGGTGGTCGCTTTGACAGGTTTCACTGTAGTGATAGGCAAACCCCAGTGCTCGAGGACTGCACTTGCTCTCCAGCAACAGTAGAACAAACGAGCAGAGAATCATGGTGGCTTAGCCAAGAGGTCATCCTTAGAATGAATCCAGCTCTTCCTTGTACACGTTAATCTCTTCAAAGCATAGAAAGACAACACCCACTTATGTGACTGAACACGCACAGGGTGCAGAAGTCTCTCTCTCTCTCTCTCTCTCTCTCTCTCTCTCTCTCTCTCTCTCTCTCTCTCTCTCTCTCTCTCTCTCTCTCTCTCTCTCTCTCTCTCTCTCTCTCGCTCTGTGTATATGTATGTGAAGGTTACCTAATACAGTCAGACCTCGCTTATCCGGATCCCTCGCCATCCGGAAGAAAATAGTTGGTTACAAATGTACAGCATATGCCATGCTTACATACAGTATGTGTGTTCGATTATCCGGTTCCCTCGCCTATCCGGATATTTTTGTGGAAAACGGATGTGTGCGGTTAACCGAGGTCTGACTGTACTGCTAATACACCCCATGATGTGTGCTAATTTGAAGTCCACAGTTGGCTGGTGGATGAGTGCACATGCCTTACCTGTTCATGTCGGAATCTACACTGTACTGGTAGCGTAGCTCTGATGAGCGGTACTGATAGATTTCAGCTACGACCAGGATGGCTATGCACGCAAAGATGAATATAGATACTGCACAAGACACAGTGAAGAGGCACCATAGCACAAAGACCAGACAGTCAGCTACACCTAATGCACTCCACCAAGGACGACACGTGTCTGAATGGTCACAACTCTCAGGGTGAAAGAAATGCATACTTCGAAGCAACTCAGTTTCTGCGCACGACAATGAATGGCTGAGTCCATAAACTAAAACGGCACCAGCATATCGAGTAGCGACCAGGCAACTCAAGTGATTGAGAATAACGGCACTGAATTTTGATTGGTGCCAGGCTGCAGTTCTTCAAGCAGGCATATACATCATCGATAGTATAATCAGTACAGCACAGTCAAGGCTGAAAAGATAAGAGCCTCGTGACAGGTACACCAGCTGTGACGTTCCTCTCAAAATTAATAGAAGCTCACACGGTGCTCATCCCAATACACCGGGTTAAACACGGTTGTAATCGGAGCAGAGTGATGGAGAATATAAGAATGTCCAAGTAAAGTTGGACCTACTGAGAAGCACATTCTTGGAAACGCCGCTCTACTGCTTGTGTATCAAGTGCACTAAGAACAATGGAAGCATGATTCAATGGTATCGAACAGTGAACATGTATGCAAGTGTGTACGTGCGTGTGTGTGTGTGAGAACGTGAATATGAATGTGTGTGTATGCTGTATGTATGCGGGCCTATCATTTCAATAATACTATAATATTTGGTTGATAGCAGTGCATAGCACTACAAAGGTCGTTGGAGTCATCGCTACTACAGTGCATTTCAAAACTATAGACGCGTAGGGTTTTTGAAATATTTCAAATTTGGCTGGAACTTTTTGAGAATAGTTTTCGGAATATTGCTCAGGATCGCTCCACAATTACTCTCATATAGTTTCTAAAGGATTGGATAACAGACGCCCAATTTGGAAAAAATTATGCACAAAGTGATCACAGATTTTATGTGGTATAGATGCTGGCATAACGGTTTTTGCCTAGGTACGCGTCTATAGTTTTGAAATGGACTGTAGAGTAACGACTAAACGGGGTTGAAATCTCCTCCCAAAACTGCTTCTGCATCATCGACAATACTGGCATGCAGTTTAGTTCAGTCGACTTGCAATGTTGTTGTTGTCTAATTAATTTTCAGTGGATTACCAAAACATGCCAGCCGCCTGACCTATATTGTAGTTACAATAGTCCTGCAGTACTGAAAGGTAATCAACATCTCATTCTGTACCATAATGAAGTAATTCGTGGCGCTTTGCGTACGATATACATGTACACAAAATATCATGCTACGCATAGTACGGTGAATAACTTCTGATCAAAATTCTAACAGTGCTTCTATCCTCAGATCAGACATGTATAATGTCTTGTAACAACAATTCTAGAATTCTTTATCGTGTTGTTTTCAAAAATAATTACCTCCGCCACCACTTGATGATGTTTCCACATAGCTCTCCGGTATCTTCGGGAAAGCATCTAGCTCCTTGACAACCTCTAAAGGCTGCCGCTTAGTCAAGCGACGCATCCTCAAAAACAGACTATTAGGTGAACAGTTGCTCTACTTTGATACCAATGTCAATTATCGGCACACCTACATACCGGTAGCTACGTATCTCACGATAGATCTGTTTGTTTCCAAATTTGCAGAAATCTTTCCCAGAAAGAAAAAGGAAAAAAACTTAAAAAAAGCCAACTCATCAGAGTCGAATGTTTACGACTCTCACTCATGAGCGACACGTGCGCATGGTGCACGCGAGCGTGCCGCAGGTGTGCTAGCTAGCTAGCGCGCTCGATCAGGCCATATCCGCAGCACCTTTTGTTTTTCAAATCTTCACTTCACAGATCAGTCTTCTGGAGCTTCCTGAATCCTGACTCCTAGATCCTGAGGCCAAAACAAACCATACAAAAGGTCTCAGCTGAATCGGAAACAAAAAGAGTTTTGAAACTGCATTTGCTCCAGTCGAAGCCCCTCAATCACTAAGTCTTGAATTGGAGCTTGCTCGTAACTTGCTACTCGTACTTCCATTGTATTAGGCCAAAAGCACCCAGCGAGATATCTACGATGGCTCCGGTTATGAAATATGGAGTGGATGTCGGCCGAAAGCTGATTCGACTGACGACTGCAGGAAAGGACTTGAACAGGATGCTGAAAGAGGTCGGGGACGTGCGCATGTACCTGATGCATTTCTTTGCAAATGAATTCAATGCAGAATTACTACTACACACTACTATAATTATGCTAGTCCAAAACATCCATGCTCCATTCAATAGTCACTGTTGATGACACAGTGTTTACCAGGTGTGAGTGCATAAACCAGAATGTTCAGCTAAGGTTGTGTTTACATGAGGCGTTTCAACCCAGGTCATGAACCCAGATTGACAGGCCATGAACACAAATTGAGTGTAGCGTTTACATCACGCATCGCGCTTGACCCGGGTTGATTTCAACCCTCGCCTTGGGGGAAGGGGTGAAATCGAGAAATCGTATTTCTGTGCGTATCTCGTGCCAGGTTTGAACAGCACTGCACAGGCAAGTTTCGTGCGAAAGTATTCACGTGACCACACAGGACTCTAGAAGTGGATTTTTGGCGGCATATCAGTATTTGACCCGGGGTCTTCGTGTAAACACCCACCATTTTTTGTCTATCGTACAGGCTTTCAACCCGGGCTGAACTCAACCCGTGTAAACACAGCCTAAAAATGGTGCTAGACTCGTGCGTACCTGGGGAATGCCAGTTCAGTGTCTGTACGCCACAGCGAAAAATTCAAAATGTGTATGACACATTCTCTGCAAAATGGGCTCACTGAACCGCAATCGATGCCATTCACAAGCATTCACAATAGTAGCCACATGTACGGTTCAATATTTATGGGGCCGTCCATAGTTGCTGCCATTTATCACAATCGTACAGAACGTGCAGTATGGGGAGGGGGCACGGCGATTTGTATGCTCACAGGGCAAAACGCCATTTATTGTTCATGCGTATTATGTACACTTCATTGTGTATGGTTTGTACAAGACGGTCTCGGAAAGTCTACATTTTCTACGGGTGAGATAAACTGTCCCTCCAGGAATCCGCGAATCAGCGGCCGCGGTAAAATCCGCGGAATTCATGTTTTTTCTAATATCCCGCGGAATTCATAGTTTTCACCGCAGAATCGTGAAAAATCACGGTTTGGGGGCAATGCGAGCACGCGCTTCATATTCATGCACAGTGCAGTGTCCTGTCGCTATTTTGTTGCATTCAAAGTCGAGGGAGTTTTCTTCGTTACTGTATTGAGCCTATCGTGTGTTTTCGACCACTAAATTTTTATTGATACTTGTACATAGCATATAGCCATGTCTTTTCGCCGGTGCAGCGCCTCAGAAATACCGCAGTATTGCCGCAGAATTCACGCTATCCGCCGCATAATGTAGCGATTTGTGCCGCAGAATTCTGCGCAGAATTTCAACTTTCTGTCCGCGGATTCCTGGAGGGACAGGATAAACGGCGACAATTATGGACCGTCCCTAAGCTAGCTGCCATAAAAGGAAGACTTTTAAAAAATGACTGCAGGGTTGCCTGGAGAGTGCCCAGTTGAGGGCGGTGTCCAGATAACAGAGGATCTACTGTATTCATTTCAAGAACTGCCCAGTAGCATGGCTCTGGCCCGGTCTACACTCGACAACATGTCCTTTACTGTAAACTAGGAATTATCTTCACCCGTTTTAGTTCGTGATTTGCGAGCACAGACAAATTTGCACCTGGAGATGTTTGCGATTGGAGTCAATTTCCTCAGTCTCTTCACTACAGGTCTACGTTTTGCCCTGGCTTACGTTTGCGATTTCACACCCATCGCAAAAACCGCGAAGTATTCCGGATCACAAAGGTTGCCCGGGTTTACAGTATACATGAGCACGTTCTGCAGGCGCATAGCTCGTGTACTTATATTAGTCAGCGTAGTGTGGTCACCACACCAGAAAATAGCCGTCATAGGTACTACATTGTACATGGTCAAAATAGGCAACCTGGCGGCTATGACTCGGTTGCCGGTGGTAGATGGTCACCATTCGACGGACATGCTCTGGCACATTGTCACCAGACCACAGATATTCGAGCTACGCCCCCGTTTTGTAAAAATATATGAATACTAGTATAGCATGTGTGGATTCACAGGAAGTGTGAGTTACGACGTCTGAAGAAAATGTTGAACAGTCTCTGCTGGGATGATGACTACACCATAGCTCAGTGGTTAGAGCATCGCTAGCTACAAGCGAGGGTCCCTGGTTCGAGTCCTGGTGGGGACAGTCAATTTTTTCTTCAGACTTTTCCCGTTTGTGTCTTTCCCTCAAACTAGTCAAGAATACTAGTATGTGTAATTATATCCAGGTTTTGTTCCCTCTTCTGCCATAGGTGCGATTGACTGAGTTCTCGCCAAATCGCTGTGTGTGCGAGATGACGGTGGGCGAGGAGCAGTCGAATCCACACGGCACTCTGCACGGTGCCTTCGCTACGCTACTGATGGACGGTGTCACGACCATGGCGATCATTGCTAGCGGACGTCCCGTTCCAGGACTGTCTGTGGAAATGAATATGAGGTATGTTTGCAAGAGTCTCCCTCTTGTCATATTTTCTAGACTGTTAAGTACACACAAGTCACAGAGTACCACACGTCTTCGTTGGAACTAATGATTTCATGCCCTTAGCCGATGTAGATAAATAGGTAGGGGATTTGTACAGAAAGTTTCGCTTGAAGCGGCATTACGTGCCAATGGGATAGAAGCAGAGATGAAAATGAAACCTCGGAGCCTGTTGTCTTCTAGGCTCTTCTAGGCACGGAACTGAATGATGTTGGTCCAACGATACGGTTGATGAAGACAATTTGAATTCTAATATACTCTTGGCTGTTTGGTGTGTGCTACCTTCCCTATTTTTCTTCCTAATTACCGTTTTAGTTACGTGCAGGGAGCCAAGACAGGGGAGGAAATCCGTATAATTGGTGATTGTGTCAAGGCTGGAAAGTCATTAGCGTACGCTAACTGTGAGATTCGGCGAATTAGTGATGATAAACTTGTCGCGACTGGTCGCCACATCAAGCACGTAGAAGTGGCCAATGCGCCGTTCGCCGCTCCCTGGCTGTTCACGGACTCTACCGACAAGGAATCGTCAGTGTAGCAAAGCCAAGTTAAGCATAGGGGAATGCATCCTTCTTGTGTAACAGTGGCAGTTGTCATGTATGCTGCAAGCATCCTCAATGCATCATGGCTTCGTCATCGTTGAAAAATTGTGCTCTAGTCTCACCAGCCATTCATGCATATTTTGATATCAATTCCTATGTCCCACAGCACAGATTCATATACTTTTCACCGCCTTTTCATTACCATTGCCTTTCTGCATTGTATTTATATATTTTTTCCCACTAGTGCCACCAGCACTCCAGATTTCTTTCTGCCAACCACTGAGTGTGTTCAACTCATGCTAAGATCCGCTGCGCTATATGCTGCGTGCTTAGTTAATTTATTGTGTTTCTTCTGGAGGTGGTTTGGAGGGCATATTCTTAGGGCTTGTGAATACAATGAATTTCGTCTTGCTATCATTCCGTAACCTGCCCATGACATTGTTGCCTTGCCTGTCTGGGGATGATTTGGGATAAGGGTTTACCCGAAAATCGACAACCGAGATTTTGAGATTTACTTGCCCCCCTCCCACACACACACACACACATGAAAGCCTCCCAACTACCCCAGACATCATTGACATTCCATTCAGGACTTTAAAATCTTCATTTTCAAGTCTCTGCAGGTACTGCTGTAGTACACCCATTACAAGACTCTTACACACTGATTCAAGCCAGGACTCAAGGGACTTACTTACACACTGATTCAAGACAGGACTCCAGGCCTGGCCTGCACGCAGCAATACAACAAGTAGCCGCATGTGCAAGCTGTTCATCAATCACGGAGTTGCAGATATGACTGTCTGATGCATATCACGGTCATATTTCCTGTCTGTGAGCAATTTCTTGTCAAAGAATCGGAAAAAGAATTGTAGTTAAATAATAGAATTGAAGTTAAATAATAATTAAGCTTGCCCATTGAAATGAAAAGGCTCAACATGAGATGCTCAATAGGAAATACAACTCAAGTTCACATCTCGTGTCCTTAATGATAGCTTGCATAGACCTCGGTCCTACCGGTAGGACCTACCGGTAGGACCATCATACACAGACATGCTGCATGGCCTCTGTTCTAACATTGACCTAAAACTTGACCCTAAACTGTTGCTCAGGGGCTAATGAAGGAGTCCACAAATTTTAGACGTGATCGCACAAGGCATAGTACGAAATTCCATGGTAACAGCAAATGGTAACCATGGAAACAGTGTATGGAATTATGCACTCCACTGCCTTCACAGACTAATAAAAACATTAGTACCTCACCACGACTGATGTGCCATGGTCAAAATCCACTTTGGACAGAGTTGCTAGCGCTCCGACAGGAGTATGTGCGGCCATTTTGACAATTGATAAAATTGCGCGTATGCAATGCACTGGACATAGTCTTGCATTTTGCGCCATTACTTTGCCTGACAAAGACCTCATCTCAACAATTGTTTCAAGAAATTTCTCAACCGAAAGCACTTTTGCGGCGCGATTCCTTGGGTCCTACCGGTAGGACCCGTGGTCCTACCGGTAGGACGGCATGCAAGCTATCATTAATAAATAGGGTCAGTATGAAGTCCTCAATGGGAAGTACAACTCAAGTTAACATAGTTCACGTTTCTTGTCAGGCTTTGGGTCTGGAAGCAGAGCCATACTGTCTTTGCTGCATTGTGTCACGGCGACTTACCAAGTTTGGACAGGAGCCGGCTGAGCTTTCGATATGCTTGCAGCCTCCCATGCCCCTGATTGTTGAGAATACACTCGTTTGCAAGGCGAGTGAGAGACTGCTTCACCGCCTTGTCAGGCGGATCATGGAGCAGGCCACTTGTCCAGGATACAATCTGATCGCCGGCCCAGTGATGATCGGCAAACAGTAGGTTCCGGCAGATGTAGTAGTAGTTTGTATCCTGCAGCCCGGCCGCACACAATTGTGCCGGAAAGACCACCTGACAATTTCTGGACTCCTTAGCGCATGCTGCAAAGGTTTCACTGACGGACACTACACGATCGTTGGATGTAAACTCACCAAGAAAAACTATGGAAGGGATAAAAACAAAGGAACAGTAGTCTGGCTGTAGAATGGTTTATTGAACACTATAATGATGTACCAGCTAACGTGCTAGCTACAAGCGAGGGTCCCTGGTTCGAGTCCTTGTGGTGACAGTCAATTTTTTCTTCAGACTTTTCCCGGTTGTGTCTTTCTCTCAAACTAGTGAAGATAACGTGCATTTCCTCACCTACCATATTCTCCTGAGTATAAGCCGCACTTTGAACACACAAAATTCACCCCAAAAAGGGGAGTGCGGCTTATACTACGGTGATCAAATTAACGGTGATAAACAGGGTAGATGTCTGTATTTCGTGGCAAAAATGGGGCCACAGTGCGGCTTATACTCCAGTGCGGCTTATACTCCGGAAAATACCACCGCCGACAACGCTAAGAATGTACCAGTGTGGGGAAGGGTGAGGAAGTGTGATGAAGTGTCACGGTGATGAAGTGTGATGAAGTGTGATGAAGTGGCATGCTGACAACACTTATACGCAACACTAAAACAACCGCAGTAAGTACTCACACGGTGAGCCAAGGATAGTATTAAATTGAAACAAGGAAAACGGTGGGGCACAAGTTATGCGTTAGAGTCCACCAACCAGTAATATCCAACTAAGGCCACACCAAGTTTTTTCATTGTTTCTCGTCACCGCGCGCGTACCTTTCTTGAGGTTTGGACCAAAAAAAAAAATCTCGCGTCCCGGTAAACACGCATAAAAAGGCGTTGTAAAAGTACGCGCGGCGTCAAATCTGGAGTGCAGTGCTAGTGCACGAACCGAAGGACGACTTTTGCACCGTGTATGTACGCATACCGGTAGTTCAAGTACCACACCACCACACGCCTGCTGTATTCATTGTCTGGACTTGTCATGTCATGCTATGCCTTATCCCATAAGGTTTCTGTTTTAAATTTTAGCACAAGCGCGCACTTGGCTGTTCTTTTATGTACCCCTTGTATAATAACTTTGGTTTGCTTTCTTTCCTATTTAAATAACATGCAACACTGGACTTCCTCACCAGAGGCCGGTGCAGGAGCCTGGTTTTCTGGCTGTATGTTGCAATTGACTGTCACGCGTGGTGTATAGTCTGATTTTAGGTCATAAATTGGGCCTTTGTAGTGTAAATAGCAGTTTTTGTTTTTCAAACCCTATTTTGTTTTTTTTTCCGCCCGCCCGCGTTTCTTTTGAGATTTTCAGGTGACGAGAAACAATGAAATAACTTGGTGTGGCCTAACACTATATAACTAATATCCATGAACCTTCCAAGTTGGAAGGCCGTTGGTTAGCGCTATCGAGCAGTGCTCAAGCTCACTTCCTTGTCGTGGAATGTCTCAGTACTCCTTGTCAGTCTGGTGCTATCCTGTGCACGTCTGACCATTCAAAACCTGGGCTAGTTGGTGGACTCTAACACATAACTTGTGCCCCACCGGTTTCCTTGTTTCAATTTAAAACAACTGCGTTCAAATTTCCAAGCAGAATGCACTGGACGTGGCTTTGTTTTCTTTTCTTTCTTCCAATCTGAGCTTACCTGGATCGTTCTTGTTGACAATGATCATATGCTCAAGATCAATTAGCGTCACCACGTATCGGTCCAGTGTAGAGTTGTAGTGAACAGCAAAATTGTCCTCCTCGACGTCCAGAAGGTGGAATATCCACTGCTCCGCGTTGTCTGTGAGCTTGATGGTGGTATCGACGAGGGCTTTGGCTACTCGAACCCGGACTGTCCACGGCTTGTCCATGTAGTCGCCCATCTCAGCACCGCTGTGCTCGACGAATATCATCCGACCGCAGGCACCATAGTAACGGGGGAATGGCCAACCATCACTTGAAGGGAATGCCTGAAAATCAAACAACCGAATACCATGACGCAAAGTACCCAGGAGAACTACGATGGACAGTAGCATGTACTCTGCATGAAAAAGTATACGTCGTGCCCTGTTAGCATTAAGAGTTGGGAGGCAAAACCGTTATTCCACAGAACATCAGATTCGCTACAATCATGTACATGTAGTTGGATCAAGAGTATTCAAAGTACAAGTCAAAGTACAAGTCAAGTCATTGTCCAGAAGCTTGTCGGCCCATTCTCATCAGTAGACACGAGGGAAATGAAGGCAAGAAAGTCAAAACAGTCCAGCCCCATAAAGAGCGGTGAGTTGTAAGGCGGGTGGCATATATATCCTTACCTTCAACACCACCGCTTCATGGTTTACCATGACACTAGTGCGCATCATAGCGGCCTCGTTGGCCTGTAGCCTCCCATCACCGTCGCCATCGTACGCGTGCACTATCTTCTTGTGTAGCTGATCACCGACACAGTGGGAGATGCTGTGCACCTCCTCGGCATGGCTCATGTTGTACAGTCCATGCCAATCTGCCCCGGCGAGAAGACTTTCGGCGGCCTGCAGTGCTATACGACCGACATGTTGATCCGTCAGTCCTGCCGTGCAATCTCCATTATACACGCCCCTTGCCTTGGCATCCATGCAGATATTGCCGTTAAGCGTAGCCAGTTCTTTGCCGTACGCCAACGATTTGCCGATCACAAACACGGTAGGTGGTTGCGGTGACGTGCTCGCCGCCATGCCGGAACTATCACCAGCGCGGGCCAGGATTCCCTTGTGCACGCCATTGCCACTGGCCAGGTACTTTCTGCCCAGGTCAGGCCGGCGCTGGAACCGTGCCAGCACTGGGCAGAAGTCCTCTCCGAAGCAGGCTGGGCACGTGATGCGCCTGACTTCGTGTTGCGTAATCGTGCCGCTGATGGCAGCCTGCAGCTGCTCGCGGGTGAACACGACGGTCAGCACAACTGAGCACAGCAGAACGGAGATCATGCATCGCCAGCTGCATCGACGACGTTGGTAGCATGCCCGTGCCGAATGCAGCATCCTCCTCCTCATCAACTCTGCCTCGATTCCTGGAATTCGGGTGTCAACGTGAATTATTCGGTCGCCTTCGTTTACAACTCCATCCCAGCGGATCTAACGTTGCCAACGCGATGGCCAAGCCTTTGTATCGGGAGCATGACCCTATGTGTACTTCGAAGTACAAAAATAGCCTAGTATAGGTGACAAACTCAGTGAAGCACGGACGGCACAATCGTTCGTTTCCACCGAGAGCGATTCTGGAAATCAAACAGTCCGCTATTTCTGAGTTCTAGCGAGGACTGGTTCACCGTCACGCCATCACTGCATCAGGCCGCTTGGTGTCTTTTTCCACGCCTCGGATTGCAGTTGGCGTGTTTCCTCCCTCAATGATCCTGCCAGCCGCAGAGCTTTTTGTCAGTCTTCGATCATCGTCGTCAGGACGTGGGTCGTTCCATTCATTCACAAAACGGACCCGCATTGTCACACTGACTATTGAGATAGAGTAAAGCACAAGGAAGCTAGTTTTACCAGGGAGTCGTATAAACGGGTGTATACGACTCCCTCGTTTTACCAGAACGCTATGCTCAACTCGGTAACCATGATAACAAGAAGGGTGGCCGCTTTACCATGACATTGTTCAAGTAATAGTCACAACTAACTACTTCTGCAGGCCGGTAGATTCTACTCCATGGTAATAATAATAATTGGTACTCAGTACTGCGTTCCGGGTTATCATGGCATGCAGAAGCATGGCCTTACAACATTGTAGCCTTGTACAAGTTGTAGGGTAAACTCCCCCCCCCCCCCCCGAAATTGCACTGCGCTGCATGCAAATACACCAAAATAAAATAATTATATCTTTTTATAATGAAAATACCATGACACACACTGTGACATGCCCACACTAGTTAGATGTCACTCTGGCCTACTCAGTATTCATAATTCAGTGCAATACAGTGAGCCAATCACTCAAACCCGGTTTCTTTGGGTTTCTTTGTCATTTTTCCACAAACTTCAGCAGTACATCATGGGTCTCCATGGCATTCTCTATGGCATGGTCCTAAAAAATCCGCGGTCCGCGTGAGACACGGCTGCAGGCCGAGTTTTCCGCATCTGTAGGAAGTTACTAGGAACGCCCCTACCCATTATGAATCCTGCTCCTAAATCAGACCTAAATAATCGTATAATCAGTGTCTGCTCCAGCGCCGGGTGAGCCGGGTAATCCACCCGGTTGGGCGGCGCTTGCACCCGGTTGAAAAGATAGTACCGGGTCACCTGTGACCCGGTTGGTACTTTACACTTTCGAACTTTGAAAGGACTAACTACATGGCTTGTATGTGTCAGATACTTCTTCTTCTTTCGGAATTTTCTAATTCTTGTCCTCTCTTTTTCTAAATGCGGCTTATCCATTCGCCTTTATATCATTGGGCCTAGTTCCCGTTTATTGTCCGAATTAAAATAAACCAACCAACCAGTTAAAGCATGTGACTCGGCTGGTGAGACAGCGCCAGGTACATGTGTACCCGGCTCCAACCCGGTTGAAATGGTTGCGCCAGGTACATGTGTACCCGGCTGTCCTACAATCCTAGAGCAGACACTGATAATATATTTTAAAATTTTGTAAACCAATCATGGTCCTCACTACAACCAACAAAGGCCACATGAAAGTTGCAAAAGCGACGTGGGGAGAACTTGATATTGTTGATCCAGCTTGTTCTATTGATTGCGCTTTTGAAAAGAAGGATAGTTTCCAAATAATATTACTTGAATAGATAAATAGAATAGATTGAATAGATTCATTTGTAAGACACTGGGTGGGGCTACAATCCAGTCGCATAAGGTAGCATCATGATAGGCTAGTACTTGCCTCTGCATCTCTCAAAATATACTGTTTAATAATCATCAATGATTGATAGCAAAGGAATAAACTTATTATTGATAAACTTGAGTCTGAACTTTACTTTACAGTGAATTTTCATTTGGCCGCTCACAGTGGTCAAGGGCAGCGTTTCAGCAGACAAAAGTCTGATAACGTAGTGTTGAAGCATCAACTGAGCGATACAGGTCGTGTGCCGTACATCTCCGGCATGGCCACCAGGGAGTACTAAAAAAAACCCGATGGTCACTACTCGGAGTTTCTAAGCCATGTGTGTAAGCTCATGTGTGAGTACTTGTACTAAAAAATGGTGTTTTAGTACTCCCTGATGGCCTTAAAAGCCGAGCACCAGTGCTGGCTTCCCCGGTCACCTACGTATATTTAGCGATGACCACGTGAGCTTACACACACGCATGCACGCACAAACACACAGCTGTGTCAATAGCGTGTGCTGCGCGCCACGTGTCAACTGCATTCTCATCCACTTGGTCTTGACAGGAATCCAGCTCGCAGATCACAAGCAAGTTCATCAGTCGTACAGCCTTCGGGAATAGATAACACTTCCGCATATTGCCCAGTTGGAATATGCCACAAGATTAGATCATGGACCTATTCACAGCCAGCTGTCAACTAGTGCCATGATACCCTGCATGATATGTTGCATTTACTCAACCGCAGTACTCGATTGGATCCATTCGGGTGTCGACACAGTTGCTGCTGCTTCACTCTTGTACTGTGGACACATTGAGTCATGATTGCCTGATGAGTTGGGAAAGCAAACTACTTAAGTTCTGGTATGCGTGCGCCCTTCCCAGTCCCCGGGTGTTGAGAATGCATTCATTCACCAGCTGTGTGAGTGTCGGTGTCCAATCTGCCTCTGCCGGTGGACTGTGAAGCAAGCCATCCGCCCACGACACAATCTTGCCACTGGCCCAGTTGATCCTTGCAAACAGCAGGTTCCTGCAGACGTAGTAATAGTTCGTGTCCTGCAGGCCGCCCGCACATAGTTGTGGTGTGGAGAACGCCTGGCAGTCCTCAGAATCCTTTGCGCATGGTAAATTACTGTCACTTATTGATGGCTCCACATCGACCCGGGAAACTTCACCTGTAAAAACTACAGGAGATACAAAGACGACGATGACAGCGCAGGCAACAATCGCCACAACACCACAACGTATACAATCGAGTCATATGTGGGTGAGAAAAAAACATGTGCATGCGGTGTCACAGAGCACTAACAGTGTCACGGAGCGCTAGCAGTGTCATTGAGTGCTAACAGTGTCACGGAGCGCTAGCAGTGTCATTGGGTGCTAGCAGTGTCACGGAGCGCTAGCAGTGTCATTGAGTGCTAACCGTGTCACGGAGCGCCAACAGCGATACCAGGAGCACTAACAGCGATACCAGGAGTACACAACTCGCATGAGTGACGGCTCTACATACCGTCACCGATGGCGGAAACTCACACCATTAGGTCACATCATGAGGTCACATCCTCTGAAAGGTGCTTAGCTTTACAATAGGGGGGTTTCGCTCTACGGAATTACGTATGAAACAACGTAGGAACTGCACGTAATTTTCATACGTAAAAATCAGCGCTGTTGGGTTTCGCTCTACGTGATTTTTAACAATGTTGGTTTGGAGACGTGTTGGCTGCATGCGTTTACCGCATGCACCACGAACCGAAACCGCGTTTTCCATTTTATTTTGCACGTGATGCACGGGTCTGTGTATTTTGTGTTTTGTGCAGCTTGAACGTTGCCATAGATAAATCCGGAAAATGCGAAAATATTTCAAAAAGTCCTACGGAGAACCCAACATAGGAAAGAGCTTTCCTACGGAAATCCGTAGAGAGATTTACGTATGAAAGTTGCCCTCGCTCCCCGGCGCATACGACATAAAGATTTTCATACGTAATTACGTAGAGCAAAACCTCCTAATATGGTTTCCACTGTGTGGAATGGAGGTTAGCGTGTGTGCTGTCTGCACCTGCCAGGGATCTTGTTCAATTTCCTTCAGGGAGTCCTGAGCACTTCCTGAAGGAACTTGAACAAGTTCACTATCGGTCTATGACTTCTCTCCTGCTCACTGGAATATCCTGGATATGTACAGCGAAAACACCTCACCATGTGATGTGAGTTTCGCCATCAGTACACCCTGTAGAAAAATTCGATGGCGGTGAACACTGGGAGGCGGCAGAGCATAATTATTATAGTCTCGTGCAACTCGACGCAGCAGAAACAGCATGCATAAAATATCGAATAATCATTGTTAGTGTCCTACCGTAATGAAGGCATGGGTCAATTTTCTTATAGTACCGTGCTAAATGAAATCCAGTCGCATCACTCAAGTACGCCCGGGCGTTGCGCAACCCTAGACCTGCGGACACTGGGCTGCAACCCTAGACCTGCGGACACTGGGCTGCAACCCTAGACCTGCGGACACTGGGCTGCAACCCTAGACCTGCGGACACTGGGCTGCAAAATGGTGCAAGGTGCACACTTGAGTGACGCGACTGGATTTCACCGAGCAGGACTGTAACGTTAGATACACCCATACACCCATACACACATACACATATACACATATACACATATACACACATACACATATACACATATACACATATACACACATACACACATACGCATATACACATGAATTGCATTATAGGCTGACTCTCACCTGGCTCCTTCTTATGGACAATTATCATATGCTCAAGGTCAATGAGCTTCACCGCATACCGGTCATGTTGTCGGTCGTATCGAACAGCAAAGTTGTCGTACTGGAGGTCAAGAAGGTAGAATATCCAGAGTTCAGAATTGTCAGTCAGCTTGATGATGGCGTCAACTAGGCCCTTGGCAACTCGAATCCGGACTTCCCACGGTTCACTAATGTAGTCGCTCATGTCAGTACCACTATCCTCAACAAATATCATCCGACCGCAGGCACCGTAGTAATGAGGGAATGGCCAGCCATCACTTGCGGGAAATGCCTGCAATGTGCAGAGAAAACAAGCAAACTCTTTTCCAAATAGATACATATATGCTCCGGGCCCAGCCAGGGCACAGCAAAACAAATTTCATTTTCATTTAGTCTTTATTTGAAGGATTCTCCAAAAGTAAATGGATACTTATCGGGGGAGTTTCCTGGAAGGGTGGATGAGACGAAAGGGAAGTGAAAAGGGAGAAGGGAAAATAGTACTTAGCACTGCTCAGGGAAAACTACAGGTAAAACCACCAGGGAGAAACAGAATACATGACGAGAGCCAGGTACGAAAATCAGGAATTCCAGTGGTGGAGAATTTGTGGGTCAATGGGAGAATTTGTGGGTCAAATGGGTCAATCCATTTTCCTAGCTGGTACTTAGGCGAGTGTCTAATGGCAATTAGTACGGCAGCTCCTTGTGTATACACTCATATTGATCAACACAGTTCCTACATCACCTCAATGCAGTATCAACTGACCTTCAGCACCACAGCTTCGATGTTGACCATCACAGTTGTACGCAATATTGCGGCCTCGCTGGCTAGCAGCTTCCCATCATTGTCGCCATCGTACGCACGCAGTATTTTCCTGTGCAGCCTCCCGCCAACACACTTTGCTATGGTGGGGGCACCCCGGCTCACGTTGTACAGGGCATGCCAATCAGCTGATAAGACAAGTTTGGCAACCTGGCATGCCAATTGCCCGACAACTCCATCCATCGAGTTGAACACTGCTCCGCAATCTCCAAAGTAAGCACGATGTGCTTTGGCATCACTGCATACCTCACGGTTTAGTTTACCGAGTTCTCCATCAAACGCCAAGGCTTTTCCAATGACCAAATCTGAGGATTTAGACTGCACCAGGGTGGAGAAGTCCAGAGAGCTTTCAGCACTGGCAAGGATGCCCTTATGCACACCCTTTCCATTGCCAAGTAATGCCCTGCCCAGTTCTGGTCTGCGTCGGAATCGTGACAACAGCGGGCAGAAATCCTCGCCGAAGCAAGCCGGACAGGCACCACGCCTCACCTCGTTTTGCGCAATGGCGCCACTGAAGATGCCCGCAACAGCTAGCAAGTTTTCTTGGGCGACCACGATGAACAATATTCCAACGCACAGGATGAGAGCAAACATGCACCGTCGACTGCAGCACCGACAGCACAATGCCCGCCGTAAGCGGGACAGTGCTTGCTCCATTTCAATTTGTCACCCAGCAAAAGCGTAACGCGAAGACCTCCAACTGACTTGCAGAGACCCGTACACAGGCAGTGTTTGATCAGTGCGGAGAACGATCACAATGTCAGTCTGCACTAGTGCTCGGTACCGCTGTCTTGGAACTGAGCAGTGACCCTTAATCTGCAGCAGCCAATCATTCCTACAATCCGGACGTTGAGATGGAGGCAGTTTCTTTCCCTATCTCCAACTATAACTTGTTACACATGTCCAGGGGAGATACACCTTGCACACTTTTTGCTTAGAAGTTGCTTCGCTCACCAGCGCACTGAGCTGCATTGCAGCGACCAGGATATCAAAAGCGATATAAACGCACTTTCGAAAATTGCTATGGTTTGTAGACCAGGGTAGCGCGTAAATAGCGCACCGTCAAGCCAGCTGAGTCATGTTCAAGCAGAATGGACTCATTCCCCTAGTTTCAAGCTAGGCATTTCCTCTAGACCTGGTGCCTTCTTTCCGCCATAGCCACCTAGCCGGCGGCCACATCGTTCACGACTTTCATTGACATTGGTTTGATAAAAAAAGTCCTGAAAAAATCGATACGGTAAAAAAGCGTTGTTTCAGAGTGATCACATGCACGTGCACAGACATGATTGTTTCTGCCATTCTAATACGTGCGGATATGCTGATCAGTGATCATGGTGATATCTACGAGTAGATCTACGAAACTACAAGAGTCAAGACTTTATAGCCTTATAGGCCAACTACTTTGAGGCCAAGGGCCTTCGTCTTGTTTTTTGAAAGTGCTGACGTGCGTCGGGTCTGGCTGAGAATCACGAGACCACGGCCACACCACCGCGGTCATCATAGTCTTTGGTGTCTTCAGGTCTTGGTGGTCTGTAAAAGATGAAGATGCAACGACCAGTTACAATACTGTTCATGATGTGAAGCGCTCGCTTTTCATCATTCAGTTCGTTCTGCAGGGGAAAACTTGCATTCAGAGCGGCAAGCAATCTTCGCAGGAGAATTTTGGCCACCTCACGGTTGCAGAGTGAGAGATCGAGAGGATAGTGTCCGATCGCTAGGAAGGCAGAAAGACCGCTAGGGTTCAGTGATTTCTCCAGATTTGTAGAGCACTGCGTGCGAAGGATTCCCGTTCAGGATGAAGGTGGCAATGATTCTATTAATCTTGTCGTGCGTCCTGTTCAGCACTGGCTGGGCGCATCTGTGCTTGCTGGAACCAAAGCAGCGAGGTCCGCTGGACGTGTCCGAGCCCGGCAGCCACACATGCTTTCGCCATGGCGAGCAGTGCGGAGGTGAAGCGGCTGGTGCCGTCGCAGCACACTTCACCGTAGGACAAACTGTCTTCATCAAGTGGCAGCAGAACTTCAACCACTACGAAGTGGGCCATCCAGGCTACATGGACATTGCCATAGCGACGTCGGAAAACTCCACCGACTTCACGTTCCTGGCCGGTTTCGGTGATATAAATTGGCACCAGCAGAGTCACCAGCAGAACTACACGGTACCGGTGGTGATGCCGGACATTGAGTGCGAGCATTGCGTCATACGGGCGCGCTATCTGGCACACAAGCCAGGCGAGACCGTCTTCTACCAGTGCAGTGACGTGACCGTCCGTCGAGCCAGGCCAAATGACGAAATGGCCACCAGCCGACAGCGAGTACCCAAGATCGGCAAGTGGCGTGAGGTGTCCGATTTCATTGAGAAGCACAATGCACACCTGGACGGAAAGCGCACGGTTGCCAAGGCAAACGCTGATACCAGTGGACTGTATGGTCTAACGTGCAATGCATTTCAAAATCCTCACAGCTGTGGATTCGTGCGCATTGATGCAGAGACCGGAATCGTCGGCAAGATCGGCTCGGAGAAGTTTGGCGTGGATGCAGCTGGCCCGCTACCCAGTGACAATAACCCCGGTGACTACATACTAGATCAGGTTGTAGCCTATGCTGGCGAGAACCTCGTCTACTACCTTGTTCACACGGGAACGGTGGACGACAATAGCCAAAGCGTGATTGCCGTCAGGACTGACAGCGGCAGTGCTCTGGAAACCTACCCATTGACCGTCGGTGAGCCAGTGAATGCCATGCTCATGACTGGCTCGGAGGTGGTCACACTGCAGATCTACCGCAACACGATCAAGACGGATTCATTCGACTTCCACTGGTCCAAGGTAGACCTGCAGACGGGCGTGCTTACCAAGTTCTTCCAGCCGGCCAAGCCCGAAGATCTCTACATCAACTATCTGTGGAGCACGTACGACACCAAGAACCACATTATCTACTACCTGATGGGCAACGAGAATGCACCGTACGACCTGAACGCTCGCCTCTACGCCGTCAGCCTGATTGCGGGCGCGGCGGAGATTGCACCCGTCGAGCTCAACGTCACCAGATACACGATGGGCAGCATTGAGTACGACTCGGCCAGCGATCGCCTGGTAGCCATATCGCCAGGGCTGTACACGGAGGGCTCGCCGTCATGGCACATGGTGGAGGTAAATCCACGTACAGGTGCAGTCTCAACGATCTGTCAGATCGCACCTGCCGGACTATTCAAGGGAGACTACACCGGAGGAATCTTCTTCGGTGATCAGTCGACGTCCACGTTCTACGTCCGCCTGAGAGCCATGACCGAAGGCCCACTCCAAGCGGAAGTGTTTGCCAGCGTCACCCTGCATGGTGCGGCCAGTTGCACTGTGAGGTTCTCACGACTCGGAAACTACTACCACATCCACAACTTGGCATACCTCAGATCCAGGTCATAAGCACCAACTCTCATGGACAAGAAGACTTAGTACATTCATGTAGATCTGTAGAAGCAACGTATGTTACGTCACGCTTCTACTCAGATCACATGATCCCCTAGGAATATACTACTTTGAACAATTTACCTTCCGATGATCATGAACCAATTTTAGGAAAATCCCTGTCCCTGTAAGATCTTAGTACAGGCTTGTCCTCAGACCTGGGTTTCTTGTTTCCCGGGGCGGCGATGGACGTAACTATGCTTACCCAACCACCCGTATCCTACGAATTCAGTACTGCATAGCAATGGTTCTTCATATCGATTTGAGATCGCTACACGTAGCATTAGCGAACGATAGTGAAGTTTCACAAGGGAGCAAACTGAGAAGATCAACACTAGACGAACCCGTCTCAAGACGTACTGGCTGTCAGACATAAGAAAGGGATGTACATCAAGTGTACATGTACCGGTACTGTTGAAACTTCGGAAAGAAAGGACGTACTGTTTCCGATGGCCGGCTTCAAGTGGCATTTCAACAAGTATCGGAAATAGGGATCATGACAATCATGATGCAGTTTGCATCTCTCATGCTCTATCAAGAGAGGCAAGAGTAAGAGTACATTGAATGGCAAGTTGTTATTGGGTACTCTTGCCATCTTGGTTTTTGTCTGACTCCAAGCTTTTCGGGACTGGCCATGATCGTGGATATCATAATAGCAAGAGTCCATAACCCCAGGCCAGGGGGGGGGGGGGGCGCGATACTCTTGACTTGAATACTAGTACCGCGCGTACCGGTAGTCTACAGAATACCAGTGTCCGCACCATGGACCAGGCCGCATGGAGTACTAAAAACCTTCTCTTTTGTTTAGTATTCCCTGGTCCGCACAAGGCACATGTAGATTAGAACTGAACTGCCCACTGCCCACTGCGAATACAAAAGTCATGTACAATCATCATGGTAATAAAGGTAGATCTACAGGGGGGGGGGGGGGGGGCGGGGGGGGTAATGCGTTTGAAGGCGTTTCCCCTACTCTACAAGTAGTCTACAAAAACATGTAGAGTCTAGCTCAGGGAGTCGTAAAATACCAGTATTTTACGACTCCCTGGTCAAGCTCTATCTACTACTCTGGTCACGTGACTATTTCAAAATACCCAATGCAAGTAACGTTAGTTTCAAAATAAATAATACCAAGAGTTCATAACTCTTGGTATTATGAACTCTTGATAATACTTTGTTCGAGTCAGTGCACGACCGGCAGGCTACAACACGTCATTGTATTTGTAGATAAGTGTAGCTTTCCCTTGAAATTGATCTGCATATTCCGGTAGTATCGCGGTCCGTAGGCAGTCCCTGGTGATCACGTCGGCTGAACAGAGTTTGATCAAGTAAACGCCTTGTAATCAGGGCATCGTAAAGCCTGCCATTTGTCTAAACTAGCGAGTACAAGTGTTTGCTTCTTACAGCAACAGAATGGCCAAGATAGGCTTGGAAGCTGCCCAAAATCTGTTTCGGATGATTGTGGAAGGCACCCACTTTGATCGGGTGTTGCGAAAAGTAAGTAACAATGCTAGGACTCGACCAAACTGTAATCAATTGTATCAAGAGTACATAATATATGTACATAATAGTACTCTTGATTGTATTCATTTCTTGATGAATTTCATGATTTTTTATTCAGTTGACCCTACCTCAAACATAAGGGGCGCGTGAGCAGTTTAAATTGATAAGAGATTTGCTCCCGGCTTCATATAAGTACGTTGCCAGATATCGAGCCACGCCGCACCAAGCATTCGAACTGTAAATACGGACATACTGAACTTGAGAACAATATTATCTCTGTCTACTACATCTACCGGCAACATGTGATAACAAGAGTACATAATTATGTACTCTACTTCGTTGAAGTACACCACACACACACACCATTTGACGCCCATCGCCAGAGGCGATGATAGCGATGCTACAGCAGAAGCCATAGCAACTTGTGCTGGGATTGCACCATTCAATATCTTGCAAAGCTGAAGAATCGACTGCCAATATTCAGCCTGGTCTACACCACACAACTTTTTCTGGCCAGTGAATCCCTACTTTTTGGTCTTTTTTCCTGCACACATATCACACCACATGATTATATAGATACACTGTTTTGTGCATTGGCATGTGGAGGTACAGGTGGTTTGATTTTCTGCACGATATGGAATATCTGAAAAATGTGGATTATTTGAGCGTACGTACCTTTAAAAAACAAAAACAGGTTGTTTGGATTGGCGGGGTAGAACTGTATACGAGGTATGTCCTGTTGCGTTGCCGGTGTGGTGACCGGGTCTGTATGTTTGGTGCTTGGTGTTTGTGATGATGCAGGCCACTATCGTAGCTCTGTCACCCAGCAAGTGTACATGTGAGATGACAGTGGAGGAGGAGCACGCCAACAAGCACGGCACGCTGCACGGTGGAATGGCGTCGACGCTGGTGGACACGGTCAGCACGGTGGCCATCATGGCCAGCGATCGCAGTGCGGCGGGTGTCAGCACTGACCTTTCTGTCAGGTAACCACCCATAGGATATATTCATGTGCATGTGCATGCCAGACTTACAATTGCATGCATGGGCCTCGGTGAGCATGGAACACACACGACGGTGTAGTTTGGCCATGGAAATTACTGTTGCAACGTGACAATGATGTGTCAGCACAGACCTTTCTGTCAGATAACCACTCATACAGTCATGTTGGACTTACAATTGCATGCATGGGCCTCGGTGAGCATGAAGCACACACGAGGTGTAATTTGGCCATAGAAATTGCTTTTGTAACGTGACAATGATGGGTACCGAGTAGTCACACTCACCAGGGTCATTTACTTCAATCAGACGGGGTTGAGTTAGGGTTTTCTTTCTCAATTCTTTGCCATACGTTCTGCTAGTACATGTAGTAGTATTGCACCGTGGACAAGTAGCAGTAGCTCGGGAATCTCAGCTGTGCACCATTGCATTAGTAGACAGTATGTTGTCAGGTGTATTATCAATTTATCATAATCTGACAGGTAGCAACTGATTATCACATGCATGCCAGGTGACGTTGTACTTGACTTGCTCGTGTGCCTGCGCAGCTTTGTACGGGCAGCAAAGATCGGTGAGCGTATACGCATTGACGCAGAGTGCTTGAAGGCTGGAAGATCACTGGCGTACGCCAACGTCACCATCAGTCGGTGCAGCGACGATGCTATTCTATGCACAGGTAAACACACCAAGTTCTTCACCGAAAAATAAAGCATTGGGAGGACATGACAGGCCAAGTGTTATGTTCAGCAACGCCGCCTACCAGTTGTGGTCGTATCTGTGACACCGAGGCTCACAGAGACATTGGAATGCGATTGGTATTGTCCGGAGCAATCCCACCTCCAGCTGGACTCCACACTGGCTACAGCTGTGTAGCTGACAGCAGTTTGGATTAACTTACGCAGACTCTTCGAGAGAAGTAGGGGATGATGCTGGTAGTAAAGAATTTCCAGCAGAATAGAATGCTAGGATTTCCTGTTCTTCTCTAGATAGACTACCACCGATCTATTCTGTACTAGTATTGCTATCTCCCCGCTGTGATGCTTCATGCTTAGCGTATTCACACACACGTTTTGTTGTCTCTTTGGCTTATCACAGCATGTAGAGATGTCCTCACTCATCCACTTCCCAAGTTCCCATACACGCAGATACGTGTACGTGCGTGTATCATGGTGTACAGAAGGTGGTGGGGAGGTAGGAGAAATATCCACTTGCCAAACCTTACCTTTCTGCTGCCTCGAAGAGCAGTGCCATGAATGCCTTGAGTGTCTTGACGCCTTAGTCGATATTAATAATTTCTAGACGGAGCAGTTTCCTGTATTCCTTTTAAAACCCATGTTGGCGTGTATCTTAGGGAGGAACTTACATGTACTATTTTTTGTTCAACTGTACTACCTCGCACACACACACACACACACACACACACACACACACACACACACACACACACACACACACACACACACACACACACACACACACTCCAATGTTGGAAGCCGTCCTTTATTTTCACCAAACAGCAGAAGCCTACATTCTTCACGCTTTGAGCGAGAACCGAGCATGTGATTGGAGTGAGCAGAGAGTGGTAAAATACGAGCATGTAGCATGTTGACCCTCACACCAACAAAATGGGACCTTGTATGTGAACATTCTTCCTGCCGTTTGCTTTTGCAGGGCAAGCTCACACAGTGAAATAAATATACCAGTCCTGCAAAGAATAAACATCATGAGCTCTGTGCACCAGCTGTACGGTTGTGTGCAAAAAAGGGTTTTTGCCAGGAGCGTCGGGGAAAACTAGGCCCGACCCATGCAACCGTTTCCCAACAGAACTAGAAAGCAGCTGCTGGGACGGGTTTAATTGGCACATCATGACATGTGAATGCTCTAAGACCCGGCTGTCGGGGAAATCTTGGGTGAGAAGAGGCAATCGTTACCTCTTCCAACATACTGGACTTTCTTGCATCTGTCTACCGATCGAAAATGTAAACGCAGCAGAAACGTGATATCTCACGCACTTTCGACACAATTCGTACTCATCGTCGGAATTGGCATACAGTTAAACGCACCGCACTAAAGTGGGAAACGTTTGCGCTAAATTTAGTTCGCAATTTGCGAGCACAGACAAAGTTGCACCTTGAAATGTTTGCGATTGGAGTCAATTTCCTCAGTCTCTTTACTACAGGTCTCCGTTTTGCCCCGGCTTACCTTTGCGATCCCACACCCATCGCGAAAACCGCGAAGGATTCCGGAGCGCAACGGCTTCCGGTTTTACATGTACAGCACCAGATATTGCTATGGTTACTTGCCACTCGCATGCCGCAGGTTGCTATGATTACTACAGGCAAGAGTACATGAAACCCGGTTTTCATGTACTCTTGTTGCAGCAATTAATTATTTTATTTCGACTTGGGATTGCCACAGCAGCACATGAATTTCAAGAAAACAAACTGAGAAGCAGGGAGTCGTAAAATACCATGGTATTTTACGACTCCCTGCTGAGAAGATCTACAAGACAAGCCTCAAGAAGTGTTTGCACAAGAAAAGATGCACTACTAGTACAGTACTACTGTAGTACATAAAGAAATTGAAAGATGTCATGGGCTGGGTATGTCAAGGTACGTACATCATGGTCAATTTAAGTTAGAAGTTAGAACTAAGCAAAATTAAAAACTTGTGAAAGTGAATGTGGCTGGTACCACACTGTATCTAATATCTCCTACGAAGCAGATACGAAATAAGAAATCAAACAATCAAATACTTTGGGCAGGTGTCATATATGAGTGGCAGACAAGATGCCAGAGAAGAAATGACAGCTGCGACGTGACGAAATATACAAACTAACTATTGTTACAGAGATTAAAAAAAACCCAAGCTGCTCAGCAGGCACATTCAGACTCTCTAAGGGGTATGCAACACTGGAATCCGATGGCTAAGGTAGCATGATGCATGTTGCAAGTTCTAAAAATTATTCATATCAATTTTATCATAGATCCTCAAGGCAGGAAACTACTTGAAGTAGTTATGAAGTTATGAACTCAACAAACAATAACATATATAGAGTACAGTGGACAAATTGGTCACATGCAGCTTCCATGCGTACAAGTGTACCGTGTTGTGCCTGCGGAGGTCGTAAGAATAGGGAGACGGGTGACCGAGGCCAGGGGCCAGGACTGGTCTTCAGTGCTGTGTATGGAAAATAATATCCACTGTGTTTGGATTTTGTGAATGCTATAAAAATAAAATACTGATAATTTATGCTGCCCGGAAGTAAAAAGAAAAGAAAGCATCATGTGGCTGATCAAACAGCTGCAGCAGCTGCACTACGGGCAGTTCTTTATTATTGCCTATCATTTATCACAGATCAAATTTCGAAGGAAAGGTAGCAAGTTTATCAGGCAGCATTTTTTGGGTTGAGCAGTCTATGCAGGGCAGTGTGTACTGGTCCAGGACATGTCACACGTATGTCGCTGGGTATGTCATGCATGAAGTGCTTATGGTATTCTAATGTATGTGACACACACATGCACAGGATAGTAGGCTAGCTCCAGCGTTGGAAAGATGATGTGAGGCAGTGCCGCTGGTGGGAAAACCTTTGTAAATCATGTGAGCTGAGGTAAGTTGATTGCTGTGACCTTTCTTATGGTGTTGGGTGTTTCTCTGCTTTGCCCCAGGGTTGATGGTATTGTTGGCTGAATGCTGGTGCTTAATGAAAACTCACAGTACGGTTGATGTAGCCAGTGGGCCGCAGCAGCAGCAGCAGCTGCAAGAGAAGGAAGGAGCAGTGCTCATGGGGCAATACCCTACTACGTAGGAGGTATCCTAGGCAACGGCTCCTGGATAATACTGGTACGAGATGAGTGCTCAGACGGTGGCCGACTTGCTGAGGTGTTGTTATTAGAAGATGGTGGCATGGGTGCGTGGCTGGTTTGTCGACTGGCCAGTGGACCACTCACTGTAGTGACTCCTGTCTGTGTGGAGATGTCGGACAGCTGCGACTGATAGGACGCGACAGAGATCCGCGAACCGGCGGCAGTCGACATTGCTCCTGCTGCCGCCGCGCCGACGTTGGCATTGCTGCTGCTGGTACTGCTGCCAGGACCTGCATCACCCGCCGCAAACACACGCACACACACACACACACACACACACACACACACACACACAACTAGCGCTATTACTGTACGTGTACGAGCATATCTACATGAGGCAGAACCAAGAGAGGGTAAGATCTAGGAGCACAACAGACACACAACGGCGAGGGAGTGAAGACCTGAAGCAGCATCCTTTACTACTACCCAGAACTACAAGTGGCTACAGTGGCTACTTCAAACGTTCCTTCACAAGACCATGCACTGCTGATACCGTACAAGAGGTCAGTTGCCATCTAGACACCCGGATTAGCCTGTGTTTTGGATAAATGAACGGTTTGGAATCATTGGCTAACTGAAGCCCTACCAGATACAAACCATACCTGCTGATGAGCCAGAGTTGATATGCTCCTGTCTCTCCAGAGCCAAGTCTTCAGCTAATTTCTGCAGAACGGAAGCAAAACACCAACAGTCGGGCAACTCAGGCACTACACAACCTTTACGCCACATTGACAACTTTGATATTGCCAGGACAGCAAGGGTGGCTAAGAATCACCATGTGATAACTACAATCACCTACGACTTGGACTTGACTACGTACAAAGTGTTGTTGAGTGCGGATGTCCTTGATGATATTGCGATACGAAGCGATGAGGAGACGGTAGTAAAGAATGGCAGACCTGAGGTTGAGCGAAAAGTAGATACACCGACATGTCAGGTCCAAGCAAACACACACATGCATTTACCAGCACAGTGTGAAGTGATTGCATTCGCATGCATACAAACATCTTCTAAAGACTTGCAACTTGAACACACAACAGTGTTGTGGTCATATATCATTGACGTCCAGATAGAACAAAAACTAGTGATAACGGATTCATAAAGGGGAACGGTCTGAAGAAAAACATAGACTGTCCCCACCAGGATAGAAACCTTCGCTATGCCATCATGCAGTATTTACTTGTAGGCATGCTTTCCCAGGCATCTTTCAGAGTGAGACTTCAAGTGGCAGTGGTTGAAGCCACACTTTGAACCATCAACATCTTAAAACATGTGTAGCGGTGAGAGGACAGCGAGAGAGAAGACCATGTTGGTCAAAAGTCTGTTATCGGTATTGATCAAATGGCAAAAATCTGACATCACTTACAAACAGAGAACAAGGATTGGCAGCAGAACAACCGGTGTTCCAATGATGTTGATTGCGTTCCTGACTGGCTCGGAGAAGTGCACCAAGATGACATCATAGGCATAGTCATATGATCTGTGTGGACACAGCATATACCATGATACCGGTATCGATATAGAGGTTGTGCAAGTGACATCATCGCATTGTGCGTTGCATGGAGTGCATGGAATGCAGTGCATACCAGTGCTAGTTCGTATTGAGTGACACACAATGCTAGTTTGTATTGAGAATTCAATGGCAAGTTTATATGGAGTGGCAACCCATATAAACAGTGTTAGTTTGGAGTGGCAAACCAGCACAAGTGCGCCACTGCACCGCGGGTTTGCCACTCCATACAAGCTTCTCAAATGTTTAGTGTAACACAAAACCTCTATACAAGCAAGTTACACATGAGAAGAGTTATCTTCAAATTGCATAGTACACTTGCACGGCTGCGTTATGCCCATGCCAGGACGAGGCAGACCCCACCACCAGTACTGCAGACACACCATGACTGGATAGAGGTGACCTCCACATGCATGTCATGCTTCCCACAGTCAAGGTCACACTGGTCTGTAAGTCATACTGCATCTTGGAGGCAAAACATCACATCCACTTTGTGAATGTGTAATGTTTACAATAATAAAATGAATGCTCGGTTGCCGCAGATATCTGGCCTTGTGTTAATAATAAAAGTGTGGTTATAACCCCGAACATTACAGTAGACTATTAGGACTTATGCCACTGACCGAAATGGTCCACAGTTGGCTGAAGGAGGAAGTCTGAAATATATACACACACACGTACGCACGCACACATACATACATACATACACACACAGCGCACACACACAGACACGCACACACACACACACACACACACACACGCACACGCACACACAGAAATAAACAACACATTGATAAAATGCCCACAATCATTACGAACACATCACGGCAGGCAGGTGATATACCGCCATGAGTAAGCTGAACACAAAGAACGGACATTCCACCTTCCCCATTCTCCAGGAACTTTAGCTTACAACTACTCAGTATGTCTTGTGTGCTAAACATGTATACGTGCACATGCTTGCAAGTGAGTTGTGTTTGAGTCGTAGCACATTAGAGTAACAAGCAGGCAAGTAAGAATAAGAGTCATTGACTCAAGGCATACCTGGATAGTACATATAGCATGGGAAGCACGCACAGGAACAGCGTCACCTGCAGAACAAACAGCAGGAAGTTGCCGGAACGAGACGCTCGGAAGATCTTCTTGGGTGCAGCGTGGGAGAACATGGTGGTGTAGTAGTAGAAGAAGAACAGTAGGAACGTCTTGGCCATGGCAAACGCCGGTAGGATAGGCGAGAAGAAAGTTCCAATCCTGCAGAACATCAAGCACACAGAAAACGATGCATTGGGATGTAATTGGCACTTGAGAGCAGGGAGTAGGTGCTTTACTACTCCATGCTTGAGAATGATTCCGCAACTGGATTCCCAGCACATCCCCTTGGTTTGCTTGTTTTTTTGTTTAGCTTTATTTTACTTCACCAAAAGCACGTTTCATATCTGAAGCTGCAGTCTCTGACGCCTGTAGGAAAAGATGCTCGACACGCTACACAGCTGAATCCCATAGGCAGACCCAGCTGAAAACAAGTAAAAAAAAACAAGTTTGTTGTGATTTCACAAGACGTTCACACTCCCACCTTTGATTGATTCACAAGAAACAGCACATGGCCACAAGGCATTTCAGTATTGGCAATGAGCACACACGACGTACCAAACCAATCCTTGACCATACACCATGTCCAAGACACTGACGGCAACCTGAAACTCTCCACGGCCGATCTAAGCAAACGACAGCAACACGCACATAACACAGTACAAAGATCAGCTATGTGATGATGTCACAGTGATGAATGATGTCACAGCTATGATCAGATGTCACAATATCTACACAAAAGTGCCCACGCACAGCGAGTGCTAGAACATTGCTGATCTTCAAGAAAGGGTTTTGAGAACGAAACATTACAGGAGTATCACCATGCGGCGGAACATTTCAGAATGTTAGCACACGTCACAAAACTTGACAGTCAATTTGCACAAGAAACATGGCGTTCATGCAGTCATGCGCACCCCCCCCCCCCCCCACACACACACACTACATGGAACTGCCGTTGTACCTTTTCACGTATGGTCTTGTTCCTTTTCACGACTATGTGACGGAGGACATCGGCAAACAGCACCGCGAGGAGAATGGCACCGAAATCTATGATAATGATCTTCACAATCTCCTCGCCGACTAGTGACTCCCAGCAACACGTGTCACGCGGCTGGTTGACTGGACTGGCTGTTCCAGGAGCTGGCAGTGTTGGACCAGCGTCTTGATTCAGCTAGGCAGGATGAGCACACAACATACAACAAGGTAGGGACACTAATCGAAAAGAAACCAGCACCTTTTCAGAAGTCGATGAAGATGACTACCAGACTCCTCCAAATTTTCCTCAGCATTAAATCATCTTGATAAAGACATCTCTTCAATGTGTGTGTGTGTGTAAGTGTGTGTGTGTGTGTGTGTGCGTGCGTGCGTGTGTGTGTGTGTGCGTGTGTGTGCGTGTGACGTTGCAGCAACTTACACAGCCTTGCTCTCTGGATGCCTTCATCAGCAGTGTAACGGTTAGAACGGCCAGGTTACCAAGATACAACACCATAGTCCTGAACCAGAAAACAGAAAACACAGTTACACAGTTACACAGTTACACAGTTACACAGTTACACAGTTACACAGTTACACAGTTACACAGTTACACAGTTACAGTGGCAATGCTGGTTTCTAAGCATTTGACTTGGCAGGCCCGTCAGAACCGGTCCGGTTGGTCAGGTCATCACCAGACCAACTTGTTGGCCAACAACTCATGTTTACTGCTGGGGAGGTTATGTGTACCCACCATATCATACACAAACTGTATGAAAGGTTATGATGGTATGGCCAGAGCAATCAAAAACTGCTTCCGACGGTCCTGTTTGGTAGCTGTGTATAGAACTAACGGTAAACTACCGGACGTGCACAGCAATTAACTCCTCAGAGGGCTTCGAAACAGCGCTACTGTTGAAATAAAGGTGCATACAAGCAAGAGTACATAACCCCCCAGAGTGTGCAATGCCTGATCCAGCTCTGCATAGGGTCTTGGTCGAGCGGAATCGGATCTTTGCGTCATAATACCGTACACATCGGAGGGGAACCCGGGGAGTCGGGGGTACTCTCGGATCAAAAACACTGGTGCCCTGCCTGGAGACCGGCCTTGCGCTGGTGTGGAGTGTACGCATGACATCAGAAGATCCGATTCCGCTCGACCAAGACCCTATGCAGAGCTGGATCAGGCGTTGCACACTCTGGGGGATTATGTACTCTTGATACAAGTCATGCAGAATGTCCAGTGGCGTGATAAATCAATCTGCTACCACCCACCACCCACACCCATACACACATGCATGAACACACTATCGTGCAAGTGCTGTCAGCAAGCACGTCTTTTAACTAATTAAAAGCTCACCGTGACATAGTCCACTTGAAAGCCGTACGTGGATGGTAGTGCTCCAAGACACCCAGCCTCTCAAAGAGCATCGGGCCCACCAACTTCAGCGCAGCCAGAATGAAGGGAATCTAAGCAAAGGTGCATGAACACACACACACACATACACACACACACACACACACATGCGCACACACGCACACACACACACGCACACACACACGCACACACGCGCACGCACACACACACACACCCGCACCCGCGCGCGCACACACGCACACGCTTGCCCGCGCGCACGCACACACACACACGCATGCACACACTCACACGCACACACACACACACACAAACACACGCACACACACACACATACAGAGTGTCAGTGGTCTATCCAGAACCTGGTCACCTGCATCACACACCGGGTGGAGAGAAGGAAAAGAAGAAGATCTGGCCGGGAAAGGTTTGCCGGGTAGTGCGAGGCGTGAACATAGGGGCCTGGTTGGTAAATGCAGATGATGGTACTGAAGAAAGGGCATGACTGTACTCAGGGTCAATGTCGGAAGATATTTTAGGGTGGTACGGTGGTCAGTCATCTGAAGTACAGTTTACTCGTGGGGGAGGAATGGCGGAGGCGAAAATTTTGGAAATTTAGAGTCCAGATCAGTGTATTTCATTGATTCACGGGGTACCTGGGGCAAAAAGTGGTACGGTCAATACCGTAGTGACCGTACCGTGTCCGACTGGTACTGAACAAAGTGCATGTACTGTGCAGCTTGACCTATTGCCGGAAAGTGAAGTGTGGCAGTATAGCAGTACAGCAGTACAGCAGTGCTCTTCCATCAACAGACAACAGTAGTGTAGCATGCACTCCTCTTGGTTACAAACTGCTCCAGTCCAGGTGTGGAGCAGAACTCCATGTGCTGCAAGCATTGGGCAACTGTGGCACGCAATGTCATGACAGTACTGTCGAGCAGTGCCGAAGAACGGAGCGTCGAAGAACGGCCAGACTAGGATTCACCAAGCACAGCATACCCATGTATACATGGTGACTCAACTGCCCGTAGACTGTAATACATGAAAATAAGAACGGTCTAGGCTAGGAGGCTGACCCCCCCCCCCCCCCCCAGTTCTTCGGCGACGGACAGTACTGTGTGTGCCACTCTTGCCCCTCACCTCAAACTGCTCCACCAGTGCCAGGAAGCGGTTGCTGTTGAACTCGGTACGTTCCTGATCACGTCGTACAAAGTAGTAGACCACGTAGCCACTGCCGGCCAGGAGTGTCAGAACCACCACGTTGACCAGGATCCTCACAGCAATGGCAAGACCACTGCCAACACAGCACACACCATGCACATAAGCATACATACACATAAGCATACATACACATAAGCACGCATGCACACAAGCACACATGCACACATGCACATAAGAACACACAAGCACACATGCACATAAGCACACACAAGCATACACGCACATAAGCACACATGCACATACGGTGTACATGTACACACAAATGCGTCCTCCGCTCTTGTTACGCAACAGTGAATCTTGAGCCCCCAAGAAATAAATTATACAGATGCAGCCTCCGCAAAAATAGCCTGTAGACACTAGACAGTATACAGTCAACTTGGCTAATAACGACTGCGGATATAACGACAATTCGCGAATAACGACAGAATTTCCATGCCCAGAGCAAAGTCCCATCCAACTGTAATACATATAATGGGACTTCGGGTATAACGACACTTCGCGAATAAGGACACTTTTCTGATGCCCCGCCGAGTGTCGTTATAAGTGAAGTTGACTGTAGCTGTATGTGACAATGCAGCAGGATGTCCATGTAACTTGTTGCTGGGCCTCTGCAGTGCAGTGCAGTGCAGTGCAGTAGGCTACTTTCTGTATTTTAACACAAAAAGTGACAGAGCGAATACCATAGCATCTACTTCAAGTACAAGTATGTAACTAGTCATCACCCCAGAGCAAAGCCACTTACAGAGAAGCATTGGAGCGACGACCAGCCTCCTCGATTTCCCGCAACTCTTCCTACAAACGATTGAAAGGAAAGCGCACACACACAGGTGTGACAGTGGAGGTAGATAGGTAGACAGATAGGCTCCATCTAACATTGCTACACAATGAACTGTATGATGCTAGCATCTACAAGGTCAGTATTCATATTACAGCACAAGCACGTTTCAAGCCCATCAGCTGCAATGTATGTTTTTAAAGTAATCTAACCCTATTCCACACGTACAGTCGACAACACTTATAACGAACTTGCATGAAGCGAATTTCATGTATAGCAAGCCATTGTCCATATCCCTGTTTGACCCTATACAGAGTTGACCCTTTGTAAACGGAAGAATCAGAATTCGGAAACAACGAACGTACCCGAAAGCCCGTGGCGATTCCGACTGACGTCAATTTACCAGTTTGTGACTCGGTGATGCCATGATCCCAAAATGTGAATACTTTCAACGAGAACGGTGTTGTAACGTTGTCATACGTAGTGCGCTTGCTGAAGTGATACCGGCGCTTCATTCTGAGAAGAAACAAAACGAAGCAAGAGATCCAACGGTTTGAATATCGCGATCAGGAGGGAAAGCTGGATTGTAGGCTACCTTGTCAAACAGTGTCGGTCAATGTTGTGAATAGACTATTCTAAAGGGGGGGGGGGGGCAGACATGAGCTCCAACAAGAAGCAAGGAAAGGATTGTTTGTACGACACAAATTACCGAGAAGTCTCACGGCAACATTTCACAATATTGAAATGATAGAGTAAAGCACAACCTACACAAATGCCATACTGAAGAAACAAATCAGGAACAAAGCTAAGTTGACAGTCAGGTACGCCGCGGGCAAGTTGTAGCCACCGTTTAACTCAGTGTTGTTGTCGTAGTAACCATAGAGGACGGGTGAATTGTACAGCTTGTCCTGAAGGTGACACGAACACACACACGCGCACACACATACACACCATGTACACACGCACACACACACACACACACACACGCACATGCACACGTACACACACACACACACACACACTTGTACTTGCACACACAGACAGACACACACACACATACACACACACACACACACACACACACACACACACACACACACACACACACACACACACACACACACACACATACACATAAACACACGTGCATGCTGGAGCATTCCTATGCTGACAAGTTGAGTGATAACACCCAGACAAGTAGGGTAAGTGCATGCAGCAGAGCCGGCAACACCACACCAACTCAGGACAGCACAGCACAGCACTGCACTGCACAGCACTGCACTGCACAGCACAGCACAGCACAGCACAGCACAGCACAGCACAGCACAGCACAGCACAGCACAGCACAGCACAGCACAGCACAGCACAGCACAGCACAGCACAGTGCTAGACACAGTACATAGACTACATAGTAGCAGGAAGCAGGCTAGCAGCTTACCAACAGGTCTCCGCTATTGTCATTAGTAAAGTTCTTGTTACCCACACCAAACGCAATCTACAGAGGAAGAAACCAGGCAAAGGAAATCAAAGAAGAAACAAAAGTGACATTCTAGTTGCTTTCATAGTGTAAAGTATTGTGACAACTGTTGCATGACCAGTTTAGTTTGTAGTTACACTTCTTGCATTGCAGTTTGATCCAGTGTTGCCACAACATTTTAGCCAAATATCAGTAGGAGAGAAAGAAAAGAAAATGCATCATCAGACCCCCAATCACAGTAACCCCAGTATACACACGCATACAGGTGCCAACATTTTCGCGGTTCTGAGTGACTGATCTTGCTTAGCAGGGTAGGAGAGAGCTTTGGAAACACTCATGATGACCAGTGTAAGCAAAAATATCTGGATCATGACTTCTAAACCAAGCAGAAGGGCAACATTGGACATTATAATGGCTGCTGTCGGCAGGAGAAGGCCAATTGTCGGCAGGTCGTGACATGCCTCCAAAATCAGCAAGCTACTGACATGTCGGCAGGTGTGGCAACATAGGTTTGATCACAAGTACTGTACATTTATTCATCGTTTGTGCATGCAAGACGTTTGTGTGAGTTACGAGGGCATGCTTTATTTTTCTATTCACACGAAGTATGCCTGCTCACATATCGTATTGCCCTTACATGGCGTCCTGCATTGCTTTGTACTCCCGATTTCTTCACCTTTACCTTGCCTCGTATTTCCGTTTTCGCTCCCTCAAGCGTAGGCTATACACCGTACGCATACGACACCTTTTCGCCTCCCCGAGGCCTCACATAGATTCCATGCCATTTCAGCGCCCTCAAGTTCAGCGCCAACCAGGTGAGAGCGACCATTTCAGCGCCGTGAACCTAAGCGCCAAATTTTACAGTACCCCATATTTCAGCACCGTATACTTCAGCGCCAGCAGATAAGCGCCGAATACAGTCAGACCTCGCTTTTATCCGGATCCCTCTCCATCCGGAAGAAAATCGTTGGTTACCCATTTACAGCATATGCCATGCATACATACAGTATGTGTGTTCAATTATCCGGTTCCCTCGCCTATCCGGATATTTTTGTGGAAAACGGATGTGTGTGTGCAGTTAAGTGAGGTCTGACTGTGTCTCAGCGCGACATAAATCAGTGCCATATATTTCAGCGCCAAATACGTCAGTGCGACCTTTCTCAGCGCGACAGATCTAAGCGCCGTGTTTCTCAGCGCCATTTTATTATACAATGTATGTATGAACAACGCCTGTAATGACTATGACGGTACAAGTATCGACTTCGCGCTCTACTGCATCGCGCTGAACTATACCGAGTTGTACTTGATCGCGCTGTACTTGATCACACTGTACTTGATCGCGCTGAACTTCTTCACGTTGTAATTACCGCGCCTTACTTTTTCGCGCTGAGCTGCTGGCGCTGTACTTTACCGCGCTGATAGTCATGGTGCTGAAGAAGCTGGCGCTGTGAAATCATGCTCTGAAGTGCTGGCGCTGACATGTTTCGCGCTGAAACGGTGGCGCTGAAGTGGCAAGTCACCCTCACATACTTGGCATTGCCTCCACCTCACACTACAGTCCATTCAGAAAAAGGTGATATCCTAGCTTTGGCCATTAAAATTTGGAGTTCTTTCACAATTTTTCTGCATTCCCCCATGGAATGCTCTTCCAAGTATGTTTCTGAAGTCCATTTCTCCGAAAAGCATGCCATAACAAGAATAGGATTTCGGCCGGGTTTTGTCTTGGAAGGCGAGACCAAAATAAAATCGAGATTCCTGGGCAGGACCCATGTGAAATTGGTGCGGGTGGGTGAATTTTATTTTTTATTTTATTCCCATGTATGTACATGACTATATGTGTGCAAGCAATGTTGAACTTTTTTTACAGCATTTTCCGGTAATTTTTATTCAATTTTTTTACAGAAAACAGGTATGCGGTTTACCCGTTCAATTTTTCTATAATTCGGCCAACGATGGCCCTGATCTGTACATCTGGGAGTCATACAAGCTCGGGTTTGTGTGACTCCATGTCACAGATCTACTCACACGATCAGTACTGTACATGTATGAACTGTTCAAAAAAACAAAACAAAATTGGCTTTGGCTCGATTTTGGTGCGGGAGGGCCCGGGAATCTCTATTTTTTTTGGTCTCGCCTAAGCATTGAATTGGGAAAAGCCATGAAAGTCCAATCCATTTCACTCCACTTGCATCACTGCATTGTCCGGTTCGAACCCCAGTTGAGGTACCTTTTCTGGACCCTTTTTCTAACCTCAAATTTCGCGGCACTGCACTGTGTACGATAAAACCACGAAAAATCGCCAAATACGGGAGCTCGCCAGAACCAGCGCTCATCTTTTTATGAATGGACTAGTTTTTTTAGTTTGGCTTCCTTGAAGAAGCAATTGATTTACAGAGTTCCACTATCGTGAACATTTGTCTCCTGATCGTGTGTCAGTGCCAGAGAAATATAATTAGGCCAAAACAAAAAAATAGGCTTGTTTCCGGTCGGCAACCCCTCAAAAAGGAGACTTGGTCGGCCGGACTGAAACTTTTTTTGGATACTTTTTTTGGTTCCTCAATCGTTGTGGTATTGATGGACAAGAGCACCTACACATGTACATTGTACATATATCATGGCAAGGGTAAATGTCAAAGTTGACTGACTCACTGTTCTTGTACAGCCATGTGGTGTATTCCTGTTTTCGTACATCCTGAGAAATCAAGCAAACAGTTCGAGTCCTTCCAGCTCCGTTATTCTAGCTCGTATCGACCCCGGAATTTTTCGAGCCGACAGCTGAGAATCTCTGCTACCTTGTAGGTGTTTCGATTGTGGAATTCGGTTGAGATTTGACTGAGTTATGACTCGTTGAGTGCACTTGCACACATGGCATTGCCACCGTTTGTATACATTTGGGACCAAAAAAAGTATCAGAATTTGGGAAAAAGTGGCCCGGTCGGGCGACCGGAAACAAGGTCATTATTTGTTTTGGCCTTACACTGTTTGTCGTAAGGAATTGACAAATTAGTAAATGGTCCTTCGAGCTGGATTTGAACTAGCGACCTGAAGAAGCAAATTCGAACGCCCCCTTAGTGGACACTGAACTGCCTGGGCATGCAGAAAAACTGATTTGTAGAAAATAAAGTGAACTTCTAATTGCGCTTTGCTAACTTCGAATTACCAGCACAAATCCCACACATTTTCTATGTAAGTTGATTCTGTGGGACTTCTAATTAACCGGACATATCGAATTATCAGGATTCCACCTGAAGTATTAAATCATTGATGTACGTCATCATGAACTTCTTCTTACCTGCGGTATAATGATGAAGCCGAGGGAAAAGAGCATAGTTAAAATGTTGAGGAAGAACAGCGAGCGGAGAAAGACGAAGAACGACGCAACTCCTGTTCCAAAATGGCCTGGTGGTCAAGCAAAACAGAAGCGTACCGTGATATTGGCCATGGGACTTGCTAACCGAACAAGTCAGTCATAAGATGTTCATTTCACAAACACGTCTACACGCATACCACATTCTCCTTATAGTTGCAGTTCTTCACTGTGAGGGTGTCTTCTCAAACTGATGAAAGGTGGATTATTATCTTCCCACAAGCGACTACCAGTGAAGACTGCTGATGACTCACAGCTTACCTTCAATCTTCTTGATGAAGCTAGACAAAAAGCCGTGCGATGTTGCGTACTTTGCAATCGTGTCAGTCGCATAGGAAACAGCCTATAGCCACATACACAAGCGCACGTACACCCACACGCGCGCGTGCACACACACACAATCACAAAACAACCAGGAGCAACATGAGCAATGCATGCGATTCAGAAAGAAGGCATGTATGACACTATCTGTACGCCAAGCAGCCAGCCAGAATAAAAAGCAGTTCATAACAATTCTCCCCCCCCCCCCCTCCCCTTCTACTAGTATCTCCCACACTGCAACGTGCACATGGCTGAGATACATGTATAAGCGTTGAGACATGTATAGGCGTTGATCCATACCTTGTGTCCGTTATGGTTGACAGCATCCACTGTATTCAACATGCCAACCCTGTCATCTAATGCTGATTGCATGATTCTGGGGATATGAAAACAACACATCAAACACAACAGAGCAATGTAACACATCACACTGAATTGTTAGAAATGGAGAAAACCCCGTCCAGCACGAAGACAAGCTTCCCCTTCCTTTATCTCTGATATTGCTGACCCACCCAAGTTGGGTGGTGTGTTGCTTTGCTGCTTCAAATTGTAGTTAGACTGCATTGTTATGTTATTAACTGGTCTCGTCATCGACCTGTAACAGTCGGCCTTCTTTGTTGCCGCGGGACTTAGCTTGTGCACATTTTCGCTGCCCTCACCTTCTCCTCTTGGGTCCTACCCAAACGTGAACCTTCAATTGCGGACTGGCTAAACAAACTTGGTCTTATCCTGAATGCTGCAAAAAGCCAGGTAATCGCTATTTGTGGAGATCTCGCCGACAATGCTGTTCCACTCTCTGTGAAATGTAACGGCATCCCGCTGCCACACGTGGAATCTGCCAGGTGCCTTGGTGTCACCACTGATGCTGCCATGTCATGGGATGCCCATGTAACCCGTTCTGCAAGTCGTATCTCCCAGAAGATAGGAATCCTGTGGAGGATGCGCAGCTGCCTCAGTATTCAGAGTCGCATTACGTACTAAAAGGCCATTATCATGCCTGACCTCATGTATGGGTCCAACACCTTCTCGACATCGCTGGCAATTAAACACTCACTATGTTACCACCGATTCCATACACACACACACACACACACACACACACACACACACACACACACACACACACACACACACACACACACACACACACATGCACACACACACGCACGCACACACACGCACGCACACACACGCACGCACACACACACACGCACACACACACACACACACACACACACGCATGCACGCACGCACGTACGCACACACACACGCACACACACACACACACACACACGCACACGCACACACACACACACACACCAGCGGATGGATCACAAGTGAGGAGACAAACACTGGTGATAGCCACCTAGCTAATCAGCGCAAGCAAAGCTTACAGTCGATACTGTTTTCGTTCTGCCAGCGGCCATGGCTGCATCCGAACATTGGCAAGAATGCGCTTGTGTTGCTGCACAGAACCATACACATCCTCCTGTTCGGCCTCGACTCTCTGCACAGGCAATGGTGCATACAGGTCCTCATCGTATGGTGCTGGATCTCCACTGTACAACACATCACACAACACATTTAGAAAATAATGAACAGTCTGTGGACCGCCAATCAACCCTTTGCACGTGGACGGTCCGTGGCGCTGCCCTCGAGATTCCGTGAAATGTTGAATCAGTGTAGAACACGCAAGATTTGCTTTGCACTGACATAAAGACGAAAGGGTGGAATACATACCCAGGTTGGCATAAATTCTATGTCCAACGGTCGTGTGTGGAGTTACATGGGCTCCTTGGGTGTCCTTATGTTGGCTTCAGTCGAAAGACAAGCACCAGTGCTGACCCAACGCACTGTAGTGCCGGCAACTCACCGCCAGCTAACTCAGCAGTCATAAGTGAACGGGGCAAAGACTAATTATTGTGAAACACGTGAAAGAATGCGCCACCGAGCACACGCAGAAGCCATGACACCTGCTATATTTACGACAGCAAGTGGAATATACCTTCAAGTCACAGAGTTTGGCTGACAAGCTACTGATACAGTTTTAAGTGTATCAGTCTCACAAACAAACGTCGTAATTCACTCCTGAGAGGAGCATTACATCATAAAAACGGCGTCAACTTAAAAAATATGTCGGAACAGCACTGCATGTGGGAGTTACACACTCTTGGGGATTATGTACTCTCTGTATGACCTACACTACAGACAGGACACCGACTCCAAGACATGACCACCGAAAAGGGAGGTGGTAGGTAAATGTTCACCTGAAACCCATGTTATGATGATAATGAAAATATGAGAATTCATGCTTGTATGCAGTATATTCTTTTACACGACCACACCATAACCACGACCACACCATAACCAATATGCACTGTAAGCATGTAATCATGTTCCGTCAGATGGATACGTACCGAGTACCGCGATGAACGTAACGTGATCGCTCCATCAGCTCGGCCTGAGTTAAGCCGGCTGAATGACACGCTCGCAGAGTATTGTACTGCGACTGGCGACGGCGTAGGCGCGGTGCCGGGATGGGCGGACGGTTGTCATAGTGATGGCTATCCCAGGCATGATCACCAGCGGCGTTGGATGACGGAGGCGCTGAGCGTTGCTTGGGACGTCTTACTTGTGCATACTGTGGATTATCCTTGTCAGGGCGGCCTGCCTCCCGTGCTGCTCCTGCTGCTGCTCCTGCTGCTGCATCCGTGGGTGACAAGCAAGTTTCATAGAGCCCTAAACACGACAACATCAACACGGGAAAACTTGATCAGAGTGCACAGACAAATACTTCGGTTTGGGTACGGATGCGATTCGCTGGATTGTAACCGAAAGAAACACTTTGCCAACTCCACGCTGTGTTCACAACTGTACGTGTGAAACAACACGTTCGTACGTATATTTGCTGGCTTTTGGGGCGTCGTGCATGTGGAAACGCTCCGAACTGAAAATTCCAACATGCATTTTTTCAGCGTGTATCAAGCGCGTATTGGCGTACATGCCAGTCACTTTGGCAGTGTGGAGTGGCGGTCCAGGAACCAGCCAAGCTATTATAATACACATTGGCTGAGCTTTCTCTTTTTGACTTGCCTGTCATGTATTCATACTAATGAATAATATCAACTTTATCAAGAGTACATAACCCCAAGAGTACACGTATGCAACTCTGCATATGAGGTCTAGCGCGGCACGCTGCCTGCAATCCGTAGCCATGAACTGTGGGCCATGGCGCGCGTCATTATCAATCTGCTACGGTTTCCGGCTTCCAAATCCGCTTTCCTCGGAGACTTCGAATAGTTTTGTACGTGATGCGTCACGCACAGACATTGCCTTTGCACTTACTTACCGTATTGCACGTTAAATTGTTGAGGCTAAACCGTAGGAAAACTCAAATCCAGGCAGCTGGATCATCATTCCACAATGTAATGCAGGCAGCGCGCCGGCACCCATAGCTTGGAGACCAGGAGTTGCACACTCTTGGGGTTATGTACTCTTCATACTATCAGTATGGCATGCCCTAGGCAGAGTTGCCACAGAACTGGACAGACCTCTCATAACAGGCAATGGAAGTGTGTAAGTCACGGGCTTACAGTCCATTCAGAAAAAGATGATATCCTAGCTTTTGGCCATAAACGGGTCAAATTTTGAGTTTTCGTCACAATTTTTTTGGCAATACCCCATGGAATGCTCTTCCAATTGTGTTTTTGAAGTCTATTTCTCCAAAAAGCAAGCCATAACAAGAATAGGATTTCGGCCAGGTTTTGCCCCCAAAGCACTGAATTGGGGAAAAACCATGAAAATCCAGGCCGTTCACTCCACTTGCATAACAGTACATTTGCGGTTCGAACCCCAGTTGAGGTGCCTTTCTTGGACCCTTTTTCAAGTTTCGAATCGCGTGACACTGCACAGTGTACCACAAAATCGCCAAACACGGGAGCTCTCCAGAGCCAGCGCTCATCTTTTCTGAATGGCCTGTAGTTGTACAGCCAACGGTACATAAACAAGAGTGGACAACTCGGCATGAGTTTAGGAAAGCAGAATCAATTGTTTTCGGCAATTTCAATACCTCATCAGAGCCGTGGTCTGTGACTACATGTGCAGTGCTGTGCTGTATCAATAGGACCTGTGGTCAGTTGGCAGTCACTCAATCAGTCAAAAAGGACGTAAACGACAATTTACACTGCCCTGCGTGCACCCATATGCGGAATTGCACACTTCAGTCAATGAAGAATTGTAATCTGTGTACGGCTACACTGGCCTGGATAATTGAGGGTCTCCAGCAGTCAGCCTGTATTGCTGCAGACCAGTGCTGATCCATCGCTGGTCCACTGTAGATGGATTTCGATAACATAATCACGCAACTGGAGAGTAAGTCGCATACATGTATAAAGAATCCGTAACGACTCACGAGGGACATGCGAGGAGGGTCTGAGAGACACCGTATACTCCGAGTACAAACAGGATACTACACTTGTAGTAATGCGTTTATCGATAATCAAGTGTATGCTCACATGCAGTCACAGTACATACTGATTAGACAACGCATCCATATGGAATGCAGCCCCCCCCCCCCCCCTGTGAAAAGTCCCGCCCCCTACTCACTTGTCGATTTTTGTGTTTTTCATTGCCATTCAACGAAAATGCAGTCGATAGTCACTACTACAGTCCATTCAGAAAAGGATGGGCTTTGGCTCTGGCGAATTCCCGCATTTGGCGATTTTTCGTGATTTTATCGTACACAGCGCAGTGCTGCAAAAATTGAAATTTGAAAAGGGTCCAAAAAGGGTACCTGAACTGGGGTTCGAACCGCAGTGCACTGTTGCAGGCAGGGTCAAACGGCCTGGATTTTGATGGTTTTCCCAATTCAGTGCTTTCGGTACAAAACCTGGCCGAAATCCTATTCTTGTTAGGGCTTGCTTTTCGGAGAAATAGACTTCAGAAGCATAATTGGAAGAGGATTCCATATGATAGGGAATTGCAGAAAAAAAATCTTTAAAAAACTGGGCCAAAAGCTAGAACTACAACTTTTTATGAATGGACTGTAGTCATAAAGGCACATTTGTCGGGGGTTCGCCCTGTACGTTGCATTTTGCATGGCAAGACACTTTCGGAAAATGGAAAAATGGGTTAGGGCCGATTCCCACTACGGTACCGTGAGTGCCGTGCCGACGATTTGGGTAGGTCACGTGTACCCCACGGTACGAGCTTGAAGCTGAGAGTGATTTACACCTGCGCACAGTCATTCCGTGCATTCCGTCAGCAGGCCGGATCACCATTTTTTTTATTTTATCAATTTCTGACTTTGGTCCTGAGGGAAAATAGCAGGGGCCGGGGAAATGACTGGAGAAAGCTCAAGAAGCAACCAATCGAAAAGCCAAAAGCCAAGAAAAAACTTCGTACCACAAATACAAAAGAAAGAAAAAACTTCCTTTCAGGGAGTAGTAAAATACCTACTACTCACTGCATTCGACCTCGCGGAATACCACGGCATGCCATTTCCACCCCCCAGAGGCCCTCGGCACCGGGATGTCCACGGCGCGGTACGGCAGGAGCCACGGAATGAACTCGCGCCAAAACTGCCCCTCACGTGAGCAAATCACCATGGGTACTCACGGCACGGCACTCACGGTACCGTAGTGGGAATCGGCCCTAACGGGGGTAACTGTTCCCCCCCCCCCCCCTACTATTTTGACCTGGCTAGAATCCTGGAATGTAGTATAGAGATTGAATGGAGTATGGAGATTGAATGTAGTATACTATCATTATTGCTTATTATGTCATGGCCAAGTTGTAACGGCATTTGCCTCTTTACCTTTCTAGCCGGGCAAGGACCCCAGACCCTTTCTTATAGCCCTACTACTGTACTATATCTCTTGCGTTATGATTCATCATTAGAAGCCCCCAGGCTGTGACTTGGGCTATGTTTTCAATAGCAGTTTTATCTCCTTGACAGTTTGAATGTTACCTACCTAGCAGTCAGTTGCTGTTCTAGTGTCTAATGCTAGAGGTTAAGGTGTTTGATTATCTGTTTCACTGGCATCATACAATGATTATGCCGACCAACCGAAGTTGCTGGAAGATTGACTGGGCGTTTTCATTGGTGTGTTGAATCAAAAGAGATAATTATAGAATAATGCATTTTTAAATTTTAAACATTCAAATCATTATTCTGTAATTGAAGAAGAATGGCCACTTACCTCCGTCAGCAGGTGTGCCATTGTTTTGCCGGCGTGGTGGCAGCAATGGGGATGACTCACTCGGATCTACTGGACGCGCACGCTTCGTTGCGCGTCGGAAGCTTTCCGTCAGACTGGAAGCCATGCATTTATTATTTTCAATTCAATTTCCGAAATCCATAAACTACGGACAGCAGCAAACCTCGGCAGACACAGGTGTCCAGTAGTATTTGTACCACTGCCTTCCCTTTCTCTAGAACAGCTGCACAGGCCGGTCAGTCACTCGAATGAGGAAGCAAAGGCATTGACACTTGCAGATTCTGAGAGTTGAATGCCTTACTAGTATTTTATTCTTTTGAAAGCATGTAGCTTCATGGTTTTGCAACTGACTCCGTCTAATCTCTATTGTAATTTGTAGGTTGCACTGGTGTCGGTCCAGCTGGCCAGCAGTAGAGCAGGAAAGCCAGAGTAAGGGAGCGCCTGTCACTGTCAGTGTCGACATGTCACGGCCGGCACTCGGAGATTGGTGTCTTTGTGTGTGTGTGTTGCGTATCAGTCGATCTTTGAATGTCCTCTACATGATTTTGCCATTTTTCCGGCCAGCGCTTCTTTGTTCTGGACTCGAGTCGTAACAGTCCATGCGCCAAGGGCCAAAAATGACCCGAATCTTTATGCAAAATGAAGATGACGACGCCGCTTTTTTCGACTTTTTCTGGGACCAATTTTGAGCAGAATCACCATTTTGATCGTCTTCGATTTGGCATGGAAGACTTTCATGAATGCTATTGTAACTTGGCCTGCTGAGGGCTAGGATAATCCCTAAACAAAATCTGGAAGCCGTTCCGCCAGAGATTGTTCCGTCATGTTGTAGCAGAGCCACTTTTCTCAATTTTGCGTCGTCCAGAATTTATGATTTTTGGATGCCAAAATACTTGATGGCGTGAGAACCAAAAAAGAACTACCGGACACCGCCCAGACCTCAGGTATGTATAGTCCATTGTCCTAGGCTGCTCATAAAGCAAAAATTGTCTTGATAGTAACTTGCCCAAAAATTTGGCGAATTTTTCCTAATACCCTAGTTGCCAATACACGAGAATCACGAAAACTAGTATGGCTGATGGATTTCTGATTTTCTTCTCGTAAACTTGAGGACAATTATCTACGATGTTACAAATATTAATGGGTGTTTTGAATGTGAACAGATACACTTCAAAAGGCTGATCGCGTTCTCAGATCAGCTGCAAGCGGGGGTCAAAATTGTAGTTCAGAGCGATGTCCATTGAGGCTCTTCACCCGATTTCGCAGTTCATACATGGTAGTCATGGGAAGTTGGGTAGAATTAAATAAGTATGTATGCACTCTTAATTACTCCATAGACAAAGACATGTTCTGGAGTCTCCTGGTGTTCGGCAGGCGCAATTATTACCTTCATCGTTTCTCGGTGAATTAACTCACTCCACCATTCCACACTGCACTCTTAGCCGACCCACGCCGCGTGCACATCACCAACACAATGGGGACATTCCTGTTGAGATATTCCTGCCCCGTAAACCGAGAAAAAAGGACAGCACTGCAGTGAACAGACCCTGACAAGAGGACCATATTGTAATGGCCCATGCGCTTATACACACGCTTTTGCCGTATTTGTAACTTTTGCAGGTCAATTGGTCTCACATAGAGGCGCATGTGCTTGTAGTTGTGTTACCGGTATCAGGGTATGGAATGTGGAAGCTGCGCATTAAACCCTGTAAAGATGGCATATGGTGGACCCTGTGGTATCAGCGTGTCGCGGCCCGTGGGATTGGGTTCACCTACGAAGTACAGTAGGCATCGGTTATAGCGTGGGTGTTTGAAAAACGACTTTCTATTCTTATTTCCGATATTTCTTACACACGATAAATCAAGTGTGACATATCACGCGCATGTACACGGAGTCAGGAAGATCATCGTACATACAATGTAGTGTTACAGTGCATGCGGCTGGGCATAGTCACATAGGCTTACCATGTGGCTATGCAACATGAGTTACATGACCACAACAGTTGAACCTGCAGCACTACGACCCAACGCGAGTCAGGTCGGAACTGCATTGGACGGATGTTATTACTACAGGCGATATACTTTGTACTAATCTGGTATGTTTTGCTACACAAAGTCCATTCTTAGGACCGATATATTCTACTGTACTATAAAATTGCTTGTAAGAATAAATGTGCATTTGAAATCCATGTTATGATTATGAAAACATGAGAGTTCATTCTTGTAGGCAGTATATTCTTTTACACGACCACACTATAACCGATACGCACTGTACAAGTAGGGCTGAAACGATTATACCGATTACTGTAGAACGGGTACTAGTAACTTTAGCGACGTAAAAACCCTAGTGAATTTAGCGATCGACTCATTTTCGCTAAAGTTTCAAGTCGCTAATCCGTTGAGACATTAGTAGTGCACTGGTGATCCGTGAGTAGTAAGTAGTAATACTAGTACTTCAAGTAGTAGTACTAGTTAGCACATGTTTTATGATGTTCTCTCGTACTAGCACTCATAGTACACGGTAGTGATGGTTTGTACATACAGTAGTAGAATGCAGTATCAAAATGTGTACAATGAAGAAAAATGCATATCGCTAAAATAAAACGTCGCTAACCGGTTGACAATGGGAAAACGCTAAAATTAATAGTCACTAGAATTACCCGTTCTACACTACTCGGTCATTGCTCAATAATTCCTCACAATGAACTTTGATGCTTATGACTTGGTGTGGCTTTTCATTTTGTTTTTGTCCATGCAGGAGTCGGGATTATGCCGTCTACTGAACATTGTTGCATGTATGGACCTCAAGTGTGGACCCAACTGGTCAGAGAAATGAAGGAACAATCGTCATGGTGTACTCTCAGGCCAAGGATATGCCTTGTGAAATGTGCCATATGCAGTTACTAGAGGGATTGTCTCGTTCCTTGCAAGCTGTTCGGTCACAGGCAATACTGTCACATCCCCTGCACGGCTGAACTGGTTAAGAGTACGTGCACACCCGTCTTGTCCTTTGCCGAGGAACGTGGTCCAGGGTTTCGAACACAGCACGCTGACCATTTACAGCTCGTTTGTAGTGGATTGTGTGAGTTTGGTCTGGAGGGATTCGTAGCCGTGTTTAAACAAGCCACTGGCGACAGATTTTCAGTGCCTCTGTCTTGGTTGAGGTTTTTCCAATCATATTCTGTGCACATATGGGTATCCAAGTACCTATCGAGTATCATGGTCAATCGTCATGGTCACTGCATACAGATCCATGTGGCTCTCGAATATGGACAACAGTCTATAGACAACGATCTTCTGTTTGATTGCCAGGCCTGGTGATGTTGTCCTAATTTGGTCACTCTATCTTATGCCGGCATTCAGTGTGTAAATGCTGGTGCTGGCTAGACTGTGAAGTATGGGGAATGACACATGTGCTTTTTTCAAGATGCTCGTGTAGAATTCATTCCCTTTGACCGAAAAGCTTGTGTTTCCGGATCCTGTTTGTAGCTGTACACAATTGTTATTTCTCCGTTCTTCCTTGTGGTTAACTTTCGCCTCCGACTATCCCTAACCATCTCATTGGTGCGTCTGTCCATGACGTGGCTGGCTGGCATCGGAGTTGGGCACCGCCCTGTCATCCACTGGCATAGTGTTGAACCTAACTGACTTGTATGTCACATACTAGCTGGAAGTTGTTTAAATTAAAGGGTTCAGTTCCAGTCTTTTAGTAGCTTTACCATTTCTATTAGTTAGCTATTTCCTTTACTCGGCCTTAGGACACTTTCTTCACCATACACTGTGTTTCTTTGGCCGTAAAAGAGGCAGTCTGCACTTGTATTGAGTTTCCTCATTGTGAAGGAGATGGAAAAGAAAGCACACATATAGCACTTCCTGCCTGTGTCTCGGCTATAAGCACTTTTAGTTGCTACAGTACCATGTGGTTGACTGAAACCAGGGTGTGCCAGATTATTGATCAAGAATGCATGCTGCAGCTGGGCTGTTTTGTTCCTTTTCTTATGTAGATCTACATGTACAGTGAAGGAATCGAAATTGCATGTAACGTGCAATGTGTTTGCAAGTGAAATAATGTAAAGTCCCCCCCCCCCCCCCCCCCGGGAATACCTGCGCTCGAATGTACTATCATGTGGTCCATGTGCATGATCATGATAATTGAATTGGTTCAGCGCTGTATTCTGGTGTATGTGCTGAAGTCGTTTACAGGTAGAAATTGACGGGGGCACACCAAGTTCTTTACATTACATGTACATGTACAGTAGAGCCTCGCTTTAAAGGGGAAGTTAAGCCTGGAATCAAATTTTCACCAGTTGTAGTCTTCGGGGTGCTGAGTCCAATGGTCTCTGTCCGAGGAAGCTGAGACGCTTCCTTCCTCCTTTATTCCCAATCGACCTCGCGCACTTCCACCGAAACTGGGTGGCCCTACTAGATGGGGATTTGTATGCAAAACGTCACTAAAAGCGCCATTTCGTTCTTATAAAAGTACGGATGACCGCGATTGGCCCATATGTTGTACTACAGTAAGATCGGGCGCCGAAGAACACCCAGGCTGGAAAACCGGCAAAATTTAAGAACAGTCCAGGCTAGAATTATCAGATTTTTAAAGAACACTTTTAAAATTTGGAACATTGTACATGTATGGGAGGTGAGTACATGTCATGTACACGTGTAAACAGTAACTGCTACATGTACAGTCATTCCCATTTACGACACCCACTAGTTTAGAAGTACTACATTGCACTACATGTACATGTACATGTAGTACATGTACATGACAAACGTCATGACGTCACTCGACTCGCCGCGCGCGTGTGAATAAGAACGGTCTGGCTAGAATCAAAAATTTAAGAACTTTCTTAGGCTGCGCTCGAGCCCCTGCGTTCTTCGGCGCCCGATCTTACTGTAGTAGTCTTTTGGACGCTGAGTCGACTGGTTTTGGTCCGAAAAGGCTGTGATGTAGCATTCAGCCCTTATTCCAACTTAACTGTAGGGCTGAAACGATTATACCAATTACTCGGTAAGCGATCGATAATTCCTTATCAATCAAGTAATCGTTACGTTATAGATTACTCGTTAGGAATTTTGAGTCCAAAAAGTACTGAAAACCCTCGTTTTGTGAAGTTTGAATCAGTTTCCGCTGTGTGTATGCAGTTGCCAGGGGCATGGTGCATTTTCTGAGGTTAAATTGACTTCAAAACTGTCATGTTTTGGAGCTACCCTGTCACTAATGCAGATTTTTGGTATTATGAAGGCCTAGCGTTTGGAAACAGGATAATTTTTGCACAAAATTCTGACACTATTTGCTAAAGATTATAATCGATTACTCGATCGTTAAGCTAAAGAGTAATCGATAGGTGAAAATCCACGATCGTTTCAGCCCTAAACTTAAGTTATAGCATGTTTGAGCGAGTTTCTATCACTCGAGTTGAACCTTTGAACCTTGGTGTGAAAGTTGTAGCCTGCTGGAGCGGTGACCAGGTAACTTGTGTACGCAGGAGCACGTGACCGATTGTTCAGCCATGTTCGATCGGGAATAAGGGCCGAACGCTATATCGCAGCCTTTTCGGACCAAAACCAGTCGACTCAGCGTCCAAAAGACTACAACATATGGGCCAATCGCGGTCATCCGTGCTTTTATAAGAACGAAATGGCGCTTTTGGTGACATTTTGCATACAAATTCCCATCTAGTAGGGCGCAGTCACCCAATTTCGGTGGAAGTGCGCGAGTTCGATTGGGAATAAAGGAGGAAGGGAGCGTCTCAGCTTCCTCGGACCAAGACCATCCGACTCAGCGTCCCGAAGATTACAACTGGTGAAAATTTGATTTTAGGCTTAACTTCCCCTTCAAAGAACATGGAGCCCAAGAACATGCAGCCCGAAATACTAATAATTAAAAGAACGCCAGAAACCAAAGCTGAGAATGGGACATATCATTTTTCTACCGTTCTGTAAGCCAGCTTTTGTTATATACATGTACACGTGTTATAAAGTGCACACTCCAGTACAATAAGAGTCTAAGAATGTGCTAAAACTCAGAACGCAGCCATGTTGCTAAAACAATGACTCAACTGCAGTTCTTTGCGCACAGATCATACTAAGAGTCCATCACACCTTTCCCTTGGGGTTGTGGACTCTTGGCTCATATTCCCATTGACATTCACGATGACGGTTTAAAGTTCGTTCCACTCAGACCTTTGCACCTCACTGAGAATTGAAACTTACGTCAAGCTGTCCTGAGAGTACATTACAACTTTCTGTTTCGCACGAATCTTGCAAGAGAAGTTCATGATGAATATAATATGATTGCAAGCCCGAAGAACACGCCAATGCTGCATAAACTACCTATAGGCTATTGGCTAGGCCATTTTTCAAGGAACCAAAAATGACATTGAAATTGCAGTCTGCAGATCCTGGTTAGAACTTTGTCATTTGAACGAAGATGATGTGGGCTTCTAATAGTTCTATCTCAGGCCCCTCAAGAGTGAATACGGGTGCTGGTGTGTTTCTTTGCCATGTAATACGTCTCCTACTGGTGACGACAGACAATGCATTGGTTTTGTTTTGTTCCAAACGGTGGAGGCCACCACGACCCCATCAAGAACCGGACACCGATGAACGCTTCTGGAAGTGTTTCCACATCGGTGGAGAGTCAAAGGAAAGCATCTATGTCTACATACTACCTTGCCCAAAAATTTGGCGAATTTTTCTTTGCCACTTGCCTGATTTTCACGAATATTTGACAGCTCCCACAAGAACACTCCCAGCGACGTCGAGACAATGAGTAACGACCACTACAACTGACATCCATAAGGTCAAAGGCCCAATCAAGGTGTCCGGAAAGCAAAACTTCCGCAAACAATCACTGATGGAGAGAAAATTGCAAACGACTCGAGACATCTAATATTTTCTTGACAATTTTTCAACGAAGATTTGAATATATTCAGCTCGGAAAAGTGGCTAATCTGCATAAAAAAGTACAACTTTTAGACGACTTTTTCGGTCTTGGCGCATGGACTGGTAATATTCAGCAGATCAGCGGCCGCAGCATAACTCACTGATGACGAATAACACGTGATAGGTCACGTGAACAAAACAATTGTCATCTGACACAGTTACCGGTACCGCGGTACCGTGGCGGTATGTACTCTTTTGATGCTAGCAGTATCAGCAAGAGTACATAAAGTTTATCTACTCTTGGTATCAGCAAGAGTTATGTACTCTTGGTATCAGTATATGTAGGGAAGGAGGCTTTCTTCTTCTTCTTCTTCTTCTTCTTCTTCTTCTTTAATAATAATAATATCTTTGCTCCAACTGGGATGCAGTGACTGTTGCTACACATTTTATAGATGAGTGTGATCACAATCAGGGAGGGATCATGATCCAAACTCAGAACATGCGATTGTTGAGGAGACAGTCAGACTCTCTCTCTCTCTCTCTCTCTCTCTCTCTCTCTCTCTCTCTCTCTCTCTCTCTCTCTCTCTCTCCCTCCCTCCCTCCCTCCCTCCCTCCCTCCCTCCCTCCCTCCCTCCCCCCCCTCTCTCTCTCTCTCTCTCTCTCTCTCTCTCTCTCTCTCTCTCTCTCTCTCTCTCTCTCTCTCTCTCTCTCTCCCTCCCTCCCTCCCTCCCTCCCTCCCTCCCTCCCTCCCTCCCTCTTTCTCTCTCTTCTCTCTCTCTCTCTCTCTCTCTCTCTCTCTCTCTCTCTCTCTCTCTCTCTCTCTCTCTCTCTCTCTCTCTCTCTCTCTCTCTCTCTCAGGATTTCTATGTACATGTATTTGATTTCGAGATACTTGTACAAGCACCTGACCAGCAACAAGTCAACCACAACAAACACCAGCAACGCCAACGGAGTATTCTTCTTACACAACCCCGCTTCCTCCACAGGGCACTGCAGAGGGACGACAACTCAGGCGAAAGCTGAATGGAAAGGGAGTGTTTCCTGTATTCACTCAACACGACCATCGTAATCTGCAGCACCGGCACGGTAGATGTACTTCAACACTATGAACACACTGGAAATAATGAGGATAACTGTGAATAGAGCACGTGTGTTTCGTGAGTACATGTACAAGAAAAAATATTAAAAATTGCATGAAAGAACAAGCAAAACAGTTGATCAACAAAATTACATTGCTTGTCACCTAGCCCTGAGAATATTATAAAATGATGAGACACAACTAACATGCATACACAGTACTAGTACTAACATAAGTGTAACATGACTGTAGGATCTACACATTGGCCATGCCACGCATGGCCAGGCAAAGGGTAAAGATGAGGGAGACCATTTCATATTGAAAGAAAAAAAACCCACTGTACTTCTATGAGAGTTTTGCATGATAATTTCAAGGACCAGAAAGCACAGCTGCTGAAACATAAGAGCAGAAATCCTCATTTACAAACAAACACGTACACACACACACACACACACACACACACACACACACACACACACACACACACAACACGCTATTGGTACGAAGTTCTTGCCTCAAAGGCAACAAACGGCTTTGGACCGGAGCTCGTGCTCGCTACTAACATTGCCGGTGGTGCGGTCGGTCGCGGTGGAGGCGGTGGAAACGGTTGGAGATTGGGAGGTGGTGGTCCAGGTACAGCCTGTGCTTGGGGAGGCGGTGGCGGAAGACCACCGGCGTGAGCTGAGAAAATCGGAGCTGGAGTTTCAATACCGTGCGGGAAGTGCCTGAGACAGCATATAAAACAGCAAAAAATCAAAATAAGTTACACATCATGAAAGGAGCAACTATTTGTCCATAATATACTCTTTCGACGCCCCTAAATAAAACAAAAGAGCGCTTTTAAAATCTAAAGCTGCACACATATTCGAGTCTTTCCACCATGGTGGACTCATCGGGGCAGTGCAGAGGAAAGAAGCTGAACCTGGTAGCAACGAAAATCAAAGATACTAACTTAGTAGTAGTACAGTACCTACTACCTCCAAAAAAGGGGGATAAACCGTTGCCATGCATACATGTAGTACAGCTGTGCATGAACAACAGTTTGTTTGAACTACAGTTTGTTTGAACTAAACAACTTACGGCTTGACAGCAGGCGGTGGAAGAAAGTGCGGTGGTGGCACAGCCGGTGGCAAGTCCGGCCGCAGTGCGGGCAAGGGGAAGTTGGGAAGGCGAGGACCGGGTGGAGGGGGTGGAACTAGTGCGGGTGGAAAGATTGACCCACGGACAGGATTTCCACCGGGTTGCTGCTGTTGCTGCTGCTGTTGTTGTTGTTGCTGCTGTTGTTGCTGTTGTAATTGCTGCTGCTGTTGCAAAGCAGAAGCCTTCTCCTGACCACCTTCATGCCGATAACGGATATGAGCCTGGAAGAGAAATGAAACACGATAAACATAGAAATGCTGAATCATGTTATGCTTGGCTGAAAGGCTAAAGATCCATGTTGTTTACCTCGCATGGGCAATGGAGGAGTGAGTACTAGTAGTATTATTCATACTAGTCCATTCTGGGATAATATATCTGTTATTATATCTGTTATTAAATTGCCACAAACTGAATACAATACAACACCGCATACATGTAGCAGAAGGCCGATTCCATATTTCAGAGGATAGAGATAGTACCACAGAGTATCACTAGAGTGCCTCGTCGAGAGAGAGAGAGAGAGAGAGAGAGAGAGAGAGAGAGAGAGAGAGAGAGAGAGAGAGAGAGAGAGAGAGAGAGAGAGAGAGAGAGAGAGAGGGAGAGAGAAAGGAGAGAGAGAGAGAGCCTTGAGTAACAGCCAGGAAAAGGACAGCTGTATAGGCGAGTGAATTTTAAAGTCATACTCAAACTGTCAGAGAATCTGGGTGTACTGGGGTCACACATGGCCCTATACCAGCTCACTGATTCTGGGTGCAGCTTGCTGCTGCTCCAAGGTCAAATGAGTATGGATTGACTGCACAGCATGCATTGAAGGGAACAGTGCATGTGCCGTATGACCTACAGTCAGGATTTGCTCATCCACTTCACTCGCGAACCATGACCGTGCACGAGGAGCCATTTGCTGTACCGTATTTTCCGGAGTATAGTGCGCACTTTAGATGTGCTATTTTAGGCCCTTAATCGCAGGTGCGCACTATACTCCGAATATGAAATGCATGTACTTCAATGAAGATTGAAGTGCGCACCCCCAATGAAGATTGGGGGTGCGCATTATACAAAGGTGCGCATTATACTCCGAAAAATACGGTAAATCCTTAAAGGCAAAATTAAAGGCCTGCCACTTCCATCACTGCCTACAAGTAGGCTACAAGCAATGTAATCCCTGTACATGTGACTGCCACTGTAACCTAGCCACCGCCACCACCTCTGCAGCCACCAACTCTGCAGCCACCACCTCTGCAGCCACCACCTCTGCAGCCACCACCTCTGCAGCCACCAACTCTGCAGCCACCACCTCTGCAGCCACCACCTCTGCAGCCACCACCTCTGCAGCCACCACCTCTGCAGCCACCACCTCTGCAGCCACCACACAATTCCATGAAAACATGCCAAACTCACCTGTAAATCCCGCTGTGACAAATAGCTTCGGCGGCACCCAGAGTGGCCATGGCGACTCCCACCATATGAGCAAATGTGAACACTGCCTAGGTCACCTCGTTCATGTTCCTGACTCGCCTCACCACACCTGCATACAACAACAGTGTGTTTTATAATCAATAACATGGATGACAAAATAGGACAGAGAGAGAGAGAGAGAGAGAGAGAGAGAGAGAGAGAGAGAGAGAGAGAGAGAGAGAGAGAGAGAGAGAGAGAGAGAGAGAGAGAGAGAGAGAGAGAGAGACAGAGAGAGACAGATAGAGAGAAGGGAGAGAGAGACAGAGAGAGAGAAGGGAGAGAGAGAGAGAGAGAGAGAGAGAGAGAGAGAGAGAGAGAGAGAGAGAGAGAGAGAGAGAGAGAGAGAGAGAGAGAGAGCGCAACAGCAGCACAGCACACTGAGAGACTCACCGTGGACATTTGCCTTGGGAGTTCAGCGTACATCCTAAACAGAAGGAGTGCTTACAACGTTTCTGCAGGCAAAGGTAGATGACAGAAATGAGGCAAACCGTACAATATCTAATTACAAATACCCTTCACAATCCATGATACATTCCCCTCAACGTTTATGGACTACATGCAACTGCATCTCCAAGAAAGGGTGGCTTGTCAACTGGCAAACTGCGATGGGTGACTGGTCGGAGGCGTCAACACTTGACAGAACTCAAATAGCTAATTTTTAAACACGGTACACCTCATCTCAAAAGCCTCAATTCTTTTTTTCTGCTGTTAGCGTCCATGATAATCCATGACAGAGACGTCTAAATTCAACGAAATTCTACTTTAGTAGTACTGAAGCTGTAAAAGATAGCCAGGAATTACGCAACAGAAGTCATTCCAGACCAAGCAACGGAGAAGTGGAGGAGAAAGTGCTGCTTACCAAGCGTCCGTAGACTAATATCGGGAGACTGCAGTGTTCACAGATATGAAGGTTTGGCTGTTCAATCTTATCACCAATCAGTAACACCTAAAGCAGGAACAAGATCCAGAAAGGCAAACACAAAATAAATATAAGAAGAAAACAGGACCAAAGAGCTACAAGTTACGCTATATTAATTAAATATCCACTAACACCACCAGTTACTTTACAATCAGCTCATGCGATAACATTGCACGACACTGACCGACGGTACTGACGTTCTACATCTAACTGGCAATCAGCTGGTGGCGTGAGTGGATATTATAGCGTAACTTGTAGCTCTTTGGTCCTCTTTTCTTCTTATAAACGAATCCTTGGCTCTCCACCCGAGTATAACTAAATAAATAATCATCTCTACTTTGTAAGGCCCTCTTCAGACTAGGTACAAAAAAGCCTATAAGTCACATTTACATAGAAGTTTCCAAGACAACAACAAGAATCTGGCGGGAAGCCTAAAAAGCTGCCCAATCCTTTCAGGCAGGGTGCGAACCCTTATACAAGGCAACTTTCCCGCATTTATCGTACTTTCACCAGGCAGTCGTACAAACGTACAAACTTTGCACCCGGGTACGACTGCCGGCTGCTTTCACACATCCCAGGCCCATTGCGCGTAGGGTCAAAGGTTGCCTGTATATTGCATGTAAAATGTGTAGTCTGAATGCAGGCTTGGAAAAATGTTGCCTGTTAGGTTTTACATGTAATTATTGTATGTGATTTTGTACTGGATGTTCTATGTACGTAGTCTGTAGAGGGCCTAAAATTCATTATGCTTGTTCAGTTTCTTTTTGCCTGTATTCCACCCGACGAGAAGACAACGGAAGTATTGTATTTCTTGCTTTGGTCTCCGCGAAAGCTAAATGATTATAGACTCGGATGGAGAGCCAAGGATAAATTTATAGATTTGTAGTTCCTTGGTCCTTTCCTTTTCTAATGACTAAAGCTTAGAATTACCGTATTATCTCTAATATAAGCACAGTCTCCAATAATAGCACGTCTTCAATAATAGAACACCTTGGGGCGGCATTCAAAAAATAAAGTGCTCAGACTCCATTATAAGCACACTGTGAAGTGCTCACTGTGAAGTCCTCACTGTGAAGTCCTCTGAAAACCACCCGTGCCTCCAATAAAGGACACCGTACGGTAGTATATGTACGCACATTGCATGTACATGCACATGTTATCATGGTCAGTCGCGCGATCGCGCGCGGTGCACCAACCTGAGGTAGAAATAATAATGGAACAGTCTCCAATAAAGGAACGTCTCCATTAATAGCACGGGGCGGTGGTACATTGAAAAATAAAGGACCGTGCTTATATTAGAGATAATACGGTAGTGACGTCAGCGGTAATACCGGCAATTGACGAAGTTTGTTGCTCTGGATGGCAGTCATGAATCAGTCAAGTGTCAGTTAATTTGGCAGGAAGCATCAGCTCCATGTAGATTAATCAACCATAAGTAGTAAGTACAGCTGCATTGGTGTCTTCAACTTCATTCTCTAGAAAATAGAAACTTTGAAAAAACTAATTTCGAAGAGACAAATAAGATAAGAACGCAATAAGTAGGGTGAGTTGCGCATTCAACACACAGACACACAGACACACACACACACGTGACACACACACACACACACACACACACCACTGGCTATGGTTTAGTATCCTTGAACACTTTCGCTGCCATCTCATCAGAAGCAACTCACCATACTTGTAGTGAACATACATGTAATTACCGTAAAGTACCGCCAGAGCGCCCCGTCTCGCGAGAGTGCCCTACCTTGAAATACGGAAAGAGGACTCTCGTGTCCGGCCATAGAAGTGAACATTGTATGGTCTGGTGTGACTGATGTCGTATGGGGTTCACTCTGTTTTTGCAACATTCGGGTTACGTCGCATTTTACTTGTACGGTGAGCCATGTGAACTGCAGTGCCCAGCGTTGCAGCCAGCACGTACAACATGGAGTTTACCTTCACACCAAGCTGCTGTTGCTTCACTGCGACAGTCGCAGGCAATCGAAGGGTATCCTCGGGTTAGTGTGCTTACTACAGTCTCTTTTCGAAGTGACGTTGGCTGCCGTGACTGCGTTTTCTTTAGCTTTTTTCTTGTGTTATTTTTGGTCATGGCTCCTGCAATTCGTTCATTTACTGTGGACTTCAAGTTATCCGTGCTAGATTGGCATCATGCCAATGGAAAGAAGCTAAGATTGACAGCGACATTTTGACCTGGATTCGAAGCGAGTGAGTGACTGCAGAAGGCGGACCAGTTGAAGAAGACGAAGGGGGAAGGTTGCAAAAGCAGAAAAAATTGCGAAAAGCAGAAACCGTTATCATCCGAGTTGGAGGCTGCAGTGTTGTCACATCTGCGTGACGAGCAGGCTGTAGGTCAAACAGTCTCCAACAGGGATCTGCAGAAGGAGGCATTAAGACTGAGCAGTCCTGAGTGTTTGAACGTGCCAGGATTTTTTGGCAAGTAAAATGCGGCTAAAATGCTTTAAGAAGCGTCATCATGTCGCCATGCGGTGTGGAACAAACACTGCCCAGCAACTACCGGAGACTCAGCTGCTAGTGCTTCAAGCTTTCAGGGCCGACATCCTGAAGTTCGGTGTCCCTTCATCGCGGGTCGTGAACATGGACTAGACAATGTGCAAGTTCGATACTGTGCTAAACCGCACGAATGATATTGTTGGGTCGAGAACAATTAGAATTGTGTGCCACCAAGGCCACAAAGAAGGGTTTCACGGTTGCCCTAGCGGCTAGTGGCAACGGCGAGAAGCTACCCACTCTGTTAGTGTTCAAGGAGCGGAATGGGACCCTTGGTCCGAGGGTGAAAAAGCAATGAATCTTCCTGACAGCGGCAATGCCATCGTGACAGCAAGAGCCAACGGCTGGTTGACTGAAGAATTATATCACTGGTGGCTACGACGCATATACCGAGCGTAGACGGGGAGGACAAGGGTTTGCTGGTTGTCGATAACTACCGACCTCACATCAGTGACGTCAGCAAGTCCATTGTTCAAGATGAGTGCAATGGCAACACCGTGTCAACACCGTGTCAACTCCGCCTGGCTGCACTAGCCCTGTGCAGCCAATGGACGAAACGGGAAACTGCCCATTAAGGGCCAAAATGATGGGGCTTTGGGTGGAATGGTTCCGAACCCAGAATGACAGGACACCCAACAACAGCCTGAAGCCACCAACGCGCCAGCCGGCCATTGACTGGGTGTCCTGTGCATGGGACAGTGTCTCGTCAGACTCGACCAAAGACTCGTTTGTGATCTGTGGCACCACAGCAGCAGCTGATGGGTCTCAAGATGATGATGTATGTCGTCATCTTAGTCTGCAACCTGCAATGCCACAAGGAGAGCAGCCGCATGATGCCAAACTCGCTGCTGGAGCTGACATTGTGGATAATGACCATGATGACAATGTAAGCCAAAGTGATACTGATAGTGAGGGTGGGTCTGAGGATGATTAATCACCATGTAGTCATTTCGTTCGCTTTTTTTTCTTTGTCTCTTGTCCCGTTTCTAATAAATGTCGTTCCACCAACCTACTTGTTCCCGTTGTCAGTCTCTTGTTCGGACTCAACACATTGATGTGGAGTAATGTGACGGTTTGCGCTGCTGGCCTTTCCCTTAGCCTGACCTCATCTGCCGTTCTCCTCTCTGTAACCACTACCTCTCTCGTTCCGGTAGAGGTGAACAAATATTCAAATGTCCAAACGCGTCCAGTACAGAAAGTTCGCGAATATTATTTGTCAAGTCAAGAACTTGAACGTTCATCAATCTAGGCTGTCAAGAGAATGCTTCATTCGCATTGGTCCAAGTTCCCTTCAGCTCTGCAAATAATGACATGTGTACCTTTCACAAAGAATCTTGGAACCGTCACAACTGCCAGTTCAGTGAGTATTATTTGACGAGCTCAAAACTGACCTTGTGCTCCCATATAAGGTCTTGATTATCACCCAAACAAGCGTATCCATCCAACTTGGCCTTGTGTTTCCTCTTCTTGGGTATTGCTGCTAGCCACAACAGTAACAACAACAACAACAACAACAACAACAACAACAACAACAACAACAACAACAACAACAACAACAACAACAACAACAACAACAACAACAACAGCAGCAGCAGCAGCAGCAGCAGCAGCAGCAGCAACAAAATAATGCCGCCATCATGACCCAAACCTTAAAATTGTGCAAAAACTATTTCAGGGATACCTCGAGAAACTTGGAATCAGTACTTGCAGTCTTACTTCACTTATCCAGACTCTAAAGGGCAGACTCTCAGCAACATATCCGGATAAGCAAACTTCCCTGGACATTTTTTCCACGCGCAACGCACACTGATTTTGTGCAGCTGTGCCAGAATTTCATAGAGTACCCATAGAGTACCAATAGAGTAGCCATAGAGTAGCCATAGAGTAGCCATAGAGTAGCCATAGAGTAGCCATAGAGTAGCCTGTAATAAGACAATATACAGTGTAGGGATATCCCTGGTTAAAGAACAAATACCATTACAGTTAGACCTCACTTATCCGGTCCTCTTTTATCCGGATCCCTCGCCATCTGGAAGAAAATCGTTGGTTACCGATTTACAGCATATGTCATGCATACATACAGTATGTGTGTTCGATAATCCGGTTCCCTCGCCTATCCGGATATTGTTGTGGAAAACGGATGTGTGCGGTTAAGCGGCGTCTGACTGTAATAGTATTAACATGGCTTGAAAAAGACTTCGCTCACAGCTCGATACACTTTGCACAGGCACACAATTCCCTATCCAGTGTTCAGGGCACACAGCATTGCCACTACAGGATGTGCAAAGTGACTGCAATTAGGGGTACACAACACAGAGTACTCGGTTATGGGGTCGTCGCAAAAGTTTTCTGTCATCCCTGAAACGAACATCGTTCATTTCGTACTCGGCCCCCCTCCCCTCCCTCTGAAACGAACACAGCTTGCTATGCTGGACGACGAAAATCGCAGGCATGTACATGTCATACACTGTATGTACAGTGTCAGTCGACTTGCGATTTTGGCTCACACCCCCCCCCCCCCCCCCCCCCCCAATGAATCATGTTCGTTTCAGGGACGACAAAAAACTCGCAAGTCGACTGACACTGTACATACATGTATGACATGAACGATGTTCGTTTCAGGGATGACAGAAAACTTTTGCGACGACCCCATAACTGAGTGCTCTGTGTTGTGCACCCCCCCCCCCCCCCCCAACGAATCATGTAACTGACGCAAACGCGGGAAATTTGAGCGTCAGACGCTGCTGCGTCTGACGTGGGGAAATCGGCTGCGTTGCCGCTGACGGGGGTGACGCTTGGCGGAAAAAGTAAAAAAACAGAATGTCTTTCAACAGCAAGACAGTTGCTTGAGTTGACCAGTCATTCGAAATTAGTCTCTTCAAGGTTTGTTTTGTTCCCTCTTTTTTTTTCGACATGAGTCCGTAGACCTATGAGGCTGAGGCTGCTCTCCTCCGAACCTGGCGGAAGAGCGAGGCGTTTTCTGAGAAGAAAATGATGTCGAAAAGGACCAGTAGTATGAGTGGGTCATCACTCAACTAGAGCCTGTTGACTTGTGAGTGTTGTTGTTGTCGCCAAGAGCCAAAAAAAGGACAACCAGTATGACGAAGTCAGGAGAAACACAGCTGCGATGCGGACTTTCCTTGCCTGGTCCATGACACTAAAACTGAAAGAAACAACAACGATCGTGGTCCTTTTGTCTTCTTGCAATAAATGAAAAATCAATGAAAAATTTGAAAACTTTGTCCGACAATTTTTTTGTATGATTAACAACAGGCCGGTTTCCGTGGAGATCTGTGTCGTCATTGAGTTTCCCTGGTGATTTTGTGACGTACACAGGTGCGTCAGGCCGCGGCAGTCGTGAGTTGCAAAAGAACAAAACACTGTGTGACCCCGCGTCTGCGTCAAGTGCTGCGGCTTGACGCTGCGTCCAGCTTCAAACTTGCCGTAGTGTGACCGAGGCCTAAAGTACTGCATGGATGCGGACGGATTTGTCCGATGCTGTTGCGACCCACAGTTGCCGTGACATGGCTTGAGGGAAACATGGGTGCAGCTAATGAGTGCATTGGTCTTCAACCACTTGGGTAAGTGCGATTCAGCTCCAACCACTGTATAATAGGAGCTGCCTACAAAAAAACCTGTATATGCCTTGATCATCGAGGGTGGTGGTGATCCTCCGGCTGTGGAAAAGTCAGCCTGATTCCCACGTGCGAGGCGACATTTATTTTTTGTTAAATCATGGATCCCATCCCATGTATGTGCCCATGTGCATCCGAATGTCTGAGCGCATGTCTGTGTGAATGTGTGCACATCTCTAAGATCTCTTGCATGTGTATATGAGCATAAAGTGCATGCTTGCCATGGTACATGCTCTTTTGGGCGGCTAACCGACTGCCAGTGCTACATGTGTGCATCAGTGATCCTGCTTGTCAGTGTGGGTGAACGTTCCACCAGATCACTGCATTACGCTTTAGGTCAGACATGTATGGCACATGTGCGCAAATGCAATGCAGTGAAAGTAGTATTCAACGCACAGGGATGCAGGTGTGACGTATAAAATCAGAAGGAGCAAGACAAAAGAACGGTTTCTCTTTCATCCTGTTTGACAATAGATCTCTATCATTAGCACACTGGCACATATGAGCTCTTACTCGGAAGAGGCGTCTCCGCAGTGGCCTTCAGCTTCAAAGCAATCGTGCCACGCTTCACAGGGGCACTGTTGCTTGCAGTCAACTGGCCTTCTGCTTCCAACTCAATTCCATCCGACATCTCTCAGCCCTCAGCAATACTTTATTACAGCTTGCGCATTTAGTGGTATGTACATGTATTGAAAGGGGAAGTAATTCCTTCAAATTTCTCAGCGCTGAGAAGTTGGCCTGGATTGCTTATAATAATAATGATCAATGGTATTTCATCAGCACTACTCTACCAGTACCGAAGTTCAAGTTTCACGCTCTCAACTCACACAGGGACAGCCATTTGCCAAGCTCCTGATATTTTTATACTGGTACATCGATGCATCCCTGAGATGTGACCAATATACCTAACTAACTTTGTAATACTCAATTATGTAGAAGAAACACAATATTGCAATTTATTTTTTCAAGCTGGCCAAGGCGCCAACGCGGCGCGGCCACAGAAACATTGTTTTCCATCACGTCACGGCATTGTGCTGTACAGTGTGATGCATGATGACAGTCATGATCCTAAATAACAGTTTTTCAGGTATTTTAACACGCAATACTCCCTCCTGATCCTCACCAACACACTACAGCCAACTACAGGTAAAGCCTCCTACATGTATTAAAGGTTCACATTCACTACAGACAGCATAATTATGTACCAGTATGTCTGTTAAAGTCACCGTCGCACACGAATACACTTACATAATTATTATCAAGAATTCATAACCGATTAGGAACTCTTGATATTATGTGTAATCTGACGGCGACAAAAACAGCAGCAACAGCAACAACACCACAAGCAACACCAACAACAACGGTGTAACTCATTCCACTATGGATAGCTTTGAAACAACACACTGGCACATCAGTTGCAGCGTGCAGGGTTGCATAAACCCCCTTGCCATAACCCCACTACAATCTTGCTAGTGCATCACACACATGCATGCATGCACGTACAAGTGCACGCACACACACGCACCACACACACGCACCACACACACACACGCACGCACACACACACACACACACACACACACACACACACACACACACACACACACACACACACAGAGTATTAAAAAAGCACACGGTGTTACTGTACACACAAGAAAACATATGCTTCAGCCTTCAAGTACATCATGAGAACAGATGGTTCACCCTAGTCTGTTCACAATAATGAATACAAAAAAGGCCTAGGTGAGAGAGACAGAATTTCATGTCAATGTAAAATCTAATAACATCTCCAACAGAATATGATTCAACTGTGCTTGGTCAGCCGAGCTCCTCGATAACATGAAGACAGAAAGCCGAACGGTTACCGTGAAATCAGAAATTAGGCGGCAAGTTAGTTGGGGAGCGCAGCCGCCAGCCTGGACGGCAGAAAATGCAGCACGTTCGAAGTGCAGCTGCTGAATGTAAAGAAAGAAGTTAAAAAAATATACACAGTAACACTATACAGAGTTCTACCAGGCAATTGCGCTCACTAGCAGGTAAATTGAAAAGAGCAGTGCGACTAAGAAATTGATGCTTCAGTTTAGGAACGGGCCGTGCAGACCGGATAAAAAAAAGAGGGAAAATAAGAATGAGATACAGAGCAAGGAAAGCTCACAGGGTTCGAGCCATTGTCCAAGCAGGTAAATATGAAGGTCGGTAGGTTGCGCACGGGGCACAAAACACGACACAAACATTACACGGAAAATCTCACGCTAATACAATGTACACACTGAGCCTAAAACTAATAAAAACACACACACGCAAGCACGCACACACACACACACACACACACACACACACACACACACACACACACACACATACAGCTGTGGATGCGCCACTTTTTCGGGCGCAGGCAAAGTTGCAGATCACTGGAAAGGAACCGACAGCAGTATCCTCTCTCCGTTGCACAATGGGCCATGGCAGAAGGGCAGCGCTCATGAGTTACATGATGGGACATTCGCCAACACACACCACCCGTGGAGGCGCAATTATTATTAGTAAGAATAAAAAATATGGGTGATCTGCTAGCAGAGGCCAGCGGTTTAAGAAAGGTTTTATGGTATTGGCCGGCCAACTGTTCATACTCATATGCTATGTAGATAAAACTTGGAGAATCCTATAACTAGTTAGGTACGACATGACCATACAGTGTCTGGACATCGATGAAGCTGTCATGAGCATGTACAAAGGGAAAGAGAAACTCTTGGAGAAATGCCGGTGAGGAGGAGGCTGCCACAAGGCTTGTAGATTGCAGCGAGTGCCGAAGACACCCACCATAAAAAATAAAAAAATAAAGAAGCAAACCCGCCCCAACTTGCAAATTGCCGCTACAAGGTACAAGTCGGCTACGGGTTTTCACTGAGCCGTTGGTCGACCGGTGTGTTGTAGTCATACGCACCGTTACCGATGGAATGGAACAACTGCAGATAACAAGAAAGGCAATGAAGTAATCAGCACAACGGCCCACAGGAATAGTTCTTGATTACAAGTTGAACACCACTGATAGGCAGTTTCCTCCAGCAGAAATAAAATATTTATTCCCATAGCTATGCAGGAGACGATACGATAAGCCAGGGTCCACAGCGCTTTCTTATGTGTAGTGTGTGTGTGTATGTGTGTGTGTGTGTGTGTGTGTGTGTGTGTGTGTGTGTGTAGTGTGTGCGTGTGTGTGTGGTCCGCTGTCATGAGTGAATCAACAAACTTACAAGTCATCACTGCGGTAAAGAAGAGAACTGCACACTACCCCCCCCCCCCCCCCCACACACACACCCACCCACAGAGTAAGAGCAGCCGCTACATACTTTGTGAACCCACTCCACGCCTTGTTCTTTCCTCTCCTTGGCTTCCCGGCGCTGCCTCTCCTCCAGCTGAGAACAGAATAAAATAACCAAATAAGGGAGCCACAACGAGAGCCACCGTAAGTCAAGCATCAGTAGAACACTTTCACAGACATTCCAAAGCGAGAAGATAGCCATGCTGAAGTTTCACAACCACAGCGAATTGAACATGAAAACAAGAAAACGGTCAGAACCCCCGCCCACATGACAGACAAACACGCATGCACGCACCCACACAAACATACGAACATACACACACCACAGACACAAGAACACCCACACGAACACCCACACACACACCCACACACACACCCACACACACACATACGAACACATACAAACACACACACACATACACGCATGCACACACATACACACATGCGCTCACCCACCCACCCACACACACACCTGTCCTGTCCTGTACACACACTGACACACCACCACCATCATCACCAGCAGCAGCAGCAGCACAATCTGGTATTCACACATCTACTGGTATAATGCACATCACAATACCTTAGCCTTGAACTCTGTAGCTGCTTCAATATTATCTGTGAGGAGATTCTGCGTGACATTATCCCACAACCTGCAGACAGTACAAGACAAACACCAACTTAACTTCCTTTCTATTTCAAAATATAGTGCAAAGAGTAGCAAATCCTGACCACAACACACAGGAGTTTTGCACAGAGAGAACACGCCATCCTTGAAGGCTGAAGTAAACCTATCCCAGCTCCAGGATGAGGCAAACTATTAGCGGTACTTCAGAAGTAGTCTGCCTTTATCTCATTGTGTATCCTCTCAATACATATATGGCATGGAACAATAACGTTTTTAAAGATTTGATCAACGGTCAATGAAATCGAGACGTATGCCTCGAGTTCGGGACCACAATTTGCCGTGCAAATGCGGCACACGCATACCGGGTTGGAGTGTGCTGGGCGCTGAACCCGAGACCGCGTCCGGATTTCATTGACCAGCTGAAGCTACGTGAACATGTAGTGGCGCGCGCAACAGAGACCTTACCGTCTGGACTCGAACTCATCCTGGTCTTCCAACGGTCTAACTAGCTTCTTGATGATGTCCATCCTCTTCGTGTCCACAAACACACCAGACTATAAAAGCAAAACAAAAACAAAGCAAAGTCCATGTCAGGGATGCCTAGAACTGTCAACGAGTAGGATGTGAGTCAGTATCCCAATTCTCTGTACTGTAACTGCTACAACCTTCCAAGCACAACATCGGAAAGTAGGCCGGTGGCAGTGGTACATGTATGTTGATCTAAAAGCACATGTTTCCTTCAATCAATGTACTAGTAAGTAGCATTACCTCTCCTGATGGTGTCTTGTAGTCAATAGTGGCATTCCAGAGACCTTCCAGTGTCATGAAAGGCTTCTTGTTCGATACATGGCTGAATGCAATAACAACAACAGCAGCGGCAGCAACATACATGTATAAATGCGGGGTAGAATAGTAATCCAGTGCCTTGGAAGTACTGTATATACATTAGCACATAATAGTCCTAGCACCTGACACAGAGATGCCAGTAAATTACATACAATACAGTAAAAACATATAATAGCACACACAAAATCATGCACGCACGCACGCATACACACACATACACACACAAACACACACACACTTTCACACACCTACACACACAGCGTTGAGAGCCAACAACACCGTGACATACTGGCCAGTAACAGACAAGAACAAAATCACACGTCTGTAAGTCTGTAAGGAAAGTGTATACTCGACACCATGGCAAACACAAGTAAAATACATTACGTAGTGCAGATCATAAGCACCGATCAACAATAGTCCATAGCAGTCAGCCAGCTGAACTTACCTCAGTTCAGCAGTCAGTCGGTCTCGCTTGCCACCATAGAATGGCTACAGTACAGGTAAGAAGATCACAGAACAAAAATGCATCTCTCCCTCTCCACGGAATACATTAGCAGTAGAGTGCATGCCAGTGAGATTCAAAGGCTAAATAATATCAAAAGCATGCGGCCAAGACAGCAACGTGCAAGCTCCACCTTACAGTAAACACAAACTAGTCCTGGACAATCAAGTACTGGGGAAAGTCTATCAGTAGAGTGCAATCTCACAGCAAAGCTCCGCCGCAATAACACACCAAGAAACTGTTACACTAACAGGGAGATAGTAGCAGTGGACAGCACAGATGTAGACCAGTATGGCAGAGCAGAGACTAGTGAACAGCACACATGTAGACCAGTATGGCAGAGCAGAGACTAGTCAGTGGTTGCTGCTGACCTTGCAGTGGAAATCAATAGCAGCAGAGTATCCTGTGGTAGGGCATTCAATAGTACAGCGTCCACCCATCTCCATCCATGGCGTTGTCAAGATAGACCTGCATCCAGCACATCCAGTACACAGACAATAAGCATAGCTAAACTCACACTCACATGCAACACCACCAGGCACCAATACAGAACAGATACATGCAATACAACTACACAAATGGATGCACACACGCACACATACACGCACACCGACACACACACACACACACACACACACACACACACACACACACACACACACACACACACACACACACACACACATTACCTGGCATAGGCAGATGGAAACGTGATAATATACTCTTCGTCTAGTCGATGGAGACGCAGATGAGCTGTACACACAACACATTCGCACAGGTAAAGCATAGCCGAGCATGGCATACTTTCCAAACCTGTTTCCACAGATGTACAGTCAACCTTGCGAATAATGACCCTCGATCGTGCATGAAAACAGTGTCGTTATTCTCGAGTTGTTGTTAGTATACTTGAGGTTGTTATTCATGAGGATGACAGTGCTTCAAAGCAAACAGTATACACTCGATTCCCGCTATAACCAACACCAATTTGCAGGATATTTACTAATAATTACTGTAGAGGCAGAAAATTTCGTCCAACTCCAAAGAAAAGGAGTTCGTCCGGTTGAAAATTTCGTCCATGGATCATAAGAGTGTATAGAAAAGCTGGGCAAATCGACATTAGTCCTACATTTAATTTAGTCCGAAAGCTCCTTGGACGAAAAAGACGAAATTAAATTCCAGACGAATATTTCTGCTTATACAGTAGTTCTTTATAGCCGAAATGCACTCACACCATACAATCAGCAAGTCACATCCGACACGAGGCCCATGACTGCATGAGTACAAGCTCGCGTGATGAATCTTCCATGGTCATGTGTATGGGGTCTTTCCTGTCATACAGTAATCTGAGTATGCACTTGTACTCATGTGACTGTCTGTGTGTGCGCACGCGCGTCCGTGCATGTTTGGGTGCGTCACTCGCTACCTTTCGTAGTTGGAGCACTCTGGCGCTAGAGCGACAAGCTATCTTTAAATGTTTGTGGTGCCACCTCCGCGCCAAACAGCTAGCTGTCTACAGCATTGTGTGTTTGTACATGTACATGTATGTGCACATGTGCGTGTGTGTGTGTGTGTGTGTGTGTGTGTGTGTGCGCGTGTGTGTGCGTGCGTGTGTGTGTGTGAATTGCGTGTGTGAGCATACATGTACATGCACAGGCATCCTTACCTTCTCCCACCATTTGCGCACACACTGCCAAACCAAGAAACTTGGACTTGGTCCAGATATGGCCCGTGACAGAAACCTTCTTGGATGCCAGCTCAGCATAGAATGCAGCCACTAGCATGACACACAGCAGGAAGAAAGAAGAGTGTAATTACAGAATGTGAGAATACAGGTGAGGTATGTGCGGGCCTGATTTGAATCTGGCTTTGGAAAATTTATATTTCATTGCTATCAGGTTCGGCCTCATTTTCTCTGTGCTGCGCTGATGAGTCCACAAAGGACGAAACAGCATGCTGTCCGCAGATTGAATGTGAGAATACATGCAGCTCAATCTTGACTGACCCAAGGCTGAACTCACCATTAACCCGAATTCCAGTCAGGGCCGTAGCACCGGGATTTCAGGTGGCCCGGCCAAGAGGGATACTTGACTGGAAGTTAACACTACAATGTATTGACGAAAAACCCGTTTTGAACAAAGTTGGTGGGTCAGCTGTTTTGAAATAAGGTCCGGCCAGGGCCTGACCGGGCGGACTAGCTGCTACGTCCTGTACCTACAGCATCGCCATACCAGTATAGTAACAGAGAACTCCATGAACAAATCAAGTATTGTACGTTGGCGGACTGACCTGGTGGATGGTGGGACACTTGCTCGGCAATGAATCCTACGGTATTGTCTGTTGCCCATGGTACTGGCCCAGTGCTGACAATGGACTGCATCACACACACACACACACACACACACACACACACACACACACACGCACACACGCACACACGCACACACGGCAGCAATAGGAAACACATACACACACCCACATACACACACGCACACACAAACATTATCATGACACCCTGTTGCAGTCGTATGATGGAGATGTGCTTCAAGAAGAAATTTGCAAATACTTGAAGTAAGTGAAGCTGGAAATACACAGTACATGTAGGACTTCTATCAGAGCAAACAGTCACAGCCCACGGCTGTTCGCGCACGGACATCTAACAATATGGAGTCGTTCGGTGCGATTTACGTAACGCGGTACAAACCTCATGAATACGATGGGAGTTTGCGTTTTGGGATGAAACTCATGTCACTCTCCGTGTGGTTCCACGATTTCGCAAGTCAAACCAGGATTTATTATTTGAAAGCGCTCGAGCGAGATACTCAATATCCAGACAATTTGAGAGAGAAGGAAGGTAAAAGGAACTCCTGCCGTGGTCAACCAGCATCCTGACCTTTTCGAACCTCTCCAAGCTGTCCGTGGTAGTCTGGATATTGACGCACGCACTGATTTTCAGCTTCTCCTCGCCGGGATCACGGGTGCAACTTTCAAATTTGCCGATATGCACTCGAACAAACGCACAATTGGATCTACATCACAATTTCGGGGCTATCTGTGTGCTTGCTGCCTTTTTCAGCAATACCCCACATGTCTACTGGGCAGTTTCCACCAGGCCTCGGCCTCCTGGACTCAACAGCGACTCCAGCGCCATGCCATCTGTCCCCTAAATCGCATGAAAAGGTAGCTCAGCATCGAACGCACGGGACCTGAAGTTTGTGCACGGGACGTGATAAAACTTGGTGAAGATAGCCAGAAGATAGTCCTCTACCTGGGAAAACTGAAAGCTAGACTGGGAAAACTCCTGAAAGGGCTTCTTGACGCAGGCATGTCAACGGTGAATCAAGGAACGAGCGAGAAAGAAGGCTTGACTTGTGCAACGCGGAACAAACTGTTCCTGAGACGAAGTTGGCCATGTGAGGTACCAGCGGAAAGCTAGTTTCAAGAGGAACACGGAATACCTGTTTTCCGGGTAAACCTGGCCTGGTAGCTTTCTAAATCGAGCGAAAACCACAGCGAAATCGGTTGCTGAGAATTTGAAAATTCAAATTTCCTTGCCGATCCAGCCCAATCGAGACTTTTGGCTGCCATCTTGTTAAATGTCCAAATTTCGCGAAAAAAAACAGCCGTGCAAGCCACTGACCAAAAAAACAATATTCAATCAGAGCCAGAGTTGAATCCATCGATGTAAAGTCTGACACCCCCCCCCCCCCCACACACACACACAGTAGACACGCACACAATAATTATATTATGAAGAGAGATGATAGCCACTCTCTGTCATTGTGCTTACCGGTGGTACATCGTTAGCGCACGGCTCGGTCCTGCCGCTGACGTCCCACATGCACTGAAAGGTCTCTCCGAGGATGGGATTATACGGCTTCTTCACAAGGGAGCTCTAAACATAAAAATGCAAGAGACGGGAGGTTGTTTTTGCAGCAACTTCAAGTTTTACGCACTGAACGATTATCAGACAGGATGTACGCTGGTGCATTGAGCACTCTTTTGAGCTGGCCTGGCTGGCTCTAATTGAGAGCTCTATACAGCAAGTGACAAGAGAATCTCGCAAGTATAACATACACACAACATGTACTTCAAGTTGTTGCTAAGCAGACTACAGGAGCGCTTGAAGTACATAGAGTACTACTACATGTATGCTTCATATTGATAAAACTGTGAGTGAGGAGTGGCAATACGTAACCGGCTATTAACGTACCTGTCTTCCAGCATGGAAGGCCGACACATACCAGCGGACGGTTTCCACAAATCTCTTCTGAGCATCTTCATAATCCGGAATGCTGAACGAATATTGACCACAAAAAAACGCACACACAGAAAGCACAGTGAGAAGACAAACACACAACGCTGAACGAAGACAGAGGGAAACGACTGATGAAAGTGCAGCGAACTTTGCAAGGGCAACTGTCACGCAGCCGTGGGCACCATAACATGATGGAACACTCCCCGCTGTTCTAAACCCCTCACAGGATGAGCTAAAGGAATGGACTGAGAGAAAGCCAACCACCCCACCTCAATGCCCATGAAAAAAACACACACAGTGGCACTTTCAAACCAGGCCATAGAAGTGTAGTTGTCTTGCCACTTGTTCAAGGACGTATTTACACAGCTTCTTTCATCAGCAGAAGAAACACATCACAACCGAGTATGCCTTACCTGGCAAAGAGGTCGGCATGTGCGAAGAAATCTGCATACATCTCCAACATGGATCGCTTCTCCAGGATGAACGTTGGGAGCACGACCTACAAGCGCGGGAGAGTGCAGAAGAAAAGCAAGGATGAAGCCATCAATGGGCACTCACGATTCACGAAGCAAGTGATGAAACATAATCTCACTCAGATACATGCACCGGCTGTATAGCAAGGTAGTTTGACCTAGCACTATACACAGATGCTCACCGACACACATACGCACATACACATACACACACATTCACGCACACACATGCACATACACATATGTACGTACACATATGCACGTACACACACACACACACCACACACACGCACGCACACACACACACACACACACACACACACACACACCAGAGTATAACGCAAACACCAAAGCTTCTATAAATAGACAACAGGACAGTGCACCGGCATACCTTGGTCAGGTCCATTCCAATGCGAACCTGCGAGAGCAAATGCGTGATGATGCTCTTGTTAGATTCCATGCCAGCCTCTGTATAGGTAACAGATGGAAAAACATATGGGCTGCAACATTTACATTCGAAGACACACTTGGCCGGTGGCACGCATGCATGTATACCGGTAATTAAAGTGCAGATACAATCCCCCTGCCACTGACAAAAAATCTGGCAACCGTACCAAGATTATCTTTCTCCGTCCGAATGACATCTGGCAGCAGCCGAATACCACCTGAAGCAACACAACCCGACAAAGAACAGAAGAAACACATTCCCACAAAAGAACAATACGACAAAGAACAACACCAGCTTTCTCTCACAGTACAACAAGAAGACAAAGAGCAGAAATAAAACTTCCCCAAATGATTAGAAACCATCTCAAATGAGTCCCTGTCAAAGAGATTGAACCTCTTTCGGACTCCCCGTGGAATAGTGCAAAGGAGAGCATGGGTATATTCCTAGAACAGCATACAGTGGTAATGCACAACATACAGTACTGCTCATGCCACAGTCAAGTCTGAAGCTGGTCTTTACCAGCTAACATCTTGTGTCACTCACTTACCGCCAGCAATGTATACGTCTGGACTGCTGTAGCGTGAAACATACAGACACACAAAGACACACACACCACACACACACACATGCGCGCACACAGACGTGCGCACACACACACATACACACACCACACATTGAGCAGGTTACAAACAGAAACTTCCAGCTCCAACAGAGAACAGTACTTATGGCGTACTTTGATGAACGTTCACTGCTGCTTGACTTTCTGGACAAAACCATGGGTGTGTGTGGGTGTACTGCATGTCTACATGCACACAGATCAGCTTGCTCGCTGCGCATAGACAAGCGACTGCTGTCTTCATAGGGACTGTGTCAGCTTGCCCCATAACATCAGTACGATTGTAATCTGTGAAAGTGAGATGGATATGAACGTTGTACATGTGCTAGTCTATACACATAGCAGTCACCTCATGTTTACGGATAACATCACACATGTACGATGTACATCAGGTATGACTCATACAATACCATGTAGTATGTACTATGTACTATGTACTAGTAGTCTAGTACAGGCCCCTGTATGGAATGATCCATGCACACACATAGTCAGTACACGGGCAGCAGTGCAGCACCGACGATGATATCTGACACATGTCTCCAATCACCAGTCAAGAAACACACACACACACAAGCACATACACAAGCACACCCAACACCCACACCCACACACACACATGATAGCTTCGCTCAGTTCACTCTCAGAACTGACCTGAAGCTGCCCTGTAAAGGCTGTTCCTCCGCTGCAGCCGCTGGCGCTTCGGGTTTGCTCTCAGGCTCTTCATCGGACATATCCTCAGCGTCAAAGAACTCATCGTCACTGTCGCTCTCACTATCATCATCTAGTGTTTGCTCCTGGCTATCAGCTGCCCTGCCAGACTCAGGTGAATCTATGTACACACACACACACGCACGCACGCACGCACGCACACGCACACACACACACACACACACACACACACACACAAGAAAGGTTCCTGAAAGGTGATTGCTAATGAATTCACAAGATGCCAAAGTGATGGTCCACACGTGTAGCTATTAGACCAGACTAAGAGTAACAATGACAAGCTGCAGCAGATAAGGTTGGTCACGTAAAGAGAGAGAGAGAGAGAGAGAGAGAGAGAGAGAGAGAGAGAGAGAGAGAGAGAGAGAGAGAGAGAGAGAGAGAGAGAGAGAGAGAGAGAGAGAGAGAGAGCGAGAGAGACACACACACACACACACACGTACACACACACACACACAGCTGCAGATACATACAAGCCATACCTGGAGCTTGCGCAGCTGCAACTGGTACCTCTTCGCCAGCAGTTGGAATAGTGGCAACGTCAGCAACGATAGTACTTGAACTCTCCACTGCTGTCGCTGGGCGGCACACCAGAATGTTTGCATCCTCTGTACCAGGAACGACAGGCGCAACTGGAGGATAGTTGGCCGCGTTCACCCCATTGCCGAATTCCAGGCTCTTGAGCTGTGTCTTGACTTCCTGCATCATATCCAGGCACTGTCGGATAGTGTCGACGAGTGCGCGCGATGTGTCCAGCACGCCCTTACACTCGGCGGATTCCGTAGCCGTGTTTGTGCCGGTCACCTGCATCTCCAGCTTGACAACCTGCTGATCCAGCAGTCGGTGATAACCCTCCGCCTCGCAGAACTCAGACTCCAACTTCTCTTGCCAAGGCGCTGCTGAGTTTTCCGAGACGACAGAAACACTGCTCGCTACTCCCTGGCAGGGGAATTGAAGCAGGGGAAAAAAGTGACATGTGTGAAAATATTAGCCATGCTTGTACCAAAACCAGTTATGCCGGCACAGCCACTATTTCAGGAGATCAATCTTCTCGAGTAGACCTACTACTAGTATTCAGGAATGTAACTACCATGGCTACGGGCACCAGCAGGTTGGGACCGGGCACTGCCTGTAACTAGGAATGGCCCAGAACTCACAAGTTGCAACATACATACTTAGTGCATGCAAGTACTAGTGGACACGTTGTGGTACTTTTTCATTGAAAAGCCAATTCTTATGACTCTGGGGTGAGCGAGGTGCCCGGATTTGGGGAGTTGTAGTGTAACCATGAAGGATCTACCGGTTACAAAGTAGGGGTATCAACGAGTAGTAGGGTACCCGTGCTACCCATAATTTGATCGGGCAGTAGGGTAGCAATTTGCTCCCGAGTACCCGATCAGGTAGTTGGAGTACGGTATGTTTGCAACGGTGCATGTAAACAACACGGCTACATGCTTACTGTACACTTTCTATGTCGCGCAAGTGCACACTCACAGTACAAACTGTGTCAAGAAATTATCCGATAGGGTACCCGTACTACCCGGATAAAAATACCCAGACCCGTTACCCGACCAAACCCCTACCCGTTGCAGCCCTAAAACAAAGTACGTCGCAACTGCTACACCGCCAGTTCATTGCCACAGTAGTGTTGGCGGTGGTGTATGCTTGTGCATGAAAACGGCAGATGCTGGGCTCAGCAATGACGTCGGTGCAGGCACAGTATACAATCGATTGTTGCTCAAACTGTCAACCTGCTAGCTTATAGTATCCCCGATGGATACTGGAGAATAGCCAGCAAGAATCAGTGAAGAGAGCCCGGATAGAGCAGGAAGCAGAGATCATGGCAGCCGCACCCGAGTTTGAGAAGCAGAATAGGCTGTTCTTTTTCTCTACAAAATCCACATTATCTCCAGACACTGGGGTGAAGAATGGAGTGTGGTGGTGGGGGACCGTGGGGCCCATTAAGCTCAGCTGACCAGAGGTCTCGGCTTCATAGCTCCATGAACGCACCAAAACACTCCATTATTCACACCAGTATCTGGAGATCACATGGATTTTGTAGAAAAAAAAGAAAGAAAAAACCTCTCTACTGCTGCTTTAGACAGCACCCAGCATGGAAGAGTCTTGGCAAGACAGAACAGCGGCTGCTGCAGCATGTCATGACCCACCAGTACAAGACGCGCAGGCAGCGACTATAGCAGAGTCCATCAGAAAGAGCTATGTGTGCCGTGCCAACGAGACTGCAGCCAACAATGGCAATACATGGTACTTGCATTTTCCGATTGCCAAGCCGGACAAGGCTGCAACGAAATTCCGCATTGTCTTCAATGCAGCAGCCAAGTCAGAAAGCAAGTTCTTTGTTTGCATTTTTGCTGCTAAAAATCAGTGGTCTCTTTGCGTGTTGATTCAGTGTTGATTAGTTTTGATGAATTTGTGGGCACAACTAGTGTGCAATGCACTCACCGTAGCCGATGTTGGCCTGTTGATAACAGCTTGAAGTGACTGGAGCCAACGGTCACGCTCATCTGAGTCGCGAGCTACAGGCAATGGAAAAGAGAGGGGATACGCCATGATGTATTACAGTGTGTGCTGTGCTTAGACAGGGCTTGCTAGGGCAGCAGTGGCTACAATTCAGAGAAACAACATGTTCCAGTTCTGGTAGTGCAAGGCTCTACGCCTGAAATGTCCAACTGCCATACTCTCAGAGTGGCAGCTTGCAGAGGAGGCTCACCTTCAAAGTGGTACGTCTTGTTGTCAGCAGTGCTCAGCGTGAACGTGCTGTCATCCTGGTCATTGATACCAACAATAGCATTCTGCTCCAGCAGCAAGGCAGACATGTACAAGCACGCAGGCAGGCAAGCAACGCATGTGCATAGACACATAGCAGAGGTGATGAACTCAGCTACAGATGTAAGCCAGGGCTCATGTTTTACTATTACATTGTACCTACACACAGTCATGTTCATTAGTTGAGGGTGCACAAATGTACACATACTAGTCTTTAAGCACCACATGCAAGCACACTTGATACGAAAGAATAGAGAGGTTAAGATGCACGTTATCTCTGACGTGACGCGCAATTTCACCTCAAAGCTGGCGTAAAACTCCTAATTTTTGACATGAGCTGCAGGTCACTCGCATTGTTTTCCAACGCGCGAGCCAAATAATGCGAGCTGAACTTTCGCGTCATGTCAAAAGTAACGTGCAGCTAAAGATCTCTAATAATCATGATAAAGGTCTTACAAGACCAAATGGTTGCTGAAACCAGGTGGTCTCTTGACCAGGTTTCAGCTGTACACAAATATTCATAACTGCACTATCAAGCAAGGACTTTGACTCTATACCATGCAGAACGGATCAATACACTGCGTCATGACTCGGCTGTTTCAATAAACCAATGAAAGTGTTATTGAGAACTTACGGACAGTTGCATGCAACCACGTCGAGATCCTCTGGCCATCTTTGATTTTGACTATAATTATAAAGAGAACATGAAAAAAAGTGCAGTAATGGATAGGCGTGAGTGCAGTAATGGAAATTGAAGTGCTCTCTGCACAACCGTCCACTGGTAATGACTGACAGTAATATTGAATACAGTAGTTCACAATGCCATCCTGGGCACATTGCATGCTCCACTCGTCCTGTTGTCTTCGTTTGTCGCGTTAGTTCTTTCCAAATTTTGAATTTTGTTTATCGTATCTCTCTCTCTTTCTCTGTTTCCCCCGTCCCCGGTCCACATCCTCTCTTTCCCCTGTATCATGTCCCTCGGTCTATTTTCCTCGTTCGTGGATGCTGCATGATGTAGTCTTCTGCCACCTTCTGTTATACATGTATATTACTCGTGTTTGGTCTGTTCTGTTCCTTCATTTTGTCCTTCATCGTTACTTTCCTGTTTTTGTTTTTGTTTGTTTTTTTGCTCTTTTGTGTTTTTGTTTTTGTTTTGTTCTCCCCCTCCCTCATTTTTGTACGGACACGTGGCACAGTTTGGCACAAGCGAGGTGGGCAAACCCGCCCACTACGCGGACGTGCTCATAATAATAATAATAATAAAATAATACTCTGCACTCACTGTGTAATAGGAGAGTAATCCTTGATTTGCATCCAGGACAAACCAGCGATACTGCCAGCCCTTCATGACATTGGTCCATTTGGACAAGGGTCCTTCGTTGATCAGCGCCATCCCGCTCCAATTCCCTCACAGGGAAGGCGCTATCTGCAAATATCACTCCAGAAGTCCTATCACAAACTGAACACCTTTTTGAATAAAAGAATCGATTGTCAAGAGTTGTTTTGCAAGAACTGTAATCTGTAGCTACGTAGACGTCTACGTGTCTGCTGTGTCTACTGACGTGACGTACAAGAACTGCGTGCATGCACGTAGCTAGCTAGCTAGATCTACCGCGCGTACCGTAGCATACGAGATCTACCGTACCGGGCGGCGCCACACGGCCTGCGGCGCCGCGCCGGCTTACTGATCATGAGTCATTCTGAGTGCGGATGACGTCACGTCAATCGTTGTCGTGTAAACTAACTTACTTATTCAGTCCATGCGCCAAGGGCCAAAAATCACCCGAATCTTTATGCAAAATGAAGATGACGACGCCGCTTTTTTCGACTTTTTCTGTGACCAATTTTGAGCAGAATCACCATTTTGATCGTCTTCGATTTGGCATGGAAGACTTTCATGAATGCTGTTTTAACTTGGCCTGCTGAGGGCTAGGATAGTCCCTAAACAAAATCTGGAAGCCGGAACGCCAGAGATTTTTCCGTCATGTTGCAGGAGAGCCACTTTTCTCAATTTTGCGTCCTCCAGAATTTATGATTTTTGGATGCCGAAATACTTGATGGCGTGAGAACCAAAAAAGAACTACCGGACACCGCCCAGACCTCAGGTATGTATAGTCCATTGTCCTAGGCCGCTCATAAAGCAAAAATTGTCTTGATAGTAACTTGCCCAAAAATTTGGCGAATTTTTCCTAATACCCTAGTTGCCAATGCACGAGAACCACGAAAACTAGTATGGCTGATGGATTTCTGATTTTCTTCTCGTAAACTTGAGAACAATTATCTACGATGTTACAAATATTAATAGGTGTTTTGAATGTGAACAGATACACTTCAAAAGGCTGATCGCGTTCTCAGATCAGGTGCAAACGAGGGTCAATATTGTAGTTCAGAGCGATGTCCATTGAGGCACTTCACCCGATTTCGCAGTTCATGCATGGTAGTCATGGGAATGTGTGTAGAATTAAATAAGTATGTATGTACTCTTATTTACTCCATAGACAAAGACATATTCTGGAGTCTCATGGTGTTTGGCAGGCGCAATTATTACCTTCATTGTTTCTCGGTGAATTAACTCACTCCACCATTCCACACTGCACTCTTAGCCGGCCCACGCCGCTTGCACATCACCAACACAACGGGGACATTCCTGCCCCATAAGCCAAGAAAAAAAAGGACAGCATTACAGTGAACAGACCCTGACAAGAGGACCATATCGTAATGGCCCATGCGCATACACACGCTTTTGCCGTATTTGTAACTTTTGCAGGTCGATTGGTCTCACATAGAGGTGTGCGCATGTGCTTGTAGTTGTGTTACCAGTATGAAATGTGGAAGCTGTGCATTAAACCCTGTAAAAATGGCATAATTATGGTGGTATCAGCGTGTCGTGGCCCGTGGGATTGGGTTGACCTATGAAGTACAAGTAGGGCTGAAACGATTATACCGATTACTCGGTCATTGATCAATAATTCCTCACAATCAACTTCATAATCGTTACATTATAGATTACTCGTTAGGGATGTTAAGTTCAAAACGTACTGGAAACCCCGTTTTGTGAAGTAATAGTTTGAATTAGTTTCCACCGTGAGTATGCAGTTGCCAGGGGTATGGCTTATGTTCTGAGGTTCAATTGCTTTCAGAATACATTGTAGTAGTTTACATGTATACTAGTCACGATGCTTATGACTTGGTGTGGATTTTCATTTTGTTTTTGTCCATGCAGGAGTCAGGATTATGCCGTCTACTGAATATTGTCGCATGCGTTCATAGAGCAAGCTGGCTGCTCTCCATCTTGATTATGGACCTCAAGTGTGGGCCCAACTGGTCAGAGAAATGAAGGAACAATCGTCATGGTGTACTCTCAGGCCAAGGATATGCCTTGTGAAATGGGCCATATGCAGTGACTAGAGGGATTGTCTCGTTCTTTTTCAAGCTGTTCGGTCACAGGCAATACTGTCACATCCCATGCACGGCTGAACTGGTTAAGAGTACGTGCACACTCGTGGTGTCCCTTGCCGAGGAACGTGGTCGAGCGTTTCGAACACAGCACGCTGACCATTTACAGCTCGTTTGTAGTGGGTTGTGTAAGTTTGGTCTGGTGGGATTCGTAGCCGTGTTTGAACAAGCCACTGGAGACAGATTTTCAGTGCCTCTGTCTTGGTTGAGGTTTTTCCAATCATATTCTGTGCACATATGGGTATCCAAGTGCCTATCGAGTATCATGGTCATGGTCACTGCATACAGATCCAGGTGGCTCTCGACAACAGTCTTCTGTTTGATGGCCAGGCCTGGTGATGTTGTCTTAATTTGGTCACTCTATCTTATGCCGACATTCAGTGTGTAAATGCTGGTGCTGGCTAGACTGTGAAGTATGGGGAATGACACAAGTGCTTTTCTCAAGATGCTCGTGTAGAATTCATTCCCTTTGACCGAAAGCTTGTGTTCCCGGATCCTGTTTGTAGCTGTACACAATTTCTCCGTTCTTCCAAGTTGTGGTTAACTTTCGCCTCTGACTATCCCTAACCATCATCTCATTGGTGCGTCTGTCCATGACGTGGCTGGCTGGCATCGGAGTTGGGCACCGCCCTGTCATCCACTGGCATAGTGTTAAACCTAACTGACTTGTATGTCACATACTAGCTGGAAGTTGTTTAAAGGGTTCGGTTTCAGTCTTGTTTTTATAGTAGCTTTACCATTCCTATTACTTAGCTATTTCCTTTACTCGGCCTTAGGACACTTTCTTTACCATACACTGTGTTTCTTTGGCCGTAAAAGAGGCAGTCTGCACTTGTATTGAGTTTCCTCATTGTGAAGGAGATGGAAAAGAAAGCACACATATAGCACTTCCTGCCTGTGTCTCAGCTATAAGCACTTTTAGCTGCTACCATGTGGTTGATTGAAACCAGGGTGTGCCAGATTATTGATCAAGAATGCATGCTGCAGCTCGGCTGTTTTGTTCCTTTTCTTATGTAGATCTACAGTGAAGGAATCGAAATCGCACGTAACGTGCAATGTGTTTGCAAGTGAAATAATGTAAAGTCCCCCCCCCCCCCCCCCCCCGGAATACCTGCGCTCGAATGTACTATCATGTGGTCCATGTGCATAGTCGTGATAATTAAATTGGTTCAGCGCTGTATTCCGGTGTATGTGCTCAAGTTGTTTACAGGTAGAAATTGACGGGGGGCACACCAAGTTCTTTACATTACATGTACACGTACAGTAGAGCCACGTCAAAGGGGAAGTTAAGCCTAAAATCAAAATGTTCACCAGTTGTAGTCTTCGGGGTGCTGAGTCGAATGGTCTTGGTCCGAGGAAGCTGAGACGCTCCCTTCCTTCTTTATTCCCAATCGAACTCGCGCACTTCCACCAAAACTGGGTGACTGCGCCCTACTAGATGGGGATTTGTATGCAAAATGTCACTAAAAGCGCCATTTCGTTCTTATAAAAGCACGACGGACCGTGATTGGCTCATATGTTGTAGTCTTTTGGATGCTGAGTCGACTGGTTTTGGTCCGAAAAGGCTGCGATGCAGCGTTCCTCCTTTATTCCCAATCGAACATGGCTGAACAAGTGGTCACGTGCTCGTGCGTACACCAGTCACCTGGTCACCATGCCTGCAGGCTACAACTTACAGCATGTTTGAGCGAGTTTCTGTCACTCGAGTTGAACCTTTGAGTTGAACCTTGGTGTGAAAATTGTTGCCTGCTGGCGCGGTGACCAGGTGACTGGTGTACGCACAAGCACGTGACCGCTTGTTCAGCCATGTTCGATTGGGGTATAAAGGAGGAACGCTACATCGCTGCCTTCGGACCAAAACCAGTCTACAACATATGGGCCAATCACGGTCCGTCGTGCTTTTATAAGAACGAAATGGCGCTTTTAGTGACATTTCGCATACAAATCCCCATCTAGTAGGGCGCAGTCACCCAGTTTCGGTGGAAGTGCGCGAGTTCGATTGGGAATAAAGGAGGAAGGGAGCGTCTGAGCTTCCTCGGACCAAGACCATTGGACTCAGCACCTCGAAGACTACAACTGGTGAAAATTTGATTTTAGGCTTAAAGGGGAAGTATACCCTAAAATCAAATTTTCACCAGTTGTAGTCTTCGGGGTGCTGAGTCGAATGGTCTTGGTCCGAGGACACTGAGACACTCTTTTCCTCCTTTATTCCCAATCGAACTCGCGCACTTCCACCGAAACTGGGTGCCTGCGCCCTACTAGATAGGGATTTGTATGGAACAAGTCACTAAAAACGCCGTTTTGTTCTTATAAAAGCACGGATGACCACAGTTGGTCCATATGTTGTAGTATTTTGGCCGCTGAGTCGACTGGTTTTGGTCCAGAAAGGCTGCGATGCAGCGTTTGGCCCTTATTCCCAATCGAACACGGTTGAGTAAGCGGTCACGTGGTCATGCGTACACCAGCCGCCTGGTCACCGTGCCTGGAGGCTACAATTTTCACATCAAGGTTCAACTCAAAGGTTCAAAGCAGGGAGTCGTAAGAGGCTTTTGCGACTCCCTGGTTCAAAGGTTCAACTCGAGTGACATAAACGGGCCCAAACAGGCTGTAAGTGAGCACGTGACCGCTTACTCAACCGTGTTCGATTGGGAATAAGGGCCGAACGCTGCATCGCAGCCTTTTCGGACCAAAACCAGTCGACTCAGCGGCCAAAAGACTACAGCATATGGACCAATCGCGGTCATCCGCACCTTTATAAGAACGAAACGGCGTTTTTAGTGATTTTTCCATACAAATCCCTATCTAGTAGGGCGCAGTCACCCAGTTTCGGTGGAAGTGCGCGAGTTCGATTGGGAATAAAGGAGGAAGGGAGTGTCTCAGCTTCCTCGGGCCAAGAACCATTCGACTCAGCACCCCGGAGACTACAACTGGTGAAAATTTGATTTTAGGGTATACTTCCCCTTTAAAGAACACGCAGCCTGAAATACTAATAATTAAAAGAACGCCAGAAACCAAAGCTGAGAATGGGGCATATCATTTTCTACCGTTGTATAATTCAGCTTTTGTTATACATGTACACGTGTTATAAAGTGCACACTCCAGTACAATAAGAGTCTAAGAATGTGCTAAAACTCAGAACGCACCCATATTGCTAAAACAATGACTCAACTGCAGTTCTTTGCGCACAGATCATACTAAGAGTCCATCACACATTTCCCTTGGGGTTGTGGACTCTTGGATCATATTCCCATTGACATTCACAATGACGGTTTAAGACCTTTGCACTTCACCGAGAATTGAAACCTACTTCAAGCTGTCCTGAGAGTACATTACAACTTTCAGTTTCGCACGAATCTTACAAGAGAAGGTCATGAGTAATATAACATGATTGCAAACCCGAAGAACACGCCAATGCTTCATAAACAACATACAGGCTGTTGGCTAGGCCATTTTTTAAGGGACCAAAAAATGACATTGAAATTACGGTCTGCAGACCCTGGTTAGAACTTTGTCATTTGAACGAAGATGATGTGGGCTTCTATCTCAGGCCCCTCAAGAGTGAATACGGGTGCTGGTGCGTTTCTTTGCCATGTAATACGTCTCCCACTGGTGACAACAGACAATGCATTGGTTTTGTTTTGTTCCAAACCGAGGAGGCCACCACGACCCCATCAAGAACCGGACACCGATGAACGCTTCTGGAAGTGTTTCTACATCGGTAGAGAGTCAAAGGAAAGCATCGATGTCTACATACTATCTTGCCCAAAAATTTGGCGAATTTTTCTTTGCCACTTGCCTGATTTTTACGAATATTTGACAGCTCCCACAAGAACACTCCCAGCGACGTCGAGACAATGAGTAACGACCACTACAACTGACATCCATAAGGTCAAAGGCCCAATCAAGGTGTCCGGAAAGCAAAACTTCCGCAAACAAGCACTGATGGAGAGAAAATTGCACACGACTCGAGACATCTAACATTTTCTTGACAATTTTTCGACGAAGATTTGAATATACTCAGCTCGGAAAAGTGGCTAATCTGCATAAAAAAGTACAACTTTTAGACGACTTTTTCGGTCTTGGCGCATGGACTGTATTATAATTATACTTATGCGTGCAATGCTGCAATGACAGATGACCTGTATACTGTATTACATGACACTCACATGCTCATGAGTCATGCAACGGCATACATGTACTTGTACCGGTACCAGGTCCAGTACCGGTATGCAGTCCACGTTGTACAGTGTGTAGCCAAGGGAGTCGTACAAACACACAACTCCGGGACCCTGGTTGTAGTAACTTGTACTTGGAGCCCGCAACCATAAACCGATTCGGCGGTTAGCAGAGCCCCCGTCGGCCATCGGACCTGTACTCTTGCATAGCCCCGATGGCACACATAACTTACATGATTGCATGTACTCTTCACTTGCATAAGCGGTCTTCGCCGTGCAGGGTTTTAGCCAGCGTGGATTTGCAGCTCGGGCAAACGCAAGAGTCCATAATCCCCCATTATACCGTGAACTCTTGCGAGCCTTCGAGATAAAACTTCGGAGTTTTTCATTCGCGTTACACCAGTATCTATAGGAGGTTTCGCTTGTGCCAACGACTCGCGTAGATCTGACGAGACGGCTGCCTGGCTGTCCATTGATTCAGTCCTGTCCACTGACTGGTCCAGGATGCCGGACCCCACTGACGGGGAACTTCGGAGGGGTGGGCCTGGTGAAAGACGGGGAAGAGAAGGAGAGGAGCTAGGAGGCCCTTGAAGGCGATGATAACGATGAGGAGGCGGACGGCGATGTCGAGACTGAGGGTAAGGAGAAGGAGGAGAAAGGAGAGGAGGAGGAGGAGGAGGAGGAGGAGGAGGAGGAGGAGACTAACTAACTAAACCACACCGGTAGTCATGCACTAAGTTACAGTTCAGAATCACACACCCGGCTCACAAAGGAAAGGGCAATGAACCGTAACAAGAACATATACGGGCCAGGTACTGAAATCAGAATTGGGGTTGCACAATGTAACAAAAAGAGTTTATCATGTAGGTGGCAGCGCGGACAGGGTTTCTCCAACCTTTAAAGGGGAAGTTAAGGCAAAAATTAAAATTTCACCAGTTGTAGTCTTCGGGGTGCTGAGTCGAATGGTCGTGGTCCGAGGAAGCTGAGACGCTCCCTTCCTACTTGAATCCCAATCGAACTCGCGCACTTCCACCGAAACTGGGTGACTGCGCCCTACTAGATGGGGATTTGTATGCAAAATGTCACTAAAAGCGCCATTTCGTTCTTATAAAAGCACGGATGACCGCGATTGGCCCATATGTTGTAGTCTTTTGGACGCTGAGTCGACTGGTTTTGGCCCGAAAAGGCTGCGATGCGGCGTTCCTCCTTTATTCCCAATCGAACATGGTTGAAGAAGCGGTCACGTGCTCCTGCGTACACCAGTCACCTGGTCACCGTGCCTGCAGGGTACAACTTACTAGCCTGTTTGACCTTTTTTGGGTGCAGTCCTGTCACTCGAGTTGAACTCGAGTTGAACCTTGGTGTGAAAGTTGTCACCTGCTGGCGTGGTGACCAGGTGATTTGGGCACCCAGGAGCACGTGACCGCTTCTTCAACCATGTTCGATTGGGAATAAAGGAGGAACGCTGCATCACAGCCTTTTCGGACCAAAACCAGTCGACTCAGCGTCCAAAAGACTACAACATATGGGCCAATCGCGGTCATCCGTGCTTTTATAAGAACGAAATGGCGCTTTTAGTGACATTTTGCATACAAATCCCCATCTAGTAGGGCGCAGTCACCCAGTTTCGGTGGAAGTGCGCGAGTTCGATTGGGATTCAAGTAGGAAGGGAGCGTCTCAGCTTCCTCGGACCAAGACCATTCGACTCAGCACCCCGAAGACTACAACTGATGAAATTTTAATTTTTGCCTTAACTTCCCCTTTAAGTGACGGGTCGTATACGACCTTGCACGCAGCACTACATGCACCGGTGCAAGGAAAGAAAAGAAAGACTCAGTTATCTCTGAACGTGGGCCACAGCTTTTTCCAGAGTTTACCGCTTATGGACGCTAAGCATTATATACAGAGGAACCGCTTGTAATTCAGTGTGGGTGCCATGTATACAGAGTGAGTGGCTAGTGCATCTCTGGTGCGTACTGTGCCACGACTTCGCCAACGCATCTCAACTGATGACGTAATCGCATAACCTCTACTATACTTTCAATATGCGGCGACTGCGAGTAGATGCACCGGTCAGTCTTAGTCACAGCCTGGTCATTTGCTAATACATAGCACATACGGGTATGCCGTGTACATGTAATTGTTTATGAACTGGCATGCATGTAGTATAGAGATTAGATATACAGATTGAAACCATTTTACAACTGTGGCTTGCAAGCAGCTCACTGCATCAATGCAGATCATGCTCAATATAAATAATTCAAAGTATAATTTTTCGGAAGTATAATCTACATGTACCACCTACGTGCACTAAGTTACCTGGATCTGAGAACAATGCGAGTGCCTCCCAAAGAAGAATGGCTGCTGCCAAGTACTGCATTGCATGTCGCAAATCGCAAGCGTAAGAGATCAGTGCATGGAGTGCGCAGCGGGAGATATCATTGTTGGGGGCTGGCAGCTGCACGGCACCACTGTATGTCCAGGGGCAGTGCTCAGCGGGCACGCACGACTGATACGTTGAATGACTTATATGTAGCGATTACCAAGGGCCCAGAGTCTAGCTTGGTTGCGAATATCAACGATACGTGTATAGAGTGATTTCCGAGTAAATAAAACAGCCTGATAGTCGTAAAGGCAGCTAACCTGGCATGGTGAAGCGTGTATGTAGCATGTGGGCGACGCTGAGAACTGGAGCCATGCCGCTGGATAGTCACAATGGTGTCTCCATGGTACTGGCCATTCAGTTCCGACAGGCCAGTATTCTGGTATTTTGACTGTGCTGACTAAGAAAATGTCTGACTACTTCACAGGTTGGTGGCCAAGTTGAACTTGGCTGGGCTGACATACTCATCGGGAATCTCCTCTCGCAAGCGTTCAGAATTGTCATGAGCCTCCAGGATTTGCTGCTTGGCCACCACGGCTGGATCCAGAGTGCCATAGCCTGCAGGTGTATGGCGCCCGCTCGTGTCCGGTGGGCTAGGCATCAGGTTGCGTTGGGTGGTTGCCGCAGCAGCAGTGCTCCCGCCTTGCATGTCCACATATGGACTGTTGAGACCAATTAGGTCGGCCTGATCCAGCTTGGTGTTGTTGGTAGGCGGGATAGTGGAGTACGGTGACTCCTGGGCAGTGTCACGTCTCGTCGTGTTGTTGTGGATCGCGTAGGGCTCTTCCGTTTCCGCGTGGATCACCTGGTTATTGGAGAAGTACTGGATCTGTGAGCCGTCAGTCTGCAGTTTTGCCTTGCGCTTGCGATAGCGATACACCAGCAGGGCAACGAAGACGAGAAGCAGAATGGCAAGTAGCGCAACTGTTATCCCTACACCCGTCGCTACTGAGCCAGAGGAGCTGGCACGCTTCAGAGTGGGGTCGGCAGATGAATTGCCAGTATCTGCCAACACATGAAAGAACCAAAGCAAAGAACAGTACGTAGTCAGTAGCTGATCCAGGATTGACCGAATAGGCGGGGGGGGGGGGGGGGGAGAGGGGGGGGGGGGCATAAATATAATGACATGATGGTCCCAAAAGGATGCACCCACACCAAGTTCAATAATGCCAATAAGCTATGTCATTGCTGTAACGGGCAGGTGTACATCATACTGCATGGAGTAAGATTTACCGTGCGCTACGACTATGCAGTCACTGGGATGTATCGTCCTGTACCATCACTACTCCCCTGGCAAACCACGGTCCAAATTTCAAGGGTAAGAACTCGGAGCCCTCTCTGAATCCATCCTACACTGGCGATCAGTCAAGGCACATCCAGGTGTGATGATGTTTCGTATCCAACCAGCATGGTCAGCATTGAATGTCCCTGGAACTGATCCAGGCCGGGACGGGGGCGAGTTCTCTATAATGCACAAAAACTGCTTCGAAGTGGCATTGCTCCTCTCCCCTGCTATCAGTGCCGAAGTCAGAATTGGGACACCCTAGTACATGGTGCCCGTGTGCTCTCTGCGTGGGCCCACGCCTTTGGTGCTAGGTCTTACACATACAAAATACTCTCATGTATCCGCACTTCATGTACCCGCACTTCAGTTGTCCAAATTTGCAACGAGCACATAGTAGTTTATCGCATTGAATGCAGCATTTAGGGCATTTGCCACACTGAACGTTTCTAGAGTGTTGCCGATATACATGTAGTAATTCATGGATTTCACTTATGCAGCTGTACACCCGGTTTCAGGTATACGAGCTTCTTTTGTAGACCCTTGGGTAAAGGAGGGGGACAGGCGAGGGACTGCATTGCCTAGGTCAATTTGGCAATGTGGAAGCCACCGAGTCTACCGCGGGGGTTTGGTCAGGTCCACCCCTGGCTCTCGCTTTGTGCCTTGCTTTCTTCCTAACTTCAGTCTGCCATGATTCCACATATGAACTAACCTTTCACAGTACACAGGTGTCCGGAGAAGCCTTCCACACAATAGCAGTGACCACTGGTGGGATCACAGTCCGATGACATTGTGTTCTCTCTGCCATCACAGTCACACTTCTGTGAACATTTCTCGCCGAACGTTCCTGGCAGGCATGCTACATGTGTGAGAGAAGCACAGCAATGCAGAACAACTCATGATACTTGCAACACTCTCTTGAATCATTGCAGATCGATATCAGGATAAAAATGTAAGTGCAGAAAATACAGGATGATTTCTGGGGGAACATTTTGAACAAGGTACAACTCAACACCACTGTTTGCGGAATCCCAGTGTTCACATGGTGTAACCATATCCACAGGGAACTTGAAGAGCTACACTCACCCATAGACACAGGCCACGGCAATACCCGACGCGGGTATCCCTTGCCTTGCCGAAGCAGCATTGTCCACATGCAAGTTCTCATCAAATTGCTCTCACAGGCGTACTCTAGCAGCTGGGAATTTTATATTAGGACGGGGAATAAAGCGGGATTCACAGAAGCTTTTTTGCGATGCGACACGCGATGCGACAGGCGCGAAACCGGGAAAACCCCAAATCGCAGCCATGTCGCACCCCACGCAACTGCCGCAACTGGGCCATCGCAGAAGTTGAGCTTGGCTCAACTTTTGCGATGCGATGCGATGCGACAAGCGATTTGGCGTACGATTTTGACCTTTTCTACAGCAAAGTTGTACAAAGGTGCAAGAGTTGCCTATAAATTTGTACAGGTTGTACCAAACCGCGCGAATATCATGGTGACGTACCCAAATCAGCAAGACTTTGCAAAAATTTGTCGCATCGCTGACTTCTTCTGTGAATGGTATTTCGCGAGTTCGCATCGCACGCGTCCGTCGCAGATTGCGTCGCATCGCGTGTCGCATCGCAAAAAAGCTTCTGTGAATCCCGCTTTACACACACCCACCTTTTGACCTTTGACCTTTGACCTTTTGACACACACACACACTGTTGCATTATTATGTTACCTTGTCGGCAGAGATGGACAGGAGACATTCCGTCAATGCAGTTACACTGTCCTGTCACATGATTACACGAACCACTGTTGAATGCTGGATCACAGTCAGGACACTTGCCAAGACAGCCATCACCATAGTAACCGCTAGGACACTCTGAGAATCCAAAGGACAGCAAATACAGAGATACACGGATCATAGTGGCCGGCAAGCTGACTCATTACAACTAGGGATGCAACAAACAAATGCATTACTCGAACATGTTTGATCCAACAATATTTCCAGATAAATTGAAGAGGGTATTTCAAATTCAACAGTTTCTCGGCAACAGTCCTTTTTAATTTTTAGCATATCATAGTACTCAAGTATTTATTTTATTTTATAGTACGCAATATCCATGGTACAACTGTAAAACAGAAGTTCACAGCACATGCACTCATCATGTAGTCATGCTAGCTTCACTGAATGATACGTACTTGATTGACATGTATCGCCGATGTAACCAGGTGTGCACAGGCATTGTCCAGTCTCGTGGTGACATGTTCCGTTGTTGTCACATGCACAGCTGCTTGCACAGCCCGGTGGAGACCAGCTGCCATCCTCGCATGGACTATTACAATGGACTCCTGTGACAGGAAACAACAGTTGTGTGATAATTATTATCGTTTTATGTGATATAGAAGATTCTTGACAAGGAAATGGAATGGAAATCAGCGCTGTGCACACTACACTGTCTTGCGACAGGTGCACTGCTGAGTGTTTGCACGGGGCTTGCATAGGATTGACAACAGTAACTATGTCTACAGACACTATGTATTTTGTCAGAACATCTTGCCGCATACTTGCATACTCATATCTCTCTTATCTGGATCTCGATGTCACGGGCACCTCGGCCTATCGGGCAACCTGTCGGTGAGTTGCAGTGGAAAATTTACTACTCCTTTGCCATTTCTGTGGAGATAGTGATTCCATATGCCAGACCTCTCGCCTTTTCCATTGAAACATACGCGATTCGGAGTTACAGACTTTTCAAAGTTACGGGCAGTGCCCGGTCCCGCGCTGCCTGGATAAGCAAGATACGAGTCTATTATAGTCTTGGCGCTAGTGTGCTTTTCTGATGCTATCCTATGCAGCAAACTATAGATCAAGTACCAAGCTCAGCCAACCAAGGGTTTCCTATGTGACTACAGCCATGTGCAACGCAACTGAGAACCGTTCCGAGACTCGTACATTCATGCATACATCATTGACATGCAGAGACAATTGAGATCAGAGTTACTTCAACAGGTGTCAGTTCGGACAACACTTTAAAAGTGGCTTTTGCCATGCAACTGTCGCCTGTACTAGAACCACTAAGTAGCAGGTGGTGTGTGATGGGAGCAGGAACGTCGGAAGGAATTTTAGTGTGGTACAGTCAGCAATTTAAAGTGCAATTTACTCGTGTGGGAGGGGTGGCATAGCCGAAAATTTTGGAAATTTAGATCCCAGATCAGTGTATTTTATTGATTCACGGGGTACCTGGGGCAAAAAGTGGTACGGTCAATACCGTAGTGACCTGGGGAGCCATGGAAAAGGTCAAGCTTGCTGCCTGTGATATGATGCAAGTTTTTCAGTGGATACAAATAGGTGACTATAATTATTATGGGTTTATGGCTAGCAGCTGGTCATGTTGGCAATGACATACACATGGTAAACGTTTTGGAGCTCTATGCCACGTGGCCTAATGCCGAACGCAGACTCTTACTTCAAAGTACCTTTGAGATTGGTCTTCTCCGGACATGTGCATTCACCGTTGGACGCATCACAGTCACTTCCCTTCTGACACTGGCATGTGTGTTGGCAGTCAATACCCCATGTCTACAAGAACCAAAATAATACAATGCATGGACACAAATAAAATAAAAAAGTTGAATGCAATTCATTTTGTCTAGTCATTGGAATTTTCGCGCAGATAACAAATCATTGCAAGCCAAATGGGTTACACGTGGAGTACTAAGTCTTATAGAGCGTCACGGTATAGGTTGGACTGTTGAACGCTGGGCCCCGTACCACAGCCGTGCTCTGAGAAAACGGGAAATAAATTGCCAGCACCCTGCACCATTACACAGCCCAGTGTCCATACTGCAGGAGCTACAGTGCGACCAGTGATAGCTAGTCATGTGATTGCTGGTCATGTGCTTGAATTCCATTGAGCTCAGCATGACAGGGGTCTTCAATAAAGTAACCGAGAAATGCACAAGTCACTGATGCGGGCACACAACTATAGCGTATCAAAGACTACTGTCACTCCCTGGACACCGGATGGAGTCAAGGATGCGGTGGGGGGAGATACAAAACAAGGCATTTGAATAGTGACACTTTTGTATAGCACCACCGTGCACAGTGGGGTCAATCAATCAATACAGCGTACCATTTGGGAACAGGTAGTATTGCAGAACGTTCCAGTGACACCAGGTATCCAGCACTTGCATTCTCCGGTCGATCGGTCACACGTTGACTTGCTGAGGTCGCATTTGCACTTCTGGGCACAGTTACGACCGAACGTGCCGCTAGCGCACTGCCACTGGCAACGTGCTCCATACCAGCCGCTAGGGCACTGGCATGCACCGGTAGTGGCGCTGCATGTGGCTTCGTTGAGGCATGTGCATGTGTTAATGCAGTCTTGTCCAAAGCGACCACTCTCACACGGCTCAGAGCAATTCTTGCCTGCACAGTGCATGCCAGGGAAAGGCAGATTGCATTATTCCTGAAGCTATGCAAAAGACATTACTTTAGTAGCGTCTGGCGCTAGCCAGGGTCCACAGCACTTCATTTTGTGTGTTTGTGTGCCGTGCATGTTCACATGTCACGTGACGTGCCAAGGCGGGCGTGCTATCAGTCCCGTACATATCGCGTACCGAACGTCAAACTAAAGGACAGCTGGCCAGCGTTCATCATGCACATCACATCACATGACATGTGTGCCGCTGTCACTACCACACATATTCATTAAACTACTAGTACATAATTCTGCTGCACTCTCTTTCATTTCCCCCTTCCTTTAGCAACCTCAGGACATCCATACATGTACATATGGTTGCCTCGACAAAGAGACACCAGTCACCTGACTATGATGTATACCGTGATCCATTGTTTGAATTTGAATTTGAATTTGAAATTTGAATATTACAGGGCAAAATCCTGGTCCCCACTATAAATGAACCAGACACCATGCACTCTGTGGTCCCATAACTCCTAGCGAGCAACGCTATGTACCTGTCCATCCTGGCTGGCAAGTACACGCGCCGTCAGTGTGTCTACACGTGGCATTATTCCGGCACTGGCACTGCTCCCCGCACCCCTCGCCATGGAGACCCGAAACGCACGTGTGGTCACACGTCCTGCCCTCGAACCCGGGCGTGCACCGACACTCGCCGGTGAGGTGGTGGCAGGTGGCGTTGTTGGAGCAGCGGCACGTCTGCTTGCACAGCGCCCCGTACGTACCCACCGGGCACTGTTGCTCGCACGTGTTGCCAAAGTAACCTGCACGACAGGAAAACAATGAGTCAATGCACACCAGTAATGCCTGTGATGTAATTTTCCAGGGTCCAGACCACAAACCACAGGCCACAGAGCACAGAGATAGAATTTCCATCGATGGCAATCTCTTGCATGCTCATTTTATACAGCGCTTGCTCATTCAATCACCAGGTGGACACATGCGTGTACGTACATGCACTATTATTCTGTACCATTGGCATCTAATATACATGTATTTAAAGGCATGAGTCTCCACGAATAGTGCCATGAGATGCACCTTCACAACACAGTCACAGGGCAGGTCTCAGGATGCATGTGCACTACATCGGTCTTTGCATGTACAAAACTGACCTGGTTTGCATTCACACGACCCGTCGACGGTGTCGCAACTGGCAACGGATGTGTTACAGTTGCACTGCGTGTTGCACATTACACCAAACGAACCGTTTGCACACGTACTGTCGCATCTGTACGAGCGGTAAAGAACAGAGTCCACATGATGGCTCAGCCAACATGCCAAAGGGGTGTCGGACACGCTGCGGTCAATGCGGTCACTGCGGTATCCCACAGGCTGGCCGGAACCGGTCCGGTTGGTCAGGTCCCCACCGGACCAACTTGTTGCCCACCAACACATTTTTACTGCTCAGGAGGTCACGTGTGCTTGCCATATCATACACAGATAATGAATTTAAGAAAGACTATGGTGTGATCTGGCCGATCAAAATTGCTTCCGGCGGTCCTGGTATCGACTGCACCACTCTCTGCCCTATCTACCACAGGCACTGATTTGGGCTTTAGATTTTGAAACTTTTTAGCCAAGCCACTCCAACTCCATGAGCAAATTGTACTTATGGCTGACCATACCATCCTAAAATACCTTCGGAAGGCTTCCGACACCGGTCCCTGTGCTAAGACCAAATCATGAATGCCAATGACACGGTGATATTCAGACACACCTGAAGTGTTTGGCATGCACATACCTCTGTCCTTGGTACCCTGCACGGCATGTGCACTCTCCGGTCACATGGTTGCACACGTCCATCTTGCTTTCACATGTACAGTTTGATGCACATCCAGCTCCGTAGAATCCATCTGTACACTCTTCCGCACATCTGCGCACAACATCATTTCAGGAATAAACAGGACAGGACTATTGGTGCTTGGAAGGTTGTAGCAGGTACAGCCAATTTTTAGAGATGTGATTTGAAATGGAAGCTCTTCTTTGCGGATGAGCCTCATGTTCTCCACTGACCTGGCGGAGGAGATTCAAAGCTCGAGATCAGAACAACAAGAACGTACATGTCTGGGCGTGCTTCCCTATGCAATTTGTACAATGGGGAATACTGATGTTGTGGTCTGAAAATGGCTATGTGTGATTGAAAACTGGCACCTTTTGTTTATACATGGATGTGCATCAGTGCATAGTCAACTTGAAACCAGTGCAATGAATGCTGATATACTGTATGTAGTTACCTGTCACCTCGGTACCCTGGAGGACATGTGCAATTTCCTGTGGCCGCATCACAGGTGCCGTTGTGAAGGCAATTGCAGGACAGCAAGCAGTAGGCACCATATGTGCCACCCGTGCAGGCTTGGTCACATCTGAAATATACACACAGCGTCACAAGCACCCATCAAAGCAATATGGCATACCATATTATCTCTAATATAAGCACAGTCTCCAATAATAGCACGTCTCCAATAATAGAACACCTTGGGGCGGCATTCAAAAAATAAAGTGCTCAGTCTCCATTATAAGCACACTGTGTAAATTCATTATCTGTACCGGCGAAAAACCCCTGAAATGTGTGTGTCTGACATATAAATTTGGCATGGCAACATGCCTCTGAAATGAGGTTGAAATAATAATGGAACAGTCTCCAATAAAGGAACGTCTCCATTAATAGCACGGGGCGGAGGTACATTGAAAAAATAAAGGACCGTGCTTATATTAGAGATAATACGGTATTGTGTAGATCACACTAGACCAAAGCTTGGTAAGCAATGGTTGCTAAGCATATCTACACAGCTGACAGCTAGTGCCGGGCCACAAGGCAGTGCTCCCTAATACTGTGTGCTCCATGCATTACAGAATGCCACGCATGATGCATCCACATACACACACACACACACACACACACACACACACACACACACACACACACACACACACACACACACACACACGTCTTTTGTGCATCATACGTCTGGAATTATACTGCCGTCTTACGTTGGTCCAGTGAATCCATCGTTGCACGAGCAGACGCCGGTATCTGGATCGCAAGTGCCGTTCTCGCACACACACTGACCTGCTGTAAGCTTGCATGTACTGCCCTTGGGCACCACAGCCGGCGAGCAGCTCTGCTCACACCTGCATGCATGCAGTACCAGCAAACACAGTATTGTGAAGAACAACCACAAGTCAGTATGACTACATGAGATCATGGTGAACACTGACAGCAATCAGTTGTAACAGAGTGTTGGCAACTCATGTCAAAAGGGTACTTGCTGAATACACAGCACAGAGTTATTTATGTACAGATTTGCAAGTGTGCTGGGTATACATAGACCATTTTTGTGAGGGTCCAGGAGGCTTCATGTGACCGATGAGGTAAGACTACATCCTAGAATATCCATACCGGCACATACTGGCAAAGGAGTGGTCCTTGGAGATATTCAATGGCCATTTTGGCAAACCTGCACAACAGCCATGCCTCCTCAATTTCCAGGTTATGCCTGCACTGTATGGTCATGTGACCACTGCATGGTCATGTGACACTCGTGGCAAAGGTGATGCCAGCCTCTGCTTCATCATATTCACAAATTCAATATGATCTGTCAGTGATCATTCTATATCTACATGCACTGACTGTGGACAGTTGTGACTTTTTCAGCTCCGTAGTGTTTGACAGCCCAGCCGGCAACAGGCCGGTCTGGAAGTAGGACAGTAGTATTAGTGGCAGTGTAGGGTAGCATAGGGTCGTAGGGTAGCGTAGTGTAGGGGTGTAAGCAGTCAAAATCAGGGAGAACTTCTTCGCCATGGGCGAGCTCGCAGGAGAGCCTGCGATGAAACTGCTCTGCTCCCTCCCGGGCATAGAGCAGACTCTGCTCAGCGTGCTGCAGACCCTGACGTCTCATATCAGCGAGTCGAGGGATCGTGAGGGTCGTCTCCATCAGCGTGTGGACGATCTCTCCACACAGCTCCTAGCCCTACGCGAGGAATTTTGTTCACTGCAGAAATCCGCCATTGTTGTTCCCGACAAGGCCCCTGCACGATCTACTCAGCACCAAATCCAAGGCGACAAATCTCGTACCCGTACGAAACCTCGTAACCGTCCTCCCCAGCAGGGCCAGCCTGACCCAGCTGCAGCAGCAAACCAGCTCGACCCAGCCGATGCAGATGCTGGACAACAGTCAGGGCAGATCGACGTGGCCTCTGGCTCTGCACAGCACGAAACCCGTACCCGTACGGACGACCCCGGCTTTGTCGATCCTGAGCCTGTGCAATCAGACTGCGAGAAGAGCCAACCTATCATGGCCGTCATCAAGGATGACAGTTGGAAATTAGTTGCGGCGGGCCCGCCAAGAAAGAAGCGATCTGTGTTCTTTGTGGGCAACTTGAGCCACGACTGCACAGTGGACAGTCTCACTGAGTTTGTACACCGTAGGTCGGAAAGCGTAGGGACGCCTGTCAAAGCCCACCAATGCAGCCTACATACAGCCGGAAACGGGCAAGTGTCAGCCAGGATATCGGTTGATGCCACCTCCAAGCTGACAGTGACGTCCGCCAATTTCTGGCCAAGGCCACTCTACTGCAGGCCGTGGAGATTCCACACCTCCACAAATGCGAATGCAGCCAACAGCACCAGCACCAGCAAGAGCAGCCGCCACAACAAGAACAACAACAGCACCAGCAGCAGCACCAGCAGTCGCCGCAGCAGCACCAGTAGTCACCGCAGCAGCACCAGCAGTCGCCGCAGCAGCAGTAGCACCAGTAGTCACCGCAGCAGCACCAGCAGTCGCCGCAGCAGCAGTAGCGACAGTAGCACCAACCAGCTGGAAGCACAGCAGCATGATCAAGAGCAACAGCAACTTGGGATTGCCGCCACGATAAATGACTTCCTGAGCGCGAGTCGTGGCCTGTCCGCTGCCGCTGCCGGCACACCTGTAACCACGCCACACAGCCACAAACGTTCTTCTGCCGAGCGGTCACCTGATTCGCTGTCGCACGATGCGAAGCGTTCTGCCCAGCCTGGTGCGCAGCCACCCCGGCAGGATAACCAATCCTCACAATGATGGCTCCAACACGTGCACGGCAACCACCTAGAATGCTCCGCCTCATGCTGACAAATGCTTTCGGTATCTTGTCAAAACTTGGGGAGTTCCAAGCTTCTCTCAATGCCCACCACCCTGACATTGTCATCGTCACGGAGACAAAAGTCACGGAGGACAAGGCCACGCCTGCTGACCTCACATTCCCTGGATACTTCCCACCAGTTCGAAGGGACCGTACGGCCCAGGGGGGCGGTGTTGCTATCTGGATTCGGGCCGACCTGGCTTTCACAGAACTAGAATGTATTGATACTGGTGGAAATGAAATCCTGTGGGTTCGCCTCAAGACAGCAGCTGGCCCATCCATTGGAGTATGTGCTGTGTATCGCTCAGGTTCATCCGCTGATGGAGACATCTCTGCCCTAAACAGCATCACCTCTGGCATAGATGATGCTAGGCAATGCTGCCAGAATATCATCGTTGCAGGTGACCTAAATGTTCACAACCGGGAATGGCTAGGCAGCAGTAGAACTTCCCCTGCTGGTGAAGCTGCTGAAGATCTGTGTTACCACCATTGCCTCGATCAGCATGTCCATGAGCCAACACGTGGCAATAATATCCTCGACCTCATAATGTCAGATATCCCTGGAAGCGTCATCTCAACTCTCCATCCACCTCTAGGGAAATCTGACCACGCAATTGTGATAACTGACTTTGAAGTTGCCCCCTCCTGTGACCGTCCCAGTAAGCGAACCGTGTGGCGCTACCAGCATGCTGACTGGCCTCGGCTACGGGCTTTCTTTCGGTCCACAAACTGGGTGTTGACTGATGACAACAGCATTGACGTATCTTGTGTGAAACTCACACAGAAGATCAAAGAGGGCATGCAGATGTTCATTCCATCCAAAACCCTGAAGCTACGCCAGGGAGACCCAGCCTGGTGGTCACCTGAGTGCCAGGAAGCTGTTGACAGGAAGCAACGGGCCTGGCGACGTCACCGATCTTCGCCCAACAATGCACACCTGCGGCTGGCCTACTCTATGGCAACAGGTGAAGCAACAAACTGTCTGCACAGAGCCAAGCAAGCGCACACTACCAGTATCCGCCGAAAGATAAGAGAAGGTGCCCTTTCCAGCCGACAATGGTGGACAACCGTCAAGCGAGCAGGTGGGCAAGGACACCGCTCTGCAGACATACCTGTTCTGCGTGCGTCGAACGGAACTGAGCACACCACCTGCAGCGAAAAGGCCGAAGCATTCGGGCAGTATTTCTCCGCAAAGTGCAGTCTTGGTGACAACGACTTGCAAGCCAACAGCCTCCCTCCAGTCCGCCCCCGATCTCAAGCTCAACTCCGCAATGTCCACTTTCGGCCAAGCACGGTTGAGCGGAAGCTGAGGCAACTCCACCCCGCCAAAGCCACGGGTCCAGACGGCATCCCCGGGCGTGTACTCCGGCAATGCAGCAAAGAGCTGGCTGCACCCGTGTCGCGGCTCTTTTCGCAGGCCTTCCACCAAGGTCGGCAACCTACAATGTGGAAGACGGCAATGGTTGTGCCGGTGCACAAGAAAAAATCCAAGTCTGATGTTAAGAACTACCGCCCGATCTCCCTCCTCTCTATTCTGTCGAAAGTCATGGAGGCCATTATTAACCACTCAATCCGACAGTTCCTGGAGGCACACAACATCTTATCGAAAAGTCAGTATGGCTTCCGCAGCCAACTCGGCACCCAGGACATACTCACGCTACTCAACTACCAATGGAGTCGCGTTGCAGCCAGAGGTGGTGTGGTTCGAGTCATTGCAGTTGATGTGGCTGGCGCATTCGACCGCGTCTCTCATGTAGGCGTTTTGCACAAGGCACAATGCTATGGTGTAACTGGTCCACTTCTCGCTTGGCTGAGGGATTACCTGACTGATCGTCACTTGAGGGTTGCAGTTGGAGGTGAACTTTCCAGTCCGTACCCGACCAAAGCTGGCGTGCCGCAGGGCAGTATCCTTGGTCCCACCCTGTTCATCCTCTACACCAATGATGGCGAGGACCACCTCCCACCAGGTATGGAGCTAGCAGCCTACGCTGACGACACCACTCTCTTCCACTGCCTCACATCAAGAGCTGACATTGACTGTGGCTCCGAGCTCCTCCAGCAGGGCATTGATGCGTTTTCCCGTTGGGGACATAAGTGGAGGATCAAATTTGAGCCCTCCAAGACGCAGGCTATGTCTATAGGCCACCATCGCCAGCCCTGGGAGCTCCCTCGAGCAACATTTGACGGCACACCGGTCAGTGAAGAGAGTCGGCTGAAACTCCTGGGAGTCACCTTTGACGACACCCTGAGCTACTCCTTCCACCTCCGCTCCCTAGCTTCCCGTGCTAACCAGCGGATTGGCTTCCTGAAGCGAGCGTCTCCCATTCTGGACGCCGAGAGCCGCCAACGCGTCTACAACGGCTTTGTGCGACCCACACTCGAGTATTGCCCCTTAGTGTGGATGGGCTCACCCTCGTCCCATCTTAAGAAGCTGGACCAGATCCAGCGAAGGGCCCTCCACATCATCGGAGCAGGTACCTGGCTCCCTAGCCTGGCACTCCGTCGCCTGGTAGCTGCACTTGCCTATACCTACAAGCTCTGCTATCTAGATGCGTCCAGCCCTCTGAAGCAGATGCTGCCTAAACCAGCCACTCACCGTGCCCCCGAGACAAGACCTACCCGTCAGTCTCTCCAGCTGCAGGATTCCCATCCATACCAGATGACAACTGGCCTGCCTGCCAATACCCGGAATAGCTGTCTCCAAGGATTCCCTGCTTGCACCGTTGCAACATGGAATGCCCTGCCACCAGACCTGTTCCACCACCCACCCGCCCAGCCCCACATGCAAAGCTTTAAGAAAAAGGTGTACCGTCACCTTCTTGCTCAGGACTGGCTCTCTGCTACTGATGCACTTTGAATCTGCTCGCCAACGCTTTCCCTGTTCTTATGAGTGTTCAGCTGCTTACCTTATAACCCTGCTGCCATCATCACCAATATTCTGATTCTCATGCACATATCCCAGAACCTGCTATCCTTCGCAGCCCCCATCACCAAGAGCACTGTGCTCTTCTATCTCCCAGCTCTCTCTCTATCTCTCTCTCTCTCTCTCTCTCTCGCTCTCTCTCTCGCTCTCTCTCTCTCTCTCTCTCTCTCTCTCTCTCTCTCTCTCTCTCTCTCTATCTCTATCTCTCTCTCTCTCTCTCTCTCTCTCTCTCTCTCTCTCTCTCTCGCTCTCGCTCTCGCTCTCTCTCGCTCTCTCTCGCTCTCTCTCGCTCTCTCTCTCTCTCTTTTTCTCTCTCTCTCTCTCTCTCTCTCTCTCTCCCTCTCTCTCTCTCTCTCTCTCTCTCTCTCTCTCTCTCTCTCTCTCTCTCTCTCTCTCTCTCTCTCTCTCTCTCTCTCTCTCTCTCTCTCGCGCGCGCGCGCTCTCTCTCGCGCTCTCTCGCTCTCTCTCTCTCTCTCTCTCTCTCTCTCTCTCTCTCTCTCTCTCTCTCTCTCTCTCTCTCTCTCTCTCTTTCTTTCTTCTCTTCTTCTCCCCCCCCCCATCTCCCGATAATTATTAGCCCCCGTTTTCTTTCGACGCGTTTGCTGTGCAGTGAAGCCGAGACCCTAGGTCGGTGGAGCACATCAGACCCCGTCACCACGTCCACGATTCATGCCTGCGATGCTGCACCGCTGCTTTGCATGTCATGATTGGAAGCTGTGGCCTTAGTAAAAAAAAAAAAAAAAAAAAAAAAAAAAAATCATGCCGATTCAGCCATCCTACAGATGGAAATGGTAAACAGTGGAATGCTGCTTATGCATGGTGCACCCAATGGTGCGGCTTTGGACATTGTCAAAGGCCCGTTCAAAAAATGCATGACTTGCCTTTCGCCAATGAAACCCGCTGGACAGGTGCACTTGCCGTTGCTAGGGTTACATGTGGCACCATTCTCGCACACACAGGTGAACTGGCAGTTGCGACCAAAGAGGCCCTCCGGACACGGGATCTCACAGCTGTAGTTTGGGAGAAAAACAAAGCACTTTTTAAAGCTACCCATGGCCGCACCACTATCTCCACTGTTAAACAAAAAAGGACAACGGTAGCCCCGGTGTTGATACTATAGACACACTGTTAGTGCACTGTAGCACCTAGGCAGGAGCGTAGCAGCTAGTCGGCCGGACCACTTTTCTAACACAATGCCAAAAGTGCCCAGAACGCAGGATTTTGCAACCAAAATTCAAAATTTTCACGGGAGACACCCCGGACCCCCTCCAAATCACACCGCTTCCAACGGCGGTGCTACGCGTCTGCTAGTACATGTACAAGCAAGTACACAGGGATGTTGACTATTCTTACTTCTACTGAATGACCCATTACCAGGCCACCAGCCGGGTGTAGATCAGGCTCAGCACATGCCATCATTGCTCTCCACACAGCCGTATGTGATCAGCATCATCAGGCATAAGATGCAACTTGAACCACGGCATCATTAGTCTATACATGTGCAGTGAAAATGAACTGCTTTTGAATAGAGTTCATGTGAGCCGCATACAAAACAGGTTGAATAGAGAAAAGTGTCTAGAGGATGCCGTCGTAATCCCAGATGACCCGTTCCGTCATCTCCGGGTGAGTAGGACTCCTACCGAGTCACCCGAAGATGACAGTATTGAATACTATCTGAGAAAACCCATTACTAGTACGTTGCACTGTTAATGCTAGTGCAAGACAATAGCCTAGCAACTAACCTTTTGCCCATAAATCCCGGACTGCAGCTACACTGTCCAGTGACTTTATCACATGGTGCCTGGTTACATTCACATATCCTCTGACAGTCAGGACCGTACTGGCCATACGGACACTGTAGGTTACACCTGTACACGCATGTACGCATGTACACACACACACACACACACACACACACACACACACACACACACACACACACACACACACACACACACACACACACACACACACACACACACACACACACACACACACACACACACACACACACACACACACACACACACACACACACACACACACACACACACACACATGTACAGATACACACACATGTACGCATGTACACACACATGTACAGATACACACACACATGTACACACACATACAGGCATGCACATGCACATACACACACATGCACATGCACACCCATGTACCCTCACACACGTGGCACAAGCGCGCGCACACACACCCATCCACACCAACACATTTGTTGACCTTTTAACCTTTTGATGTCCATCGCCAGAGGCGATGATAGCGATGCTACCGCAGAAGCCATAGCAACTTGTGCTTGGATTGCACCATTCCATAGCTTGCAAGGCTGAAGACACACATACACACAATCTGATCCTGCCACAAGTTATATGCATGTACATGGACACATTCAGATGTGTGTGTGTGTGTGTGTGTGTGTGTGTGTGTGTGTGTGTGTGTGTGTGTGTGTGTGTGTGTGTATGTGTGTGTATGTGTGTGTGTGTGTGTGTGTGTGTGTACATATGTGCAGTACGTGCATGCTTTTTGGAATTGGTTGGTGTGCGTATGCTGTGAGGAGAGGCTTGAGCCGCTGTGTGTACAGGTGGGTGATAATGCCGGTGTCAATTTTAGTATTAAATTGAATTTGAAACAAGGAAAACGGTGGGGCACAAGTTATGCGTTAGAGTCCACCAACTAAACCAGGTTTTGAACGGTGAGACGTGCACAAGGTAGCACCAGACTGATAAGGAGTACTGAGACATTCCACGACAAGGAAGTGAGCTTGAGCACTGCTGGATAGTCAATTTTAGTAGCCGTCTTAAATGGTTTTTGTATCGCAAGACTTTGCACATACAGGTGTGACGATGCCGTGCGTATGTGGGCTCAAGGGAACCGGAAATGGTGTACACTACTGATATGTAGTATGAGACTGTACGACTGTAATAAAGTAAGCATGTCAGAACCGTACCTTTTCCCAACCCAGCCTGGTGGACAGTCGCAAAGCCCCGTGGCCGCATCACACGGCGCATCATTCTCGCACTGGCATGGCTTCACACAGTGCTCGCCCCAGACGCCCTGTGGACATGGTAGTGAGCAGCTGAACAAATGCACAAGGAAAGCAAGCAAGCAAACATCGCAAGCTGTAAAATTAATGATTTACAATAGCTCGGACCAACTTGGTAAGACATGCTCTGAAAACATACAGTTTTGGACCTATTTCAACTGAGAAGCAAGTATGAGTTAGAATGAAAAGGAGGGAAGGCATAATAAGTTAATAACGCCTGGTGGCAGTGTCCACAAGAATACCTGTATGTCGTCATGTGTATTCAATGCATAGTTATCCACCAAGGGCCGGGTGCAAGGCTGCTGGTGTTTTCAATTGACTTGTTCTCGAAATCACCCTATCTTCGGACGACCAGCTGTTTCAACTATTGACCTTGTTAGGTCTCATCAACAAAGCTGAGAGCGAGCAAAGCGCTCAAGCTTGCAAATTTGCTCTAAGCATCAAGCACATCCTATTTGGCCTGTACTGGGAATCAAACATGTTTTGACACATTGCATTGCATTGTGCTGCACAATGCAATGCAATGTGTATTTGTGGTAACCTAAGAGACACTTACTCTGGTCCGTAGAAGCCAGCGGTGCAGTTGCATTTACCAGTCACATGATCACACTGGCCTGATGAGCGGCACGTACAGGGCTGGGCACAGTTCTCGCCGTAGTAACCTAACTGGCATTTCATTTCACATCTACATAAGCAGTAGACGGTAGACAATAGAGAGTAGGCAGAGGGTAAGAAAATACAATGTACGCACATACATGTGTCATTATGTTACTGTAGCTCGCAAAAACACTCTCCAGTTTGGACTGTGCTCACGAGGTGGTGGTGGTGGTGGGGATTTTGTTTTGCTTTTTATTTAGTTGTGTCAGGTCAATGATATCATGTTCTGTGATTGCCCATACAAGAGGCTTATTCCACATGGTGGCGGTGATGGTGGTGGCGGGGACGGGGCGGGGTTGCGGTGGTGGTCCATTATTCAGAACTTAAGATTAGTCAGCTGGCATATCATGGCCTGCACCCTACATCCAAATGAATACCAGAACAGTGCATGTACAACACAGCATAGCCTACATGCATGTACATGTAAAAGTTCAATAAGGGCAGATTGGCCAATGTGCTAAGCGTATGCATTTTGGGTACATGTATGACCAAAGGCCTACACCTAGAGATACACCTGTCTCCAAGATCAAGCCCTTCAAAGTGTAGCCCCCATTGTGTATTAGCCAGTGAACCCGAGATACAAGGAGCTTGCTGAAAATCCTTGCCTACGAGATGTCATGCATTTCAAGTTGTCAGTTATGCAGAGAAGTCTGTAACACTGTGATGGTGCCCCTCGCATGCGTACTCACCGTTCGCCTTGATACCCGGGTCTGCAGTGGCAGTGACCCGTGGCCTTTTCACAGTGTACGCTGGTGTTACGATCACAAGCGCAGCGTCGCTGACAGTCAAACCCATGCATCCAGTCAGTGCAAGCTGAAACAACATCACCCGGTGATCAGGGAGCAGTCACACACAGTGGTACTCGAAGTGTGTTGAGTGCCGGTTGTGCCGGTTGTGCCAAATGCACCCTGCAAGTAGAGGCCGATACTCTAATTTCAGAAATTTTCGGTATGAGGTTAGGTGAACAGAAATTTTTGGTACAGAGAAGCAATTCCCTATTAGATTATGTATGTTAGTGTTTGTTTGGTGTATTGAAATTTTAGGTATGAACAAGACGCACGGAAAGTACCGAAAATAAAAGTACACCGAAAATTTGTGAAATTACAGTACTCCGGCCAGTAAGTAGGCTGTTCCAATACTATGCCAATGTATTCAGGCTTTTATTTTGGTATTGTCCTATGCCGTGGACTGGTGTATGAGAAGTTGCCCATGCTGAGGAGGTCTCAACATACCCTCAGAGATAATCGAGATTATCGTCTCAGGCTGTGCGGGTTTGGTCTCTTACCAGTTTGGCAGGATGATCCAATCCATCCTGGCGCACAGTCGCACCTGTCAGGACCGATACACAACCCTTTGTTCTGGCAAGGGTTGTGGCAAATGGCTGCAGAGAGAAATCACGGGGGGGGGGGGGGGGAGAGAGAGAGAGAGAGAGAGAGTCATGATACATGACAATGGTGAACCAGCAACAGCAATAGACAGTACACTAGAGGACAGTGATCATGCCATGATGCTGCCACGGTGATGACTGAGCTGGATCTAAACACTTAGTGATCCAGAGTACAAGAATACAGCACAACACTTGTACATGACTGCACTGAACTATGACACTGACATCATGACAATGTCAACAGGAATGAAAATCCTGAACAAATGCCTTCCCACATCTCAGTTTCCTCCTCAGGTTGCTATCCTCGTCGAATGAATGGTTGCAAGCATAGCCGGATCAGGCTCTTGAAGTGGCCAAAGGTGTTGTGCATTGCACAATAGGTTCTCGAGCTCAGTGAATGAAAGAAATGCAGGTACAAAATCACACCTTATTTGACCACTATGATAAGCTGTGACAAACTAGGGGCAAAGCGCAATGCAGTATTTTGGGCTGTACGAGTGAAAACAAAAACGTCTAACCCATTGGCAGCAACCTATTACTGGCTTCAGTATACATAATTATGGTTGATGTGTATGATATGCGATGATTCGTCACCAGTATCCAGAGTAGTAGTAGCGAGTGTGCATGGTCACGGCTATGACTTACGTGTGGAGCACTCTGTACCACTCTGCCTCCATCCCTCACAGCACAGTGGCACCTTCTCCGCAGTTGGTTTGTTGACGTTCATGTAGATGGTGCGAAAAGACGTTCTATGCACACATCATGGAATGCAGATAAACATTACACTGAATGTACCGCAATTATGACCCCCCCCCCCCTCTAACTCATGAGTACCAGGTCTCGTCAGAACCCCCCACCCCTTCTCAGGTACAAATGGAGTATGAAATTCACCAGATTTGACATAGTCTTTGGTGTCAGATAAGCACATGGCCAAGAATAGATAAACAAGAGTGTGCAACTCCAGATCTCTCCTGCACAATCTCCTGATACCATGGCGGAATTTTTTTGTTGACGTCACCTTTTTTCAGAAAACGCGCTTCTTGCCGCAGAGCAGTATGAGAGCACGTGCTGGGCACCGGCATTGTAATGTAAGCCCGGCCAAGTGCACGAGGCAAAACTTTCCAAACACTAGCAGCGCGTGGGTGGTCGAAAAGATTACGTCAACAAAAAATTCCGCCGTGGGCCAACCCATCCGCGCGGATCCGGGAGTTGCACACTCTTGTTTATCTCCTCTTGACATGGCCTTTGGCACCTTTTTCCCAACCTCAAGTTTGGGAAGGAGTGGCAGATTCACACGGTTGTTCAAGTCTTGTCACTTGCGTTCTCGCTTATGCATTGAATTTCGCCTTGTACCATATCACCTACATCCATTATCAGCCTTAGTACTAGTAGCCACCAACACGGTTGTGTTTCCATTGGAATAGCCCAGTGTCCTGTTACACTGGTAGCAGAAAGGGTAGTTTTCTTCACAGCACTGGCCCTTCTTGGTGTCTCCACAGTACTATTTTCTCTATGGTTCTAGGCCCTGCACCATGGTGGTTATCAGATTCCTTCCACGACAAGCCCAGTTCTACCTTCCCTAGCTATGTACACTACGCTACAAGTGACAAGGCCCGGGAGCCTCCGGTGTTCAGCGGTGTAGCATCCGAGTTCGAGAATGGGTCTTGGCAGTTGAACTGGCTATGAACTCCTTCGGGATAACAGAGGGTAAGAGAGAATGGTGGAGTTTACGACAGGATTTTAGCTGGGCAGCACGGCTGTGGATGATGCCGGGCAGCACAAGACGCCGGCATGACCTTCAGTGACTGGTCATCTCTGAAGTCTGCGCCTGCAGAAATGTATGATCGGCTCCATACGCAGGAACAGGCAAGGTTGGGGCTCCTGAATCTCTCCCAATGGGACCGTTCTGCCCAGACAACCATCGCTGACTTCATGAGACTTGGCTTGCTTATTCCAGACCTGGACGAGCATATAAGGGCAATGATGTTCATCAATGGCCTCAAGAATCGTGTACACGCCCTCACACTGAATGAACACCCGACTACCCTGTCAGCAGCCTCTTGCGCAGTTCTACTAGCTGATCTGCCCGGCGGTACCAGCCCAAGGAAACGCTACTCGATACATCCCAGAGCGTCCACTGCACATCCCAGCGTGCCAGGTAGAGTGGCAGTGGAAGTGATCGTCTGAAGCACATGACGCCGGAAGACAGAGCGATAATGAAGGAAAGCAAGTGCTTCAGATGTCGGCAGTCAGAACACTGCTCTGGCGAATGCTCTCGTCACCCAAATAACGACCACCAGGAGGCCCGCGGGTGCAGCCGCTGGCGGTATCACATGTGCCCTGTGAGGGAAAGCTTCAATATCGCTACTCTCTTGAAGATGAGATGATGGCCGGAGACGACGGCGATTCTGCGCCAGAAAACGTTGTACAGCCTACAGAACCTCCAAGTACTCGCAGGCAGTGGCCACATTCCAGTCTTGCTGAGCCAGGAATGATTTGGACGATGAGCGGTGCAGCTTGGACGCAGGCCCGAGGAGAAGTGTGTAGAGGGGTGTGGACTGTGGAGTATACTGGCCTGGGCCTCAATGGCGGTTTCTGCTAGTGGGTCTCGAAGCAGACGGCCAGAAGCACAAAGACATGCCGAGAACCTTCTGGATGAATTTCTGTCCTCCCAGAGGCCTTAGCTCAATAGCTGCCTCCCAAGCGGTTCATCGATCACGAGACTGAGCTCGAGCCTGGCGCTGCATCCTCCATCAATACTACATTAGCCATATGAACTATAAATAAGGGTGTGTTTCCATCGGAATAGGCCAGTCACGGTCCAGTTACAACGGAAGGTGTACACAATACTTGACAGCAACGTGTTCCTATGCTGAGACTGGGGTTAGTGTGGCTATTTCAACATGAATTCTTATGTCTACGTGTATGTCCTCCTGTTCTGGCCTTAACCTTGACACTGACTGACTTACTGTCAGTACATTGAGTATCCTCAATCTGAAATATTTGAGATGCCGGGTCACCGGGGCCAGAACCTATCCCGACCCTACTCATTTCTAGACCAGTTCGCCACTATCGAGACTGTTGACTGTTGAGACTGTTGAGATAGTAGCCGGAGCCAGCTACACTGACCCTACTCATTTCTAGCTGACCAGTTCGCCTCTCGATCAGTCTGGCTCACCTGAATCGTGTACATTTCGCCCAGAAGCGGAAACGACATGGTCTGTAGTAGCGCTCCGTGTATGACTGGCGTACCGACACGCGAACTACCCGTGTGATGCTGAAGAGAAAATGACAAAGAAGTACAAGTACACAGAATGGTCCACTGGCACATTCATTCCTTCATATCGTAATTCAATGATTCAGTACAGGCACAGTGCTGGCATGGAATTGAAAATCGACAACATGTCATGCCCTGAGTCACTATCAGCAGTCAGTGTTGCTATAATATGGACTGCTGATGGTGCAATGCTCGGGCCAGCAATCTCAGAATGGATATTAAAAGGAGGTTTCAATAAGCAAGTTGAATTTCTTTTTGCATTCGAGTTTGCACTACAGTGAGTCAAACTCAGTGAACATGGTGAATCAGCAAACAGAATTTGCAATCGCATAAAGCCACATGTATCCAGGCCTGTAAAACGTAGTAAATTTAGGACTGTCCTGGCTGGTTTTGGAACAAAATTGTGAAAGTTTGCGTTCCAGTTCCCCAACAGAAAATTATACGCAAGCTCGAGAGCGAACTAACTTTGTGATGCTAAACCTGGCAATAATGTTCATTTGCCACCACCGTACCGTACCGCGGCACTGTGATATCATGTGCAGTACGAGTGCATTCATGGCTGTAAACACACACGTACTGCAGTCCTTGCTGTACATGTATTGGCACCCGGCGGCGGGGGAGGATGATGTACTCCGCAGTATTCACATTTGCCACGCCGTACGTCACCATGGTAGTCCTGCAGAATAGACCCTTTGCACAATAACGGTCACGTGATCCGAGACGGGGCATCCTCTTCGATTTTTGTGCAGAGTATCAGTTGTTGAGCATGGTGGAACACTGTATTTTTCCATTTTGGAGATGGAGGGGAGAGTGTCGAGTGGTTTGCCATCGATGGCTGTGGAACCCGTGGACGAACTGTCAAATGAAGAATGGTCTTTGAAGGAACTGAACAGTTTTCTGCTGAATGAGGGTGCGTATCTGTCTGGAAAAAGAAGGAGTCGTTGGAGCGGTAAGTTTTCCGCATTCAGTGGATATTTCGGATTACTGTAGATTGAAATATTTTTCGTTTCTCTACCTTCTCTCCTCTGTCGATGTAGAAAACACTTCTGTATGCAGAACCCTGATGCTCCAAGAACTAAGAAGGGCACCACTTCCTCGAGTGTACAGCACGTACCTTCATCATGCCCAACATTTCATGCGTCCCACTCCCAGTGGATGAGTGATGAACCTCTGTTTCCCAGAGTGAGTGCCACACCATGCGTGCTCGTCTCCAACGCAGGGGCAAGTCGCCGACGACAGTGAAGAGGGAGCTGATGAAGTAGTACTAGTGAACAAGCCCGTGGATAGTGTCCAAGAGTTTTACTTTGGTGGCTATGTGCATAATGTGAAAGTCGGTCATATCGTGCACGCAGCCACAGCTCGAACTCAGATGACTTTCTCCGCACACCTGAGCGATGAGGCTGCGTCTCTCTCCACTTCAACATCAGCAGCTCGAGCAGCGCCAGCAAGCAGTCGATCTTCCAATAGCGAAGACAGGGATGGGTCATGCCGTTTTCTCAAGCTCCAGAGTCTCTTGGCAGAGCGTTCATTATCTTAGCAAAAGCAAGGATGAAAGTCGTCATGGACAAAGTGTTCCGAGCACAACACTGTGAACGATATCGCAGCACTGCGGCCCTCTTCTCGCCAGATAGCCAGGATTCCAGAGTGTGAAATGCCAGCATCACCAGGGAACGCATGGAAAGACAAGTGGGTTCCTTAGACTAACGTTAGGGATGACGGTTGGTGCGAACAAGAACCCAGCAGTGGTCCTTGGAAAGCATTTCGAAACTTCTTCCTTCAAAACTAAAAAAAACTTCAAATGAAAAAAGGCTGGGGAGTACATACATGAACATCGCGTCGGGACCGTGAAAACACAGCCTGTCACAGGAAACTTGATCACGTCCTGCAGCAAACCATGCATGCTGGTTGCATGCCAAGTGTGCAGCGCGTGCACAGCATGCCCCGTCTCGACCCCTCTCGCTTATTGTGCAAAGGGTCTATTTCCATAACCTTACACAATGTACAATGTAGCTGCATATTACTCTGGAAGCGCGGACTACAAATGTGGCAACACCACCAAACAGATCCCCCCCGAGCCCTCCTTCTCTCTCTCGCACGCACACCATGCACGACGCACACACACAAGCACGTACGTACGTACACGCTCTCTCGAGCAAGCTTACTTGATAGGCTTACTGCAGACATTCCTGCCTCCCGCTTTGAGTGACTGAGAGTCAGCGACGTCCACGATCGCTGCCACAACGAGCGTGAAACTAATCAAATACAAGGATGCCCTGGAGAACGATTTGAAGACGTTGCTTGTGGCCACTCTCAGAACAGGCATGCTAAAAGCTCTTCCGACTCAAGCCAAGCTCTAGCGTGCATTGAATTTGAAAGGAGAAACCCCGCTACGCGCAGAAGCTTACACGCCAGACTAGACGCGACCTCCATGCACTCTTGACCTCTGCACTCCTCGCGAGCCAGGGAAATAAACGACAGCGTATCGTACAGGTAATTGCTCTAGCCTTAGCAGTCGCTGCAGTGTAAGTAAGTAGTTAGTTTCTCTCACCAGACCGATGTAGAGCAGAGCTAGAGAGCTAGAGGCCAGCACCACGCAGTAGCGACACGTCGTTTCCGTTTTCAAGTCAATTCCCAAGTATAGTTATTTCTTCGGTTGAGCTGTGAGTATGAAGTATGATTCTGCGAAGAAAGACTGAACGGACTGAATTGAAGCAATGTGATACGAAGCGGGTGAAACTAATCGAATAAGAAATACTTGTCCCCGTACCCTATACTATAGGCTATCGTTCGTGCTTTCTCGCATCGAATAGATTTGAAAACCGTCACACCGCATACGGTTCTAGAAAGGGTAGGGAGCAGGAAATTGGATCTAGGACCACGAGAATCACTGGGGATGGCACGAGGGATAACTAAGACCTGACGAAAGACCAAGCCGTGTGACGACAGACACAAGCCTGGTACAATGCACAGGACATGGTTCTGTAGCTCCCTTCCCGAGGCCGCAAAATGCCGCGACAGCCCCCGAGGAATTTATTAGCCATGATAACCTTTCGCGGTGTCCTGCATGCTGCTGCCCATTGCTGGGTTACTTCCACGGCAGCATAGCACTTGGCGTGGCTTCATGTTCACCCTGCATGCCCATGGTAGGTGTGTAGGTTTCCAAGTTAGGTCTAGCTGTTGATATTGCCCTTATCCCCACTGTATTCATGGTATTGCCACTGCCGTCCAGATGCTGCAGAAGCTGAACTGTGCGTCAAGAAAAGATGCGCCTTCAACGTACTGTACACGTCTACGTACACTGTACTATCAGTATCAAGCTCAGCTACTTCTTTGCAAGGAGGGAGGACATAGTCGTTGCCCGTGACTGCCAGGAGAGCAACACAGCACAGGCCAGGTACAGGACTACCCATCTTCAGGCTCAGGCTTGACTATGTCAGTATGTGCATGCTCCACACCGAATATTTCGCGGCCGTTCCCGTCACGCCTTGGCGCAACAGACCGCTAAAGTGCCGGGAACAGGTCGAAACCAGGGAGCACAAACGCCATAAATGACACGTGGTAAAGAAGTGCGAGTCGTCGATCCCTAGCTTATGGTATGGTCGAAACTCGGGTAGAAGTAAAGTTCAAGTCAAGGCGCGAGGCCCAAACTGGCAAAAGAGAACAGTCGGATCATGTAAAAATTTTAAAGGGGAAGTTACCGTACTTCCCCACATATAAGCGCATGCGCTTATAAGTGAAAATTTGCTGCAAAAAAGATCTTTGGCTGTGTAAACATGTTCGGGTAGAAGCCCATGTGCTTATATGCGCAATACAGGTTTGTCTGTGTCCTAAGCAATGGTGTCATCACACTACTTAGTGGTATATTTCGCTCCCACCTTTTCACCAATAGTGTTCACATATAAGTAGGGGTGAAACGGTTCGGGTAAGGAACCGGTTTTGGAACCGTCAGCTGAAAAGAATCGGGTACCCGTTCCGTCAAATTTCGAACCGAAACTCGAAAAATCTCGTTCTCGTACAAATACATGTACACGCCAAGTCTACTCAAGATTTTAAAATGTCTTACCTTACGATCACCGCCCTTCCAAAGGGTTCTCCTATCGATCCTGGTCACTACGAGCGTACCTTCTTCGCACATGGACTCTCCGATGTCTCGTTCTTGCTCGTAAAAATGTTTTCTAACTTGAAAATAATTGTCACGGACACATTTGGTCGGTCTGGAGAAAAGAGTGCATGGAACCGATACCCGAACCGTGGGAAACTATGCTGGCATTCGGGTACCCGAACATGAAAAACATGGAACCGTTTCACCCCTACATATAAGCACATGCGCTTATAATCGAGGGGTGCGCTTATATCCGGACATAAGCACATGCGCTTATATGTGCGGAAGTACGGTAAGGCAAAAATCAAAATTTCACCAGTTGTAGTCTTCGGGGTGCTGAGTCGAATGGTCTTGGTCCGAGAAAGCTGAGACGCTCCCTTCCTACTTGAATCCCAATCGAACTCGCGCACTTCCACCGAAACTGGGTGACTGCGCCCTACTAGATGGGGATTTGTATGCGAAGTGTCACTAAAAGCGCCATTTCGTTCTTATAAAAGCACGGATGACCGAGGTTGGCCCATATGTTGTAGTCTTTTGGACGCTGAGTCGACTGGTTTTGGTTCGAAAAGGCTGCGATGCAGCGTTCGGCCCTTATTCCCAATCGAACGTGGTTGAATAAGCGGTCAAGTGCTCCTGGGTGCCCAAATCACCTGGTCACCACGCCAGCAGGCGACAACTTTCACACCAAGGTTCAACTCGAGTTCAACTCGAGTGACAGGACTGCACCCAAAAAAGGTCAAACAGGCTAGTAAGCTGTACCCTGCAGGCACGGTGACCAGGTGACTGGTGTACGCAGGAGCACGTGACCGCTTCTTCAACCATGTTCGATTGGGAATAAAGGAGGAACGCTGCATCGCAGCCTTTTAGGACCAAAACCAGTCGACTCAGCGTCCAAAAGACTACAACATATGGGCCAATCACGGTCATCCGTGCTTTTATAAGAACGAAATGGCACTTTTAGTGACATTTTGCATACTTGTACAAATCCCCATCCAGTAGGGCGCAGTCACCCAGTTTCGGTGGAAGTGCGCGAGTTCGATTGGGATTCAAGTAGGAAGGGAGCGTCTCAGCTTTCTCGGACCAAGACCATTCGACTCAGCACCCCGAAGACTACAACTGGTGACATTTTGATTTTAGCCTTAACTTCCCCTTTAATTATAATTATGTACAGTCGACTCCTGATAACGAACACCATTGTGCAGGAGAATTAGTTCTTTAGCCGAAGTTAGTTATAACAGAAATGTACTTACACTGTGGGTTGAAACTGGGACATGAGGCTACATAATAATAGTGCCTGTACTGTAGTGGTTCACGAAATTCCCTATATGCGCCTTCGTTGTAAGTGGAGTCGACTGTAGCCTCATTGTAGCTGTCTTCATTCAGTCGCAATCAGTGACCAGACATGGTGTTATCCGTGACACTGTGTCTGTATAATAAAATGTATAACTATGTTATAAGGTTCTGGGAGCTATGTCGTGGGTTCGGCCATGCCATTGCGCCAGTCTCAGAGCTCTGAGCTCCGCTGATAATACTACCGTACTCGCGCGATTAGTGCCCCTGGGGCACTATTTTTCAATGTCGATCACAGATCATCTGATGGGGCACTATTCAAGAGAGGGCACTATTTTTTCAATGTTGGTACATTTACATCATCCCGCACAAAAACAAAGAAGGCAAAGAAGAACAGAGCCTAAAGGGTACTGTAAACTATCACGACTCAACAGAAAGGGCAACAGGAACTTCGATTTTGATCCTGAAACCACCAGTTCAATGACATGGACAAGAACATTACCAAAAGCCTAAACAGTTGCCAAACTTGCACCTGCGCTTGGTTACAAGCTCGGAGGGGGGGGGGGGGGGGGGTACTATTCAAGAGAGGGCTTTATTTTTCACTGGCTCTTATAGAGACTGGGGCACTATTCAAGAGAGGGCTCTAATCCCGCGAGTACAGTAAGCTATGAGACCTAAATTCTAGTAAGTACTACAGCTGTAGTATAAACAAGGTCGAAACAGTTACAGACGTTACAGATTAGTCAGGACAGTAGCTGTCCGAGGTTGCGTATGTTTGATACAGGAGATGAATTACCGCAGTGCTTGCGCCCGATACTCAAGAGCCAAAACAGTCATTATTGACTTGGGGAGAGGGATAATACAGGTACATCTGCCCCCCCCCCCCCATCCCACTCGTGCACACATTTCCACTTCCACATGCCCATTGCTGAAGCGATGATCTGATGATAGCGAACTAGCATGTTAGACATAGCAACTTGTGTTGAGATGACACCATTCAACAGCTTGCAAGGCTGATGAATTGACCGCCTCTAATTTTTAGTCTGATCCACACCACACAGCTGATTGAAGTGGCTTTTTCTGGCCAGGGAACCTGCATTTTTCATTTTTTTTCACACACACCACACCACATACTTCGGTATGCACTGGCTGTTGGTTGCCACCAAGGAGAATGAAGAGCTAGGAGAATGAGAAAGAGAAGAAAGATGTGAGCGGCCATTATTGTCGGGAATTGAACCCGCAACCTCTCGATTGGAAATCGACTTCACATAGGGACGTACATTAGACACCCTTAGCAAACAACGGCAATGCTATTTTTTACGGTACTCGTACCTTGATCACTCAAATAGCGTTGAAGCTGCAGCGTATATACGTTATGGGGGCTGATTTATCGTTGTGACCAACGGTACGTGTTTTAGCCAAATATTGCATAGTCCGTACGCATTTCACCTTGTATCGCGTATATGATGAAAAAATGGTTGTACCGCGCGAAATCAAAGCTATTCTCGTGGCAACAGCGTACTAAAAATAGCGTGCATCTTGCTAAAGGTCGAACCCAAATCACGGTATTTTCCCCCTTACGATAATACCGTTACAACATAACGTTGTTTGCTAAGGGGCCGTCCAAGGTTACCAATAATATTTTCAAAACGAAATGTTTTCGTTTGTGGGTGGGTGGGTTTGATGGAGTTTCGTTTTGAAAATAATTATTGAATGCTGATGGAGAATGCCCAGTTACTTCTGGGTGTCGAAAATTGACATCAATATTTTATTGGAATTCGTTTTACCTGCAGTAAAGGTGGGTGGGTGGGTGGGGGCTGAAAAATACTAAAACTTTTCGTTTTGTAAAAACAATCGGTAACCCCGGACGGCCCCTAAGGGTGTCTATTGCTACAAAAGTGATGCTAACATGCTAACTTAGTACAGAAGAGCACCAACACAGTCATGACTGTGTGTACACCACCACCACCACCACCCCCCCCCCCCCCGTGCGCATTCTGCTTTTACAGGTTTACACCACTACAGTAGAGCCGCCCGCTGAAGAACGTGGAGCCCAAGAACTTTCAGCCTGACACGCTAAGAAGGGAATGGCGGTGTTGTTTTCTTGCAGCTTTTGAGATACATATAATCCAGTACCGATTGTTTCTAAGAACGTGCAACAAGAACGCAGCCAGATTGCTGAAAATAGGAACGTCCCAGGCCAACTCCTTGAAATAACGTTCTTGCGACTCTACTGTACACACATCTCTGCACAGAAGTGGGTTTCTCTGGTCAGTATTGGGTTTCTCTGGCCAGTAACTTAAACCCCAACTTTTGATCTTTCGGCTCACTTTCATCCAGTCCGCACACACGACCACAGCCACTACTACCACCACCATCACCCACCCGGTGAGACAGACAAAAGCATACTCACTCACAGCACACATCAACGGCAAACGAGAGTTATTCAATGTGTTCACCCTGTCAAATTCTGCATCAGTGTGCACACAACTGCAACACAAGGGGGGGGGGGGGGACACATTGCTTTGCTTCAATGTGAACTAATCGTAAAACAGAAAAGAATAGCCACAGAAAACCGTTAGGATGGGAAGATCGGGTGAGCAATGGATCTAGATCAGAACTATAAACAGGGCTAGACCAGTATGGGAACGCAATGCTGGGCACTATTTAGACACACTGCCTAACTGTTTGCAGCCTAGCAGAACAATAAGTTATTGGCCATAGTGTTCACAGAAACACGCTGTTCAACAAAACTAATAAATAAACAAGACGAGGTCTGCGGCAATACTATAGCTTGATTTCCACATCGCAGTATAAGGCCAAAGTAGATACCACAGATCGATGGAAACGCTGCTTAAACACCATTATTATATCACTGTAAAACTGTGCAGCATAAGCTGGATAGATAAGTAGAACGTGGCCTGAAGGGGGGGGGGGGGCTCTGACTCAATAAGATACACTTCTGTTGAATAGGTTGGATAGAGCAATAAACGCAACTGGACACAGAGAAATAGTCGAATGTCACCTCAGATAGCATATGGGCCGACTTGCGCACTCAACCACAAGAGAATATCAAACAAGACCCGGCAGATAGCATATGGGCTGACTTGCGCACTCAACCACAAGAGAATATCAAGCAAGACCCGGCACGCTTTAAGTTTCACATACTGTCCTACGAATCGGAATACGGACCAGACATATCCCAAGAACGGGAGAACTTGGGAACAAATACGGGCATCACTTCAACGTTCTAAAATGCCCAGGATCTTAACTACAGACTTTCCACTCTCAATACAAGCACACACCGCTTTGAGCAAAGGAATCAGATACACCATGTCACAGATGTGTAGGCACGTGTTGCCAGTTGAAACTGACCTGGGATGCAGTCAGCAGATACATGTACCGGCGGTAGTTACAGCTCACCTGAAGTTGAAGCAGTAAGCGACCTGTCAGCAGACTCACCCTGTACGGCCAGCGCAAAGCCAGCCTTGACTAGCTCGGCACTGATGTCCACACGACTTGCAGGATCAGTATCATCGTAGAGCAGCACCAGGGCGGATGTAGCACCGTTCTGAAGCTCTTGGCGAGCGGCACACTGGCATGTCAACTGCTTGCAATCGGTCAGCTTGGCAAAGAAGTTGATGGCTTCGTCAGACCAAACGCCCGAGGAGCGCTTGCGAATGTTCTGCAGCGCGGCAGGAATCGCTTGGAACGGCAGTGTCAAGAATTCATCTTTCATTCTCCGTACTTCCGCCTTGCGCACGACCGTCACCGAGCCAAAGTCAACAAACAAAATCATGAGCTTGTCGCCAGTAACCTTACGTTGCACTTTAGCCCGGTAGTACAGCCCATCTTCAGAGAATACAGCACAGCACAGGTCACCAATCTGTGGCTCAAACGATGCATCTGGAGGAGAAGCGCAGTGCTGCTGGATTAAAGCTCCCATCTCGTCAAACTGCTGCACAGCATGGTCATCCATGATCGTGATGTAGAACATGCTAACGTGGCGGATGAAGACAACGCGGACCGGATAGTCCTTGCCCACTTCCAGTTCAATGCAGTGCATGTTCTCTGGGTTGCTGCCGTTGGCAGCATGGTTTGCGTCTCTGGAGAAGTCAGCAGAAGATGTTGACTCACTGCTCTCGTTGGGTAGCGGGAAAGGGGCAGTCCGCAGCATGGCTACCCCGTTCACGACCAACTCCTTGTTCAGCAAGATGTTGAATGGCGGCGTCTGATCAAACAGCTCAATCAGGTTGGGCTCGTTGGACTTAGTAGCCTTGAAAACAACACGGGCAACCAGGCACTCCGGTCGACGAAGGAGCTCTCGTGCGGCTGATGACCACATGCCACTGCCGTCGGCGGGACCCACACCGGCCAAAGCACAGCGTACAGCTTGAAACGGCAGAACGCCAAAATCCTGACGCATGTGCCGCAAGTCGGCCAAGCGAATGGTAGTTTGGTTGCCATAATCGACGAACGACACCAAGTACGTGCTGGGCGACTCCTCCTGCAGAATGCGTACACGGTAAAAGAGACCATCTTGAGTGTAGCGAGCCAGGCACACTTCGTCCAACATGGGAACAAAGCACGAGTTTCTGGTCTTGCGATGCAGGGTGTTGATGGACTGGTTGAGATGCGCCAGTCGGTCAGCTTGATCTCGCATGCACACCTGCACAAAGAACTGAGCTGCTTCGTCGTGAATGCAGGACAGGCGTACTTTACTGCAGCCGTCCGCTAACTGTATGCACTGGTAGCCCCGTGGCAGGGGCATGAGGCACGGTGTTTCGGCCAGCGAGCCCTGGAGCCGTGCAGCCGAGAAGCCAGGTATAGGCACGTTCGTCAGCACTGGCAATGCTGCAGCGGCTTGCTGCTGGTGCTGCGGTGAGGAGTTCTGAAGGCCGTTGCTGTGGTGGTTGTCCTGCATTCCGGGCGCTGTCGGCACAAAGTGCGATGGTACTTGGCGCGCACCACGACCCAGTCCCGAATGAGGTCGAGATGGTGCATGGAACGCATCGGCATACGGGGTTCCAATGATGGCGTCGTTCACGTTGCGCCCGGCTTCGTCTGTTACTAGGGCGTAGGCAATGCGGTGATCGGGACTGCGACTCAGGATAGTAGCTGACAGCTGATGATCTTTGATGAAGTCGTTCAGCACTGTGACACCACCCTCACTCTGGCCATAGCCAACTGGCCGTACTCCATACAGGCCCAGTTGGAAGGCAAGGGCATGCAGCTTGCGTGGGTGCAGCTCATCAGGAATAGGAAACACTGAGCTACAGTCGACCATCACTACGTGGCCATCGTCCACTAAGTGAGCGCTGACACGGTTACGCCCGACCGGGAGCGTGACCAGCTTAGCACGCTTGAACGTGCCGTCCGAAACTTTCACAACGCACTGCAGATTCACTGTTTGCTGATCGGTGGAAATGGGCGAGGACAGGCCAGCACCATACGCTGCGAGCATGGAGTTGAGACGATGCAGCGCCTTCTCAGCCAGGTCATCCGACAGGCGAGCCCAAAACTGGTTCGAACTGTACGCTCCCAGGCCAAGTACATGTACGGCGGGATGTGCTGCACTATCCCCTGAGCTTCTGTAGCCACTTCCTGTACTGCATTGGCTGTCGAGGCTGCTGCTAGATGACGTTGCACTAGATTTCTGGCGTATGGATCCGGATGAGGATGCAGGTCGATCACTGGATGAGCTTTTCTGGCGTTTGGATCCGGATGGGGATGCAGGTCGATCACTGGATGAGCTTGACTGTGGCCGGTTTGCACAGGCAGCAGCTGCCGATGGCACTATCGCTTCGCTACAGGTCAGTCTTGACTGGTCTTCTACTGCTTGGTTGCTTGAGGTGGAACTGCTCTCAGAAGATGACGACCCGTCTGCAGTAGCAGCATTGGAAGCTTCTGGTCCCATGAAAGCTCTGCCATGCATTTTGTCCACTGACCCGAAAATGTTATCAAACTGGCCGAGTACATCTTCAAATCCACTGAATGACCACTTGCTTTCTTCAGTATCTGAGTTATCAAGGTCAAAGTCAAAATCTCTCGCTTTAGCAACAGTTCCTGAGTTTCTGGCCGAAGGTGACACAGCAACAGGTGATGCTGTATTCGCAGCAGGCGATGCTGTATTCACAACAGGTGATGCTGTGTTCGCAACAGGCGATGCTGTATTCTCAGCAGCTAGTGCTGTTTTGCCGGGACAAGTGCTTGTAGAAGCAGCAGACATTGGTTGCAGCGCAGGTATCACCTCGCAGACCTTCTTGTGCTCGGGCCAGTCTGTGGACTGGCACATGCGGCTGCAGTACGGCGCTTTGCATCTCGAGCACCGGTGCTTGCCAAAGCAGCCACAACGCGTACACTCTTGCTGCGGCCTCTCCGTGCTGGCACCATCCCCTGACACAGATGAGCTGTGCCTGTTGTCGGAAGCGGTGCTAACATTGCCGGCCACTGCACTGCGTGCTTTTACTAAGTTGGCAGGTGTTGTAGGGCCGTTTCGAACATCAGTGCCCCCGTTGTGACTGGCACTTGTCCGTTGCTTCTCTTGCTGCTGTTGCTCAGGCGAGCTAGACGATTCACTGAATTTCAAGCCAAAGGGTGCAGGCGACACTGTTTCCACAGCGGGACGGCTGTCAAGTCCAAAGCCAGAGTCAGGAGTCTGGTTGGCCTTCTTGCGTTGACTCAGGTTGACACGTAAACGGTGGCCGGCAATTTCCAGATTGTGAACGTTCTTGATGCATGTCTCTGCATCACCAATGGACGGAACGGTCACAAATCTGGACAGAGGCGGAAAAATAAAGACAGAATAGGAGGGTCCAGAGAGACAGACAACCATACACAGGCATCACTCATCAGTTTCATAAAGATAACGGTCACCAACTGACAGCACCCAGACCTAGCCGTGTTCGGACTACATGTCAAGAAAAGCCAGGGCAATGCCCTGGCGGCACTGCAGGGTACTCCAGGTCATGGAATTCATCTGGGTGCACTGGCTACCTTTCACAGCCAGCTCGTTATTGACTGTTTCGTGGCTCTCCAGTAGCCATTTTGTTCATACAACTGATACAAGTGAAAACCAGCATTAATGGTGCTTGATTCAGCAGCCTAGGCTGTCCGTTTTTCGGTCAATTCCATCAATTCTGTTCATTAACACAAGCATCTGCATACCACACTCACACAATGAGCAACCAGTTTGTGGAATAGGAGGGTTTGCCAATCGCTTCGCCAGGCTCCGAGTGAGTGAAAGCTTAGAAGTGTGTGAATGTGTACGTATGCCCGCTGGACAGGGGCTTGCTGTGGAAGCTGAATGAGCTGTATGGGGAGTCTGATAACTTTGAAGGTTGACTCTCCTCCATGTATATGTGTCAGAGTTATGTCAGTAGACGCCAGTGGTATAGTTTTGTAGGCCGGTATGATAGTGGATGCCAACAGAAATGCAACAGCATAGAATGAATGATGACAATAGTAGAGTGGGTGGGAGGGTTGAGAAAGAAATCCACTGCCAGTACAGACACAGCAAGAAATGAAAAATCAGGAACGGTGGACTTCGAAAAAATAGCGAGCGTGTGAGTTTCCACGTGATTTCTTCTATTTTTAATTATATTTCTTGGCTCAGTATCCGAGTTAAATTTGCACACCCGGTGAGCCGTCACGAACAATACGGCGAAACGTACGTCGTGTGAGAGAGTTTGGTTTTTACGCACACGCAAATATTCATTCTGTGTGTCGCTGTGAACTTGTTCCTACAGTACACACAAAAATTGGTTATCCAAAGATATGGCCAGTGCCTGGTCCTGATTCGCACGGACCACACAGACGCTCAAGCAGCAAAACAAGCACTCACCCGAAAGTTGAGTGGGGATTCTCATCTCTTGGCTTCACTATGAATGCTCGTACAACTTGAGAGTGTTCAGCAAACAAGTTTGTAAGCCCAGCCTGCGTGCACAGTAGCAGGAGCAAAGTGAAAAAACCAAGCGAGTGCATTCATGCAGCAGCACAACAGTCTATACTGTGACACAGTGAATTTGCCCGGCAGGACATGAAAACAGCTATGCATGCCAGCAAATTGAAACAATGCAGTACACATGCACATGCGACGCACGCACGCGTTACGCCCATGCGCGACATGCTCGTCACATAGTACCCAAATACGGACATGCATGTGCTCACCACTTACAGACAACTTTGCGTATAACGACACTCGGCGGGGCATCAGAAAAGTGTCGTTATTCGCGAAGTACCCTTATACCTGAAGTCTCATTATATATTACAGTTAGATCATTTCTTAACCCTTTCCGGGTTTATGACGAGTATACTCGTCATGCAGACCCCATTGCGTCTGGGCTATGACGAGTATACTCGCGCTATACTTTTCGTACAGTCCACGCACCGTACGCACTGATAGATCACTGTACAAACAGCGATAACTCTGGAACGGATTATCGCATCGCGAAGATCTATAGCTCATTGGAACGGTCTTGGAAAGGGCTTTCCAGAGGTGTTTTTGGTGAGGCGATAGCTCAACAAATGATCGAGCGGCGATAAATTGAACGCGCGATTTCGATCTGAACATTTTTCTTACTTTCTGTCTGGCGATATTTTTGCGACTTTCAAGTCATTCAAGGGGATTTCCCAATGATGTGGGAAAGGCGGCATGACGTATGAGTACATCATTTGAATCGCTTGAATCTCACAAGCTCGATGCAGTTTGAATCGTAGTTCTATGTTGAGTATGAGCCCCAAACCGAAGGAAATAGTTGAGCGTGGTCTTGATGCCAAACTGGCGCACGGTAGGGACACTGTTGGCGAGGCTAGGGGCATCCTTGAGTTGCTGTATGCTCTGAAAGTACGTGGAAGATGACGAGCAGGAAAGGAGCTTTCCAGTAAGCCATAGGTTGTGAAAATCCGTTGAGAAACAAAAATGTTGTGACAATTTGTTTGTTGCTATCTCCACAATTGTACTGATGCACTGAATTTCAGTGCCCAGACGTAGTAAATGCCCTGTGACCCTGAAAGGGTTAACTTAGATGGGACTTTGCTCTGGGCATGGAAATTCTGTCGTTATTCGGGAATGGTCGGTTATATCCGCAGTCCTTTTTAGCGCAGTTGACTGTACATGCTCACAAACATGCACGAGCACACAGACACACATACCCCGCCCCCCTCCCCACACACACACATATGCAGACAAACAGACCCCCCACACACACACGGAAATGCAGATGTCCTCACCAAGGTACACTTACCGATGTCAAGCTGCATGGAATATTACCAACGTACAAGTCTGTACCATTATGTGATCTGCAGGAAGATGTTCGAGAAAAAAGCCATTGCACAAGAAAGATGAGTAGCTTTCATGGAGATAAGAAATGGTGCGAAATCAATCAGGAATAAATGCAGTACTTCCGGGCGTCGAAGAACTGAGCGGCGAAGAACGACCAGGCTAGAATTTCATCAAGCACAGCATACCAATGTATATACGGTGACTCAACTGCGCATAGACTGTAATACATGAAAATTAGAACGGTCTAGGCTAGGAAGTTGACCCCCCCCCCCCCGTACTGTACTTGAGCAGTTTCCTCGAAGACAAGAATGCGGTAATACTAAGAAGAAAGACACACTTCAGGCTCTTCAACATCTTGAAAGTTTTCACTAGTATACTTCCAAGCGTTCTTGTTGTTGTTGGTGCGCCCTTTGCTCCTTTCAAAACACAATAAAGAGATGAAATAAAGTGATTTCTCCTCCTCTTCTCCTCCATGCGCTCTTAGCCAACTAGCTTCAGTAGCCATTACACACACCAGCAATTCAACGAAGGGGTTACGGGCTAGACCTGAGAAGAAAAAAGCTCTGCAAGGAGGGGGCTGCGGCGGACGTATACACCTTCACAAACACGGAAAAATTCACTGGGAGACTTCAAGTATTGATAGTAATTTGTTACTGGTAATATCAAGAGTATATAACCCCCAAGAGTCTGCAACTCTGCATATGGGGTCTCCGACGGCGAAAACTTACATCACGTGTCTCAGGTACGTTTCGTACTACGTAGAAAGGAAGGATAGCGTGCGCGCAATCCGAATACCCCGGTATCTGCCATGATCATGCTGGGGATTTGCATACCCGCCGTGAGTTTGTCAGAGAGTGCTTGTTTTATTACTCCGCTGCTCGCTAAAAAGGGGTTGGAAACACACAACTGCGACACTGCACCACATGATGTGAGTTTTCGCCGTCGGCGTACCCCATAGAAAGGGTATTACTACAGTAAAACCTGTAATGGCGACCACTCGGATATGGCGACCACTCGTCCATGGCGACCAATTTTCCTTGTCACGGACGCATTCACATTCAAAACACCTCGGATAAGGCGACCACTCGCTCAACGCGACCACTCGCTCAACGCGACCGGCGACTACCCACCCGCGACCGCGCTGCACAGTGCTAGTCATGTAAATGCGGTGCACCAGTCATGGTAGATCTACACATCAGTGCAGGAAGTGTAGATGTACATGGTGCATGCACGACATTTGACAGGTCTGCGGACCCCAGGCACATGAGCCGTGCCAGCGTAGCATAGGTGTGTGCACTGTGATGCACTGATCAAAATGATGTATCACATGTGGATATGGTCACGTGACCCACTGAACCTGGATAAGAAGACCACCTGGCCATGGCGACCACTTTTTCTCGTCCCTTGAGGGGTCGCCTTAGACAGATTTCACTGTATTAGGAGTCACACGCTCTGGGGGGGGGGGGGGGGATATACTCTTGATGATGTTCCTTCTGACAGTTGTTTCGCCTACTAAAGGCTCGTCAGAAAAGGTGATAGAAGGCGAAACAGCTGTCAGAGGAATATTATCAGTAACAATACTTGAAGTACCCGTAACCCCTTCGTTGAATTGTTGGTGTGTGTACTGTAATGGCTACTAAGGGTAGTCGGCTGAGAGCATATGGAGGAGAAGAGGAGGAGAGATTGTTGAATGATTGAACAGCCGAATGGTACCGTTCACAACTTTATAAATAAAGTGATTGTCAAAAAGAATAACAAACCCAAGGATATCTCTGTGACAAGGAACTGACTGTGCTGGGCTAAAATATCTCACTTACCCTTCGCCATCACGATAATTCCTGGTCTTGGCATAATCCTTTTCCATAGGGTTGCTGTTCCTGTGTGGATTAAAATTTCAAATCGAGTACAAAAAGCTTTAATTAACCCTTTCAGTGCTAACTTACTTTAGACAAAATGACTGTATGCACTACAAATACAAGCTGCTCAGATCACAGAATTTTTTCCCTTCGTTAGTTTTGACAATCTTTGGATCGACTTTCAGACTTTCCGAGCCGACAGCTGAGAACTTTCTAATGTGAATAGACCTTTCAATGGCTCAATTCGCCTCAAGGAAAGCAGAGCTATGGACATTCGAGTGTTTGCAGTATGTACACTGACAGGCAGCACAGCATAGTCATGACGGATTAATCCACCATGCCGCGGCTATAGGGCTAACAGAGGCCATCCATTATTTCAACCCCATATGACTCTACAAAACATAGCCTTTCTCAGAGCACTTCTCTCACACATCACCAGACTCGCTGTACGCCTAACACGCGCTCCTTCTGTCCTACCTGGAGATTGCACTCGGAAAGGGGCAATGCAGACCGTTACATTACGTCTGCAGTCCCCATATCACCAAGCTATATCCTGGTGTGCGTTGCTACAAACTGTACGTTCTCTAGTAACAGCGCAGTCTCCAACAGTAGACAAGTGCAAGGGGTGTTCGAAATCCTAAAACCGTAGCCTCTAATAGTAGCACGGGCCACTTAGAGATTAAGGTACATCTACATATTTTTAGCGCGTGGAGTGCAGTTCAGTGCAGTACAGTGCATACCCAGTACTCAGTACTTTATCAGTTCATGGAACATGTAACAAAGTCCACAGCTTCAAGCCCCATGACTGAAGGCTTAGCAATGTTGAAGGTCAAGTCTACCGAGACAATGCCAGTGCGGCCGCAAGCAGCTGTGCCTGAGGAATGTCATGATGAACCAGACGACATCGCCATGGAGGTTGAAGTGGAAGCAAATGATGGTAGTGCCCGTGGCAATGACAGCAGTGATGGCAGTGGCAAAGATTACGAGGACTCGGAACCTGAAGAGCGATCCTTGGTAGATGAAGTCTCATTTCTGAAATCAATGGTATATCCAATAAATCGGTATGACCAAAATGGCGAGCAGACGCTTATGCAGTATGAGAACAACGGGGCTGCATACTCTGCTGGTGTTCTGTTGCTTGCCTCCTGTATATTTTCCCATTTTTCATCAATACAAAAAAATAGAAAGTCGGAAGTGTGATAACGATTTCTGATGATTATCACATGAAAGCGAGGTTCAAATCATAAAAATTAATATTGTTCTATTGTTCTCGTGGTATGATATGAGTGCGCTCACTTTACTTTCATCGACAAAACAATTTGATATTTTTTTCCAACATCGCCCCTGAAAAAAGAAAGGTAGAGTAGTTCCTTTGTATGCTACGCTAGCAGATTTTCCTCTTCTTCATTTTCTACCATTACTCGTCCCTCTTAGTTTCCTTCGATGCGACGAGCTGAAAATGGGCCAACGAGTGTGGATACGTTTTTTTTCCTTTCCAAACTCCCTCGACTACAATATTGTAGTCGAGGGAGTAGATAGAAATGTAGATACAATTTTTTTTAAATTTACAAAAAATGAAATGAGCACAGTGATTTTCTGATAAACATGTCAATGATTATGTACACACAAGGTGAAATAACTAACTTTGCACCACTAGAAATAAACTCTATATCATACAGCACTTATAACACCGAAACAGTGTGGACTGAGACAACTGAGCAGTCACAACGAAAGAGCAAGGAACTTACGAGCCAGTTTGGCTTCTTGGAGTCTCCGTCGCGTACATTCTTGCTATCTATTCTTCAAGTACTAGATATTGGGTTGCCAGCTACTGCCACATACGAAACATTGCTGAAATACAGATGCGTGCTCGCGCTAGAGGTCTGAGATACTGAATAGAAGAGACAAAAATGTCTTGTAGATAAATCATTCAAAAAGAGCAGAGCACATGCACATCGAAATGAAAGGCAACACCATGCAGAGAGTCGTAGATATAAAAATTAAAAAGTCAACCCACGCGCAGACTACGTAGACCCCGGCACTCGGAGAAAGTTGACCGGTTTGAAATTTCTCATTTGTAAATCTCAACAATGTCAGAAATACTTTGGAGAGGCGATGGAATAGGGAATCGTGAAGAGAGTTTGGCCTGGCCCACCCAGCAGGAATTCAGAAGCTGGATATGTACGGGCTACGCGTATACGGTACGCAGTACAATTGTCGTATTTCGTACGAGAGGGCCGTATATGGTCAAAAGCGGCCTGGGAGTAGTAAGTTGACATCAGATTTCTATTTTGGATCCACTAAGGTGTGATTTTGCTATAATTATTGCGTCAGTATGTGAAGACTTGTTACCAGGCCTCAGGGAATCTTGAGTTGTGAAAACCAATAACTACGTCTACACGCTCTGATCTACCTAGGCTACCGCCTACCTACTTGGGGCGCGTTCAGACTACCGTGAAACCCGTCAAACCGTGAATCACTCTGGCTCGAACTTGACTTACCGAATGTATCACTTACAGTAACTGAGTTGGATTCTCCTACCGTCCTCCAAATACAGATCCGTACACATTCTGCCAACAACTGGAGCCCTGTCTAGGTCTCTGCAACATGAACTCTCCGTTTCTATTGGTAGGAGATATGAACGCAAAGCACACCTCATGGCTTCCCACTGATATCACTGATAGAGCTGGCGCGACCTGCTGAGCTACCTACTGGACACTGCAGGAACCAGCACGTGTCTTTTCCGACCTGTATTCATGGTATTTCCAGAGGCAACTTGAAGTCCTGCCTCGACGTTGTCATCTCCAACGTACCAGAAGAAGACCTACCATAAATGGCATAATACTAGTAATCTGTCACATCGTATCCCCTGGGCCTGTAGCTGTCGGAGCCGCGGTCAGATCATGTACTAGTACTCGTCGGAGGACATGTGTCCCTTGCATGCCCACCACAACTTACACACAAGCACTGTAGACCATGCAGATTCTTCAACCTTGTACCTGTTGCATTGTAGTCTAGTGCCTGTGTCATTGTAGCTTGGTGTGTTTTTGCAGTTTTGTTTTTTTGTTTGTTTTTGTTTTCTACAAAATCCACATATCTCCAGACACTGGGGTGAATGATGGAGTGTGGTGGTGGGGCCCATTAAGCTCCGCCGACCAGAGGTCTCGGCTTCATAGCTCCATGGACGCACCAAAGGGATATTGGGTAGGGAGGATTACATTGAAAAAGAAAACAGAAGAAAGAAAATGGAAAGATTGTATTGCTCAGTGAGCAAAAGAATAAGGTGAGTATTGATGTGAACGCTGTTAGACTTTTAAATTCAAGAGGAGACTGTCTGTGAGGAGAGATTACATGTATGTCCAAGCAGGGTAGGACACTGTACCCTCTTACTCGCGTATGCTATGAGTGGCCCAGTGCCAGTTCGTTCTGAGGAGATGGTGATAAGCTGCTGTCTTGAACTTTTGGATGTTCTTTGGGTGAAATGGGTGGGGAATGATAGAGGTAGGCAGCTGGTTCCAAATTGGGATGACGGAGTGGGGAAAGGCTCGGCTCACATTGTTCCGGGAATTGGCAGGAAGAACATTCTGCAACTGATGGGGATGCGCGGTGGACAGTCGTACAGCCTGGCGGGTGAGGCGTGTGGTCCTGGGTTGGTGTGTCGGGGGTGGAGCCATTCTCGAGAGAAGAGCGGGAGAATTATCGCAAAGGGCTTTATACAGGAGGCAGAGGGCAGCGATGGTGCGGCGAATTATGAGGCTAGGAAGCCAGCATTGCGGATGTATTGCCTTGATGGCTCGCTCCTGCACCCAGTCCAGCCGATTCAAGTGGGAAGGAGCTGCCCCCATCCAGACGATTGGGCAGTACTCCATAACCGGCCGGACAAAGGCTTTGTAGGCTCGAAGCCGGGCAAGAATAGTCAGCAAGTGAAATGCCTTGCGCAAGGCTCCAAGTCTCTGCGTTGCTCGGACTACAACAGTTCGGATATGCTGGCTGAATTTTAGCTGATGGTCAAACGACGGTTACTACATTAATGACGCTGAGGACCACCTTCCCCAATCGACCAGCCTTGCCACGTACGCAGACGACACAACGCTCTACAAGTGTATCCGGTATCTCGGCAACCTCGCAGCTGACTGTGATGATCTCCAGACCGCCGTCAATGCCCTTGCTGCCTGGGGTGCGACCTGGCAAGTGACATTCGAGCCCGCCAAGTCATACCTACTCCACGTCAGCCACCACCGTCGGCCCTGGGACTGCCCTCCGGTCACATTCCAAGTTGAAATCGTTCCTGAAACCCAGTGCCTGAGGCTACTTGGGATAGCCTTCGACAGTCAACTGACATTCTGCCAGCAGATTCGACAGTCAGCCCTGCGCGCCACACAGCGACTGGGCTTCCTAAAGAAGGCCTCAGCAGTGCTTGACCCTGGCTGCCGTCTCACGGTCTACAACGGCTTTGTTCGCCCAGTCTTAGAGCATGGCATGCTAGTCTGGATGGGTGCTTCTCAGACGGTGCTGGCCCAACTCGATGCTGTACAGCGGAGAGCCCTGCATCTGATCGGCGAAGGCGCATATCTGCCAAGCCTCGAACTCCGGCGCAAAGTGGCTGCTCTCTGCTATCTCTACAAAATCCACTACCTGACAGGCCCACAGATGCTAACCCGAATGCTGCCCCCCTCCCAAGCAGTACCAGACCACGACCAGCATCCTGCCAACACCAGGCAGCAGGCGCGGATGGCGGCCGGCCACCGCTACCAGCTGCAGTCTGATATCCCAGCCAATTCTCGCAACAACGTCCGCCGGTCGTTCCCTGAAGGAGTGCTGGACACCTGGAACCAGTTGCCTCGCCAACACCTCCTGGATCAGCCCGACCAGAAGAGGTTGCAGTCCTTCAAGTGCAGCGTCCACCGATTCCTGCGCTCGAGCCACTGGGACTGGGCGACCGACCGGCTGTAGGGACTCGGCGTGGTGGTTTTCTGGACGTTACTGTGAGAGAGTGAGTCTGTGCACAAATATTATGTATGATTACGCGTCTGCGTGAATGTGCACGTGTGTGTCTGTGTGTACGTGTGTGTGTGTGTGTGTGTGTGTGTGTGTGTGTGTGTGTGTGTGTGGTGTGTGTATGTGTGTGCGTGTGTGTGTGTGGTGTGTGTGTGTGTGTGTGTGCGTGCGTGTGTGCGTGCGAGCATGTGTGTGTGTGTGCGCGCGCGCGTGTGTGGGTGTGTGGGTGGGTGCACATGGTTGGTATGTGGTGTTTATGTGAGCGTATGATAATAATCTCTTCAATAATATTAATATCTTTATTTCAAGATTACCCAACGCCGGCGAACGCCCTATCAGGTTGATCTCCTATTTGAACATGCGCATATGTGTGTGTATGATGTGCCCTAGCTCACTTATAATATTATTATTATTATGTTATACACGTAGATCATGTCCATGATGCCTTTCCTCTTCGCAGGTCCACCGCACTATTGTTTTTAAGATTAACATCATTATTACTTCTGCATATGCATTACATACTATGATCATGCTGGCTTCATCCCTTATCTCCTAAGCTACCACCCCCCCCCCCCCCCGGTGCGTCTGCCCAGTGTTGACTCCGAGACCCACGGTCGGACGAGCTCCCAGGCCTCACCACCACTGCCGTTTCCGTGCTGCCTTCTCGATACATACGTATGTACACTGTATATCATGTGCACATTCACATGTCTGAAGGTTTGTGGTTTTTCAATAAAAATAAAAAAATAAAAATAAAATTAAAAGCGAGTACTTTGATGGAGGGCTGCTCCTCGACAGGAGTTCCATTGAAGACAATGGGGGGTATTGGCCAGTCCCGACGATGGTGGGAAATTGTAAGGGCCTGAGATTTGGCTGGCTCGAACTGCACTTTCCAATCCGAGCCCCAACTGGACACTTGGTCGACAGCAGCCTGGAGTACTCTAGCGTTGTCAGGAACAGCAGCGAGCGTTGCAATTTCGGCGGATAGGGTTGTGTCGTCGGCGAATGAGGCAAGGTTAGAGCCGATTGGGAGGTGGTCTTCAAGGTCGTTGACGTAGACCAAGAATAAGGTGGGGCCCAGGATACTGCCCTGTGGCACCCCAGCCTTAACTGGGCGTCTGGCTGATGTCTGGCCGGAGATGAGGACTTGAAGTGTGCGGTTGCAGAGGTAGTCTTGGAGCCACCGATGCAGGTCTCCCGAGATGCCATACACTCTAGCCTTGTTCAACACACCAGTGTGAGACACCCGGTCAAATGCTCCAGCAATGTCGATGGCAAGCACTCGAGAAGCTCCTTTATCTCCGGCGGTGTGCACCCACTGGTGGTGGAGAGCAGTCAGCAGGTCTGCTGCACTGTGGCCGCGACGGAAGCCAAATTGCCCGGTTCTGACAGGACGTGATTCGTCTCCATGAAGTTGCTCATTGCCCTGTTGACTATGGTCTCCATGACCTTGGAGAGGATGCTCAGTAACGACACTGGTCGATAGTTTGATGGCGACGATTTAGACTTGCGCTTGTGGACTGGAACTACGTTTGCAACCTTCCACTGTTGTGGCTGGATGCCGGAGCGAAGACAGCATGTAAAATAGTTTTGAAAGCGGCCGTGCCAATTCTGCAGAGCAAGCTTTCAAGACGCGGGCAGGTATCCCATCTGGACCAGTGGCCTTGGTGGGGTTGAGCTGGCGGAGAGTTCGCTCGACTGTGGTCTCGCGAAACCGGACGGTGCAGAGGTTGCGGTCAGTACGTGGTCGGACGTGAGGAAATGGAGCGGATAGGTCGTCTGCCCCTAGACTGCATTTGTTGGCGAAGTGTTCGGCCATGCACTCTGCTTTGCTGCGGTTGGTGTCGTGCTCCGTACCATCGGTACTGCGGAGAGTAGGTATTGATGGGCTGTTTCCGTGGCCAGAGGCCTTCTTGATGGTTCGCCACCATTCACCAGACGCCATACACCCAGAGGCTAACTTCTGCGCC